GGGAGTGAGTACATAGTCTCTGAAAGCCTAGATTGCTTCTTCCTGCTCTTCTGATGCTGTACTATTCAGCCTGTCTGTCACGGGTCAATGATCGCCGACCATTGCCTACTATCCCCGACTGTCCTCCAACGTCTCCTCTGCTCTTTGCCGCTCATTTTCCCACAGATCTCTGATGGATCTCCAGCGGACTTTTCGTATCTTTGACTCTCATATGTTCCCTTTGTTTTTCCTTGCTTATTCTCGCACTGTATTCTTTTTCCTTGTGCTCTGTCTCCTTGGCACCAATCCCCTTTGTGTTCCATATGTACTTTAGACCTTCTTCCCTGTTCCCTTTGTCTTCCTGATAATAGATTCATCTCTGACTTTTCCATTGTTCTGCTTAGTACTTATACCAGCTTGTCTGTACGATATTGCTCAGTTCCAATATTGACTAGGCTTTCCCCTTTGCTCCTAAGCGGACATCAAGTGTGTAGCGACCCTTCGGGTCAAGTCCGCCTCTGCCCCGCTTTGCTCCAACTTTGCTCTGACTTTGCTCTGACGTCAGCATACCACTCTTCTCGATATTGTCTCTGAATCACATCCATCCGACTCTGTGTTGTGGTCTGGGCAGTACGCCCTTGCTTGTTGGACTTAGGTCCACTCGTCCCAGACCTGTTCAGCTTTGGTATTGTTCATCTCCACTTTTCCTGCACATTGGACTTCCGCATTTCCGATATTTTTGCCCTGCAGTTTTGTCCCTGACACTGTCTCCTATGCACTTGGAGCAACATGTTTGAAGCGACACATTGTGAGCAACATATTCAGAGTAACATAAATAAAGTGACACATCAGGAGCAACATACTCAGAGTCACATATTCAGAGAAACCTGCTTGGAGCAATGCAGATCCCACAACACCCATATATCACAATTCCCTCCCATGCACCTTACCACTTGGTGGGTGTCAGTGATTAACTCTGTGCAGTGTTATCATCGGTGAAATACTATCCACCTAAAAAAATTCCCAGACTTTGGCAGCATGCCCTGCATTTGAGTCCCTACATTACAATTATGTATGTAAGTAGTATTTCCACAGATACAATTGATTCCCATGGTGATAAGAAAGCTTGATACTGGAATCACAACGGATTATCGATTCTGGAATGCTATAATGAATACCAAAAAGCAACATAATATTGATTGCCCTGGTTGGATCACTTGCATCCTATCCATAATTACAGTGCTTTGGTAGACAATCTTGAGCAGTCTGCGGTCCTTCAGTTGTGTGCAGCAGGCACACAGGAGTGCCACTGTAAGGTGTGGGTGAAGCTGAGGCTTGGGTGCAGGCTGGGTGCGAGCACCACGGCTCACCCATCTGACCTACTCAGTCGGCCCTCCCAGTATGCAGACTGGTCATCTGATGCAATGTTCATCTACAATTGTGGACCAGTTCTAGCAGAAACTGCCTGTTGCAATTAAAGGAACTACAAAAAACGAGTACAAAGGGTGTGGTGGATGGGATGAAAGAAAGGTGGGAGGCTGATCCTCCTTGCCAGCCCTCAAGTGCAGAGGCAAGGAGCCAGCGAAGAGACCTCTGCCGCCCAATAATTGGCACTGCCACACATGATTTTTGCTCTGGTGCGCCCACTAGAGTGCAGAGATCCCTAACACTGTGTCATTCCGACACAATGACATATGGGATGGGTCCATGTCCAAGATGGGATCACAGGGAGGGGCACATGGAGGAAGCTATATGTAAGGCATACAATGTTGAAACATTATATGTATAAACATAGCTAACAAGGGGAGAAGAGTGTGATTTGCAATAATAATTACAGGACACTGTAATGCGCAGTCCCAGCTAGGCCAAAACCAAAGGAGAAAGGTAAAAAAAAGGGGGTGCCAGGAAGTGAGGCAGTTCAGAGGCGGCCGAGTAGATGGATGTTTTATTTTCTTTTGAGTTGGGTGGACGCTATACAAAAACGGTGATGGCAAAGCTAAGGCGAGCTTGGTACAAGCGGGGACAAACCTCCCTCCCTCTATCTACGTACACGGCAAGTACTTGTAGGGGGGGCCAAGCAGAATCAGGAGTTGTCGGATCATCGCAGAGAATATTGTCAAATATTTGTTGTCGGAGCCGAAGAGGTAGTGATGCAGAGGGCGAGTGATAAGCTTGGCCTGGCAGGTGGTTGACGCCAGGCCAGGTACCTCACCAACAAGACACGAGATAAAAACTTTGGGAGCCCAATGACAGAACAACAATTGTGTCCGGCCACTGCAGCTACCTAAGGTTCTGGGTCCCTTCGACTTAATGTGCTCACGCGGTTGTCAGGATGGCCCAGTCTCGGCCAAGTGGCTTGGTGGTGGGGAGAGGAAAGCAACGGCGAATGGTGTGGTGACTGCCAGCACAACATTGAGTGCCCAATCATGTGATCCATGAAATCTTGATGAGGACGGTCGGTTATTGAGGACTTGGACGTGTTCCGAGCGTGTACGAGATATATGCACTACAACACATATATACATGCATTATGGAAGCATCCATATGCCAGTGCCTATGGATCATGGGACTGAACACATGACACCCCCCTCATAGGTGCAAAAAAAAGGGAACTAAATACCCCTAAGAGGTCATGACTTTGAGGGTGACTGAGGTGCCTTATGACCTAATGTACTTATGATGCCTCTGTAGTCATATATTAGGTACTACATGCATAACTCAGTCTTTTCCCTTATACTTTGACTGAGGAATCGTGAGGATCATATATTAGGGAATTATCGCTCTTGCCTTCAGATCCAGAAGTTCATCACCTAATGTATCTTCCGTGATGCACTCCGCTTCATGGTTGCTGCCAATGGTCCGCCAGATTGTCTGGCGCCAAAAAAAATGACATTACGGCGGCAGATGATTGTGGGTCATCCACTGCTCTGCAACCTCGCATCCATATCCATAACAGATGATTCCCATGAATATCCGGATGCGTGAACCCGGGTCTCGGGTCGACTTGAACAGGTCAGATGTGGATGCTCATCCAGGTCGCTGCACCCCGTGCTAGGCCCTAGGCCGGATACTGGTGCACTGCAAATGACCCTGATCAGCATGAGGTCGGATACACGTGCACTGAAAGTTACCATATATGGATGTGGCCTGTGCACTGAAAAACGGCCTGTATCAGGTGGTTTTGTATCCGACCTCCCATTCTACTTTCTAGGGTCCTACCACGCCCAGAGTATTGCATCACCAACTAAGTTGGGATTTGTTTCTGCACGGGAATCTCTTGTTATCATCAAGATTTTGATCCAAACTTAGTTTGCATTGTATTCTGCGCTTATGGTATACATGGTCGCAAAATGACAATCGTTATTCGAAGAGCAAACACAGCGTAACATTTTAAATTCAAGCCTAATTGGGATGCAGATTTATACTTAAAGAATCAAAACCTATTTTGGCACGGTTAGCGCGTAAAGTTTAAGCCTGAACTGGATGCAAATCTGTACTTAAAATGACGGTTAAGGTACCAATCGGCCCGGTACTTGAAGTCCAAAGGCAGCCCGCACTCAATTCTTGTTCACGGTGCATGGACTGCACGGAGTTGGACTGATGAAGGAACGATCACGGGGGTCTCCGTACCGTGCAGGTCCTGTGTTCGCTGTCGGTCACGGTGCGGTCGAAGCTCGTACTCCGTACTAGTATACAGTAGAATGTTCACGGAACTATGGTATATACTATTGCAAATGAAAATTTTAGCAACTCAACGTCGTGCACAGGATGCAATGTTACTGACCAAAGATGTCCGCAGGTCACCACCAGCCGAACCAATCAATACTGTGGAGAGTCCGAGTTAGCATGATAATATCGCGCAACAAGCTGCACGTACTCGAGGGAGCTGGAGGACAACAACTGTGTCCTCCGAAACTTGGTATTTGGCAAACTGACACGACACCGAGTTCACTTCGACGAGCTCGAGTTCCTCTTCTTGGTCCATAGACCAGAGCTTTGCCGGAAAATCTGACCATCGACTAAAAGGATCGTAGGTATCGGCAGTCAGGGGCTTGAACCTCCGAACGGCAAAGGAGATCAACGTCTTGGATGCAAAGATGTGCTCGATTGACCCCGGCACAAGAGGCGCTTTTGGGTCGCCGCCAGGATGGAACTGTCAGGGCACGGCTCCCACACTTGCCTCATGTCTCATTGTTCTTCTTTCTGCTTCCGCTTCTGTCCCATTTTGTTCATTTCCCCTAATACTTCCGTCTCCCTATTCGGCCATGCTCTCCCGCACCCTCCTGGGCTTCCCGCGCCCTCCTTTTGGCATCTCTCCTATTTCTTTCCATCGCTTTGTGTCGGGCGCCCGAGGACCCTCCCCTTCTCTCATTGGACCATCTTTCGTTGCGCTGATGGATTATTCATCCACTATATAGTCGCCTGTCACACCAGGGAGCAACCCAGACTTGTTCTCTCAGTTGCCTCCCTGCCTTGTGCGACAGGTATGTGTACTTTTCCTCATATCTTCGTATATATACTCAGTTGCCTCCCTGCCTTGTGCAACAGCATCTCCACCGCCGTCCCGGGGGATCCGTGCCGCTCCTAGGAGCTCCAGCGCGTACTCTGACAGGAACGCTACCTGGCTATTGCCACAATGAGTCCTGGAGCAGGCATATATGGTGCCGTGCACGCGAAGATGTGCTCGTTGGAAAATAAGTCTCTGGCCTTGCGGTATGAGGTGCTGCAGATCGTCAGGAACCGGAACTTGTTTTTGTGGCACAATCTCTTCTTCACGAGTGAATCGCTCTTCGTACAACCCCGGGTGATCATCGGGCCGTGCAGTGTAGAGTCGTCGGAACAAGTCCTGGCAGTCGCAAAGAGCAGGAGGAGACGCAGACTGGCGTAGCCAGTGCTTGAAATTACCACCTGCGACAAAGGCACGGTGGACTGTGCCTTCGAGGAAACCTAGACGAGATTGTAGTGAGCTGAAGTCACGACAATGCGTGGAGGAGCTCACCTAGGCGGTGGTTATGAGGAGTTCACTGGAGGCAACCAATCAGTCGCTCGAATGGAAAGCACCACCATGAATGTACAGGTCCGAACAGGAGAAGGAAATCATAAATATGGAATGCCATGTGGTGATTAGATCTGGGGAGGATGTCTGGATAGAGTGTAGATAAGTTTTGAACGTAGTCGGCAATGTACTTGCGATAGGCAATTGCCATAGCTTCGCTGGTGACACATCGACATGCAACAGACAGTGCACAGACAAGCAACATGGTGTGGTCAAGGAACGATGCGAGCGGGTGAGGACCGGTGGGTGTAACCTCACCCCACGTCATGATGAGCGTAAGCGGAAGGTAGATGCGGAAAAGTGTCCGCCATTCATCGGCCTTCACACTGCTGGCAGAAGCTGAACCGAAGTTAGGGGGCACAGATTCAACCCAAGACGGCTGCGTGGTCTTCTTAATGACATGACAAAGCTTCTTCACAACCCCAGGGTACGATGTGTTGGTGCGTGGTGCAGAGGACGTCTATGGGTGCTCCAGACGCTGAAGAACGATATAAGTTAGTATGCATCGGTGGTCAATATATCAAATGTCATACCCATTTCACAAGCGCCTGCGCGAGCTCATTCCTCTGGTATTTGGCTTTGTTTTGCCGATAGCTGCCTTTGACGATAGTGAGGTCGAGGTCATCCACGGCAACAAAAATCAGCGCCCGCAGCGGCCACTTCGTAAGCCATTTCTCCAGTGCTTGCGGCGACCGGCGGTTCTGAGCAGGACTTTCCACTCGAGAATCAAAGGTTTCGTCCCCTTTGTCTTCGTCATTGGACTCATCGTCATCCGTGAGTTCCGCAAAGAGTTCGCGATGTATTTGTTCAACGTGCTTGACACCTTCAGTCGTTCATGGCAAGTTACCCTGCACATCTTTGGCAGGATTTGCTGGGGCGGGATGCGCTGGGGCGGGATGCGCTGGGGCGGGATGCGCTGGGGCAGGATGCGCTGGGGCGGGATGTGCTGGGACGGGGTCTGGAAGTAGGGACTCGTCCTCGACTTTGGGAATCTGGAAATTGAAGTCGAAGGCAGGACGATATGGAACCTTGACGAAGGCTTCACGCTCCGTCAAACGAAGTAACGAGATATAATGGAAGGCAGCCAGACCCTCGAGAAGGCAATGCATACTATCCACGACCAACTGTTGAGTCGGGTCCCAATACGGCAGCCACCAAAGTTCAGACCATCGTACACCGGTTCACTTGAATATAGTTTCCTGTTCCTTCTTCAACGTGGCATCTCTCCATCGCTCTGCATCAACACGCATCTGGGCGACGTCTCGACAGTTCCACTGCTCGTAGTCAACTTGACCCATTTTAGTACGCCGCCACTGCGGCCCATTATGATTCACAGGATGCCAGCAATTGCATACGTTGCAGAACTTCCTGGAGGTGGACGGTGCTAACGCAGCCATTTTCCGAGCGGTGGGTAGATTGCACACGACATTAGCTAGGGCTACTCACATGAGATGACCACTTTTGTAGAGTGCAGTGCGAGACAGGAAAAAGCCATCATGCCAACCAACAAGAAAATCGTCGACGATGAACCGAATGTAATGGTTCAACTCTGTGAGGGTTGGCTCATGAGGACCTGGAACCAGACCAGTGAGATATAGATTCTCGGGGGCGTATCGAATTTCAACAGGGAGATTGAGACATGCCAGTGCGATGATACCAGTGGAGTTTTTGTTGCCATGGAGGTTGGACCCTTCTGCGTTGAAAAAGTCAATGCAAAGGGTGAAGAGCAGACACCCTTCGGATCCTTGAGGACGAAGAAAGAAAAGCTTCCCGTCGGGGCCTTTGAATTTCTTGACAAACCGCGCATCCAGAGGTCCATGAATTGTGCCGAGCATGGAGGAGATACAGCCTGTGCTTGAGTTATAAGCGTTGTCAACAGCTGCCTCCAGCTCGGGGTTGGACAGAAGGCCTGCAAGATAATCACAGAACAGGTGGTGTTGGAATGTCTTGATCGGCTTCCTGCTCACGTCCAGCAAGGTCACGCGACAGTTGGTGCCAGGAACGGGTTGATTATCGCAATGCTGGGGATATTGACCTGATCCATCGGGCGGATATGTCTTGTTGCATTCCGGACAAGCTGCATATGTCAAAAACCACCCGTCCAGCTTGAAGAGGTTCAGAGCGGCACCCATCGTTTGTGGCAGTTCGCGGCCAAGACTGGGTGCAAATGGATCATGAAAACCGCCTGGGAGGAGGGACATCGCAATAGACAGAATCCCAAGGATAAAATCGCCGTCGCGTTGGCTAATACCCATGACGATGTGGCAAACGACGAGTAAGACCAGAAGTACCTGAGAAAAGACAGAGAGTTTATCAACAGGCCGATGGAAGTGATGGCCTGCAAGAGGAGATGAGACCAGGAGGTGGGGATGGCAAAGTGAATCGTACCAGTATCGTAGACGCAGGATGCCACACCCAACTGAACCTCGTCCTTCCATTCTTGAAGTTCACTCAGAAGCGTGGCAAGCCGCTCCTCGAGTCCTCGTTTTCGATCGATGACAGTAGGGATCCGTCGAGTGATGGAGGCGACGTCCATCTTGATTTGCCTCAAACAGTCGTTCAACTTGAGATACAAGTTGAGGGATTTGTCGACCTCCAAGAACTGTTTCCGCTCTTCGTATGAGGATATGTCGATTGCGAGGCGAAGCAAGCAAGCGAGTGCACGATGTGTTAAATTATCAGCCCTACGATTGAAGCGTGATGACCACCCTGCAAACGCTGACAATGCCGCGGTGGACCTTTTGGTAGACTTGATGGACTCGACCGGTGGGACTGAAGCGCTAGACGACCCGGACTCATCCGACATAGGTGCTGCTCCCGACGACCCAGATGACGGACTTGGATCAGATGACGAAGCCGATGACCGGATAACATTGTTCAGCGCGTCCATAATATGAGTGGCGGAAGGGGTAGCGGAAGAAGGCAGGGCTGCGGTCCATGACCACAAAGGATTGGGTTGCACATCCGGATTGATACCATCGTCCGCGATCGTCATGCCAAAGACCTCCTTAGCAATGTCGTCGGCAGAATCGCTGACAGAGGCTGCGTCAACAGGTGGAGGTGGAATATGAGTAGTAGCAGCATCTTGAAGGGCTCAAAGACATTCAGCCCATCTTGATGTGGTAGAGGAGCGAGCGGGCATTGTCAGAGAAACAAATGTCAGATGCTGTAAGTCGGGGTAACCTGTAGACAACACATTTTTGTCAGCCGGAATGAACAGGGGGAAATCAACGGAGACATACCACAACACGGTACAAAAAGGAATCGATCCTATAAGGAAATACCAGTGAGACGTTACAACACCTCATAATCACTCAAGAGACGTCACCACGTCGACAACAGTGATCGCAGGTGAAAAATAGGCCGTTGACGAAGAGCTGGGGCAGTACAAGAACAACAGGATGTCACCACGTCACTGAGAATAACCACCCATATCAGAAGGCCAAACATCGCTGGAGGACAAAGAGCTACTCGAGGCTGGTCGGTCAACGATGGCTAGAAGTGAATAGGGTCCGAGGAGTCTGTAAGCAAGTAGTGTAGAGGGACTGTCATGTCAGCCTACTCACCACTGAAGAGCGTAATGAGATGCGACTGTGTCTGAGAAAGCCAGATGCAGGTGAAGGGGCCAGTCGATCAACAACAACTCAAGAGGGGTGCGCAGATGCCGTGCAATGATACCGACGAGACATCACCACGTCTTAGAAATCAAAGGTCTCAGAGATCACTTGAAGCGATGTCACCACGTCGCTGAGGAAAGCTCGAGACAAGGAAGAGGTGAGTTCAGTGGGGGAGGTATCCAGCATCAAATGTAGCATCCACGCATATATACAGAAAGCCAAGACAAAAAGAGAAGAAGGGCGAAGCACCAGAGAACAAGAATGAGTTCGCAACGTTGACAAGCGGGCGCACCGGAGCGGAGGTCACGTGCGGCGGTGCCGGTTCTTGGGGCGGCGGAGGTCGCCTCGCTGGCTCCTTGCTTCCGCTCCCGAAGGCTATGAGGGGGTCTTCCCCCTGCGTCTTTTGTTTGAAGAAATCCTATCAATCGAGTCTACAATGCCTCCGTGGAACGAGCGAGCCCCGCTGTTCAACAAACGGCTGTCGTCATTACGAAAAGAAGAGCTTCAGAGACTCGCCTCGCACTTAGGCCTCGAAGAGGAAGGCACGGTCGCCGCCCTCAAAGCTCGCGTACGACAGAAACTGCTCAGCGACACCCGATTCTACATGGGCCATCCAGACTACAAGGCCTTATTCACTCGCCAAGACCTCGCAGACCTCATGGACGACACATCAGACACCTCCGGCCCCTCGTTCCGGGGCATAGCGCACGAATCACAAACTCCCGAAGAAGAACAACCCCGAGGGGAGGAGGAGGAAGATAGGGAGCGGGACTCAGAGAATGGCGGAGAGGAGGGTCCCCCTAGCCAGGCGGCCGAGTCAGAGGACGACGAGGCTCGGACTCCCCCCCCATCAGACGACGTCGGTGAGTTACTGCAATATTCGTGGGCGGGAACGTATGCTCCCAACCATTCCCCCACCGGGCCGCCGTGTCGACCATAGGGTTACCGACGTGTCATCCGCCGACTCGCATATGCGACGAGGCCGGCCATAGGGCCGTCATGATCAGACCATATGGTCAGACTCATCAGCCATATGGCTCGAATTCGACTGCGAAGCCATAGGGCAGTAGGCTGACGCTCACTCAGGTGACCCGTCACCGCCGACTCCCCCCACGTCCCCGACGCCTTCCGTAAGGAACGACTTGACACCGGGACGCGCAGTGAGGCGCCAATCGAGTCGCGACTCTCAAGAGCAGCCCAGTACGAACGGGCACCTGTCGGGGAGGCACCACTGGAAACGGGCCAGGGATAGCCCACATTCGAAGCGCCACCGTTTGCATCGCACCTCGCCGGAAAGGAAGAGAAGGCGCAGAGACCCTTCCTTGGGTTCGTCGGACCGAGGAAGGAGAGAGGAGAGAGGAGACGGGAGGGCCCGCCATAGAACGCGTCACGGCCGGTCCTCGTCGCCGTCGAGTAGCCCTTCATCGAATTCAAGGTCTTCTTCGAGATCTTCACTATCGATCAGCTCCGGAAGTCGCCGATCCAGGGGCTCGTCCTCAGAGACGTCGCCTGCTCGCCATCATACGAGAGACGGGCCACGGAGCCGACATAGGTCGCGTAAGGATCGCTCGCGGAAGCATCGTGTGAGGACGAGTAGCCACACGCATCATGTTCGGGAGACGACCAAAGGCCCGCGCCGCCCTCAGCTCATCAGAGGGAAGCAGGCAAAGGCAGACTGCTACGCAATCCCGGATCCAATCCGCAAGAAGTTCCAGGAGGGGTGGACCTCCCATATCCCGCTCAATTACCTGACCGACAAGGCCGTCGCGGAATACGGATGCGGCACGTCCTCCCTCCTCACCGATATGTACGCGGTCGACCCGGTCAAAGGTCTAATCCAGGCCGAAAAGGTCCTCCCATCCGCCGGAGAGCTCAAGCTGACCTTCGGCGAATGGTACCAAGCCTGGAAACACCTACTCCAACTCATCAGGGCTTACTTCCCGAGGGACTACGAACGATGGAGGAAGCACTTCAATCGCATCTGCCGCACGGACGGGGCTACGTCGGAGAACTGGACGCTTTGGCTGGCCTACGACGCAGAGGTCCGCCGCCGATGTCACCTAGAAGGTATCGACCCCGGATCGTTTCACAAGAATATCTGGAAGAAGGTCGAGCCCGCGTATATCAAAACGCAGGTCATGGCCTCGTTGCAGCCCTTTCGGGCCTACAACTCAGCGCAAAGCTCAGGACCCAAACCGGAACAATCGTCCAGATCGGCGATGGGACGACCGCAACCATTCGCGCCCAAGCACATCGACGCAAGGTGCTTCTTTTGCGGAGGCAAAGGCCATAAGGCCTCGACGTGCAAGGCCGACACACTCAGCAACGGCCAACCGGTCATCCTCGTCAGGGGCGAGGACCGCTCCGTCCGAGACGCAAAAGGACGGCAATACTGCTTTTATTTCAACATGGCCGGGGGCTGCTCGAAGAAAGACGCCGGCCCATGTGCAAAAGGAGACCACCGGTGCACCTTGTGCGGCGGCGCAAACCACGGAGCGCAGAGCTGCTCGGTGGTCGTCGCCTGATCCATTCCCAATTGTGACCCCCCTCATCGCGCATCGCTGGGACGAAGCGCTCCGAAATCTAGGGCTACAGGATAGGTTCCCCGACATCGCGTCGGGCATAATAGCAGGATTCGACATGGGCATTCGCTCACATCTAATGGAAACTTACAACCCGCCTAATCATCGCTCCGCGCTGGAGAACGAGGAGGCGATCAACGCTTACGTTACGAAGGAGAAGTCGGCTGGTCGATATTCGGGTCCCTTCTCGAAAGCCGAGCTCGAATCGCGCATAGGGTTCTTCAGGACGTCTCCGCTGGGAGCAGTCCCGAAAGCAGGCTCACACGAGATGCGAATGATTCAGGACTTTTCATTTCCTCGAAACGACCGCACGCATTCATCAGTAAATAGTGAGATCGATACAGACCGTTTCCAATGCGAATGGGGCTCGTTCGCCGAGATGGCCCTCTTGGTCATGGAAGCTCCGCCGAATTCGCAAGTAGCGACATTGGACGTGGACGCGGCCTTCCGCTGCATCCCGATCAGGCCAGACCAACAACGGCACTTCGTCATGCACTGGAGAGACCACTATTGGATCGATCACAACGCGCCATTCGGCCCGGCAAGCTCGCCAGGCGTGTGGGGTCGCGTCGCAGACTGTATGGCGGCAATGTACATGGCCCGGGGAATCGACGCCTTGAAGAAATGGGTGGATGATTTCGCTTTCTTCCGGTTTCCAATCGATGCCGACGCCGGAGGACCACCAAGGTATCGATACGGCCTAACGGAGATTCTGATATGGGCGGAGAACCTCGGCTGGCCATGGAAACCTTCTAAGACGCACGATTTCGCGTCGATCTTCAGATACCTGGGATTCCTATGGGACCTGACGACGAAACGGGTGTCAATCCCCGACGAGAAGAAGGCCAGGTACTTAGTGAAGCTTGAGACATGGGTACCCGGCAGCGCCTTCACGAGGAAGGAAGCCGAACAAGTCCTAGGGACTCTGGTCCACTGCAGTATGGCCATTCCCGACGGCCGTTCACGATTAGTTCACCTTTCGAAGTTCGCCAGCTCGTTCCACCACGCCGCGTCCCCCTTCGCCAAGAGGAAACCGAATCACCACGTCTTCAAAGACCTCGAGTACTGGAGGTCGCACCTGCGGCGACCAGAGTGCGGCAGCTCGCTGCTAGTCCCGACGAACACATCGACCTGCGATCTGTGGGTCGATGCGTCAACCTCGTTCGGCGTCGGAGTCGTGATCGACGAGACCTGGGACGCCTGGACGCTCACGCCGGGCTGGAAATCAGAAGGGCGGGACATCGGATGGGCCGAAATGGTCGCCGTCAAATTCGGCCTGAGATTGGCCATCGCGAAAGGTGTTTCCGACACACGCCTAATCATGAAATCTGACAACCAAGGGGTCATAGGCGCGTTGGAGGCCGGAAAATCGAGGAACACCAAGCAGAACCGCGTACTCCAGAGGATAGTCACACTCATGCGAACGTCGAACGTGTGGGTTATTTCGCAGTATGTCCCCTCGATTCAGAACAGGGCAGACGAACCTTCGAGAGGCATCGCCCCGGTAGGGCTGACTCGCTCAGACATCTCAATCAAGGTCCCGTATTGCATCTCAGGACTTGTGGGCATGGCTACATCATGTAATTAGTTTTTTCGAGATCGTCATGCTCCCCCATACAAAGAATAGAGAGAGACAGAGGCATAAGGGAGACAGAGGGATAGAAGAGTCAGTGGCGGCAACGCGCGCATGCAGGTCTCATGCGAACGTCGACGACACCTCCACTCAGTCGCAACAGAAGTCAAGGCGCTCGCCTAGCCTCTCAGCATCCATCCTCTATCGATCATTTTACACTCCCGCGCTTGAAGTCCAGGTCAGCCAACCTCCACAACCCAAACAGGATCAAGCTCTCGGGCCAGATCGAGGACCAGTTGTCCAGAGCTCTTCACCATGGGTGGGCCCCCTCGACCTTACAAGGCTACAACAGCGCAGTCAATAGGTTCATTCGCTTTTGCAAGAAGGAGAAAATCCACCGACAGTTCTGGCTCCCGGCAGACGAACTGGTATTGTGCGCCCTCGCGGCGTCGAGCGAAGGCCGTCACGCTGGTAGCACGGCGAGAAACGCTCTCGCGGGCCTCAAGGCGTGGCACGTAGCGCAGAACGCGGAGTGGAAAGGGGGCAAGCGCCTGAAGTACGTTTTAAACGGTGTAGAGAACCGTCGCCCGGCCCTCTCTCGCAGACCCCCGCGCCTCCCAGTCACTCGCAACTTACTACGCATCTTAAGGGCCAACCTCGATCTCGCAGACCCAGTGGACATGGCAGTCTTCGCGGCCGTGTGCGTAGCCTTTTGGGGCCAGTGCCATCTGGGGGAACTCCTACCGCCCTCGACAACCCGGGCCGCCTCGAAGAGATCCCCACATCGGGCCAGTCTCACCCCTCCTTCTCCCACCTCACCGTCCTATGTCATTCACCTCCCATCCACCAAGACTCGTTTCAGCCAAGGAGAGGACGTCGTCATCCTTCGGCAGCGAGGTTCCTCGGACCCCATCCGGGCTCTTCGACACCATTTGTTTTGGAACAACCCCGCCGAATCCGATCATCTCTTCGTGTACAAGACCTCATTCGGTACCCGCCCGCTCACCCGAAGATTCTTCATGAAGAAATGCAACGCGGTCTGGATCGAAGCCGGCCTTCCGAGGCTCACGGGCCATTCATTTCGCATTGGAGGAACGACCGAGCTGCTGCTCGCCGGCGTCTCACCCGACATCGTCAAGAAAGCCGGAAGGTGGTCGTCCGACTCCTTCCTCCGATACTGGCGTGTGGTCGAGGGCATCCTGCCCACCCACATGCAACACACAGCCCCAAGCATTGTCCATCGCAAACGGAACAAATCTCGACCGCTTGGTGGGGGTTAGCCGGGCGCTTGCGCCCCGTCTGGGTTACGGTCTGGGCGAGCCGTTGCGCTCGCTCCCGGCCTACACCCAAGCCAAGCTTCACCCGCACACTCCGGTGACTCTCCTAGCACGCTAACCGCTAGAGACTGCAGGACCGCAGTTCGCCCAAGAGCGGGCGCACCGGAGCGGAGGTCACGTGCGGCGGTGCCGGTTCTTGGGGCGGCGGAGGTCGCCTTGCTGGCTCCTTGCTTCCACTCCCGAAGGCTACGAGGGGGTCTTCCCCCTGCGTCTTTTGTTTGTCCCACCCACCGCACCCTGGTCGTAAATTGTTACATTACTAGGAATCACCATACAAGTCCAGACGATAGAATTAGCAATGAGCTGAAGTTGGTCGCGAACGTTTAGTACGCTCCGGAGAGTCGGCCGAGTAGGCCGGGGGCGAGCCGTTGCGCTCGCTCCCAGCCTACACCCAAGCCAAGCTTCACCCGCACACTCCGGTGACTCTCCTAGCGTGCTAACCGCTAGAGACTGCAGGACCGCAGTTCGCCCAAGAGTACAATTAACGGAGTCACGTGCCGGTGGTGACGGAATGAGACATGCATATTCTTACATGTACATACACGGACTGAGAATACATGGACGTGGGGGTAAGGTGCCGCACTGTTCGGTGCGCACCGGGTCCAACTCCCTTTTTATTTTCTATGCCACTTTTAAGACAGGGCCAGCGCAAACCCTGGTACATGTGACAACGTGACACCGGCACGGGTTGCGCGCTCCACAGCGACGCGCGTCGTCCCGACAAACATCATCGTCCTGGTCGATCCGGCACCGGGTTCGTCGTAAACGAAAGCAATCTATACATACATATATACTCATAAATACAACATGTGCCGCGAGTTGCTCAAGAGAGAACAAAATGGCCGCAGTAACACCGTGTCTGAGCTTCAAGGTTGACAAACATTGATTCGTCGTCGCCGAGGGAGTCTTGAACATATCCGAGACGTTCATCCAAAACCATGCCTTCGTGAGCAGGACTTAGATAGATTCCTTGTCCAGCTCCTCCATGATTGAAGCTGGAAGCTGCCGGTGGCCGTGATACTTCTTTGCTGCCCAGGCAGCCTGTTTGCCATTGAGCCTCTTCCTATATGCATCCATGAAACGCCGTGCTCGAGTAGCATAACTATGCAAACAGGTGAGAGGGAACAGTATGCAGATCTCTGTGTACATACCGACGTATAGTATCCAATGGGATGGACTCCAGCACTTCGATGACGTTCCTCTCGAGATTCTCCTCGGAGGATGAGCACGGGAGGAGTCAGTAACATCGTTTTGCGTGGCCCCAACACATCTCGATGAAGTTCAACTCGCAGTGGAACTTTGGCAGGAATAGGACACGATATCCGCGAGATTTGCAGGTTGTTTCGAGCAGTGTGTCAACATGTGTGAAGTCCGGTTGATTGTAGAGCAGGCGGCGGCAGCAGCAGCGGTCGTTATTGTCCGGACAGCGAAATTGCGCGCATTCAGCTCTGATGTTGTCGGCATCGTGAAATCCTCGTTCCTTGAGGAGAATAGCCATGCCTTTGAAGGTGCCTGCACGAGGGTGGCCATCGGGGAAGTAGAGACACTGTGGTGAGCCGTCAGGGAGCTGTGCGTCCGTCATTTGCACCTTCTCCTTGACCACCTTGCCTGTCTTTGTGTTATACACAGGCTTGCCATCCGTATCTAGCTTGGCACGTTCCACACCGAACATCGGGTTATCGGGTCTTGTTGGAAATTTGGGCATCCTCCGCGCGGACAAAGCATCGTCAGCACGCTTGAGGTGCGTTGTTGCGTTGTCGTAGACAAACACATGCTCTTCGTCTGGATAAAACTGGTCAAGGATGTCCATTGCATCCTGTAGCTGCCCAATGATATCGTCGTTCGTGAACCAGCCATCCTGGGACTTCCCCGCCTTGAACAGTCGCCGTGCCGACTTTTGACCATCCGGTGAAAACAGCCATCCATGATCGGCTGAAATGAAGTCGGCCACCATTAACGATGCTCCCTCGCCCTTCGCCCTCGGTTTTGCAGTATCAGATGAATGAACCCAATGGACTTGTCGTCGATCATGCGCATAGAATGTGGATTCGTCGTGATGCCAGACGACAACTCAGCGAGGTCGAGGTCATGGCCAGTCATCAACCACCTCCTCTGCCGTGTCATTCCATGTCCGCATATTCGACTCCAACTCAGCGTATCTTGGTAGAAAGTTTTCTTGCCGGTACTCGACAACATCATCTCGTTCGTGGCCATCGACGTATTGACCAGATGGTGTCTTTGCCCAACGATACTCCATCATCCGCATCCAGTTTTTGGCTGTAGATAGTGCGATGGGTCGTCCAAGGTTGTACTTCACTTGGATTTCCGGGCTATTAATGACATCCGTGGCTTGCACGTTCTTGCCAATGCCAAGGAGGTGCTTGTGAATTTCTGTCGACAAATCTCCTTGTTCCAGGAGTGATGTACTCCATGTTCCGTAGAGATTCCAAGGTAGGTTGTCCCGGTCAGCGATGAACGATCGTGTCCATCGCCGGAGGGTCTCAGCGGTGGCCTTGCCTTTCTGAAATGCATGTGCAGCCTTCTCTGAGGCACCGATCCACGTTCTGTGTGGTTCCGAGGGATCAACGTACAACCACAGCAGCATGCGCATCATGACAAGCCGGTCCCGGAGGAGTTCATTGCCATCGAAGTGTTCATGGCCCAATCCTCTTGGACGCGTAGGGTGGATGATCTCATCCAAATCGGCCAATGCCGCTTGTGCAACTTCGTGCACGGGTGGCGGAACAAAAATCCCAGTTCTTTTCGGTGGGAGCGGAGTCCATGTTGCAGGCTCGATCAAACTCTGTTGATGTGAGACTGACGTATTGCTGCTGGCATCTTCCACACGTTCTGCTTATTGTTCACATGAGGATTGCGAACCAGCTCAACAGAGCATGGACATGCCTGGGTTGTGCTCCTGGGAGCTTGACGTGTCATCCCTCCTGTTCGCATCTTGGCCCACTCTCCACATCCCCTCCGGGTTCCACGAGCAGGAGAAGTTCATCTCAGGCCACGAAATGTTCATTGATGAACCTCCCTCTTGATTCTGGATTGGTTGGAGTGCGGGGTGTTGTGCCGCCTGCGCATGAGCTGCAATTGTTGATGCAGCTTTTGAACGGAACATGGGCAACTCTCCCCCATCCTCGATGCAAGCTTCACTCAGTTTAGCATGCGTGCTTGTTATAAGATCAATAGACTGTTCGACAACCGCAGGGATCTGTACCGAACTGTCAGTTTGGGTTTGCAGGTTTCGGAATCCAGAACAAACCACTATGCCACTGCTTGAAGTAGTTTCTTGATTTTCCTTGTGCTTCTCTCTTATGTGTGCATAGTCACCAAGATTTCGAACACGAGCATGTTTAGTTTTGGACCAACGTCCCATAGGAATTCCAGTTGAGTGTGTTGCATCCGTTCTCGTCTACTCAGGCTTAGCCGGGCTCACTGACCCTGATCATTGATGTGCTGCAGTGACAACTATGCATTCTTTTATTATATCGGAACGACACTTCGAAGCAAAAAATCAGAACCGTCAATCCATCAAAATCATACATGGGATTGTCCTTATGGTAGTCCATATACATATAATGTCATTGCGCAGCGAGGATATCGCTTGGACGTCCAAAAACATAGACTAGCGTGACAGATTAGATCAGGTGATGTACCAGGGTTTGCGCTGGCCCTGTCTTATTATCACCACAAAAACAGTAGATACATACACAATCACAAGCCGTATCTCTTTTAAGGTAACGCCAACACCGTAATGGACATGAGGTTTAGGGAAATTCTGTCCATCTCCCTCGCATCCTGATAAGAGTTGAGGGATGGAACCCATCTTGATCAGGTTTGATTTTGGACAAGTTGGTCCCGTCATAGATGGGAACTAGAGATAAGACACAATGAATACACAAATTTAGTAGTTGTTACACCACTCACGATCATCTGTGAGCCCCAGTGAGGACCTGTTTCTATTGCCTTTGCCAAAACGTGCATGACGATCGGATGACGGCTCAGATGATCCACCGCCTGCCAGATATGAGTGTGGGAGAAATAGGATTGAGTATTGTCACCTACCATCTGATCGAGTGTTGAATTCGAACTTTCCCTCATACAGCTGAATATTCACTGGTAATGTTGTCAGATACAAACACAGAAATGAAGGTTCAAACGCACACTGACTCTGCGGAGTCTGTGCACGCATTGAGAATAGCTAAGGAGTGAGCATTATTGGATAATGGGGACAAGACATACGATTGTGGAGTGACCGGGCCACTGACAGAGGGACCGACCACAGATCCTTGAGACATCGACACTCTGCAATGAAATAAGTATTTATTATCCCACAAAAATCACATAAATGCGGATGACTGACTCATTAATGGTGGCGAATCCATCTTGCAATTTGGATAGCTTTTCCAGAGTGAGGCCACCTCGTACACGTGAGTTAAGGATCTCAGCACGGGTGCGCTTGGGAGCAGCGGTACTCGTTGTGCCGGTAACAGAACTACGATTAGAGCGCCTGAAGAAGGAGGTCAAGAACTGGACATCGACTGGATAGTAGAGAGCCTGGCAGACCTGGCGGTTCGGGGAGCCATTTTACGGTAGGAGAGGGATTCACAGACTCTAGCTTTCTCCCCCACGTTCTTATATGCAGCGCATGGAAAATGCATATCCGAGAACGCTGTTCAAGCCCCTAGGCCATGACCAATTGGAGACCAGCAGATTGCAGTCATTGTTGAAGCAACAGAGTAACAGGAGTGTTGGGCAGTTGGGAACGACCAGATGACATGGCCTTGAGCAACATGCCGGTGGCGATTCCGTGCCTCGCCGCCCTGATCTCACCGCCCACCGCAGCCTACTTGAATTTCATTCCCTTGGCCAATGGATACAGGGGTAGGTTCCCATTCAGTAGCTGCAGGACTGAGTCACAATGTTGACCCCTAGGACGTGCCGCCGGTGCTCATCTTTAGTGCGACCACCCCTATGCACCGGGAATAGCAGAATGGTATTTGGCATCCAGACCTGGACCTCCCTCAAACACGGATCACTGGGCCTGGTTCTCGAGGGAAGAACATCCTTGCGGCGATACACTGCTGCGCCACTGTTCAACAGTGTACTGGTCAATATGTCTGTTCGTGTAATATTCTTTCTGTCATGCTTCTGTGAAGCGCGAGTATGTAATGTAAGGGAGATACACACTGAGTGGTCTGGAAACTTTGTATAGCAAGATTGTAGTACCACTATATCTAACGGTACAGGTTGAAGAGCCTTTGGAGGTCAAAATATGACGGAGCCTTGGTAAGCATGTTTACAATGAAGCAATCAGTAAAACAGGTAAAGACCATCCACCTGCCTTTGAGCATGGTGCTGGCGCAATGCACCAGACGCCAAGCAAGGACAAACATCAGATCACCTTGCTCTAAACGTATGCGATACCCAAGTTGCGGCAAGTTCCAGTTGCCACCTTCCCAGCCTTCCTCGTCAGGACTGACGCAGGATATGATGACATAGAGGCGGGAGTCGTCGTTCCAGTCCAAGTGCCACAGCTTGCTGCTGCCCACTGCGCACGCAATTGTAAAGAAGGCACTGTTCATGTCCAACCACGGGTTCTCTTTCAGAGTATCCCCAAGCACGTTACGAATGTGCTCTGCCACCCTGGATACTTTGTCAGTGACATGTGCGTACCAATCAACTGAAACTCACATTTGCTTCAAGATGAATTGCGGGCGGGCGTGATATTTCAAGATACTGTTGATCTCGGGGGCGAAGTGTGCCTTCAGGTATTCAAACATTTCCTGAATCACCTGCCAAACTTCTTCCGACTGAAGACGTGTCTCCCTGCTGACCATTGGAACCGGAGAGTAGTGCACCCAAATACCAAGGTGCAAGGCCTCCACGATGTCGGACCTCGCATTCTCCACGTTGGCCTTGCTGTACTGCTTTGGCCCCAAGTCCTCGAGCCTCTGACAAATCTGCCCTAGCCGAACACAGTGATGAGGCAGGAACACATCCTTCATAACCAGGACCAGGTGCTTGGGATGTTGAGGCAGCGGGCAGATGCAAGCGTAACGAGCCGTGAACGTGATGCAGATGTTGCGAGGAACATATAGGAGCGGCAAGGGAAGGATGTCGCCCCAGAGGCGCTTGACGGTCTTCTGTACGGCGGCATTGTTCTTGTGGCCTTTGAAGAACGTGATTGGATACTTGCGGAGATAGATGTACTCTGTCGTACACCATGAGAAGCTTTGTCCTGTACTGGGCATGAACAAAAACACTCACGAGTCTTGTACTTGCTACGCTTGACCAGAGTACGATGTAACGTGCCTGAGTAGACGAAAAGCTTGTTCTTCTTCGCCTGCCCTTCAACAGAACACCAGCCGTGATGCTTTCTCTTAGGTTTCTGCTCCACTGTGAAACAATCCAATTGTGGCAGAGCAATCGAACTACGGACAGAACAAACTGACACGAAGACTCTTGTGGCTTGATTTTTTTGCTAGATGGCTTCTTGCGACAAACTCTCTTCCTGTCGCGGCCGGACTCTAATACGAAGGTAAGGTGGAGCCGATAAACGTTAGCACCAGGAGTGGCATGACTGACTTGTAACGACCATTTAGACGAGGGTTGTGCACGTCAAACAGAAGGTGGTCGATGTGGCAAGAGCAAAAAAATGAGTAGCGTGTGTAGAGTCCGCCGGACGTTGCACTTCGGCCCTCACATCCAGCGCACCATCATGAGCCGCTTTCGACAAACTCCATTACCCTATCTTCATCCTGATGCAAGCACAAGACAGCCTAGCCTATTCAGCTCAAGTGCTGGATGGAGACTGCACTGTCATACAACGGCAGCAGAGCCGCGAACATCATCAACTTTGGTTACGGTGAGTATTGCATTTTGGAATGAGTTAATTCGATGTCTGACGCTGAGTAGATGAACTTGGAATGCTCCTGACACACCGCGCTCAAGATGTACACAAACCTGCGAATCGAAGGCCGCCGTGAATTCACACTCCTTCATTTGCACTTCGTCAGTAAGCGTCTGGTTTTTTCCCATCGGTACTGGGCCAGCGGCTGAGACTTGGGCACATCTACAGGTGCCGCATGTGTAGGTCGTGCCGTTCGTGTCCTCATCCTCATCACCGTCAGGCCAGCAGCACCAGACCAGACCAAGCGGAAAGTTGATTTGGCAGGCGCAGACACACGATTCCGCGCGATTGGAGACCAGACCAAGAAGAAAGATGACCTGGCGGGCACGGACGTCGCGATCCCGCGTGATCGGCGGCACAAGGGCGTGGATATATATGACAAGGACCCTAACGGTGGGTCCAAGCACTGGTCGGACAAGCAGAAGATGCGGCTGTTTTGGTGCGTGATACCCCGGGGATTCCGCCACGACAAAACCAACCTCAATCCGCGAGCAGGCCCATCTTCCATGTTCGACGAGCACGACGACGATCACAGTCGACCGGGCATATTTGGCAACGACGGTTCTGGCGGGCCCGATCACGGCGACACCTTGCATTATTGGCACTTGCAAGACGGGCCAATCACAATCAACGCGCACCTTGCCTACCACTTGGCGCTACCGACGCCTGAGCCCTGCCCGGCTGTCCGTGCTCCTTCGTTCTCCTGGTCGTTATCGCACTCCAATCTCCCCTCTCCCTCCGCTCTGCCGTTCACAAACGCGCTGGCGCACAAGCTCAACGCGGCGCTCGCTGCCACCTGCTACTCTGGTGAGCTTGCATGGCTTCACCTGGACACGAAGACGCAGGTTGCTGCCGAGTACATCATTCTCAGTCGCAACCACCAGCTCTGCATCTCGACACGCACTTTGAGAACTCGCTTACAAGTCACGTTCTCCTACCTGCTCCCCAGACAGTTATTTGCCTACTCCTGATGAATCTGTCGCATCGACGGACGAAGAATCGACGCGTGTTCCACAGCAACTGAAGGAGGTTTTACCGCTCAACTTCGGGTTAAAGCCCACTTTTCAGTCGACAAGCACCACGACACTGACAAGCCCACTCGACCACGCACGCAACGTGTCGTATGCGGGCAACGTACCTCTTCTCCGCTTGTGACTTAGCCTCACTGCAAAGAAGAGCTTACCTGATCTGCGCACAACCACGTCAGGTGCAAAGATACACAAGAGGAGAGGTGCGCTGGATCTTGCACACCTGCCGATGCCGTCGAGGAGCTTCACGGAGGATCACACCAGCAATAGTGGTATTTCGACCGGATCCCCTCTTCCGACGAGGTTGTCAGAGTACGCGCTGGAGCTCCTAGGAGCGGCGCGGATCCCCTGGGACGGCCGTGGAGATGCTGTCGCACAAGGCAGGGAAGCAACTGAGAATATATACAGAGATACGAGATGAATACACATACCTGTCGCACAAGGCAGGGAAGCAACTGAGAGAACAAGTCTGAGTTGCTCCCTGGTGCGACAGGCGACTATATAGTAGCTGAGTAATCCATCAGCAACACAAGGGATGGTCCAATGAGAGAGAGGGAGGCTCCTCAGGTGCCCGGCACGTGACCAGTGGAACGGCCTAGGAAGGCCGCGCAATGTGCGGAGGCCCTAGGAGACCCGAAAGGATAGAAGAATGGATGGAGCTCCTAGGAAGCCCCGAAAGAATAGAAGGAGCGTCTGGGAGCTCCTAGGAAACCTGAAAGGGTAAAAAAAGTGTGTGGGGAATGCAGGAAAACAGGGAAAGATGAGTACTGGAGGCGTGCCATGACAGAGGTGGAGGCAGGATAGTGCAGGGTTGTCCGCCTCAGCTTCTGCAGACGCCGTACATAGCGCTGGCCCTAGCTCACTCTCGAGAGCTGCGGCAGCCCCTCTCACGGGCGAGTATGTCACTGGGGGCGTGGACACAGAATATCTACAATACATCGAGAGCTTGCGCATGGACAATGTGAAGGGCAAACTGCAGGGAGGTGAGATCGACGCACTTGAAGGTAAGGGCGGCAGTGCGGTTCGGCGTTATCCAGCCACAGATCATTCAATGGTGGCGACATGGGAAGCACAACGAGGATGGTGACATGAGAAGCACGGCAAGAGCGGTCACTTCTTTTCTTGGGTTTGTGGAAGGAGATCCTCGTTAACCGTGCCGAGGTCATTTCTCCAGTCGAGTTCGAGGAGGCAGTCACCGATGTCGCAGAGCATCGTGATAAGAACACCACCAAACAATCCCGTACATGAATATATCGACTACATGTTCTATTATACCCCTGACATCCACATCAACGCGGCCTGTCCCCTTCCGCATGAACAGCAGCAAGGCGGGCGCCGTTCCAGGCGGTGAAGCCCTGTCGGATCGCTCCAAGCCTCCGTGGGTGCCGTCCGAGAAGGAGAAGGAGGTGCGAGGGAGGAAACACAGCCTGTCCCCTTCTGCATCAACAGCAGCAAGGCGGGCACTGTTCCGGGTGGTGAAACCCTATCGGATTGCTCCAAGCCTCTGTGGGTGCTGTCTGAGCAGGTGAACAAGGTGCGAGGAAGAAACGGTGCTGGCAAGGAAGGTGCACCCCAAAGGCAATGAGACTTGGTCGAGAGAATTTTTATTTCATGAATTCATGTGTATGATTCAATGATCACCTGACATAAAGACGCGGAGCGGTGATTCGGGTGCTACAGGTGTTGCGGTCAACACCGCGAGCCTGAGTGAGTCGAACCGTAGCCGTCGCGGTCAACACCGCAACAGCTGTTGCAAGAGAAGAGTGATGAACGATGAGGAGGTAAGACGGCAGTGAGTGGTGAAGTGAAGCCAGCTTGAAGGAGGCAAGTCGTAGGGTCAGATGGATTCCCACCAGTACCAGTCAGATTGCGTGACATCAAACGGCTCACCTTGCCACATACTTGCCCCATCACCCAGCGCGCAAGGTGCTGACCTCGCGTCTTTGCTCTTGTTTGTGCTGGCTGTATCACAAGCGGCTGAGGTGGTGACCTCGCGACCGCGCTCCTACGAGGTCAAGACCTCGCGAATCCTCTCGAGGGTTTACGCTGTCTTTCACTTAAATCTTCAAGCGACTGAGGTGGTGACCTCGCGATCCCACTCCTACTTCCTTTGGACTGTCATACAGATAGCGGATGGTACATTCACTTTATAGGAGTCCAACAAAATCGATCTCACCCTCCTTTACATCCAGCCCTCCCCGAAGTTGACTGGTCGTGCCCGCGAGCCAGTCTGCATCGTACATCACCTTGGGCAACGCAGGCACTGGCGACCGAGTCGACCACAACAAAGCTCTATACGGTCCCAACGCTAGAACTCGGTCGGAGCGCGCTCGTGCCGCTGGTTGAGATCCTCTAGAACTCAGGATATCATTCCTCTCTGTGTCAATTACTTCCATTATCAAGTCCACCTCTTGCCGCCGCCATGCCAACGCATGAGTTTTGTGATGGACAGATGTCAATTCAGTGTCGGTTTTGTCGGAACTCATCCCATCTTCAGTGAGTAGTGCCAGGACTTTTCGCCTCTTGTTCCACTTGTCAACCTCAGATGGAGACGTCGCCTTCTTCGCCTTCACATTACAAACATCTAGACGACGGATATATCGCTGCCAAAATAGGTGAGCAACTTGTCGAGAATTTAGATCAAAAGCTTACACAATGCTTTCGTGATCGTTTCCGTGCCTGTTGCTCCAACTTAGTCTCCTTGTCATTCATACACAAAGCGACCTCTTCTCCGCGCTCTGGGCACACGCGGCCGGTCCCAACATCCGTTACCATCTTTGGCAGGCAGTCCACCCAGGAACTGCGGAGTCTCGTCCAGATCTCCCAGATGAGATCCTCCCAATATAAGAAGCTTGCTGGCGGCACCCGCTCAATCTTCCGGTTGCTGTTCATGAATACGAACCCATGCTCTTTGCCCTGCAGCTTGAACATTTTCTGGGCAAACATAGCGACAATATAGCGATTCCAGCGATTGTCGGTAGGCGCGATCAAAGAAAAGCGCACATCTTGGTGATCTGGTCCAACAGCAAGCGACCCTGCGTTGAAAGCAGCAACATCCTCTTCATCAGCCTCCTTAGCCTTCATGGCGATCTCCTTCTGGTCTCTGATCCCAAACACTCCGTAGAGCACCAGGCACGCTTCCTCCTGGTAAAATGCTTCAATTATCGCGCTGGAGGCGACCTTATAGCAACATACCAATTGCACATTGTGATAAGCCCCAGCAAATTTGGCTTTCTCATCCTTTAGTTCGCTCAGGGTCTTCTTCTCGCCCGCGGATTTCCTCCCCTTGCCTATTGTTCTAAACATGCTCGGGGGACTGAGTAGGAGGCGGGCATTGACGTCAGACTGCGTTGGGGATAGTCCTGTAGCGGGACTGGGGAGCGACCCTCAGGTGGAGACCGGAGCCATTGGAGCCGTTGGTGTATCCACATTGGTCACATTAGACGCCTCCGCCTCGTTAGAGACCGGAGCCATTGGTGCCGCTGGTGTGTCTGCATTCGTCACATTGGACGCCGACGCATCGTTGGACCCAGTTGCTTCATTTGATGGCGGCTGGTTGGTTGATGTTGTCTGCTTGGGCGCCGGTGGCGTGCTGCTCCCAAGACGGATTTGCTATGACACTAATCAGCGAAAGATCACGGCGAAACACGTATGTGTTTACCTCGAATTGACGCGTAAATCTTTTCTCTAAAGCTGTCATTGCAGCATATAGTTCAGCGTGGCTGGCCTCGAGCCTGTTCTTCTCGCTAGTCAAATTCTACGAGCCCATCAGCGTCATTGATCGTTCAGCAACAGATTTTTCTCACTTCAAACCTCTCCTCGAACTCCTGGTTCTGAGCCTGCTTCCTCATCAGCGTCGTCGATGGCTCTAGGCATCGACATCTTACCTCAATCTTTTCCTCAAACTGTTGGCTTCGGTCCTGACACCGTGCCGGCATTGCTTGTCAGTGTACTCTGATTGGCTCAGTACGCAATGGACATACCGTCATCGTTTCATTGAACTGTTCCCACTCGGCCCTTGCCTGATCTTGCTCGTGTTTCAAGTCAGCCTCAAGCAGTTTGATTGAGGCGTCTCGCGTCTTTATTTCTTCCTCTAATCGTCGCTGATCTTGTTCGAGCCGTGATAGAATGCTCCCGTTCTCTCTCCTGCCACTCAAGCTGCTGCACGCACGCAGTCCTGGAGTTGAGCTTCGCCCTGAGCTCTCTGTTGGTTCTCCTCTCATCTTGAAGCGATTTGTTCAAATCCGTCACAAATGCCTCGGCGGAGGTGACGCGAGCTGCGAAGTCGATCTCAAGCGTCTCCCTCAATCTCCTCTCCTCCTGGAGCTCCTGCTTCAGGCCATTTGCCATGGCCGCAACCCCCTCGGCGGCAGTAATGCGAGCCAAGAAGTCGCTCACAAGCATTCCCCTCAATCTCTCCTCTTCCTGGAGCTGCTGCTGCAGGCTATTTGTAGCAGTATCGCTACTGACACAAAAACACTTCATAGCGTCGCACTCCTCCGAGAGTTGAACCAGCTGCTGTTGGCTATCGGACTGCGCTGCCCGCAGAGCCTCAAGCTGATTCGCCAGCTCCGCATTGCGGCGGTGGGCAATCCTGGATGCTACGACGGCCCTGTCGTTCTTTTCCTCCATTTGGACAAATAACCGAGTCGGGCTGGGATGAAGATAGGTGGGCGCATTGTTCAGTCACCTCATCTTTGCGGCAGCAGTATTGACCTGGTACTGGGTTGGCCGGACAACCAGCATCTGGCTGACGGCATTGTCATCGTCGTCATTGGGTCCCGCCATTTCGGCTTCAGCAATGGTCAGCATGCCAGAATTATCGCTTGGTCCCGCCATCTCTATGGCCAGCGCAGGAGGCCTCCCGACGAGAGCGAACATCTCGCCTGACAGTCCTAGTCCTGGGTGCGAGAAGCTGAAGTCCGCCAAAGGCATTGCTCCTGGCATCTGCCAAGCCAGCTCCGAAAGCGGAAGCCCTGCAAGCAGCTCACGCAACACGAACTCGGAGGACTCTTCGCGGGTCCGTTTCTTCATAGTTGACGATCCACCAGCGGAGGTTTCGACTACAATCTCGCTCTTGCGCTATGCCATGTTTTAGACTACAGAAGCACTCGATGCCACTGGCACTCACCCACGAAGTATGAGTATATTGAGCTTTCTGCATTGCGCGGAAAATATGTTCGTGGGGGCGTTGAGGTGAGGACGGATTCTTGACATCGGAATCTTCGCTCACAGGGTCTATATTCAGGAGTCTCGATTGTTTTCAACTCGAGCGCAACACTCTTGATTGTTTTTCGTCCGAACGCACCACATTGATTGTCAGCTACGGTTCTACAGCTCTCGAAAGCTGCCATTGCCATGCCGAGCCTTATCGTCAAACTACAGTGACCATTCCGTCTTTGTAACGAGACCGTGGGATTGTGGCGTCATCAAGGAATGAATCGGCGGTGAGCACCAGGTTTCTTTTTGTCTTTTTGTCATAGTTTTTGATATTCGGTGCTTTCTTTCGTGTATCAGCGGATTCAAATATACCTCCGTGTACCGTGCTGGTCCTCATCGTGTTGAACGCCCTCACCCTCGCATCCCTTCAAAGTGTTGAACGCTCATTTTTCTACTCTATCAAATATGCCCGTCGTCCACCAGAGTTGAGCTCGAACGCCCCAACCGGTTGGCAGCATTACTTGCCCTACTCGCCGTCGTCGCAGTGCTTCTCCTAGTAGGGCGGTTACCCGTCCCCTTACCTGGTCTATGGCTACCCGGTCGGTTATCTCAATCTCCGACGCCGAAGTTCAACCTACTATGAGCTCCACCAAGCCGGATGATGTCATCAGCATCTCTTCTTCTTCTGATGAGTACCATTCTTTCTCCTCTTGGGTCTCCTCTGGGCTCAGCAATGCGGTATGTGATATTTACCGCGCGGTCTTTTCGTTGGTTGACATGTTAGCAATAAGGATACTGGTGCACGCAGGACCAAGGCTACAACCTCGCGCAGTGTCAAGGCTACAAGCTCGCGTCCAAGCAAGGCTATGGCCTCGCGCCCGAACAAGGCTACAAGCTCCACCCGAGAGACTCGTGACGCTCGTGTGGTAAATTCTTGTCTACTACCACCCGGCAACCTATCCGCTGACTTGTACGTAGGCGCTGCCGCTTTGCACAGCAGACTTCGAGGGTATGAGCGCCCGGGTCAAGGCAGCCACGGATGAAGCTGCTGAAGCCAAGAAAATAGTGGCGACCGCACAGGAAGAGACTACCAGGGCAAAGCAAGACACCACCATGGCCCAAATCGCGCTGTTACGAGTGCAGGACGAATTGACGCAGGCCTGTCAGCTCCTGCAACCCATCAAACACACGCTCGAACAGATTGAGGATGACCTCGAATGCCAGGTTTGCGTCCAGCGGATCAGAAACCCCGTCAAGTGAGTCGCGCTTTGTAAATGAATTCACGAGCTCACATCCTTTTCAGCCTCGAGTGTGGTCACACTTTTTGTCGAGGCTGCGTGGCTGAGTGGTTCAATGGGATCCTGGTGCAATACCGCGAGGATCACGCCAGACCCTTCTACCAACCAACACGAATCCATCCGCTCTGATCGAGCGATATCGTTGCTCTTCCCACAATTCTTCGGCCTATAGCGCGCGATGTTCAATCCGATATGCTGTTCTCGCCATCACTTTGGACTGTCTTGGCCACGGTAATGCATCTTCAAGCATTACCACCGTACACCTGTCCTATGTGTCGTCATCCAGTCAGTGCATTTTGCTTCGGATGAGACCTTTCTTAATGCTCTCAATTTGCAGGTAATCACGCAGCCTAATCCAAACTACACCATAGGTGCGATTCTTAGGCGGCTCCCTGATGCGCAATACGACATTCTGGACAAATCGGAGGAGGATTGGCACAACGAGCATCACGATCCACTCACTGATTATTTTCCAGAACCCCTGCAATCCTAATGATGAGCCTCACACACTGTGTCTATGAGATTGTATTACATTAGCTTGTACCTCGTAATTCATGTCGTTACATTAGCTTATACCTAGGTCTTGTAATCATACCACCCTCCAAAATCGTGAGAACCGGTGAACAAATTGCTCACCCGAATCGTGCATCCGTGACTCACGTCCATCAACTGCTTATTGTCTTCGCCTTATTCTTTCATGGGTTGCGAGGTGTTGACCTCGAACTCTCAGATGTCTCTTCATTCTTTTTGTGAGGTGGTGACCTCGCGCTGAGACATATCTAATTGTCTTGCGGATCACCTAATTGTCTTTCGTGCCCTGGCAACGGTATTTGTCTCAGTATGGATAAAATATGTTCGACGACCCTCGTTCCCCAACCTAGACATGACCACCCCATCTCCAGACTCTGCCCGTCGAGGAGCGTACTTTGTACCTCTGGCGCTTCCACTGCGTCAGCTCATGCTCAGCTTACACCGTGATCTCTCATTGCTCCTGGCTAGCGACCCCGTCTTGTACACTGTCCCGCTTGTGCTGCCATATCGCTCTCGTGCTCATGAGGCGCGGATCGCCACCCGCCCATACCCTCGTCCTTCCGAGGGTCTTAGTACCGCACGTTCAACTACTCCCAGCCGAGAACCGACTCCCGGCACCATGAGGATGCCTTCCGCTGGGTCCGCGAGGGTGGCTACTCCTGGTCCCACAAGGGCTGGCACTCCTGATCCCACGAGGGTGGGCACTCCTCGTCCCGTGAGGGCTGGCTTTCCTGGCCCTGTGATGGCAGCTCCTCCTGGCCCTGTCGTGGCACCTACTCATAATTTGCTGAGGTCGTCAACTCCAAGGCAGTTGTCGACATCCCGCACAGTATCGCCTGGTTCAACTCACAACTCAGTAGAACCCGAGGACAGCGAGGATAGCTCTGAATTATCCTCCGCATCCCCTTCCCGAGAATCCACACCTGTGACATCTCGTTGCATCGAATTTGCAACATCTGTCCCAAGACACGATCTAGTGCCCAGGCCTGTTGGGAGCGCTGGCCGTCCCCGTAGCGGCAGCTACACACTTCGCACCAAGATGGGCCTCAAAAATAAGGCTTACGTGTCAGTTCAGGTAAGTATTCTACTGACTTGCCTGCACGTCGCCGTTCTGAAATTGCCTGAAGCGCGACGTCAACAAAGTTGTTTCACAATGGCTCCACCACTCACAAACTGTCTTGAAGCAACCACCAGGAGCGGTTGAGCGCGCCAAACAACTGGTAGGCAGTTTTTTCTGTACATACTATGTCCTACATCACTCATGGCCTGCAGCTTGTGCAGAAGTATCCGGAGTTCGTCAACAAGTACGAGGATGCTTGGCCGCTTGACGATTTGATCGCGAAGAGGCTTGCGTACACTGCTTGGGAAATCAAGAAGGGGATCAGCAAGCCGCAGGATGCGGTGTTCCACAACAATATGAAGGTTAGATTTACGTCCTACGACCAACTCACCATCTGATCATTACTTAGTCCCTTCCACCCCCTTCATGATATGTTGCTCACGGCTGCCATGTCGCCATCGCAAATCTCTACTTTGTAATATACATGTTATACATAACAAATGCACAATGGTCTGGATTCATCACGAGAGAGCTCAGTGTCTGTGAGAGATAGCGACCGTGTCCATGCGGTGTTTGCACTAATGTACAAGAGCTCACAAAACGATATTGTTTCATTGCAATTGCGCGCAGATGAAGATAACAGTACGACGGTCACAAAAAGCTGAGATACAATAGAGAAGGGATCACAATAAGGCCTTTTCTCGGCGACAAAAACGGCGTTGACTGTGATCGCTAGGGATCGTGACAACGAAGATACAATTGGGCGTACAATTGCGAAAGCATTTAAAAAAGCCGACGGTGGATGTAACGGTCAAAAACATCCCACTTGTGCAAATTCCACCAATGCTAAGCTCAAGAACCTGGTCCTGAGGTCAATATCAATGCGCCGGGCGCATTCCGACACCTCATATTCCAATGTATGCTCTTGCATTCTCGCCGGATGGCACTTTGCTGGCGCGTGGGGGTAAGAAAAGGACTGTTTTTCAGGCATGTTCGCTGAAAATCGACCTAGGTGAAGCAGGTCTCGATATCAACGACACGCGCACCTTGAAACCGATCAGCACAGGCAAGCCCCACACGGTTCCACCAAGTATTTATGGATCCATTGTGGTGCTTAAATGGGCGTCCATGGAAGGCCAATTTGACATGTTGTTCATTGGCACAAAGTATGGCTTCGTCTTTATCTGGCAGAAGAATGATGTAAGTCTTGTGTATTCAGTGGTAGCCGGGTGCCTTTACCGTCACAAAAGAACAATTTTAGAGAGTGTCACGCATTCCGGGTGCCCGAGGGCGGCGAGATACTCTCGTTGGCGGTCCAGGTCAACCCTGATCGAGTCCGACTTGCAGTTGGCACAATCCACTGCATTCTTGCATGCTACGACATCCTTCCAACCACCTTTGGAATGACTGGTATGAGAGGCTGGCCAAGATCGAGCCTCAAAACATCGAGTTCACATCGAACGGAAAGGATATCACGGTCTTCTCCACGTTCTCTGGCCAGATGTATGTGATAGTGTCTCCTTCTCAAAGTAGTGCTGACACTCGCTAGACACACGTTTTCCAGGAGGGAACGGACGCTGGAGCATGGGCCAAGCCTTGCTCAGCTCATGTGAGTGACCATCAATGAGGATATGATTTTTGACCGGGCACCACAATAGCGGCTACGTCACCATGGGCAAGGACAGGGAAGTCGTCATCGACAACACAAACAACTTCAGCCTACACAATAGCAAAACGGGAGCCCTAGTTGCTATGTTTGGTGCCGGGTCCAAGATATCGGCTGTCCCTAAGCACGTCATGTTTGGCAAAGACAGAGAGATCGTCGTAGCGGGGAGCGACACTGGATGTGCTTATGTCTTTCAGAAGGCAGGTGGTGGGCCCGAGCAGATTTTAATGAATGCGTCAGATGGCTATACACAAATTGTCACGGTAAGCTCACACAGAAGATTGTTCAACGGTGAAGGATGCACGATGTTGATCCCTCTCAGCAGACATCTAGTACCGCCTCAGCAAACTACATAGCATGCGCCACATCCTCGACGATGGGTGTCGGAGCGGTATCCATATGGACGTGCAAACGGGTTATTGAGGGATCCGCGACCTTGCCAAACTCGACAGCTGGAACCGACTTGCCAGGATGGCTCTGGAAGTTATTGCAACAAATCTGGCAGAGGTTCAAAGGCGGCCTTGCCTGGTTATCGAACCTCGTGCGGCGCGGCCTCGTCTGGCTTGCGAAGCTAGTGATGACCACTTCTGTCATACTACTGCTCGTTCTAGTGGTCGCGCCTTTCCTGTGGTCAATGGTGGAGGTAAGCATTGGACGCATTCACAACCATGATGCTGCTTACCATTAAAAGTAGGACGATGTTCCTGAAGCTTGGATGTATGCGAAAGGTTACTGGTATTTGGCAGTCCGGCCCGCGATTGTCAGCCACAGAAAGCGCATCGCAGAGTTGTATGGATTTGCATAATGATAATGTGGTGCTGATTGCTTCGCGACATGAGATGTGCCAAAATTACAGTTCCTGCAGGAAGCTCTGTATCCCGGAGGTAAGAATGTTACGGCACTGACAAGCTTGACCAGGGGATTGCCGATATGGCCCAAGGCGAGACGGTGTTCGGACAAGGGAGACAGAGATGAACCAGTGAGGTGGGGCGCAAAGTAGACAATAAACGGTCACCACCGCAGAGTCTTAGTCTGGAGAGCGACAGCTTGCCAGCGTTGCTACTGAGGACGAGTTTGCCAAACGATGATGTGTGAGCCGGACCTATGTAGTAGAGTGCACATACAGGGATGGTTGAACGCCAACAAAGTTAGGGAGATATCCTAGATGGTACATTTGTCATCAATTTACATGGAGATGTTAAAATATAACTCACTGGACGGAGGCTCATGAAGTAGATCAGGACAACCATGACGAAGGAGGGGCGGTCAACACCACAGTCATACTCAGGATAGTAAACGAGGAAGACCGCGGCCAGGGTAAACATAGGAGCGGTCACCACCGCAGGGTCATACCCAGGTGAGCTTGCCAGCGTCGCAAGCGAGGATTTGGCCTGTTCGAGCACGCATACCATGCAAGTAGTCAAGGGGAAGTATGGTTGAGAGCCAGCAAAGATGGGGTTAAATCTAGACAGTGCATTTGTCAATGTAACACGGGGGTGTCAGGCTTTTACTCACTGGACAGAGGCGGCTACTGAACATGATCTAAATCACCTCGAAGAGGACTGGGACGATCTCGGGCGTCAGACGGCCGATGTGAACCGGGGTGCCGGCAACGTGCTGGTTCACAGCGGCGAGCGAGACCATATTGATCTGCCAGAATCCGGCGGTATTGATCTCGTGAGGCAGGGCAGAAAGGATCATTGCAGTCCCCAAGGGCTCCGTCTTCTCGGTGAACAGGTGCATGGCTTTGACGGCCGTGGTCCGGACCGCAGCATCTTGTCCGCAAACACCTTGAACAGGGCGGTATACACGCACATGTCGACAAAGTGCAGCTCGAGTGCGGATGACGCCGGACAAGGTGAGAAGTCGCAATAACCTTAGCGGCGGCCTCGCGGGCGGCGGGCGACTTTTTTTGTCATTGAGCGTGGCGATGAGGGCACCAGCAAGGTTGAGGGAGATTGAAGCATCCACGTAGACACGGGCTGGTGCCGAAGAGGGAGGAGCATTATACTGACCGCCGATCAAAACAGGTGTAAGAGCGGCGAGATTTTGCCCAGCAAATGGACGCAGTAGTTGAGGGCAGCAGAAACAGGTACGGTCGAATGCCAGCGAAGTTGAGGTTGACCTAGGCGGTTCGTTTGTCAGTTTTTCCATCCTATGGAGGTGTCAAGTTCAACTCACCGAACGGCGTCAGCAATACTAAAATAGATGAAGATGACAACAGCGGAGGACAACCGTAAGTAAAGGAGGTAGAGGAAAGCAATAATCACTGCAAGGACGACTGCGGGTAAAGAGAAATAATAAGCGGTCAACACCGCAGAGAAGTACACATGGGGACCGACACTCACCAATGTCACAGTCGAGGACAAGTTCGGGATGAGGTGAGATGTACGCCGGTACTGTAACGCTCACAGTTCTTTCACGGTCAACCCAACCTTGAAATTCATCGACTCTCTTTCCTGCTTCTCCATCCCCAGTCGCTCACTCTTCTTTCACTCTCACTTGTCTCGCTACCGTCTCCGTAAGATTTCTCTCAGTTCCGTATCAACCTCTTTGAGTGCCTGCCTCGGTGGTGAACGCTGGCTTTGCCTTGGACGTGTCGTCTGCTCCCCCCGCTATCTTGCTTTCCAGCTCTACCATGGTGGTGACCACAGCTTTCTAGCTCCGCTGTTCTAGCTTTCGACCCGTTTTCAGTCTTCTTGTCCCTGTTGGCTACCCCAAGTCCTGACTGCTCATTGGACAATCCCGGCCCCCTCCCATACGCCACACCCTACTCATTCTACTGTCTGTTGACTAATGTGCCCATCAGGTTTCCTGCTTCAATATGTCGTCCAAGTCTACCATCTCATCTAATACCATTCATGGTCTCTGGCGTGTGCGCGACAAATACTTCGTTTCCTTCAATTGCAACGTTATCCCATTCCATAACTTCCCCAATCTAGGCGAAACCAGCAATGACCACGGGGTAACTAGCTGGCTCAAGGGCACCGAGTTATACAGCATCATGTACCCAACCAAGCTTGACGGCGAAGGTTGGGCCGGCCTGGAAATCTACACTGAACTGACTGATGTTCGGGACTACCCAGTCGAATACAAAAATCACGATCAGTGCCGTATAGCGTTCTGGAAGACGTTGGAGGACCACGAGCTATTTTTGAAGGACATGCAGAACACCCTCCGCGGATATCTACACAGTCTACCGCAAGCATCACTCGACCCTGTACTCTTGCAGTACATCGACTGTCGACCTCAGATTCCTTCGGAGGTATCCACTTCATCCCCATCTTCATACTGTGTGCTCTCGCGCTGCAAGAGCGACGCTGTTGGGCTCTGGAGCCTCGTCCGTACCGCCTTCCATGAACAGTTAACGATGACGGCCTTCCTGTACTACCTTGCAAGGAAGTTTAGCGAGTACGACTACAAGCACGACACCGGATTGCAGGAACTCCAGGTCACGACGTTGCTTCATCATGCGCTCAGCAACTCGCGTTTGCAATCCAGGTATAACGAGTTTCTCATGTCCCTCCATGCGTCTTGGGTCTTCAAATTCAATACAATACCGCGGGCAGGCATACTGGTCAATCTTTATGAACTATCTAGCTTCCATTTCAAATGGCTCATCTCACTCATCGGCACCCATCACAACGAATTCTTTCCTCTTTGGATCTATTGCGGCAAATATCACAAATACTTGGGTCATCTCAAATGGTTCCCCGCAACCCACCAAATACCGTCGGACATGGTTCCGTGGGCCATCGTGGCCAAGGTGCGCTCTGACGTCTCACGTGAGTCTTGGGGTCCTTCATCCGGCCGTTGGTTGAGCGGACCATCCAACGCTCGGGCGGGCCCATCAAATGGCGCTCGGGCGGGCCCATCATCCCGTGCTCGGGCAGGCCCATTGTCCAGCGCTCGGGTGGGCCCATCGTTCAGCGCTCAGGCGGACCCATCATCCGGCGGCCCATCGTCCGGCGGTTGGGCAGATGGCGGTTGGGCGAACAGCAGTCGGACGGACGGCGGTTGAGCGGACGGCAGTCGGGCAAACGCAACATCTGACGGTTGGGTAGCATCCGGTTGGCCGGACGCATCATCCTCGTGGGGAGCATCTGAGGGGGGAGCGTCTGAGGGAAGGGAGGCTGAGGTTATCGACTGGGTTAAGGTGGTAGCTCAACTGCCTCCTGCCAAGATGACATTGCATCCGAAGCATAACACTCAAGGGCAGAAGGACAATCGCAGACGCCAGCAAAGAATCCCGACTTCGTACCAGCGCCGGGCTGCCGGACTGTTCGCGGCTGAGAAAAGACGCGAGGAACGCGCCGAAGGTATTCGCGTGCTCATCCCTGCCTTGACCTTAGATGAAGTGCAGAATCTCACTAAGCAAGTCGTAGAGGAAGGCGGCCAAACTTACCACCCTTGTGGCGAGCTCCCAATTCCCCAGATTCGTGCGCATCACCCTGATGAGTCGTTCTATGCGTTCATGCGCCACCGTCACCGGTATCGTCAGCTCTTCCTCGTCAAATACTCAAACGATCAAATTGTGGGCCTCATATACGACCGGGAGCAGAAGGCTTCAAATGGGGTACTCGGACCTCATACTCGTGTTTTCCACTGGAAAGCAGATGATCTAGGGTGACAGCTTCAACAGATTCAAGTGTCGAAGGCAGAACACGCCGCCACCCTTTACGAACTGCATCCCAATGCGCAGTTATACGACGGGGTGTATGATGAATGGGATGTTGCCCCGTGGTTACACCCACACCCTCCATCGCCGCCCTATCGGCCTGAGGAAGACACCGACACGGCTGAGGAGGATGTAGACGAGTACTACTTCAACCAGACGGTAGAGGGGAGGCCGGGTTATATTGCCTCGGACTTCGTCAATCCCCCAGCAGGGATTCCTCCCCCAGAAGCATGACCTGTCCCGCAACATGATCACCTGGAGGTAAGTTGTCCGTTTCAGTTGTTGTTGGTTGTGCTGGTCTGACACTCCAGTCGCTTAGGCTACACCTTCGGACGAATCCTTCCCTCTGTCGCAAGTTGACCAGCCTGACTATGGCCGACCGCATCGTCTCCCTGTTATGGACACTACCGAGGATCTGGCCATACTCCCGGTTTATCGTCCGGCTCCATTGTACGCTGCCACTCCTGTACAGGTATGGCTCTTTCATCCGTCTATTCTTTCAATCCGATGCTTAACCCGCTCAGGCGCATATTGAGGACGACACTGTTGATCGTGATCTCGAGTGGGAATATTCCCTGTTCCTTCCACCGGCACATCCTGCTGCTCAGGGCAGCAACCCCAACAAGCTGGGTGATGACCGAGTCAGTAACCTCAATGACTTCGGTGACGACCGAGTCAGTGACACCCAGACCCACCACAATCGACTCGGTGATGACCGAGACGGTGATCCTCCATCATCGGAACAATCGTCATTACCTCAGGCCTCTACGTCATCTCATGTACCCCTTAGTCGTGGTTGCCTGAGGTGCATCTCATTGATTGCTCGTAGACTCAAGTTCTGGGTGAGGCCACGGTCACGGAGGACCACACAGTAAGCATCGCTGACCCCAAGATCGAGGGCAAGGGCAAGGCGAGAGCCGCGGACAACATCAACGAGAATTATATTGAAGATGATGAAATGTGCGCTGACGAGGAGACCACGCTTCGCCTTACTATGGCGCATTCTCTCGGCGACGAGGCAGACTCCAGCCTGATGGAGGCCCATGATGAAGAGGATGGAATGAATACCGCGGAGGAGATTATGGTTTGTGTTGCAGTGGCAAATTCTTTCGATAATGCTGCCCCGCCCGCAGTCGACGTTGCAGATCCCAGCAATCGTTCGGTGGAAGCCATCGAGGTGGCAGACGATGGCAAAGTTTTAGATGGCATGGATGTGGATGAGTCCGACGTACCCGGTGCGTCCATCCGTCCGTCCATGTAATCACTCATTAATCACTCATTAACTCTCTTTGACTCCAGAGTGGTTACGGTTCATGATTGCCCACTATGGACTTCACCCTGCGACGACCGCCATCATCACGCCCCCTAAAAAACGCCAATCCAGAGCCTTCGGGATGCAATGTGGGCGATAGGATTCATCCTATCCCCCGAACCACTGGCCGACGCGAATGAGGAAACTCAAATCGGCAATGTATCTGCGCGACAACGCAGCCTGGCCATCGACTTTATCGCCGCGCTCTATACCGCTGTGCCTCACCCTGAGCGCTTCGTACCACCTCCTCCTGACATGTGGGCCTTACATAGAGAGTCTGGTGTGCGGCTATCGCAACACTTTTGTGTCGTGCATGCGGTGCAATCCAACGTTACCTGGTACCTGATCAGCCGTCATGGGTCTCTCGACAACTATGTAGCCGTTGCAAACCCTCTCGTCGTCTTTCATCTTCTGCGTCGTCCTGATCTATCTACGGAGCTCCATCTTACGAATTTCCTCCTCGAACATGGCATCACTTTCCACGGGCTTATGACTCGTATCCAAGACCCTCCGTCCTTCCCTCTCCCAATCACAGCACCCGCGCCTCAGCTTATGCCACCACGCCCTCCAACCTCCGTGGCTTGCATGCAGTATGAGGAGAGCTTGCGACGGTTTCTCTTGATTCATCCTTGAGTCGTTTGTGCCGCTTACTCATCCGGTGGTTTGCTCTGGAGGATTGTACGGGAAGTTCATCCTCAGCCACCACATCCCACGCCTACGATGTACATGCATTGGTTGCCTCAGAACAGTTTCTCTCTCTTCAATGGGCATCAAGAGCTGGTCAACAACAAAATCGTGGATGCTGATCTCGAGTTCATACTGGGCGTGTATCAAGGACGAGTCTCATGGTGGCCCCCTATCTACATCTGGGAGGGACTCGACTTCGGATACTGGAGCCAGCGGGCAGAAAGCTGGTTCAAGCAGCGTCGAGACACATACCTAAACACGAGTATCGTTCGTCCGCCGCTTGACATATGCTTGTGGCAGGATCAAATTGGACATGCCGATCGTTGTTCCCCCGTACTCCTCCAGCTGCTCGAAGAGCATGCTGTCGGTATACTGCCATGATCTCGTTCTCGCCTCCACACTTGTCATCGGTTTGGCTGGTGGTGACCTGCGGACATCCTTGGTAAGTAACATTGCTTCCTGTACACGACGTCAAGTTGCTAAAATTTTTGTTTACAGTAGTATATATCATAGTTTCGTGAATTCTGCTGTATACTAGTACGGAGTTCGAGCTTCAACCGCACTGTGACCGACAGCGGACATGGGTCCTGCACGGTACGGAGACCCCCATGATCGTTCCTTCATCGGTCCAACTCCGTGCGGTCCGTGCACCGTGAACAAGAATTGAGTGCGGGCTGCCTTTGGACTTCAAGTACCGGGCCGATTGGTACCTTAACCGTCATTTTAAGTACAGATTTGCATCCAGTTCAGGCTTAAACTTTACGCGCTAACCGTGCCAAAATAGGTTTTGATTCTTTAAGTATAAATCTGCATCCCAATTAGGCTTGAATTTAAAATGTTACGCTGTGTTTGCTCTTCGAATAACGATTGTCATTTCGCGACCATTTATACCATAAGCGCAGAATACAATGCAAACTAAGTTTGGATCAAAATCTTGATGATAACAAGAGATTCCCGTGCAGAAACAAATCCCAACTTAGTTGGTGATGCGATACTCTGGGCGTGTACTTTGGCGGGCGTTGCCCGTACCCAATTTGGCAGAGCATTCGGGGGTCCTCGTCAGCGTCGCGTGAGCGCAAACCCTGCGGCACTGCGGATGCGGAGCGGCGAGGATGTTATCGGCCTTCTACCCTGCTGCTTTAGCTCGCTCTGTAATATCTCTTCGTCATCACCTTATGTTCTCCATGCCTCGCGCTCCCAGGCGGCTCTGGCTGACTCGTCGACCTGTTGTCCTCCCGCGATGCGCGCTGCTCGGTTCTGCGTAGCTGCCGCTTTCCTCCTGGCCGCCGTCGGGGCTACCTGCTCTTCCAAGGAACTCTTCCTTCGGGACGATCGAGATGCCGATGCCGTCTCCCTGTTAAGTGAAGAGGACGCGCTACGTGGCTTGCAAGTTCCCGACGACTTCACGACATTGCAGGAGACGACGCCGGGGCTCAAATGCAAGTTTCGCCTCAGCGGACAAGAATTTGATTGTATGTCTTTCCGCTGATGGTGGACCATGCTTGCATTAAGCTTGCTTTGCCAGTATGTCCGCTCTTTGACGCCCGAAAGGGCCAACCTCCCATCCAAATAGAGTGGGACGACGAAACACCGCCAACGATCACGACAACGCGCTTCACACTGCAAGTGACGCATCGTCTATGGCGTAACAAAACGCTCTCCGAGAAGGAACAATGCCCTCCAGGAACGTGGGTGTGCAAGACAGGCACGTTGGTCTTTCCCATTGCGTTGTTCATGCGCTAATCCTGCTACCGGCGCGCTGTCAGTCTTGAACAGATTGCCAGGCAAGCGCCGCACCCGGCGCATCACCCAAATGGTGCCTCTAGCAGGAACGCTCGCCCGACATCCAGACCACAACCATACGGATGACAAAGAGAGCGACCGGTACTTCACCCGGCTCAACATGACCGTGCGCACCCGCACCCCCGAGGACGGGCCGCACGACGCATTTATTCTCTCCCTGCACGGAGGGGAGTGGGCGAAGCGAAATCAAACCGCGAGCTTCGCGTTTGTATGCGATCACAACGCGGAGGAGCCCACCTCTCCTAACTGGGTATGGCAGTGGGGCTCATGGCATGTATTCCGTTGGAAGACCCGACATGCGTGCTCGAAGAACTTGACTCCTGATAAGGGTTCTGGAGGAGACGCGGGCGGTGACGAGCGGAACCCGAGCCTTCCACCCAAGGAGGACACGGGAGCAGGAGAGCAGCCTATCTACGACCCAGAGCCGGACTCGGAGCTCGTAAGTGGCGGACGGTTGACTTGGGGCATCAGTGGCGTCATCTTATCTGGGTATGTCGCCCTTATCTTTTACTCGCCGAGACACGATCTTAACGCTGCTCTTTCGCAGTCTAGTGATTATGCTCACGCTATATCTTCTCACCCATCCCCGCTTCGCCTCTAAACGACGCACATTGCTCGCATACATGCCCGCTTTCGGCGCCTTCCTCGTCTCTCGTGCACCCATCCTTGCCGCGCTCTTTTCGCGTATCCTCCCGGCGCTCAGCAAAATCCCCATCCCGAGTTTCCTTCACAGCGTGTTCCCCTTCAGCCGCATGCGCGGAGGCGGGGCATGGTCCGACGAGGACACTGCGCGTTTCCTAGCGTTCGATGCCGACGCTGAAGGTGCCGAGGACGAGATGGTTGACGGACCCGGGTACGGTGGATATCCACCCAGGCCCGCGCGAAGCAACGAGGAGATCCCGCTCACCCCGAGCCCGCGCAAAGCAAGCTTTGGTCCTATCAGCGGCTACGGCACTGTCGGCTCTAGCGGCAAGTGATTCGATGTCGCGCGAGGCAACGCGCGCGCATGTGCAGTCGCTAGTGCTGAGGATTATCATGAGTGTAGATTCGTCTTGCTATGTTCTGTACCACTATATGTTGTAAATCAAACGTCTTCTGTGTTCTTCTATCGATTGCGCGCTACTCTTCCACTCAGCTACGCAGAGCCAGCGTGGATCACGATGCTTGGGAATATGTGAGGGGATCGGTCAATTGCATACTAGTATATGAATTGCTCGGGTAGTTCGAAGAGCACATGAGGAGTACGATGTCATGCCGCTCTCCCATTGTGAGTTGTCTACTACTTAGCTCGTTGAGGTGGCACATTGACACTGGTACTTATCATGTGGAACTCATTCGACTTCAATGGCCCCTTCTCTAACAAGTCGTTCGGCTTGCTTCGAACGAGGGACTATAATGCATTGGAAAGGCTCTGGGTAGCTGCGAGCACGGCGTTCGGGTCAGCGAAGGTCAACGCGTGATACAGCAGGCCTCACGAGAGTACACCGGTCGTCATTTTGGCCTCTAGTTGTATCGGACGGCCATGTTCGTCCATCGGCGCTCTGATATCGTAAGCTGCAAGGACCGATGCAACGGTGATGAACAGCGACTGTGCACTGAACCAGCGCCCTGGACAGATCCTCTACGATCGTACTATTGATATGCTAGTATGTATGACGAATTGCGAATATTACGCACCCGTCCGAAACCAAAGGCGGCTACAGTTGGGTCTCGCACTTCCGGATTGATACGCCCTGCCTTCAAGAAACGCTCTGGCTTGAACGAGTGCGGCTCCGGATATACTTCGGGATCGTGCATGATTGCCCTGAACAGTTGGTGAGTCCTGGTATAAGGATGCTGCTCGCGGCTCACCATGCGTTGCCGAAGAACACGCTCCCTTTGGGAAGGAAATAGCCGTTGTACTCGTCGTCCTGAACCGAACTGTGAACCACGGCTGCGCAAAGGACAATATCAGCATAGAGCGGAAGGCATCAACTCTAGAACGCGAACCGAGAGGGGTCACTGTCTGCCAACGCATCACCTCTTTGCAGATAGCCGTGATGTACGGAAGGTGCTCCTCGTCCTCGAAGGCTAAGAAGGGTCAGGTCAGTTTGACATCTCCTGGACCAGATATAAACATCAATTACTCGGTAGCCGTTGGGTGCCTACAGCGGAGTCCAGCTCTTCCCGAGCCCGCTTTACAACGCCGGGGTGCATGGCCATAGCAAGGAAAAACGTGTTTAGGGCGGATATCGTCTGCGCAAGATTGTTGGCAAGTAGACCACAAGGCCTCCTGGTAAGTGCTCACCGTGTCTGCACCACCTATTTGATGGAGTTCCTATCGAGTCGACAGGAACCAATGATGTCACTGCTCAACTCACCACCGTATGCTATCGCAGCGACATTTGCGACAATCCTTTCTCGTTGAGCCCTTTCTTCCTGAGGGACATCGGCGAGTTCTTCCAACAGTGAAAGAGCCATCGAGGGACGAGCAGTTCCTCGGCGCTGATAAGGTAAGTTAGCCTGATACCCGGGCCCGGAAGGGACCTCACCATTTCCTCCTTAACGTGATTCAGTGGATTGGTGACAAACTCGTACGCTATCTGCCGCCAACGCGCCGCTTGACGCTTGAACTGGGCCCCGGGAAACCAATTCGGGATGTACTTTACTATCAGGCGGTTCAGCGTATCTTCATGCGGAGACTTGACGAGAAACATACGCCAGGGAAAAGTGTTGACTAGATATGCCGTTGGATTACCGGCGAGAGAGAGGCTAGAACAGTGCTCAGTTCTACGAGTGCGAGGACGTGGAAGAATACCTACGTTTGCAAAGCCTCCTCAGCCTTGTTGATATATTCATCGTTCTCCTCTGCAGTTTCGATAGCGTAGACAACGTTCATAATGGTCGCACCTAACGTGCTAGCATTGAATCTGTCAGATGCCAAGTGTTGGTGCAGCAGAGCCGACGATGCCGCTCACTGTCGAACCAGATCGTAAAATCGATCTGGAGTTGCCAGCAGTCGCTGCAAGAACGCGCGCGCTTCCTTGAGTTGCTTCGGGCGATATTGGGCCACCTGGGTGATGTTCATGTATTTGTGAAATGCTCGCCTTTCATCCCGCCATTGTGAACCGTATTCCCTGAAAGCGAAGCTCCAGTTGCCACCCGAGCTTTGCGAAGCCGTCATGGACATCAGGAGGATGATGTTGCGCAGCAGGTTTTCGGACTCACAGTTCGTTCAGCATTGGGAGTCTCGGACGATCGGAGAAGTTTGAGGACCTGCGATCAAACAAGTCCGTGCACGCCTTCAGAGAGCCCAAGATGATGTAGCGTTGACCCAAGGCTTCGACAGACATGATATCCCCTATATATACAGTCAGCTGGACGAAAACACAACCACGCAATGATGCTTGCCGTAAGTACGGCTCCATTCGTTGAACTTGACCCATTGCCGCTCTGTGGGAATCTGAAATGCATGCCGGATCCAGGGAATATATGCTGGAGGTCCTGGAGGCAGCGGACGACGTGAATTTGCAGAAAGGCGACGCTGCAGAAAGAAAAGCGAGCATAGCACGGCGAACACGCCACAGAGGAGATAGGGATCCATCATCCTACAAAGGGCGCATTCGGGTTGTCCACCAGTCCCATTATATGCCGTGTCCGGAGGGGATGTATCTCACGAGAATCAGGGTCATAGACGTTGAGGTTGCCGCTGGACCTACTGCCGAATGCCCTTAACTCCCAGACTTGCCGGCGGAGAACTGCACATTGAAGCTAGAAGCAATGGAACTGCTTCTGTTTGTGCGCGAGTACGTCCTGATACGTCCTATCCATGGCCGTTGGAGTGCATCCCGGGGGGCGAAAGCAGTATCCCCGTCAGTGATCAGGCTATTGGAGTCCCCGAGTTGCTTCGAGCACGGTTCGCGGAGAACCATCGATAAAGCTTTCAATTGTGTTTGGTCCCGGTCTCGAACTTCAGCACAAGAGCGACGAGGGACCAGAATGGCAGCAGTGAAGTTGTCAGGGCAGTCTTGCGAAGGTAGATGAAGGGCACCAATCATATCTAACAGAAGCAGGTGCCATGTTACTTCAAGCCCGGAACCGAGAAGACTAACGCCGTATGGTGGCTTGGTATGTTGACGAGAGGCATGTACAGGAGGCAAGTGCTGCACGGCGTGCAGTAACGGCGATAACATAAGATTGCGTGCCACGCGGATGGTTTACTGAGTACCGGGCGAGGCGGAATCTCGCCATGCATATGCCCAGAGGGACAGAGTGACGACGAACCTCCAAAGCATGCAGGATCAGCTTTGTAGCCACCAAGAATGAATCGCGCTATGCTCAATGCCAGCACATCCCCCGATGGTAATATTTAGCGCAGTTCAAAAGGTAATCCAAAGTAGATGTAGGTGGCAATACAATACGAGAGGAAGAGGGCGAACACAGCAACACTAATGCTTGGCCCCACATTGGTTCAAACCTGCGCCGCAGAATTGTGCCACGAATATCCATAAGAGGATCTGCATTGACAATAATCAATGCGGAGTCGTGCAGGCGATGCATGGCCGACAACCTACGAGGGCAACGATCACGCTTAAAGCCAAAATCTTGGAGTTCTTCCACCACATCTGTCTCCGCACGGTGCGCGCGCCTCGTCTGAATGCCGTTGCCTATGGATCGAGGTAAATGAGCTGTGCGGCGGGAAGTAACCCGAAGGAATTGACCTACCTGAGAGGCCATGTTGTCCGTCTTGTCGACGAGAAGCTCGATGCGCTCGCCACGAGACAGGATCTGTTCGACATTCTGCACCATGATGTCCTTGACCTGCGCGAGCTCGGCCTGTGCACGGCCCAATTCGTCGGTGGGCGGACTGGTGTTGTACTCTTGCATCAGAGAAGCAATCGTTGGGCCAAAGGATCCTGTTCATATAATGGCGTTACAAGAGTATCGTTGCGGTTAGTGCAACAGCCGACCTTGTAAGCTGTAGGCCGGATCATCACCGCGGGAGGAGGATGGGAGCGCAGCGGCGTTGAACCTTTGCTGCAGGTCTCCAAGGAAGGTGAAGGGCATTCGGCTGGTAACATCCAGTTAGCATCAAGAAACCGATAAGGTATCCTGCACGTATTGCGCTCGGGCGCGACGACGAGGCCGTGTGGAGTCTTTCAATCCTCCGACCGTAGACAGACTGGAGGAAGGGTTTGAGTTCTGAGTGAAGACGTACCGTCCTGCTGCATCATCTGCCATGCAGAGAAAGACGTGCGTCCCGTCGGATATGTAATGGAACAAGAATTGCTCCCAAACGTAGGTGAGCTTGGAAGCATTAGGTGGGATGCGAGTAAGGATGGTTTGAACAGCTGGAAACAAAACGGTTAGCGTCTTGTGAGTTCATCAGAGGACCAGAGACGAAGCACCTTGGGAGAAATCCCGTTGTCCGCCTTGGTGCTCGGCCAGTACAGTGGTGCCTCGAGCGACGAGCGCGTGAATCTATAAGAAAGTAGATATGTCCTTATAATTTCCGACTGGGAAGTATTCGCCATTGCGTTCCGTGAATGTGACGTACGAGAGACATCGTGTAGCGATGGGCAGGGGGCGGGGCGATTAACTATGGGGTGTGCCTTAGATTGTTCCGATTGATGCTCTGAGGGAAAAAAGCAGCTTGATGATAGCACTAGTGTTGTGGTCGAAGACCGCCCGTACAGTGCGTCGCACTATAGCTAGTAGCGAGGTGAAGTCACAGGAGGAGTTGACTGGCCTGCGCATTCGGGCATCATGTCGTCACTCACTCGCGGTCACAGAATCTCGTGACTGAAAGGTCCGTGTGATCGGGCAAGGCGTGACGCCAGCATTGCACTTCTCGGACACGTCGCTGCTCCCCTGTCCTTAACTTCGTCCCTTCGTTCCTGCTGAGCTTGCGCTCGTATACCACCTGGCAGCCTGATTCGTACTCTCTCTGTATCTGTTACCCTAATTTCCGTCCTCTCAGCGTAAAAATGGTGCGCACTCAACCGGAATGACCTTACGCTTTCAGGCACTCACGGATCCCCGTTATGCTCTCTTCGTTCGTGTTATTCGGCGTTGCTGTCATAGAGCGATACCGACAGCCCTTCTTCTCGGCCGACTACTCCCAGTGCACGCAACACTGGCGTTGCGAAGCCCCCCGGTGCCGCCATCCGGTGTGTCCTCGCGGAAAAGTCTACGTGCACCAACCACCCACTAATGAAATCTCGCACTTGCAGGCGACGTGCGACAGCCACCGTCCAGAAACCCAACTCGACGCGTGCCGCGGGTGCCGGAGGCTCTTCGAATACTATGCTGAAACTCTACACCGACGACTCACCAGGCTTGCGAGTGTTAGTACCAAATCTTCCGCCTACGCTCTCGCTTGCTAATGTTCTGTCCATTGCCACAGGGACCCATTCATTGTGCTTGTCCTCTCGCTATCCTTCATCGCCTCCATCTTCTTCCTCCACATAGCTGCGAAGGTTATCCGAAGCTTCACCAAATAAAACGACCCTGAAGGGACCAAGTGTTCTTTCGCCGGTAACTGTCCTTGGACCGGCCAGTGTTTGCGTTACTTGATGATGGGGTCGGGCGGCCGGGGTGGGGGAGGACAATCTAGGACTACCGCGCGCATATATAACCACTTGCATTCAACGAGTCCGCAATGTGCATCTGGTTACTTCGATGTTCCGAGCCAAGCGGCCTTGTGAGTCCATCGCCGTGTCTTCACGGTTCAAGATCGTCTTCGGTGGTTCTCGTGTCGTCAAGCTTGTTTCTCCACCTCGGCTTCCACCGCTCGACCACCGAAGACGACTGTTTTCGACACAGGGATGCGGCCACTGGAGTGCTTGTTCCGGCGCTGCGGAAACGTCGGTACCCTGTGAAAACCTCGGTCGAGCGCTGCTATGATGGCCACACCACTGCGAGAGCACTCTCAGGCTTGCCATCGGCGGCGTTCCTTTCTTGAAGGAAGCGCGGCTATCGTGGAGGATGAGACGCTTTTACGTCATGGGGTTGTACTTGAAGGCTTGAAGACACGCCGTGTTCAACAGGGGCATTGGGGGCTTCAAAGAACCGCCAGCTTCTGATAGCTATCCGGGGACCCGTGATACCATTTCACATCTCCGTGGTTGTTTATCTTCCGGTTACCCACAGGCCTCAAAACGCATATATAACAGTGGTAACCGAGAAGATCAGGAAGACGTACAATGCCGTCTTTTGAGCTTACTGCTTTGCCTGCTTCAGCTGTGATCCCCCTCACAGGGACATGTCTCTACCTCGGTTGGCAGTACCTGCGCCGTCGGCTCGCCAATCCACATGGACTCCCCCTTCCTCCGGGCCCTTCGCGGCGCATTCCATGGGTCGGCAACGCCTCCGACATGCCGACGGGACACCCCTGGTTGAAATACGACGAATGGACCAAGGAGTACGGTGAGTGGATCGTCCAGTATCCCTGCGATGAGGCTCTCATAACCTGTTTCAGGTGATGTTGTCTATCTAGAGTCGTTCGGCCAAGGGATAGTCATTCTTGGATCCCTGGAGGCATGCGTCGATATATTCGATCGTCGTTCCTCGAATTTCTCCGATCGGCCTCGGATGGTGATGTTACACGAACTGCACGTATCTTTGCCAGATATCTCATCCTTCGCCAATGGCTGATATGGACACCGTTGGTATTGCAGGATGGGCTGGGGCTGGATCTTGTCCACTATGAACTACGGTGAACGCTGGCGGAAGAGAAGGCGGGCGTTCCACCAGTTCTTCAACGTCAACCAAGTGCATCAGTATCGCCCCATCCAGCTACGAGAAGCGCGCGCGTTGCTTCCCCGATTGTTGGAGTCGCCGGAGCGATTTGCCCACCATCTCCGACAGTAAGCTGCCGTATTCCTGGATACAATTCTTCTGCTATACGGACTACCGCATGATGCCCAGCACCCTGTCTGCGGTGATCATGGATGTTACCTACGGCATCAAGATTGCCGACACGAACGACAAATATATCACAAAGGCCGAAGAAGCCATTAGTCGGTGCGTGATCAATGGATCCTCTTGTGTGCTCTCAATGACGCGGAGATAATATTGCAGATTCGCCCATGCCGGCAATCCAACGACCTATCTCGTCAACACCTTTCCCTGGCGTATGCTTCACGCACTAAGGTAAATGTGTATCCGCTGATATACCTTTCCCAGTTAAGCACGTCCCTGCCTGGTTCCCTGGTGCGCAGTTCAAGCGAGATGCGATCAAATGGAGACCCCTCTCTCATGAGATGGTAACGTGGCCGTTTGAGGACACCAAGGATCTCATGGTAAGCATCAGCCATTATCCACGTGCTTTTGTTCACACATTTCATAGCGACAAGGCACAGCAAAGCCTTGCATCCTGACGGCGTTGCTGGATAGAATCACCGACGAAGAAGACCGCGCAGAGGCTGAGCTCATCGTGCGCGATGTCACTGGTGTAGCTTATGCCGGTGTGTTTCCTTCGATACATGATGGTATACATCGCAATTCATGTGGTCTTATGATAACAGGCGGAGCGGACACGGTCAGTTGTGCTATCCTCAAAATGCACGGGGGCGCTGATAGATAGGGTTGGCAAGACTATATCTGCGACGCAAACGTTCTTCCTCGCAATGGTAATGTACCCTGAAGTCCAGAAGAAAGCGCAAGAGGAACTTGACGCAATCACACGTGGGACGAGGCTTCCAGGCGAGTAATCATGACCGTGCTCCGGCTATACATGACAATGAGTCTGACCATCTGATACTAGACTTCGATGACCTCGGTTCCTTGCCGTATGTGTCTGCCCTTTGTAAGGAGGTTATGCGATGGCAGCCAGTTGTTCCGCTCGGTTAGTCTGTTCTCGCCTGTCAGTAACAGTCCTCATCCTGATCTAGCTGTGGTGCATACTTCGGTTGAGGATGATGAGTATCGAGGATATCACCTTCCGAAGGGTACACTTTTCTTTGGCAACGCCTGGTACGGTCTCATTCGGTTATTATCATAGTTAGGGGTGTTTATACCGGTTTTGATCATAGGTCTATACTCCATGATCCCAAGGAGTATCCGGATCCGGAGGTTTTCAAGCCCGAACGTTTCCTGAAAGACGATGGCACTTTGAATCCTGCCGTAAGGGACCCAGGAGTCGCCGCGTTCGGGTTCGGTAGAGTGTGTTCGCTACTTCCTCACACGGCAGGCTGCAACTGAAATTACATTCATAAGCGCATATGTCCCGGCCGTTGGATGAGTGACCAAACCCTTTTCAGCGTTGTCGCTACCGTGCTTGCGGTATACAGCATAGCGCCGCCTCTTGACATGGATGGCAAGGCAATTAAGCTATTTCCGGACATGACGCCGGGAATGTTATCGTGAGGTTGCCTGCATTCGTCTCGAGTCGGGAGCTGATCACCTTTTTTGCCCATAGTTACCCGCGGCCTTTCGAGTGTATCATCTCCCCAAGGTCTACTCAGTCGCTGAAGCTGATCCAAGAAGTGGAAGGAGAAACCTATTGAGACTTCAACGTTCGTTAAATTGCTGGGCTCAGAGCAACAGCACGATGAACCTTACAGTTTGTATCGATGTCTTTGTGATTTCATTGTCCACGAACCGTTCAATATTGGATACAATAATGTTACATGACGCTTCTAAGGAATCTAAGTGATATGCATTAAGCAGACATCCCTCACGGCCACTCTTCGTTGCGGCTCAGTGCTGCTATGGAGCTGTCAAGCACATTCGGGCTGACCGGTGATAATGTTGCTTGAGAACCTCCGGTGTGCGGATGGCGCCATATCGGCATAGGGCTGACGCGAGGTGGCATAGGAAGCTGGGAGTGGGTGTTAGTCGATAAGCACAAACGGACAGCTCCGTATGCCGAGGGTCGCAAGTACGCACCACAGGAGCTTGATCCAGTAGAGGTGATTGGTTGACAGTTGACCGCCCTATGTCCAGGATGATTGAAGGCATAGGAGCTACCACGGAACGTCTCGTGCCGATCCGAGGCAAGTGAAGAACGTCCAGATCGCCCCGACGCACATCTCCACTTCGCAGGTTCAGGTTCGAGAGCAAAGAATTGAATAATACGTGGCTCAGAAGGAGGTAAAATGCCAGAGGGAAAAACGTGAATCGCGAAGACGTAAACTAGTAACCATGGTATCAGTGGGCAGGAAGATACGCAGGACGAATCACTCACCGTCACGATTACCAGCAGTCCACATCCGCTGTGAAGCCCGGTCAACACTGTCTGATAACAAAGTACAGTAGCTGACCTGGTAACGAGGCCCGTGGCAAGAGCATACAATCCCAAAAGAAGCATGGTACGCCGATGTCTGTGATGCATTACATCAACCTCTGCCGTACGACGATGCAAGATCACTAACTGATTTGTCCCCATACGACCTTTCCAGAATAGAAAGCACAACGACGAGGTCATGACTACATCAGCCAGCGCTCCCGAGCCAAGGCCTACATAGATTACCCACTAGACTCCGTCAGCGAGCTTCGGAATAAAAAGCCGAGTTTACTGACTCGAAGGCGGTGGAGTAAATCATGAAATGTTGGCGCAAACAGCCTATTACCATCCGCTGTATGAACTATACGCCTTCAAAGATGATGAAGTCGAAGCGTACCCAGCAACCCCAAATCCTGCGATGATATCAATGCACTGTTTTCTCATCCACGAGAATACTAAGGATATACGACACACCGATTCCAGATGCTGCAGAGCCACCGCATTGAAGAATCTGTGTGTATGTCATGATGCACAGGCCACGTACCGAATGCAGCGACGGAGGGCAACCCCTGCATCTCATGTCATGTTACTAGAAGTAAATAAAGACGGTGAACACACCATCGATACCATTTGCCCCGCGACCATCATATTGCTGTCCCTGAGCCGAAACGATACTGACTTGATGTGGTCAGCACGCGCGGTATAGAGCCACAGTGTCAGAGGTCGACGTACGTCGCATTGCACGTCTTGCAAACACCCTGAGGCATGAAAATGTCAGTTCTAGCTCAAAGTCTTCCGGACTATAGCTTACCCGCGCACGATCACATTGATACAAGACTGGGTTGGTATCTGATAAGTTACGTTCCTTCGACCTCGCATCCTAGCAGCATTCTTACTGTTGTTATAACAAGCACCTATACAGACGATGAACTCGCTTGAGATAGACCAGAGAGATGACCTAGGTAGGACAATTACCAATAGGCTCCTATGCAGCAACACCTCATGGATGATGATTTTGCTGGGAAGAAAGGGTAGTACGCACCACACTGGTCTCGATAGTGCGATCGGATTCGAGAAATTCCGCACAAGGTAATGATATAGAACATGAATGGTCAATCCAAGACTTGCGATATCGAGAGTCCATAAGCAAGCTATCTGCATCATCATTGTACATGGTTTGCCTCAGATGCGACACATTCGCACTCACCAAGCCCTTGACAAAGTTGTCCTCCCGTCTCCTGTGCCGATGGTAGAAGACCAAGCATTGAATAGCCGCTATGCCACTCAGAAACGAGGCCACGCATCCGCACACCAGAGTTACGCCTAGTGTTTCTGCGATAATAGTGCCAAGGATATTCATCACGTATGGATGACGAAGGATGGGGAAAGTCTCGAGTTCGCTCGGCTTATGCTGGCTATATACTCTACAATCCACTTGCGGTGACAAGAATACGACCACAGCCACTAGATACAGTGGAGCGCCATAGTCCGTAGCATAATGAAGCCCCGAGTGGAGAGCCACCCGGAGGCTCGTAACATCGTGGAACGCTGCTGTGGAACCGAAACGCCCGAGTTATCTCAGAGTGCCGCTTCCCATTGGGGCAATGCAGTCCAAGGCAGTTATACGCCCGGATGGAACCGCATCCGAACTGGCTGAACACTTGCTGTTTCTATGCGGAAACCACATCTGACGCCGAAGGAAACACCACAAGCTATGCTTGGGGAATCGCAGCATGTCGGAAGACTTGTCGACAAGGTCGGGGATGTCGCTCATCCTTCGGTGTTACTGAGAGCAAGCCCAACGAAATGTTTGCTCCAGAGCAAGCGAGATCAGTATCAGTTGACCCCGACGCGCAGTAGAGGTACGAGATCAAGGAGAGACGCAGCCACATGGTTTCAACCACTGCTCACCGCCACGTAACCATGGCGGTACCTGGCAAGAATAGATAGAAGACTCCCTTGTCCCAAACGGACTGGATAGCCATGTCAATATAGGTATAACTCAGCATCCATCTGACAAGGCCAGTCTTGTTGTATTTTGCTTGAGTTTCTCTCAGGTAAGGCAAGGTATATGTAGAAAGTAAGCCACGACCACCACCACAGCGGCGAATCGGAGCAACACAGATGGTTTGGAACATGTCTCAGTACGTTACACCAGTATGTTCCTCCGAGAGCAAGCATTGCGCCATGAAATATGCTTGCAGAAGGCGAATCAGGCCTTGCCATCCCACTGCATAAATGTGGTTAGATGAGGTCCCACCTTGTTGCTGCGCCGTCAGTCCGGCCGACTCACCTTGGTATCACTGGTATCTTTTGTATAGGTGTCGACCCTCTTGAGAGTGCTCGTTTCTACACTGATAGCCAGAGGTGGAGCCTGGGTAGTACACATCATTCATTCTGAAACGGACTGCCATACGGAGGGCTCACCAATTCCATATCATCTGCAGTGCCGATCTCAGACTTGTGCGTTCCGATGAGAGATCTATGGGATCTGCGGAAGGACATAACGTTGTTTGAAGACATTTGTACTCTCATAGACTCTCGAGCATTCTTTCAAGCCAGAATTTCCCTGTCAATATAAAACACTGTGTTTGAGCAGTTTATTCTTACGCACCAATGATGCGAGAAGACTATTCAGAAAAACTGAATGTACAGTTTGTTATGGTAAAATTTGGCTGTTCAGAGATGTCTTACCTTTGCTGAGCATGAACTACGCGGCCGTATTTGAACCACTTTTAGAAGGGATCATGGATCGGGAGTACCCACGTAGAACGCGATAAACACGAAGGTCTCTGGCATTGCTGCATACTACGAGAAATCACTCTTCTGTGGTGTATTGTGGTTTATCAAAGTTGGCTTACCGTGATAAGACATAGAAGTGCGATGAGACTAATCAACGGGATTCATTCTTCTGTGTTTGAGAATTGCCGAGCAGAGCTTACGTCGTGACCAGGCCATTGTTTATGCCTAAGTTATGTCAAAGCATCACGGAACTTGATACAGGCGGGCTTGCAGAAAGTGCTCACCATAAAGCATCAGCTTGTGCACCAAACCATCGGTTCTGGAACAAATTAAGGGAGGAAATACCGAACCATCCTCCAGGCGCACCTTGCAAACCCCGTCCGGCTTCGGTTGAGATAGAAACAGAGTGAGGCCGCCAAAATAATGTCAGCCAAAGCGGCGGATGCCAACGCCAAATACAGTATCCACTGTCTCGGCGGACTGGTCAGCCAAGAGATGACAGGTGGGAGAGCGCTTACGCTGATCTCAGAAAAAGTTGCGAAACTATCAAGCTGAATCCTGGAAGTATGTCAACACAAGTTCTCGCAATTGACGGTCCTACTGACTCTCGAATTGCGAAACCTACAGTCAACAGTCAGATGTGCGCGAAGCTTGCATATTTTCACTTACCGAGACCGCCTCCAGCTGCCGCGAGAGTTGTTGCTATCTGCGCTAGCATAAGATCAGACAACAGTGAGTGAGAAATGGAGACGCACATTCATGATGTCCAATAGAATGTTTCCCCCGCTGACTACAATGACATGTTAGTGTGTCAAGAGCAGAATCTAGATACAGTACTTACGTCTATGAACCCGTCTGCCATAGATACATCGTATGGTGAAGTCAGATACCACCGTTACGACCACTTGCGCCTAGAACACAATGATCTGTGACTGAATATTGTACGATATGTTGACAGTAACTGACCAACAAGCTCCTACACATAGTCAGAGAGTATATTTTTCTGCATGTCACCTGGACGTACCATGTGGGTCGAAGAAGTGCCAAAGGATTCGCGAAATTAGTCACACAGTAGATATACATGCTGTGCGTGACTAAGGCGAGATGAACGGAATCACAGAACCTATCAATACGCGATGACATCGTTGACCTCCGTTGCATCTAAGGCTTGCGGCCGGAGGCTCTCACCATAGGAATCCAACCTAGATGTAAGCGATTAATGCGGTCATCCGTTGGCAAAGACGAAGTAAAGCATGCTTACCAAGCTTCTCATGAGTGCGCTGTCATCGTTGTTCTTCGTGTAATAAATGTAAACCTGGTACCATAGCTTAGTGGGTGGCGTTTAGTACGCAGTCACGGTAGTGTACTTGGACGCAAGTGACTCCATATAGCCTGCGGCAAGATTCTTAGAGATGAGCGTCCAGATGCAAGTGAGGCTTACACTGCGGCGATGATGTCTCCAAGGAACGACGCGCCTAACGTATTGTCTAGAGTAGCTTGCACTACCATGGCCGTCCTGGTCACCGGGGAACTGACAGCGAGTAGAGGGAAGAGGGAAGGAGAAGAGAGGGCCGAGATGGGGATCAGAAGTGCCAGGAGCGCACGATCCTCGTATGCGCTAGTGTTTCGTATCAAAGGGTCGAGTTCGCGATCTTTGTGCCAAGTGAAATGAAGACTTGCGGTGTCTAAAGACCAGGATCCAAGTGTGAGTGCGGTCCCTTGCCGATTCTCGGCTCAACCCCGGGGAGCGAGTCATTGCGCTTGATCATGCGATGGACATGCATCGTGAGCAGGACATTCCCGTAGCGGTCTTCGAGACAGGTAGAACGTGAGAGAAGTCAGACATGACAATCACCGCGTGAATAGACATCTTCCGCGTGGATAGATCCGTAAAACTCAGAGCGGGTCCGATGTATACATAGTGCATATTTCGGGCAGGACAGTGAGATTGAAATGTCTGATTAATGGCTGATGTTGACAGACAGATTGCACGCCTTAGTTTCCCTACAGAACAGTCCCAGGAAGCAGCATCAATGATACGGCAGGAACGCCGGTGGGTTGCGGGATTCGGGAATTGCAGCGCCAATGAGAAACGATGGGATCGCAGCAACGGAGTTCACATGTACAGAGAGGTATGTCCCGACTCCCGAAGAGTCCGAAAAGGCGTAGGCGACGACGCACTAGCGGAGCCGAAGAAAAGTAAGGATCTGGGAGTCTGAGGGTAATCGCGGTGATCAGTATATAGGAACCGTACGCATTCATAATACTGGCGCGGGCAGCGGGGTAAGTATGCAAACGCAGCAAACGCTACGTGATCTCGGTTGACGACGCACACGTGGCTGTGCGAGACTCTGAAGCTCGTCGTGGCCTCGTTCTGCACGCCTCCAGCTCTCGGCCAGATCAAGTTCCAGAAGACGTCCCTTGTTACCGCAATACAGCGTCGGGGCTCTATTCCGCCATTTCCAGCTGCCTCGGCGTTCAGCCTCGAGACCGCTGCTAGGCTTGTCGAGCGTTCTGATCATCCTTAGGGCCCCAGAGTTCAGGACCTCAGGCCTGTTTGATGAGCCAGAGCATGGAGCATCGTGGCCTATGCTCTGACTGCAGCAATGATGCGGGGACGAGTAGATGATGACGACGAAGTTGTATCTATGCTCTCGCGCTGGCAAGCATGGTCACATATGCTTCTGGCTGACGAGTTAGTAATGTGTTTTTATTGATAGGAACCCGATGCCTCGTAGGCTGGCACTGTACTCTCTACCGGAGGCCGCAGTGACCTCGATTGTTGTCCATCTATCAACGACTGAAAGCTGACCTTGTCTGCTCCGCGTCCTATTTTGCACCGCACGGCCGGAGATGACGAATTTGGCGGCAAGCCCATATATCAGGCAGAAGCACACCGCAATTTGCAAGCAAATGCTGCCATCTCGGACGCAGCGCCACGACCCCAGCAAGGATGGCACCGAATACGTTGGATGATGGCATATATGGAGACGGTATGGGCCGGCATCGTCCAAGAAGCCGGTCTGTGTTGCTGAACCCGCTGATATCGCGGACGGATGGTAGTCGGAGTCGAGGCTATGCTAGAACTCATAGCCGGATGGATATAGATCCATGACTGTGGTCCCATAGCTTATGTAGGGTCGATAGAACGGGTGTATCGCGTTATACTCCACGAAATGCATAGCAAGCAAAGTTAGGTCGTGTGCGCGGACTACCGTGTGGAGCGCTGAATCAGTAGACTTTCATTTCGGAGGCTGTGGGTATAGCTTACGATGACTCGCGCATGGCGACCGCAGAGTACGACTGGGATACCCTCTCTGACTCCTCCCACATCCGCCTACAGCCAGTCGGCACCCAAATTCGCGCCAAGGGCTGCGAGCGGCCTAGCGGCCACCACCAGCAGCGGAGGCGAGCTCGCCCGAATCGGGCTGCACGTCGGTCTCAGCACGGGCACGTTGCAGCCACGAGGACTTGAGACCCGCCTGTTCCGTACGCCCCGATTGTTATGAAATTTGGGTTGAGCGCGTACCCTGTGTCGGACCAAACCAGCCAGGAATGTGCATAGGAACCCGCACGACTCAGCGACTGTCAACGCTATGCCTCTCGTTCTGCACCCCGAGTCGCGCTGCGACATATGCCTGGATGCCTATACCTCCTCTACCCCCGAAAACTGGCCGCATGCCATAGTACGCAGCCCTGACGTCGTTCAACCGCATATACTCATGAACTGACCTCTTCGTCAGAGCTGCGGCCACATATTCTGCAAGTCATGTTTACGCATGGTCAACCCGGTGGCATGCCCTTTGTGTCGCAAACGCTTCGACATAGTCAAGGTCACGAAGCTGCATGTCGACCGATACTCGCCCCCTGAGCGCGCCGCCGTCGGTCTCCCGGGGGACGCGGGCCATGCCGAGACGGACACTCATCACGAAGCGCTCGCTCTGCTGCAAAGTCTAGCCCTCATCAACCTCGAAAGGACACCTCAGAGTCAGGTGGAGAGCACAATGAGGAGTGTGGATGATTTTTTGGAGAGTCAAAGCGAGGAAGAACCCGTGGTGGGCGTCTGTTTGGTTGCTTTCTTGCGCTTGGCTCATGCGCCTACGACGGTCATAGCTCAGGCCACTGCGAAGCGCTCGTCAAGCGTTAGAGAATAGCAGGCGCTACAGGGAGTCCGCAAAGAAGTACAAGCACAGATTGAGGGACATGGAGACAGCTAAGGCGGAGGTCATTCGACGCGCCGAGATGGATCGGCAGACGTCAGAGGTTGTCGAGGCGAGCTTGCAGAAGCAGCTACAAGAGGAGCGCGCCGAGTGGGAAAAGTACGTGACAGGCCCCGTTCTGTCTCTGCCATGACCCTGACCGCATTGTTTCTCTCAATCTAGGAGGGTACGTGTATACAGGGTCATGATACATCGACTTAACTCACGAATATGACAGATAACGGAACTTCAACAATCGCTCAGTCGCGCGCATACATCTGTCGACTCCAACATACCTCTTGCGTCCGCGCACTCCGAAATATCGGCCCTCAGGGCCGAGCTCGCACAAGCCAAATCTCAGCTCGAGAATCTCCAGCCTCAGTTCCACGACTCACGCTCCAAGGTTGATCTAGCTGCACTCCGAAGAGAGGTGGAAAGGCTTCGCGGTTTACGACTGGACGACGGGTTCAATCAGCTCGCTGTCGTCCAGTCGGAGTTGGCAGACGTCAAGGGGCAGAACGCGGCATTGAGGGCGGAGATAGAGAGGATGCGCAACGTGTCGCACAGCAGCAGCAGCGGGTACTCTGGCACTCCACCGATTAGTTCATTCGACGAGCATGCCTTGTTGAATCCCCCGCAGCTGACTCCGGCGCACCCTGATCGTACACCATCCATCTCCATACCCGTCCGTCGGGTCACCTCCAACCCGCTCCCACCACCTCCCCAGCCATTGCCCGACGAACTCCTGCCCGGCTTCGTGCGCAACCGGCTGTTCACATCCACGCCGGGGTCGCCCTCTATTTCCCCACCCTCGATGCCATCCAGCGCCGCAAGCGGGTCCGCGTCGAGTTTTGCGTCAAGTTTGTCACAGAGGTTCGAGGTCATGGATGGCGTGAGGCCTTCCTCACGTGCAGAGAAGGCGAAGGGGAGCGACAGGGTTGATGAGCGTCGACAAGGCAGTTCCAGTCGACCGCCCATGGATCAGAACAGTACAGTCCGCGCTAGGCGACCAACTCTCAATGGCGACCATCGGACACCTTCTGCCGATGCTGTCCAGCCACAAATCCTTCCCAATGTCAGCATGTCGTACACGAACGGTTCTTCTGCCGTCCATGCGAATGGGCACGGAGCCGGCCGGAGTCATACACACCATCGCAGCGAACCGCAGAATATTTATCAGGACCCACCACCTCAACCTACAACGGGAGCTCGGTCTGCGGTCGTGTCGAACGCTCACATCATGGCTCCTGTGCCAGACGACGACTCGTCGAGACGACTTAGGCGGGACAGCACCCCACGGGACCCGGACATGGTGCGGTATGAGTATCAATATGGGTATGGAAGTGGCCTGATGAACGGCTACGGGATGGGGTACGAGAATGGGATAGCACAAGCATACGCGGATCGAACGCCACAGGCTCGATCTCAGTCGCGGCAAGTACAGCCACAGGCAGGGCAGGGCCCAGGTGTCAGGATCCTCGGCAGCTTAGGACTTGACCCGGGGTACGGCACCGACTCCGAGAGGCAGAACTTCAGCGATGGGGAGGCCAGGAGAAGGGGCAGGGAGCGGAGGAGCTCTACCACCAGTTCGCGAGGGGGAAGGGACAACAGTGCGCCTGCCGGAAGTGAAGGCCGGTCTTTCGAGGCTCGAGCGGCCAGAGACTCCATGGCGGATTTCTCGCTCCTGAGTTTACCAGCGCCCGCGGAAACCAGTAACGGTCTTGGAGGGAATCAACGCTCTCGATTAGGGTCGTCCAATACCCATGTGATAGGACCTTCCCCCAGTGATCCAGTGTCGAGCCAAGGAGATGGGCGCAGCAACGCCTCGCAATGGGGAAGCGCTCAATCCGGTAGCGGCGCGATCGCAGGCAGTCTGAGTGCGCTTGATATTGGCCTAACAGGCGGTGGACAAAACACGCCGGCATCAAGGGCCAGCGGCATGGTGGCGCCTACAGCGTCAACCGAAGCTGTTGACGATGACGAGGATCTCGAGTATGCTGATCACGACGAATTTTTCACCCCGCGGCAACACCCAATCACTATCCCGACGTCCAGGAATCAGTCGGCGTACTCTCAGTCGCGACCTTCCACTGGACGTGGCCATGAATCAAGGTCTTCGACGTCGATATCTCGTACTGGAAGCTCATCAAGGCATGAGGATTGGACGCACGTCCCTAGTCGAGCGTCGACCTCTAGCCATGTATCGCGCTCTCACTCTCGCTCAGACACTAGTGCCCGCCCTCCATCAGAGCCTCCCGCCCCTATTTCCATTCAAAACGGCCAACAACCGACGCGGACGCGTCCCATATCGGGAAGGATGCCGTCTCAACCCGCGTTGGACATGCTCGTTCCCGCTTCCACGCCTCCCGAAAACCCGAGCCGACCGTCCGCACCTCCTCCGAGGCCGCAACCGCACAGACAAGTCACTTTCCCGGCCAATCCGGAAACCGAAGTACGGCATGTGCAGGACGATCGTGCTCGGACGAAGAGCAAGCGGCGGTCCTCTACCAGCTTTTTGTCTATGACGAACATCAATACGAGTCAGACATCTTCCGCCACGCCGGTGCTTACGCCTCCAGCCCCGGCTCCCTCGCAGCCCGCAGCACCGCCTCCTATGGCTACTACCCGTAGCCTCACTACGGATCAGGCGCGGGCGGTCCACGCAAGGTTCCTCCCTTTCATCGCCGCTGCTAGACCCAGCGCTGCGCCTTACGTGGCGACGGCAACCGCCACTGCGCCTACCAACGCGCAGCCAATCTATGTTCCAGTCAAAGGTTCAGCAGAATCCTCTCGATCACGGTAGAGCCAGTACTCTCTTCGCCGGGGTCCAATGGGGCTATTTATTCGGTTTTATCGGATGCTCCGGTTTTCTCTCGAGTTATTATTGATATCGTACGATGTCCCAGTTTAGAGGTCATACAAGCACGCCCGGTGTAATCGTTAATCATGTATTGTTCTCAACGCTGTCGGATCGCCGAACTCCCAAGCTTAAGGGTAATCGTTACCCATGCTCGCATGCCGTGCTGTTATGACCTCAGGGTCCTCACGCCGCATCCGCAGGGTGTGTATGTGACATGCTAGATTACATTGGCCTCGTATATACGTGATAGCACCCATTCATTTGGTGACGTGCGCGGAGTCGTGAGGAGGCTTAGCAAGTTCATTAGCCAGCTCGATCGGCAACAACAAGGGGAAAGGCGTACCGCAGACTTCACGTCCAGGATGTGGGCAAGAGAGCTGAACTCCGCATCAGTCGCTTTCTGGGTGCCAGTGCAGACTAGGAGAGATGGACGTGAACAAGCAAGCGCGCCAACGAGTCGCGATCGACCTACTGTCGATGACATGCTGCTCGGAGGTACCCATCTTCTCGGCGATCTGAGTGTAGGAGATGCCTGGAAGAAAGTGACGTTATGGCCGAGGTCGTTGTATAGCACACGCATATAGCACGTACCTTTCTTGTCCTTGGCCGCGGCCAGAGCGGTGCAACGAGGATCGGGGGCCATCGCGTCGATGAAGAAATCTGTCCGTTCGGGTTGGTTGGGGAGAGACGCCTGGCCGACGCGTCCCTTTATACGTGTCCCATACAGACCACCTTACCAGACCTTTCCTTCTACGGCGCAATCGATAAGAGACCAGAGGTATGAGTAGGAATCAGGTGATAGGGATGCGGCACTCAAGCTCCAGTGTATTCTCGGAGTGTAATCTTATCTGCGGAGTGTCTTCCAGCAGCCTAGATCCGCGTGTAGGAAGGCTGCACTGTTCGCATGAGAGCGCGGGCCGTGAATGCGTTCCAACAACCGGAGTGGCTTCCAGGGAACAACTATCGCTCGAATGAACGGCAAGATGGTGGCGGGTATCCATTGGTGGGATCCACATTCCGGAGATCAGCGAGCTGCGGAGGGTTTGAAGGCAAAATTGGATATCATTACACCCCATCGCTCCAAGCCTACCGTGTACGAAATGCGTTAATGACGAGGCTGAGACAGCGGGTAGATCTCTGTTTCTCTGACGGAGGTAGCATCGAATTCAACTTGACAACGTCTTACCTTGCGCCAAACGATGTGAGGAGGCTGTCGGCTTTTCGGGCCGGGGCATGGTGGCGGTGCCATTTCCCACGTGCTGCTCACAGCTCATTTGCAGAGCTTGTCGTCGTCGTCTCGTCCGTCCTCCTCAAGCCCCTCCCGCCTCAAGAATATCCTGTTACTATGGTTGGTTACGTTCATCCTCAAAGATGGAATGCCTTTCTGATTGCTTTGCCTGTCTTCTCCTCTCTCGCTCGATGGATGCACCTACTTGGTATCGGATGACTCTGAACGCGCTCCACTCGCTTGTGACTGTTCGGCGGCTATCAAAACTGGACTTCAACTATGCTACCATCCTGTTCACTAGCCCCCGAAGAAAGGCACGAAGGCGCCCCGCGAAGATGCCGCGGTCTCACTTGGCCCGCAGGTCGCGGAGGGCGAATTGGTGTTCGGAGTTGCCCACATCTTCGCGTCTTTCAACGACACCTTCGTGCACGTCACTGATTTGTCGGGAAAGGAGACCATCTCCCGTGTCACCGGTACGTCCCGCCTTCATATGGAAGCCGTCGTTCGTTCTGACACCATGTGGGATCTTTCAGGTGGCATGAAGGTTAAGGCCGACCGTGATGAGTCCTCTCCCTACGCAGCCATGCTTGCCGCGCAGGACGTTGCTGCCCGCTGCCGCGAAGTTGGTATCACCGCTCTTCACGTCAAGCTGCGCGCGACCGGTGGAACCGGCACCAAGACCCCTGGCCCCGGCGCGCAGAGCGCCCTCCGCGCGTTGGCTCGTGCTGGCATGCGTATCGGTCGCATTGAGGATGTCACTCCCGTCCCCACTGATTCGACCCGTCGCAAGGTATGTACATCACATTGCGTCTCTTCAGGCACGTTACTTACATGCCGTCGTGTAGGGTGGTCGCCGTGGTCGTCGGCTCTAGATTCGCATCAAAAGTGCCGCATACGTCTGTTTATGTCGCATGTATCTACGGTTGTGGTCATGACACCAATGTCGCTGCTCGACGCGCATCAGGTTTCTTGCGAACCTGCCCCGCGGTCGTTCCATTCTCATGCTGCTTGTGCAATCGTTCATCAGTATGCTGTGTCTTGTGCAGGTCGTGTGCGTATGAAACGAGAACCACCATCGATTGGTCCAGTTCCGATTCCGGCGCCAAAACATAGCGAAATCTGAGACGTGTGTGCACAGCTATACGAGTACGATGTCGTCCTTGTTGATCATGAGCCCTACGTTATTCGCTGCTCATAGCTGGCGCCTTATACGTTGTCCACGTATCCTAATTGCCAGCCCATCAAATCAAAGTGTTTCAAGAGAGGGTGAACCAACGCCGGTCATTGATATCGAGAACATCGACTGGGCGCATCTGGTCATTGGTCCATAGACTCGCTCGGTGATCAGACGTGCAGGTTTCCAGCTCACCCTAAATCACGACGAGTCTTGCGATCAGGATCTGCGTTCCTTCGCTATGGGCAACGGGCGACTATAAAACAATGTCCTTGCGCACCTGTCATATCCTTCCCTGCAGATGTTTGTCACTTTTCTTCTAGGTTGCCAGTCATCAGCCCCCTGCAGGTCAGCGGACGACACAACGTAGCGCACCAACGAATAAGAATGCTGGTCGTACATGCGCCGCCTGGTTTCTTAGAGAGCCTGGGGGCGGCTCTCTTTGGTGGTATTGCTGCCGCTGGGTGCGATAATTCTCGTCATTCACGTTTCGTGATATCGCTTACCTCGATGTGCATCCAGTCTCTTGGGCGTTTCAACCACCAAGCATTTCTGTACATGAAATTGAAACATCCAGATAGTGTACCGTTTCGCATGCCGGTGCGTTGTACAAGGCAAGTGCATAGATTCTTTGATTGGCCACAGCTGCGGTTAGATAGGACAGCTGCGGTTAGATAGGTGCACTCTGGTAAGTGATTCCATCGGCGCATTAACTTCCCGATTCCACAAGTCCATAGGATGCTGGACGTGCTTCATGTTGGGTTCATATCACACACCTTGTAGACCTTCCTTTTCATGATTCCTCTATGCGTATACTGGTCAATATTGTGGTAGTAGGCATGTCGCAGTTTTAGCGCACTCCAGGAACCTTTGCCATGGTCAGCCTCAGCAACGTCCCATGTGTATATTGCTCATGATCATCTCGCAGGTCTGTATTTGTAGGCTAAAGACTTCCTTTGAGACACAGGTTGTTTGTAATTATTTGCAACAGAGCCAGGTCATAGTCACGGTGAGCGCTCGCTAGTTTCTGAAGGTCGTGCCGGCTGATCATGCTCAGAACATCACATCGATCGCAGTCAGTGGTATTCATTAGACGACTTTGGACAGGTATTTGGGCCTTGAAAACATGACACCGATGCCACAATAACTCGCATCGCTATAGTCAGCCATATGGATATGATCGTCATAGTAATTTTACGTTGAGTGACAATATGATCGCGCTGCGACTGTTTCTTACTCACCCACCCCGATGTCGGTAGTATACCCTGGTGAGCACGACTCCGATTGTAGGCTGTATGCAACATTATCCTACAGTCACCACCAACGGCACAGATGTTACTATCGCTCTGCTCGCGTAGAAGCTAACCTCGAATTGCAGTGTTCTGTGCCAAAGGGTACGAGTGATGCGCCCTCGCGAACATTCATCACTGACCGAGACACTCTAGGCTAATGGGACAGCCCTTCGCCTAGATAACGGATAACCGAGTGCGCATCAGACCGTAGGGAATGGTCGTAGCTGTTCCATTGACCTCCGCGAGTAGCGGGTCATGTGTGTCGCGTTTTGCTCTTCGGCTGCGACAGACATCCTCCTGGCCTTGGGTATGAGTATATCGCTTTGGATGAGGCACACGGGCTTCAAGAAGTACGGCGTTTTTTTTTTTTTTTTTTTTTGGTGGAAATATTGACCAATAACGATCCCTATCAGCACTGATAACATTCTCAACACTCGCCTCTTCTTCTGCATCAAACCGGCGCGCTGACCGGGCAAGCGTGTCATCTGTGGCATGAATCAAAGCGGGCTGAAGCGTGCATGCAGTATATCTACCCTAGCAACCTCGTGGCGGTACGTTCTTATACAGCAACATCCAAGAATGAGTAATTGATGACGCGTTCCGCACACTTCCATGCTTCGTAGCGTCAAACATGATATTCATAGGTGAAGTGCAGAGTTGGATACGCGACCGTGAGACTGACATATAAGGTCCCCAGCAATATATGTGTATCCTCAATCTAAGTAAGCCAAAGCTTAGAAATAGCCTATTGCCGCAGACTGCTCCGCGGACATCCCTGATTCTTTCTTCAGTAGCCTCCTTGTCTCTCTAAACTGGAGGGACATGCATACCTCGCCGGAGGTATCTCGTGAGGTCATGGCTTGGTTAGACGCCTGTCGGATAGAGCCCTTGAACGAGTGCGGCTGAGACTGTTGACGCCAACCTTCAGGAGTTTAACAGAGCGGAACACGCCCGATCCTGAACAGGCACGTCGTTTGTCCCTCCGTTTTACATGATCGTCTCACCTCGACTTTCAGGCCCTGGAGGTGTAGGAGCTATTACACTCGAGGTAGCGGACGGGAAGGTGAGCTCAAGGCACGCGACTATTTGCTCGTTCCGATTTCCAGTGTATCCTCATAATGAAGTCTTGGATGATCATGATGTGTAGGACGTTGAGGGAAGGGACGTCCTTCAGGCTCCCTCTTTCACAGCGTGTACATAGGGAATGTCACATACTGTCCCGTGCCTGTCTACACGCTCGTGCTGCCGAAGTGTATTCGGACCGAGCACTAGGTCCTTCGTAAACCCACCCCCTTCATACAGAAGCGTAACATTACCGCCGGTGCATCTTAGAAGGAGCCATGGACACGCAAACTTAAAGTGGTTATGTGAACTGGATGCGAATCCCGGTGATTGCAAGAAGAGGCGCCTCGTTGTGCGATATCCGTGTACATTAACTTCATGAAATTCAGTGATGGAAGATCCCTAGGAGAAGTCCTCTATGCCCAGCAAGAACTCGCACCATCCAACCTGAAGCAATGCAGCGCTAGAACAGACGACGCCGGGAATAATGCTCACTCACATCACATATAAGAAACTACGTCTAGTCACTACGTTACCTGAGTCCTCAAGAGAGCTGCCTCACTGAGGAGAATGATACCAGGCAGCTTCCCAGCGAGGGTAGCATGTGGTTGCATCGCGTGGGATTACGCGAGACACCCTGCTTCGCGAGCTTTCCTGGTTTTCCCTAACCACGCCTTTAGGTCTATGAAAGCTCGTAGGCACACATCGGCGCCGTCTTATCTCATAGCCGTTCAGCATCTTCCCCGATGTTCTACGGATCAGAAGTGAGCCAGCTGATTGCGCAAACTCAAAACCGTCGAAACTTGCTGATGGTGCAGGCGATGAGCTGGCGACATGTACACCATACCTGACGTAGTGCGCCTTGTGGAGTATGGTGTCCTATGGCATATAATGCGTTCAAGTCAGACTTGGGGAGTCACACCAGAAATAACTAACACAGTCATTAATATACCGGTTATGGGACCGGAGCACCTTTCGGATGTGGTACATACCCACGCCTTCGAACATGTGTCTTACTTCCGGAACGCTGTGCCGAAAGCGGTTGGCTCAGATCGTCCCTTACAGAGCACGAGAACCTTCCGCAAACTAAAAGCGAGCAGGTTCCTCAGAACCTAACGAGGTCTTCATGAGCAATCTTCATCCCGGACTTGGGGTTAAACGATAGCTCCGGGAAGGAAGCACAAATCGACCCTCCCAGTATAGCCAGTCCCAAACAAACGGATCAGGTCGGGCCAAGACGTGCGGCCATTCAATAATGCTCTTCGTTCACATTATCTTCTCGCCTCGTGTTATCTTAGACGCTGACCTGGACTAGAAGGCATGTTAATATCCCATCACCGCTTACAGTTCTGAGCATGCGCGGACGGTTAGGCGTCCGAGGGGCTATATTATCAAGGCGGCAGCCTAAAGCCTCTCTCCTCCCCCTCGTCTTCTGGCTGCTTACCGTGCATCCTGCTCAATTCTTCTCCCTCCACGCTGGATCCGCTGGCGTCTCCATAGCCCTGATAGCCCTTCTCCGCCACCATTGCTACAACGCGCTGTAGCCGCCATGCTCGTTGTCCATCCCGATTCTCTATGCGATATCTGCCTAGACGGCTTTTCTGATGGCATGAGTGCACCACATGCAATCGTGAGCATCGCTGTTGCTGCGCTGAAGCTATGTTGCGGACTGATCCCCCCCTTCGAGGCTTGCGGACACATCTTCTGCTTCGCGTATGTACTAATACCAGGAGTACGGCGCCTGTTAACTCCGCCTTCAGGTGCTTGCAGTGCCTCGCACGACCTTATTGTCCTCTCTGCCGCAAACCCTTCGATATGAGCGAGGTGAGCTGCCCCATTCAGTGTATGTCCGGGGTCAGCAGGCCTTTTTTCTCACCGTTGCAATCTGGAAAGGTTCGCAAGCTTCACACCGATAAGGTCGCACCGTCGCCGAGGGGACCCTTCTCGTCCGTCGTTGACGATAATGATACGTCGGAAGCAAATCAATACCGTATCAGCATTGCGCGGATTATCGAGCAAGGCTGCCCTAGTCGGATGCTCCTTGAGAAACTTGAGGAGATATCGGCATGGCTCAGGATGCAACCTCGCGAACAGGTATCACAATGGATTTCGCTTATAAACCAATATTAATCTGATGATGACCATCGGACAGCACTTCGACATTCGTATGACGCACCGGCTCCTGAGGCAGCGGTATAAGGACGCTCAGTATTACGCGGAGCAAAAGCGCCAACTCCAGGAGGCTGCGGATAAGCTGCAGGCACAGATGGTTCTGGAGCGAGACGAGGCGCAGGATAGATACGATGCTTTGGTTCAGACATGCAAGAACGAAAGAGACCGGTCGCAGGCGATGCAAGAGAGTCTCAAGGAACACCATCAAAAAGTGGAAGCGGAACTGAAACAGTAAGTGAGATTTGCCATAGAGTAACGGTCTAAACTGACAAGCTATTGCAGGAAAGTAAGTTGCGATCGTGATCGAGCATACATCGATCTGACGGCCTGCACAAGTGTGCCTCACTTCTCGACGAATGCGAACGGCTACGAGACGAGCTCGCGAGAGTGCATCCCAATCGCTTACCCACACCACCACGAGAGTCCGACTGGTTTACATCCTCAGGGGTTAGCTCTGAAGGCCCTGCGTCGGAGCCCACGGAGCCCATCATCAGGCGGAGTGCGCTGAGCATTGCTCTCGCTAACTCGAATGGCGAAGACTTCCTTCCCATCCCTAGCACCCCCGCGCTTCCGGATGACATCCCAGACTTCACTCCCATCCCAACGGACGACGAGGGCGGCGTTTCTCACGCCTGGAGCGTTATCTCAATTTCCCCTCACTCGCGGCGCAGGGCACACGAAACTCCCAGCGTTACGACAGGAGCACAGACTCCGCAATTTGAGCAGGAGGGCTTGAGGACACCGCGTTCCCTACCGCGGCATCATATGTTAGAGTCCCACTCGCCGTCTCGTGCAAGACCAGCTCCCCAGCGCACTCCTTCATATGATCTCATGGCGGCGGCTCGCAGCAGTGCCCCTGACGCGGGATCTACGGAAATTGACCCCGACGAACTCCGTCGGCAGAAGTTGAATGAAATCCTCGAGCTCACTCCAGCTACACAGGCTCAAGACATTGTTCGTCGCTCGCCTACCAGGCGAATCGATGGGCGGCGAAGTCGCTCTCCCGAAGAAGTACCTGTTGCCTCCCAAAGCTACTCTTCTCCCTCACGGATGAGGCCCAGGACAGCCACCACCACCTCTCTTCCCGCCGGCTACTTACAACACCAACACTCACAATCGAACCTCCATCGACCAAGCATTGTTTCGGCCAGCAGCGCTGCCCTCGAAGCAGAACGACAGCGGACTCCTTCCTTCGGCACGCCGGGCCTCGGTCGTCCAGGTTACCTCCGGAGGGGCTCTTCGGCCAGCGCCAAAGGGAAATATCTCGAGAAAGGCGACCGCTTTCCCAACGGGCTAGGAATCAGTTTCTGAATAAAGCCTCCGTCTCCTTTCCCATTCATGGGGAGCATTTCATTTCCGCGAGCTGAGCGTCGCGCTTATTTATTGGTGTGTATTCAAGAGACTCAGGTCGCTCCGCATGGAATTCGCTTCCCCTCACTCATCAATAGTTGTACGCTACCAAGAACACGGATCCTGCATGTATGTATGTATGATTATGAGCCCCGTCGGTCATCCGCGCTCGGGTGATATGTCTTGTAAATTTACCATTTCATCGAGGATCGCGTGGATGGCTGTTACCCCTCAAAGACGCAGATGGCTCCCCCTCCGCCGATAGCAGTGGTGACTGCAACACGTGCATGGAAAACACCTCCTCAGTTGATGATATTTAACTGGAAAGGCCTGGCGGGTGGGAGGGTACAAGCCTACACAGGAGATCTCAAGATGCTCATTCGCAAGCGGCGAACTGAAAAAAACATATTCCATACACCCCGCATGGTATGACAGAAATAACACCAAGTAAGCTCACTGATGTACAGATCCAGAGCACGAAAAGAATTATGTCGCGACCTTATCGATCGCCTCCGGACAGCGGTGGATGAGATTGCGATGTTCGACAGAGCATACGGATTGTGTGAGAATAAACAAATCGAATGATACGCGTCGGTGTTCACAAAAGCCATATGCTGATCGCATCGTTCCAGCGGCTATTGGATGAGACAGACATCGCGCTGACAGCAGGAGGAACGCTCGGGAAGATAGACTAGATCAAGATTATCTTTAGTAATACTCCGCCGATTATGATGCACGCCGGTATACAGTATGAGTGTTGAGATCGGAATGATATCGATCCATTGGCTGAGCAGGTCCCTAGGGGCATATGTCAACGAGCGATGGCCGGCCACGCAATATTGTAGAGACACAGCCACACGGGAGCCCTTCACGACCCGCGGTGCTTGCGGCTCATCAGAGAGCACCCCAATAACGCCAATCTGACGACCCGCCCAGAGCTGTCTATAATCAGGACGAACAAAAGCAGGTGAAGTGCTTCCAAGCTCCATGCTTTGCGGGGGAGGGAAGACGAGATCTTGCCGAATCGTCCTTCCTCAGCCACCGAGCGGGAGGGTAGTCCATGCCGTTTCGAGACAGACCTTTCCAATATCAGATCCCTGTCGGTCACAAGAGCGGCCCATTGAATGCTCCAGTCAAAATCTGTCCAAGATGTCCAGGAACGGGAAGAGATAGTGTATGAGATGGAGCTGCGAGATGGTGGATCAAGTCCAGATGAGGCTGCGCAATGGCTCGGAGCTTCCCGCCTTTGAGGGTGCAATCGTGATTATCGGCTCGTGCGAGCGAATGGGACGGTCAACGTTGGTGCGAAGGAGGGGGCGCCATACTGCGAGGCATCGCCACCGGTTCGGAGTGGACAAAGTCCGACATCGAGATACAGAGAAACATGAGCCCCCGGGTCCGCCACGCCCGCAGCAATCGTGCGCGGACCGAGCCACCCGATTCGTAGTTCGTGAAGGGGGTACAGGTGCATGCTTCCCTCGTAGCATGGGATGCGCACCATTCGAAGAAACCGGGGCCGTGGATCAGCGTAGACTGTATGGGAGGTCTTGGGGCCCTAAGACGAGGGTGCGCGGACGCGCGAGGCTCCATGAAGGAAGATGATCCGAGCCATTATTGCCTTCGACTGCGTACCAGGCTGAGCGCAGTTGGTCCAGACGAAAGGGTCGTGTGTGGAGATCTGCATTCAATCTCGTCTGCAGGCCTTCTCCCGGGACGCCGAGCGAGCTTGGAGCACACCCGTGCATCGGAAGACGGATCCTCCGGATCGACTGGGGGACATCGCATGCACGATTCGGAGTCGAGTGTGTGCGAGGGCCGTGTAGGTCCGTCCGTGTGGCGTATCCATGTATACATGGCCAGATCGTTGCGATGTGATCATAAAGCGAGCTGGATCTCTACGTCAGCGCGGGGCAGATGATGCAAGTCGAGTGCATGGTGAAACTGAAAGCAGGGTGTTTGAGGTGGAGTCTGAAGCGCGAGTGAGCTCATAAGCGACCCGGCTTCACAGGAGTTGCAGCAGGTCCCGGGTAGTACCAAGCTCTGCGTTCGCAGGCACGAGAGAAGTCGAACCTTGGAACCTTCGGAAGGGTCTTGCATATCTTGGAAGCCGGCCGTGGGGTCAAATATCCATGTAACGGCGTTTGGACGCTAGCGCCAGTCCTAGCTGCAAACACGTTGAGAGGGGATCGAGCGGTTTGAGGTAGGAGAAGACGGCTCCATCTACGGCATCATGCACGGTTCTGCGGCGCACAGAGGCGCGCTGTTTGCGTGATACGGGGAAGGCGGGCGTGGTTGCGTGTGGCCCTGATGGCTCACACGACAATCATATGCCCTCCCGCGTACGTCTGAGATGCAGCGCCCTGCTCGGAGACCTGCTCGGGGAATATACTCGGCGACGAGCAATTACGAACCCTCTGCTCCACTGACGGCTCGCGGACGAGCACATGAGCGTCTGAGCCATCCAAACGAAGACACAAAGGCGGGTCACGTTGCGGTCACAATTAACCTTTGGATTCCCACGCCATCCTCAAGCGACATAAAACAAGCCCTAACCCTGCGCAGGCCACTCCCACGCATGCAAATCCGTTGATGACCCATCTGAAACGTGGTCACCGCCCGGGCTTGGGCAAAGGGCTTACTCGGCCGAGGCACTGGGAGTGCACCGCCGTAAAATTGACCGGTGGCTGAGTCAACAATCCGGTAAGGGCCCGGGGTTGTGCTCGCGCGTCGCACAAAACTGTCGGTGGTGTCGAGGACTGAGGACAACCATGGAATGTCGAGCTATCGCGCGGAAGGTTGGAGGGAAGGAGAATGTGCTGGAAAAGGAGATGAGCATGAAATCCTCGTGGCCTGCCTCATGGCCCCTGGCGAGGCGCATGAAAATCGGAGATAGGATTCTCACGATTGGTCAGGATTCCATTTCGGGAGCCACAACTATACATCAAAGACACCGTCCGCGGTCGCCGCTCGTTTTTTTCCGCCTCTCCCTTTTACGATGTTGACCCTTGCCCCTCAGTCCGTCTGCGACGTGTGCGCAGAGGAGTACGGCCCCCAACATCTCCCCCATTCCATCCCCTGCGGTGAGTACATGCTATTCGCATTATTTTTGGGGCAGCCACCGCTCGACAAATTTGTTGACTGACTCCCTCGATGCCCCCAGGTCATGTCTTGTGCGAAACATGTTGCAAGAGTATCATCGAGAAAGCCCCCCCTCGTCTTGCACCCGCATGTCCGTTTTGTCGCGAGCACTTCACGAGCGAAGGCATCCGCAAAGTTCGCATCGACTTTCCTGTCACCAGCGGGCGTAACACCCCTTGGCGGCCAATAATCGAGGCGAACGAGCCTACACACGACTACTCGCTCGCGAAGGAGGAGGAAATCATCCTTGTGGAGCGCACATCCAATCGATCACCGCGATCCGACGCTCGACGACTTGAGGACAAGGTGGCTAAGATTGCCGGAAAGCGTTGCTCGGTGGAGGAGGTCTCCACACTTCACAAGGAGATTTCTGTGTGGCTGGAAGCGAACCCCAAGGACACGGTACGCGTTCGAATATCTTCGGCCTTTTCCCGGATTTCTGACATACATATGACGCACAGCCCATCTCCCTCACGCTCAGTGCTGCCCTTCTTTACGCCATCCTGATCAACTACCAGGCCCACTATGACGCCACCAAGGCCTCGAAGGAACGCATTGAGCACCTCGAGAATGAGCTCCGCAGGTAGGCCCTTCTTATTTTACTCTGGGTATACGGGATACTAAACCATCTTCTAGCAAAAATGCTCAATACGAGCGTACATCGCAAGAATGTCAGACGCTGATGGCGGAAATTAGCCGTCTGAGGTTCAAGTCAACGCCCACCTCGCCAAGTATCACATCCTCCACCACGAGCTCCTACTTCCCTGGGCCCGTCGATACCTCTTCCCTTCGCCTTACAAAGTCAGCAGCGACCTCCCCTTACAATAGCCCCCCGACCATCAGCTCTAGCCGACTTCCCGCAATCTCTCCTCTTCACAGCCCCATCCACAGTCCGCCGATGCAGACTCTGTCTCCCCCTAAAATGCCGTCGTCCTTGTCGACACCTTCTCCCGGTGGCCAGCATTATTCGCCCCCGGTTACGCCTACGCCCCCGCACCCTGCCACGGCGATCACTCGCTCCAAATCCAGCGCAGCTACCTCGTCCTCACACACTCGCTCGGCTTCCGCCTCCATTTCGCAGTCATTGCTTTTCCGCAGCGATACCCCGACGACGCGCTCGCACACGCCCTCCATCCGCTCTCACACCCCAGGCCCGCGCTCGCACACTCCAATTCGCTCGACTACGCCGTCCCTGTCGACTTCGAGCGCGTATGCAAGGCCCATTTCGCCACCGCCACCGCCAGTGCCACCGATGCCGACCAGCGCCACCCGCAAGACACGCACGCTCTCTGTGTCTTCTCCCGGCGCGCCCAAGATCGTCCGGTCCACGTCAGACGACGAGCGGCACCTGGGCATCGGCGGCCATTCCGATAAAGAGTCGATTCGTGCCAAGTCGCCCACCGGAATCTTCTCTCGCTGGGTACCGTCGGCGCGCCCTGCCTCTACCGCCCCGAAAAGGCAGTTGTCCGCGACGCCAGCTCCCCGGACTGCGTTTGGCTCGACGGTCCCCCCCAGCTATCCCACGCCATCTGCGACGCCGACGCCGACGCGCAGGCTCTCGGTATCGCGCGCATCCATCTCGACGCCTCACCGCATCCAGACCCCCATGCGGGCAGCTGGCTAATAACATCCCGCGGATCACACATGGGGACTTAATCCGACTGGATTGATCCGCGGGGTGGGCCAAGGAGCTAACCCCCATGCCCTTCATCACATTTCCTCCTTCTGTCTGCTGCTCCTCGACTGCGATACCCCCGAACTTTTCCTGCAGCATCGACGGCCCGTACGCGCACAATACACAACACACCGCCTAATACGTGCTCAGCACTTTCCACCTCCCCAGCGTACGGCCATTTTCGACTTTCGACTCGGACTCGACTTGCGACTCTCCCGTCTCACGATCATCCTCGACCGTGCTACCTATGATACCTCGCCGATATATTCGCTGTACATATCCCGCTGGTCTCGGTATTGTCTCATACTTTCTCCTTTTTTTTCTTGTTTATCCTGATATGTTTTCTGGGTTCCAGTTTCTCCCTCCATCTTCCTCCCTCATCCTGTCAGTCACGGTGTTATCCGGTGGCGTTCCCGTGCCACCTCGAGCGATTCATTGCTCAAGTGTTTATGATCCTAACCTAATCCACCCTTATCCGCATGTTCCTTATACCCCGGCTTCCACTGTAGCGTATACGGACCTCTCTGGCTTGCTTTCACGTCTCTTACACGGCTTTCACGATTCGCTTCCACGAGTTTTTTCACGAACCCTTATCCCGAACCTTGACGATGCGATAGATGACCCTCCTCCCCCTTAAAAGTAGGCGTTGTAATCGCTTATAGATACGACCTAGTACACGACGAGTACTTTCGAGTATTACCTTACTACCGCCGTTGAATGGAAGTAGCTTTTTCGCGGTGCATGGAAGTTGCGAGCAGTTCAACCTGCGCTCAGTTTTCGACTTGCTCTTCCGGTCTCGATGCTGGATTCGTGAAGATTGCACATCATACGGTGCTTCTGACCACGTCATGTGTCGCGATACTTAGGTGCACTCGAGACGATATGCTGAATCGGGCGTTATCGCGATACTGAGGACCGTTCGGACTTCGCAAATGTATGACTCGACTCGGGCGAAGCATGTGCAATATCCGGGAGATGACGACAGCCCGATGCTCTTAGATCTCTGAAACGTTCTGGAGCATTGCATGAACGTCGATTGACAAACCGCCTGCGGCAATCGCAGGGAAAGCGAAGCGCAGCAGCGATAACATCTCTGGGCTATCGTCCAACGTGCGCCGCAAGTGTAGATGGTCGTTTAATACAACTTTGCGTGCAACGCGGAAGGGGGCGCGATATGTCAACTGCATGGGAGCAGGAGCAAACACAGAAAGCGGCTAGGGGTTCACGGAGCGCTCGCCGCGGACACATGCGGGTGTTCTTGGACATCGCGAGGGGCATGAGGCAAGATAGCGTAGAGTCGAGTCAAAAACTTAGGGCTACCGGCGGGGGCGGTCGTACAAGCTCTGGAAGGGGTCGGGGACTATCGGCGATGGGATGCGGAAACAAAGTCAAGAACATTGTTCTAAGTACCGCCTTGAGGCCACGTTGTGACGAGGTGCCGCGGCGATTTGCCCCAAGGCAATGGATTGTCGCTGGGAGGGCGAAGGGTCGATGGCCGGCCGTGCCCACATTTGGGTCCGTCGCTGACCTCGTTTTGCCTCGCGCACCGACGGCGACGGGCGGATATTCCGAGCATGAGCCGCGGTTGACGCCTTCCCAGGGGTAAACGAGCTATCGAGGACGCGTGTTTGCCGCGGGCGGGTCCGAAACGCGTGTATCAAGACGGTTGAAGCCGGAGACGGGCAACTCGAGGAACACACGTGTTGAGGTGTGGGCGCGTTCAGAAAGACGAATCGTCGCACGGCGTTGCTGTTCGTGGCGCGAAGAGAAGCGGCAACCCACGGTGGGCGGGAGCTCGGGATCGGGATCGGCGGCACGTTGTGATTCCCGCGAGCAGGGGCGGAGTATAAGTCTGCGCGGATTATTTTGGCTGGGTGGTCGCCAGGGTCGAACGTTCATTCAAACTATTAGTAGAACGAGCCGTATATGCGGCGCTCCCATAGAAGGGTCAGTGATGGTCGAGCGAAAATATGTGTGGAACGTCTGCACGTTACAGGATGGAGAAACGGGCATGAGGCCTGAAGTTTGAAGCTATGCTTGAGCTGGAACTCGAGGTTTAGGGCAACCGTTGATAAGAGCATTGTGCGATCGCACCGACGCCACCGCCAAGCAGAGCATCTGCCACGAGTACCGTAGAGCCTAAGACTTTTGCATGTGCAGCAGAAGATGGCCTCGGATTGCAAAGAGGGTGCAAGCTATACCTTCTTTCCACCGCTATCCTCTCCGCTCCAGACCTTGCAACTGCATATCTGACCTTGCAGTGCAGGCATGCCGCTATATGTGTCCTATGCGTTCTCATTCACGAGGATGCAATTTTTGGGCATAACCGTCCGACGCCAGTCGCGCGCATGTTGCTATAGTCAAGTCGCGAACAGAAATAGGGAAATAGTGAAGCGCCAAAGTCACACAATCAGGTCACACCCGCGTCAATGATTACGTGACAGCTCGTGTATGCCCGTCGTGACGCTTCGGTTGCGCCCGTCATTGCTCTCTAAACATCGTTAGTAGTATCGTCCTAGCTTTCCTTTTCCTTGTGGTAATCAGAATCAGTTTGCAGAACTCCAGCCGGTTCAACGCACAGTTGATACCCGAGGGGGGAGTCGAGTGCGGTGCCACATCACTACACAGTCATGCGCATCTCCGCATACAAATCCACGTCCCCTGTTCGGAAGCCCCGGTTGGTCGCGCTTGCAAGCATGTAACCTTTGGCTCACATATATATACGTAGTAAATTCTCGAAACGCTCTGCTTTTGGGGTCCCGCGAAGCGTATCCGATGATGAAAGCGATAGTTCCGACGCGGACTCGGATTCATCGGACAGCTCTGTCTCCTCCTCAGAATCTGAAGTAGAACGCGAGTCACAGTGAGTGATACATAGTTATGCTGCAGTCTGTCTCAGATGTTAGATACCAGATTACGGAAAACAGATGGTGCCAAAACAGCGGCGGAGATGAGATACATCGAGGATACCTTAGCATCTATCCGACTACGAACTCGGTGGCGGGACCCGTACGAAGATTGGGAACGGGATGCTCGCAAAGACGCCCTGGTAAGCATATATGCCCTGCTTGTAGACTTCTCTGACCTGTCGATGAAGCGCACTGCTCGCAAGGAACAAGCGCAAGCACGTTTACAGCGACATCATGTCCATGATCAAGCTGCCGTCGAAGAACTTGAGCGCCTCGCGAATCTTCACAAGAAGCAAGTCGATGAGGTGGCTGCTCAGCTTGCCTTGCTGGAGCGCCAACGACAGCAGCAGGAGCAGCGGCTTCAGGAACAATGGAGGGAACGGGACAACCAACTGTGGCAGCGTATCGAGAACGTGATCAAGTTCGAGGAGGAGAAGGTGAAGGCAAAGTTGGAGGCGGAGAGGAAGGCGAGGGAGGAAGAGGAACGCAAGCGGAGATTGGAGGTAGAGCGCAGGTTGGCTGAGGAGCGCAAGAAGCAAGAAGAGTTAGAAAAACGGCGTCAGGAGGAAGAGATGCGTAAAGCAGAAGAAGCCAAGGCGGAAGAGGAGCGCAAGCGGGAGCAGGAAAGTGCTTTGCACCGCCAACAACAGCAGGAGGCGGAGGCAGAAGAGCGCGCTCGCTTGGGGATAACCACTCCCGAGGAGGATTGGTTACGTGCCAGAAAGTTGCTCAAGGTATGCACTCGGAGCTTTCTAGCCACTAGATCTAACGGGCGGCAATAGTCAATCAAGGAGGGTTCAATGAAGACCGTCAAGGGCAACAAAGAGTTGAAGGCGCTCTGGAGCGCCGGTAGACGGGCGATCAATCCCAAGATCGGCCAGATCACGAGTGATCCTGAAGTGATCAACCGAGTGGTAAGCTAGGCAACGCGAACCTTCTTCGTCTTCTTCATTCTTACAAGTCGGATAGTCTCAACAGATCTTTCAGATCATCAAGCCTCCCAACCCGCATCCTCATGACGTCTACATGGCCCTCCTTTCCGCACTTGCCAAATCCATCCTCCTCCAAGCGGAAACCGAGGTGACGGCTGAAAAGCGAGCTGCCGGTCCATTGGCTCGCGTCGCCGTGAACCTGATCCCAGCCCTGGACGGGTTCGTGGACGTGTTCTGGGCGAAGATGGTTCAACGCACGGGAGGGTGGCCAATCCCTGCCATCGTCCCACCCACAGACGTCGATGGCGTGCCATTCACGAAGGAGACGCGCCGGAAAGCGCTAGGTTACCGCAACGAAGAGACGGCTCCAGAGCGTTGGCAACGCATTCAGGGCTCCATGCGTGTCTACTGGGAGATCCTAAAGGGCACCGGTGACGTGCAAAGACCCATCGACCAGAGGCCGAGAGTGTGGACGTACTTCACGCGGGTGGTGGAGAACCAGCGCATGCTGGAGTCTGCAGTTGCTCCTATGATCCTGCATGGTATGTTGGATTACTCGTTACGCATCCATGATCCCTGATGATGATTCCGCCGCCTTTACAGCGGCAGTGGAAGTCTTAGGTCAGGACGCGAAGCGTGCCTACGGCGCGGACTGGGTGAGGTTGATGACTATGGTCTACGAGTGGGTGACGCGGGGGATGGACCCTGGAGGACGACCCGTTGGTGGGGACGCTCCAGAGGGGAAAGCAGCTCGCGTTCGACTGCAGATTGAAATCGAGCGTATGATGAACACCCCATGATACGGCCCCAGAATCACCTACCTTTTTGCCACGCCCTTATGTTTGATCTTCAATAGCATGTCATCCTATCTGATAGTACACGTCCACGATGTAATAGAAACGAAACGCAATTATGATCATTCTAAGTGGCGGCACGCTGTAAAAGTTAATCTTTAGTCTAAGGCCAATTGCCGACTCCCACGGCTTCGTGCAACAGCACCGACCGCCCGCAGTCGCTTCGGTACGACCGAATCTGATGAACGGAAACATAGTTTGCAATCTTTTGCAGTCCCTGAAGGGACTGCACCAACTAAGTACTACAAACTTGAAGCTTGAAGAACCGATTTAGAAAAACAGATCATAATCAAACCGCAACAAGCCGCAACGCTAGCCGACTTCTTCCTCCTGCACGTGATCGTGCCAGCAAAATCGGAAATAGCGAGAGGCGAATGGTACGTTGTTCCTCCCGCACCATGTCGTCCATCTCAGTGCGGACGACGGACTACCCGGCTATCAAGAATTCACCTCTGGTCGGCCTTGCTGAGGGAAATGGCTCATTCAGCAATATTCACCTCGCTGCGCTCGTCCTCGGCGTTCCATGGCTATTGAAACGCATGCTCCCGCTCGTCAACCGCGGAGGATTCAAGACGTACCTCTTCTTGGTCATTCTCACAGGCGTACCTGTTGCTATTGGCTATTGGACTCTGATGAGCATGTACGGGAAGCGCAAAAACGAGAAGGTCCTCTTGCCTAACAGAAACATCTCGGAGTACATCACGATAAAGGACCCGGAGCTCAAGCAAAGGTATTTCGGCAAGAACAAGATCCCGATGCAAGAGTTCTACGACGCGTACTTTGAGCAGAAGATTGACTTTAATGGTACGTGGCCATATCTGACGCGTCTGACGGGCGGAGGCTCAAGTCAATGCAGGCGACGTGCTCGACATCATGGAACAACGTCACGACTGGGCGAAGTTTGTCATGACCCCCAAGCTATTCAGACAAGTCCTCTTCGAGCTTATCCCGGACGTCATCTTCCACACGAGCCAGCAGGATGAGGACCAGGTTCGCACGACTTACGATCGTCAGTCTTTTCCCTCCTACTGCTGTCGTTTCGCTGACGTATTGTAACAGGTGGCGATGACTTTTACGAATGGTGATCTATAGTCAAATAGTCGATGAGCGACACGAGCTCATTGTTTTGATAGGTTCCTTGGCCCTCGCATGATCTACACCTCCGGTATTGTCACCGACATCACTCGCGAAGAGACCCTGGAGGAATTGCAGGACAACAAACTCACCATCGTCTGCGAGAAGCTTGACCTTAAGCCAACCGACCGCCTTCTTGATATCGGTTGTGGCTGGGGTACTCTTACCGCGTTCGCTGCTAAGAACTACGGCTGTAAGGCTACTGGTGTCACCATCGCCCAGAACCAGGCTGCGTTCGGCAACGATCGTATCGCGAAGAATGGAGCCGCCGACAGCGCTAAAATCCTCTGCATGGACTATCGCGACATCCCTATGGAACCTGGTTATTACTCTAAGATAGTCTCGCTCGAGATGGCTGAGGTGCGTCTCATCATGAGTTGTTTGCATCTTGACGTCGGGCTGAGTATTTGCCATATTTGCCAGCACGTCGGCATCCGCCGCTATCGGACTTTCCTCAGGCAGGTGTATGACCTCCTAGACGATGATGGCATCTTCCTTCTCCAAGTCGCTGGTCTCCGACCCCATTGGCAATACGAGGATCTGATCTGGTGAGCACCTTGGTATGCTTGGCGAGTACGCGTATCTGAACCGTTGCCGTTCAGGGGCCTCTTCATGAACAAGCACGTTTTCCCGGGAGCGGATGCCAGTTGCTCGTTAGGCTGGGTTATCACGCAAGTTGAGGCTGTTGGGTTCGAGGTCAAGAACATCGACGTCCTCGGCGTGCACTACTCCGCGACCATCTGGAGATGGTACAAGAACTGGATAGCGAACAAGGAGGCCATCCTCGAGAAATATGGCGAAAAATGGTTCCGCATTTGGTCCTTCTTCCTTGCCTACTCCGTGATCATCGCCAGGTATCTATCTCGCTCGGTGTCCTCTTGAGACTCTGCCGACCATCTCTTTCATAGGCAAGGCGGTTCTTCCGTGTTCCAGATCACGCTGCACAAGAACTTGAACGCCTACCACCGCATCGAAGGTGTACCCACGCACGCGTCTATTCACGTCAAGCCCAAGGTTACCATCGAGTAAGTGTCCGCTTCGATCTTGGCCTTGCATGTCATCTGATCTGCTGTCGTTGCAGACCGGTGGTTTGAGGCGACGGTGGTTGACGAACTGCTCGTTCAGAGAGCAAGGGAGGTGCATGTGAATGGGAAAAAAATACACTAGATCTTGGATGCGTAATGGGTTGTACATGGTTCAGATTCACTCTGGAACAGAACTGCACGATTACTTGGGCCACTTGTAGCGCCGGACGCCTGCAAATCTAGACAACGTTTGCGTTCAATCCTTCACCTTCAGATACACGACCTCACATGGTCAGGGACCGGCAATTGTGCAACCCGATCTTCCGATTTCCCGCCTTTTTGCTTCTTGCGGCCACGACTCGCTCATCGCATCAGGGCGCATGCGCAATATCATCGGCTTCGTACACGAGATGAACCCTTCGTCATATCCCTGGGAGGCTCCTGATTGCGTCGTCCCGGTGACCGGCCTTGCTGTTCCGGGCTCCTTGCTATACCGCAATCGCTCGATACATTTCTCATATATAATGGACAACCTCGGGCGCCCTATAGGTTTTAAAGACGATGGCTCTCACCCCAGGCCTTGTGTATGTGCTGAAAAGCCTGCGCGTCTGGTCGGCCCCACCGATAGCCCTTTATATCTTGTCGAGGATCCTCAGCGCCGTCGACATCAACGTTTCAGGCCTGCTGCTGATATCGACTTGCGTACTCCTTCCTCCGGCGATCCTGCTAGTGCGGTATCACCTCCTTCGATGGAAAGACCGCCGCGATGCTGCAGCAGTTGGTGCAATTCTTCCTCCTGAACTCAAATCCGCGTGGCCAGCTGGACTTGGGCTGGACTTGATGGCAGCCATGAAGAACTCTATTGTCGATGTCTATCCCGGTCTGGACACTCTTCTCGACCCTGCATACCTGGAGCTGATGCAAACCTTAGGTCTGAACTTCAGGAAGTGGTCCAATGAATATGGTAATACCTGGCGAATCACAGTCGCAGGGGACACTCGAGTGAGTGACAGGCTCTTCAAGTCTACGGGATCGAGAATTGATCACGCGGCGGTGCAGTACTTCACTTGCGAGCCTGATTATGTGAAGGTTCGTCGCATGCTCCGTACCTCATAATCTGGTGACGATATCGTATTCCTATAGGCTATGCTTGCGACGGATTTCGGAAGCTTCCATAAAGGTGGGTGTTGCTGTCAGTCCCAGATGCCACGTATCTCACTGTGATGGCGTAATATAGGGCCGAATGTGTTGCATCAAAACAATTCAGTGCTAGGAACTGGCGTGTTCAACGCGGATGGTATGTTGCCTATCGAATCTCTCGAGCTAGCACTGCTCATAGCTGATGCCCTCTAGGCGATCTGTGGAAGTGAGGATGCAAACCCGCGAAATTGCAACACTGGCACTGATATGACAACACAGATTCCATCGTGGTATGACAAGACCCTTCTTCAGCAAAGACAAGATTAGCCACTTCGAGTTGTTCGACTCGCATTGTGATGACGCACTGTCTCAAATGCGAGAGCGGCTTCGCCAAGGCTGCCCTGTCGACTTCCAGGACCTTGTACATCGTCTGTACTCTTTACTTGCTATGATTTGTTGTTCCTGACGGCGACGGGCTCTAGGCATCACTATGGACTGCGCTACCCAGTTCCTATTCGGCAAGGATGTTTGCTCGCTCTCTGCGGGTCTCCCTTATCCGAACCAGCCGGAGGACCTATCGCACCCTGCAAATGCTTTTGCTCACGCGTTCCTTCGCGCTCAGAGTGTGATTATAGTCCGTGCCCGACTTGGGAAGACGTGGCCGCTTGGGGAGTTGTGGGGAGATGCCAGTGCATCGCACATGAAAATCATATATGACTTCGTGGACCCTCTCGTGACGGAGGCGTTGGAGAGGAAGAGGCGAGGAATCTTGCTCGACAGCCCAAATGCAGAGAAGCCTGGCGAACAAGATGTTCTTCTTCATCAAATGGCCGAGGCTACGAACGACCGCGTCATTCTCCGCGATGAAATCATGAACATGATGGTCGCGGGTAGAGATACGGTATGTTCCATTCCGTTCGCGGTATGACTTCCTCACGTTGAGTTCATCGTATATTAGACTGCGTCTACGGTACGAGAGAGTTGCTTGCTGATGAAACGGACTACAAAGCTCATGATCTCCCCTTCAAGGTCACATTTGCCGTGTATATGCTTGCTGAACACCCTCAGGTTTTGCACAAGTTGCGCTCAGAAATCCTGTCAAGACTCGGCGGCCAAAGACGACCGGAACCCGATGACTTCAGGCAGATGAAGTATCTCAGGGCCGTCATCAATGGTGAGTCCTGTTCTGTCACTGCCCGATCAGACGTTAACCGCGGGCACATCAGAAACGCTGCGGCTCTTCCCCATTGTGTATGTCCGATTATCGACTGTCATACGCGTGTGCGTAGCTGACAAGCGCTGGTGATCAGGCCTTTTAACAGCAGAGAAAGTATCAAGCCGACCACATGGCCATCCAAGTCCGGCGGACCACCTATTTACATCCCAGCAGGCACGCGGTGCGCTTATGACCAGAGAACTGGCTCCAAATGTGTGCTGAACCTGAGGCTGTAGATGTCTTTATTCCGTTTTGTTGATGCATAGAAGATTCGACCTGTGGGGTCCAGATGGTACGCAAATCCCGTTTTCTACTTCTGAAAGAACTATAACTGTATATCAACAGCTCTCGACTTCGATCCTGACCGCTTTCTTGACCAACGAGTGGAAAGACTCACCAGGAATCCGATGATGTTCCTCCCATTCAACGCCGGTAATGTTAAAACACCTGCGCAAGACCGAGTCCATCGCTGAATGTGCTGCGCCACAGGCCCGCGGATCTGTCTCGGCCAGCAGTTCGCCTATAACGAGGCTTCGTTCATTCTCGTTCGTCTACTGCAAGGCTTCTCGAACATTCAATTGGCCTTGGACGCACAACCGGTTGACAGTTTACCGCCGGCGCGTTGGAAAGATCCCGGGGAGGTACCCTTCAGACAAGAGAGGGAGAAGGTGATGCCAAACACGCATCTGACGTTACATGTGAAGGTGCGCGCTCGGAGACCCTCTCTCGCACCACATGGATCATAACGTGGTGCACAGGGTGGACTATGGGTTAGGATGAAGGAGGCTCAAGGAGGCGAGGTTTTGACAGTGCCAACCCCTTCGAAGAGTGACCTGGGTCATCTGTGATGATAACAATATGCAAACAACCTGATAGGTATGCACCATTCGTCTTTGGTCTTTCCGGACCCAGTGCGACAGACAACCAACCAGTACTGCATCTGTGACGGACCTTTGCTAACGCCGATACAGAATTTGTGGGTGCTGTATGGGAACATCATTATCAAGGTAAGAGCATTTGCAACCCCCCCCCAAGACATTAGCTTTCAGAATGCATTGATTAACTTCGAAATCATACTAGGCTAGGCTCTGGGTTCGGATGAAGGAGAGATCAGGCGATGTAGCAGAAACAGGAAGTATGTGAGTGTCGCCGGTTAGTTCCATGCATGGGGCGTGCATGGGGCGATCGTTGGAGGCACCTAGTACATATGCAGCCAGATATTATCTACTATAGTTTGTACGGCATCCTTGTCCCACCATTCAGCCGTATCGTCTCTCCGTTGATGTACGCACACTCGATGATCCATCTCACTGTCTGCGCGAAATCTTGTGGTCGGCCGAACCTGGATGGAATTAGGCGGCCTTTACCACCGGCAAACAAGTTAATCAGTCACCTCTTCGGAAAGACAAGCTCCTTGCGTAGACTTTCCCGGACCTTAGGCTTCATCTTATCCGTCATCGGGCTTTCGAACATGCTAGGCGCTATTGCCACAACCCTGCACACACACATGATGGTCAGCAGTTGGCTTGTCCAGATGATGCGAATCTTGCCGTATGCCGTAGTCTGCCAGATCTCTTGCCATGGGCAGCGTCATGGATACTAAGGCGCCTTTGCTCGCGGAATAAGACGTTTGTCCGGGCTGTCCCTCGTACTAGGGGAGAAGACTGTCGGATCAGCGAAGGATTACAATCGCGATATTGTCCGCCCACCGCAGCAGCGCTACTAGCAAACACGACGACTCCGCGTTCACCGTCGGCACTAGACGTGTCCCTCGTTTCTTCCGTCGGAAGTTCAGGCTCCACGCTTGCAAGGTGGGGAAGACACAATCGTGTCAGGTTGAAAGAGCCCGTGAGGTTGACGGCCATGACGAACTCCCATCTATCGAGAGGATGTGGTTCTTTCTTGTAGTCCAGTATCTATATGCGCCGCTTAGTAAAGGACATCACATCCTGCGAGTACATACCTTCGAGGGAAGGCCAACCCCAGCACAGTTGATCACACCACCTAATGGTGCGCCGGAATCTTTGAACCACTGGACTGTACCGGCGACAGCACGTTCAATATCCGAGAGTGATGTGATATCCGTCTCGAAGTACTTGACACGCGCGTTGTACTCTTGGCATGAGCTGCCGGATTGTATATGAAGCTGCTCCGGTGGAGGGTTCAAATCCAATACGGATATGTAAGCGCCAGCTTCCAACAGATTCTGGGCTGTAGCTAATCCGAGGCCGGAGGAGCTATGGGCCCACGAGGAAGAACGTTGAGTTTGCCAGTTCGATGCAGGAATACAACAGACTTGCCCACCAGAGATCACAAACGTACGACGGGATATCCTCATAACGGTAAGGCAGTTGAGACACAGAAATCGGCACGACTGAGCTCTGGTGAACAGAGGAGCTCGGTTCAAGATTAAGTACCACTGCATGAACCCCGCGTTTCGCTGAGGTCCCCGGGTGCCGGATATCCGGTAGCCGGATCCCGAGAATCTCGGCGTCGAGTCGGCGAGTACCGCAGTCCCACACGCGCGAGCTTGAAGGGACTTTGGTTCAGATCGTGCATACGACAGTTGAAACCCCAGTATATCTCGGCCAGCCATTGAACTTGAATCCCCAAGCTGTCTTGCTCAATGTCGTCCTTGCGTTGATACGACCACATCCACGGCTTACCTCGACTTGTCCCGGACAGAATGGAAGAGTCCCCGACGGCACTTGCGTCCAGTGTCGGAACGACCGATGGAGGCTCTCTTCCATCGTCCCCTGAGGACACGGGAAACTGGCATCGGTCGCTGCAGATAGACATGAAGGGTCTTGTGGGGGATGCCGTCGGTAATGTACGTCCTGCCTCTCCCACAATGAAACGTGAATCCGCCATACATGCGATGTTTCCTTCGTTATGAGGTGTGCTAATACCATTTTCTTCCAGATGAGCATCAGTCCCACAAGTCGCGATGTAGTCCTGGCTGCGTGCGTTCGCTGCCTTGGGTATAGGATCCGATAATCTGACGGTTTCTCAGTCGGCGTGGGCTTTACATCATCGACCTTGAAGCTCCTTTTGAGGTACCACGCTTCATTCCGCAAGGAGGCACATGGGACGTCGCAGGTTAGTGGATACTGGACCGCGCATGCTGGTCTTGAAGGGGCCCTCATCTGTTGATAGACGTCCAATGGAATCCACATGTCAGCCGTGCGGAGTACATAGTCTCGACCTCGAGCGAGAAACTGTTCGTCTCAATGTTTGTAATTCAGAGGAGATGCGCTGATGAGTGGTACTTGCCAGCTTGATATGGAACTTGATGCAAACAGGGCCGACGTCCATCCAGCATGTGCTACAGTTCCATTATCGAGCGATCACAGACATCAACTGGCATACAAGCGAACCGGGTATGCGAGCACGAACTATATTGAGATACAGCGTCGAAGGAACTCATCGCTCGTTCAGACGTTGTCGTAAGTACGGGTATCGACTCTTGGTTATGGGCTTGGGATTTGCGTCAGCCGCCGCATAAGCCTGTTCTAGGTAGGTCACCATATTTAAACTCGCGACTCCTACTGAGGACTATACAGGCTTCTCAGCATTCGAAGGCAAGTCTACCTGCCGTGATGCTTGGGTACGGCCCTGATATTATATCAGATGCGGGCACGCAGGTCAAGTGGAATCGCCAGGATCCGCACATACTCGCATCATCGCATGGAAATGCTGTTCTTATATGGGATCGCCGGGTATGGATCCTCGCTCCGCATGCAGTTCTCTGAGCTCATCTGCCAGAACCACAGAAAGGCTCGCTTCCTGTATCGAGAACAGTCGCGCACGCCGCCAAAATATACGGCATTGACTGGTCCCACACTTCCCGACGCGAACTCATTACTTGCTCGCTCGACAAAACGATCAAAGTTTGGGATTGTCATTTGCCTGCGGCGGAACAGGCGTACGTACACGCCGACAGCAGAGACCATAATGGTCAACTGCGCATGACCATCAACACCGGAGTAAGACCAAGCTCAGGTGCTGGATTCGAGAGTGAGAGTCGCTGATGGTATCGTAGTATCCCGTATGGCGAGCTCGCGATCTTCCATTCGGTAAAGGCATCCTGAGCCTTCCGCAAAGAGGAGAGACGGCTTTGGAGATGTGGTCACATGCCGATGCGCAGCAACCCGTCGAGGCTTTCGAGGGGCACACCGGTAAGCACGGTTCGGGTCTGTTTATCGACATCCCTTGACGTCAATTCAGACGTGGTCAAAGAGTTTGTCTGGCGGAGAGGTCAAAGTGAGCCATTCTTCTGGGATACGTCGTATAGAAACCACAACTCATCTTGGCGTAGATACTGGAGATTTCCAGTTGATTACTTGGTCCAAAGACCGCACTCTGCGTTTTTGGCCCATAGAACCTGTTACCATGGAGGTAGGTTGTCAACACCTGTTTGCCTGATTTGGCTTCATTTCATCCGTAGTCCGTTGGATGCACTCCGCCCAACCACCCGGAACCTCGAGAACGCCCCAAGGACACTACAGTATCGTTCCGCACTGTCCCAGAACCGGCCTACACGCCTCCTGCGATTACCGCCCCCGTAGGCAACCTTGGAATCCTTGACCAGGTGCGCGCCACCCTCCCCGGACGCCAGATGCCGCACTCGCAGCGGAGCAAGGCCATCGGCAGCGCCGTCAAGCTCTCGCCAACTCAACACCGCCGTATCGGGGAGAAGCATCCGAGGTGGGACGACGACTCGACCTTCGGCTCCGTGGGCGGAAAGACCGTTACGCCGGGCTCGCAGAGCACGCCGATCGCCATCGCATCCCGCAAGGGCCCCACCATGAGCCGCGGCAACTTCGGTGGCAAGTCGGCCAAGATCGAGCCTACGACATGGTTCACCAGCCTGAAGGTCGGAGCAAAGCGCGATTCGAGTGGGGGGCCGCCGAGCGGAGAGAGCGGGAATGTTTCTAGGACTAACTCCCGTTCGAGGCCACCTTCGCTTGGTCAGGCTGACATGCCTATTTTCTCGTCTCGTCGGCGCAGTGGGAGCAGAGACGACGAACCCAAAGAGCTGGACACCAACTCTGCTTTGCATGAAGAGTACGTTGACCTTGAATCATTGGTGCACTGTCAGCTGACGAAAACGACAGGATCAGTGCGGTTGTCACTAAACTCAAGGTCAAGTTCGATAATGTGAGCTATCTTCGCCTCTTGATCTCAAAGGGAGCCACTTACAGTCCGGACGCAGCCAGAGAGACAACGAAAGCGTACATTCACTTTCGGCTTGCACGGCCCATGGGGCCAATCGGGATCCGTCTTCTTCCGCGTTACTTTCAGCTTTCCACGTGGCTATCCCCAAGACGGCATACCGACGGTTGACCTCGAAAAGCATAGTTCTATCTCGCTCAGAAATCAGCGATACATGCTAGCGCGGGTGCGAGAGATACTTCAGCAGGAACGTCCTTGCTTAGAGCCGGCTTTGAGGTTCCTCCTATATGCGGACGCCAACGATCCTCATCCAACCTCCGATGTGGAATCGTCCGACGATGACCATGCAACCCCGAAAAGCCAAAAAGACAAAACGTTCACGCTTATCCGGAACGTCAAGAATCTTGCGGAACCGCGAACGTCGCAAGGCACATTCAGCGTAGGCGGTACGTCATCATAAGAATCATTCTTGCAACAAGTGCTCATCCCTTCCAGGTCAATTTGTGTGCTTCTTTCGCGCTCCGCCTCGGATTGTACGGAACGCTCTGCAAGACCTGTCGATGTCGTCCTCGAATGTGGCTCGACCAGAAGAGACCCCGCGAATGTTTCAGTCCCCTGCCTTGTTGTCTGACGCCGTCCGGCTCCTATCCCTTGCGGCGAACGACCGCAACCCGTACCGTGACGCGAGAATGCGCCACTCGAAACATGCCGAAGAGAACGAACACAAAATCCTGACCGTCATGACCAACCTCCTGTCCGGCTCACAAGTGAAGCTGCGCCGTTTCTCCGAGATCCGTCCGCCATTAACCAGCAACTACTCCTTATTCGGACATCAACTGCTGAGCGTGGTGCACATCCGCGACGTGTCGGATATTACCCGCATGGACCAGGAGTGCGCGGCGGAATACGGCTTTGGAATATCGGCGCTTGGGCTGAACGCTGCAAGTGCACAAGCGCTTGGAAGACCGGATCACGAGCGGATTTTCCGGATGGTGGAGGCTATTGCAACGATACCAAAGGTTTCCATCCCCAGCGGGAGAGTCTCGCGAGCGCCGGTGATAGCTATCTTACTGAAGATATATGAGGACGTCGCGACGACCAGGGATATCCATATTTTGGCCATCTTGGCCACTGTTCTCCTGGAAGGTTACCACATATCAGCTAGTGGTGTGTTTAGTTGTCCAACGACTTCAGGGTGACACTCATATTCATATTTTACTAGGTCAACCTTCCTATACTCAGACTCCGCGGCCGGCCTCGCCCACGTCCGGTCAGGATAGCCCACGTACGCCGCCCGGAGACTACTTTTCAGACAAGAAAGACAACAGATCGAAGCAGCACGCGCCCAATGCGAAAGGAACCGGCCCCGCACGGATGCCTCCACAGGCTCCCTCCTCCGCTCCTCCTCTTTCTCCCTCGAACTCGTCACGCGGCTCATGGTCCAGCTTGTTCAGTACGTCTCACATGCGGCAGCTGGTCGCGGGGGGGCCGGCAGCGGATAGCGACGATGTCACGACTCCAACGGCGGCTGCCATCCCGGTGCCAGGCGGCGGATTGGGACGGCGGAGGAGAGAGTCCGACTCGCCGATCGCTCCGGGGTTCGTCAACAAGGATTCGCCGAGCACTGCGCCTCAATCGTCTTCAGGGACTAAGTCCTGGAACGAGATGGCGCTGGGGGCGGTAGTGGCGCTCGCCGCGTCCCAGAAGAAAGCGCCAGCGAAATCGAAGAATACGAAAGCCAAACGCACAGAGAAGCGGATATGCGCGGTGCTTCCGCCGGCGTCGACGCCTATGAGGTCGGTAACAAATGGCTCCGCGTCCGACCGCATACGCATTCCGCGGCGCTGACGCACTTCGCAGCATATTCACAGTCAAACCAGAGCTCCGCGAGCAGCTCGTTCACCATATCATCGTCTATGCTAACATTCTGTTTTCTTGGGGTTTACTCGACAAACGAGCAGAGATCCTCAAATTTGCCGCGTCGGCGCTCCAGACTTCGCCGGATAGGCGACCGACGTCTTGGTTTGTCGAAAAGGAGGCTTTATCGGACTCCAGTACAGACGATGTACCTGCTATGACATTAACATCTCCTTGACATACGGGCAATCTTGGAAGTAAAGGATTCAGGGATTTCCTTACCCAACTTCAACGGCCGCATACAGTCAACGCAAACTCCGGGATCAAGATTCACTCTATTGCACGGGGCACACATCACAGGTTGAGTGGGCAAATGCCGTCAGGTAAACAAGATCCCGTCCCCGTCGATCCTGCCTTGCGAGATCCCTGCACGGTAGACCGAATATGAACGTATGGCACGGTTTTGCAGTTAGCTACCACAGTCCGTTCAACGAAGTTTCTCTCAGTCAGGGCAGAATTGCACGTCGATGCCGTAGGACACGGACACCGTGGGCACTGAGAACAAAACAAACGACATGAGCCGATAGCTATCCCCATTTCACCGACGGTGACGCACCGTTGGAGCCGTTTCCGAACTGCGCGGTGTACGGGGAGCTCACGTTGAACGTGAACTGGATGAGGTTGTTGAAGTCGGTGTTGTTCACGACGAGCTGGATGCCGGCGACCTGTGCGAATCGCGTCCGTGTCAGTTGCTGCCACCTCTCGTCCACGAGGAGGAGGAGGCGCCCATCCGGTTGCTTACGTCGTCGGAGATGCCGGTGCCCCAGTTGTCGACGGCGTCGGTCGTGACCGAGGTGCCGTTCGCGAACGCGACGGTAGCGGTGATGTTCACGCTCGAGTCGCACTCGGAGTTTTCGACGCTGATCGAGCGCGAGGTGATGGGGATGACCGCGGTCTCGCCGGCGTTCGGGGAGGCGGCGCTCGCGTTGTACGTGGTGTGGATGTTGGCCGAGACGTCGATGGAGGTGTCTGGAATCGAGGCCGCACCTCTCCGTGTTAGCGAGGTTGAGATGACTGCGGGCGTAGGAGGCCACCGACCAAAGTTATCCGCTTGCAAGACGAACGGGGGTGTGGCCGTGTTCACCTGAGTTATCACTTTCGGGTCAGCGCGTTGTCGCGCTTTCCAAGCCCGGCGCGAAAACCACACACCGAAAGCTCGACCGCCGAGTCGTTGTCGCCTTTGAGCCTCCACGCGAGGGAGGTCGTGTCGCCCTCGAGCTCGATGCCCGCGACGTCCGCCGGAAGATCGAACCACTTTCCGTCCAGGGTGTCGCCGTTCTGGAACTTGTCGCCCGCGGTCGTCGACGTCGGCGTGTCGGCCTGGGTGAACCATTCGAGGAAGAATGCGCGCCGGTGCAGCTGCTTGCCGGGCGCGGCGGAGGCGGTGGTGCAGCAGGCGCCGAGCAACGCGAGCCAGAGGGACGGCGAGCGCATCTTGCGTGGATCCTACTTGGAGGTGCTCGACGGTTTTCTCTTGAGGCTCTGAGCCTATGTGTTATATGTACATACTACATGTTGTAGGATGCCGAAGGAGCGGGACCGCAGCGTAAGCGCGCGGGTTTACCAAGCCGCGTCGCGCAGGGCCGTTGATCGTGATCGTTTCGCGGAGGAGATGGTGTCGCTGTGGTCAGAGGCATCGGAGGCTTCCTCGCGAAGATCTATTACGCTATACGCAGATGGTAACCGTGCGTGGCTGTCCGGACTTGCTATGCCTGGAGGAGTAGCTAAGTATGCGTATTGGCACATGTAAGAAGATCAAGAGCTAACCAGCAAAACGGCTGCTAGTTGGTCTGGCACGAACACGGGCTGACTAGTACTGCTCTGCAGTTCACGCGTTCACGGTCAAAGATGGCCAATTACACTTAATGATGCAACAAGCAACATCCCATATTGTCAAGACGTTGGTTCGTTACATCGAAGCTTCGAGTGATGTGTGGTACCGGGATGTTCATTACCTGAGCTTGCTCTGGTGCTCTGGTATCTCCCTGCCCGTAATTAGTAAGCATCGCTAACCGTGGCTGTGCTGCATATTTAATCCCCGATTTGATTCTCCGATTCAAGTAAACGGCCAACATACATCGTCGATTCTACGCAGACTTTACCAAGTATAAGTATACATGGTTGTACTGCTACTAAACAGAATTATGTACGGTACGTCACATGCTTCCGAAGTTAGAATTAGATGAGTCAAGACTAGGAATGCCTGGCATGCATCCTGAGGTACATTGATATCTATTTAGTTGTCAGGTATTCACGTTGAGTATATCGCGTCGCAAATCACACACGGAGGTGCAAGCGAAGGTGGATTGGCGGGAGACCGCCCTTTCCTCTAGTACTGAGTCTGCGCCAAATTTAGCACCGTCTGTTCAAGACGACCACGGCTGAACGGCTTTCTGTCGCGCAAAGCGCAGCGCCAGTTCGATCGCATGAGTCGACGCACGGCTGCCTCTCGCTGACCTCAGAGCGGAAAGAAAGAACATGGTCAACTCTACCAGTCGCATCATTCTTGCCCAGGGTGCATGACTGCTCAACGTTCAACGTTCAAGCTGCCTGCCATCGCTCCGTCGCCTCTGTCGTGGGCGACGTCAACGCGACATCTGTAAAGTCCGAGAGGAGTGATCCGGAGTCTTGTTTCTGGCGGACGTACGTTTTTGTATTTGAGGACGGATCCAGTACCGTGGGCGTTGATACATATACTCATTCATCCGCAGGTGGGATGCTATTGAAGAGTGATCCGAGCGGAGCGACTGTGGGCGTTTCGAACTGTAGGTTGCCTCCTAACGACGCTCGACGTGTGTCACTAGTATATGAGTCCAGGCTGCGGAGGTACGCCTTCCTGGACTTGGTTTAATATACGATTGCCGTGGCGCCGGCCGAGGTGTCAGAACTACGCAGCGACAAACGTCGAGGGGATAAGTGCCTCATAGTAGTATAATCTAGTGCGAGACTGCTTTGCGTGGATAATTTGACCGCCTCATCCTCGCTCGATATCGTTATATGGATTGCGCGCTGCCATTCTAGGCTGAATGGCTGCTGGCGGTCAGGTGGCGCGCTGTTCCTGGCAGGCAGAGACACGGATAGAGACGGCACGGGGTCACCGGACACCGATAGTGGTGTACATATGTGCAGTCGCCGAAGTCGACGCCCGTTTCAGCGTCGTACAGGGGGCGGTGAGACTAGGCGGCAAGGGATATATCTTCGCGACGAACGCGATCGGCGCCGTGCGTGGCGTGCCGCTTGCCCCTTTCCGACAGACAATAGCGAGGCAGCCGCGACGGTCCGCGGACAAGACACGGCGAGCACGAGTCGTCGTGCAAAGCAATGGGCCAGTCGGGGATCTGCGGCCCAACCGGCTCGATGAGGCCCATCAAGCCATTGCAGCCAGACAAGAATCCACGTCGGCCCAAAAGGGCAACGGCCTGCAACGGTCGGAGTTTGAATATTTCCGGAATGGACGCTCGCCCCCTCGCGAGCTGTCGCCGCCTTGTCGTCCCTTCGTCCCGTCGATACATATGACTCAAATGATCCGGTCCTTCTAACTTTTTCTGCCCCTACACATCGTCCACCACAGCATCCTCGGGGGTATCCTATGGGAGACGCCATGGCCACCACAGCGGGATTGGTGCGTGCAAATCATAACAGGCTGCCCACGTCGCCGCAGTCGCCGTCGAGCTCATCGTCCCTCGCCTCTGTCTCAGAATGAGCCGGGTATAACGAGCCTCTTGTCGCTGTCGCTGGCGGCCTCGAACGCAGAACCCGTCCCCGTTCCACCCGCGGCGGCGACGCCGTCGGCCGCCCATGGTACCCCGTCCAGCCTAGGCAGCCCCAGCGCCGCCGCCCACCACGGCCTCAAGCACCGACGGCTCTCGTCCACGGGCCAGATGCGGAGGCGCCTCAGCGACGCCCGCGAGGCCGCCAGTCGCCCGACGTACGTTCACATTCTGCCCCGGGTATCTTGTGTCTCCCCAACGTTTTGACCCATCTATTTCGCGCTTCTCCCGGATTTTTAGCGCGCACCACATGCACTCCGCCGCGTCCGCGATGTCCGCCCTCTCGCTCGCGTCCTCCTCGCCGCCGCCGCACCCACAGATGGCGCCGTCGGTCTCGCTCGGGTCCGTCGCGGGCTCGCTGCCGGATAACAAGAACGTCGTGCTCGCGCAGCCCATCGGCAGCGGCTCGGGCGGGAAGGCCGGCAAGAAGCGCGGGACGACTTTCACTTGCGAGAGCTGTTCCAAGGTATGCGCCTTCTTTCACGCTCTCGCGGCTTTGACACCGGGGTTTATCGCGGCGTTCTTTTACGTCTAGGTGTACCGGCATCCGTCGTGCCTCATCAAGCACCGGTGGGAACATACGCCGCAGTGGCGAGAAGCGTCCAAGTTCGTCCTCAGCAAGCATCAGCAAGTGCAGCTTCTCGAGGTAACTCCATCCCTCTCGCTGCTTTTTTCTATTTTTTTCTATTTTTTTTTTTTGCTCGCACACCACCGCTCACGCCCCTCTCCCCCCGAATTCTCAAAGGCGGCCGCCATCCTCTCGCACATCTCGCCAGACGCGACGGGCACGTCCCTGCCCGAGGACCGCTCGCTCTGGCCGTCCTTCCTCTCGGGCGGCATGATCCCCTCGCCCTCCACGTCCGCCTCGACCGCCGGCGTGCACGCCCCGCCGACCGCCCCGACCTCGAGCTCGGTCCCCGCCACGTCCTTCCTCGCCGCCTCCTCCCGCGCCTCCTCCGCCGGCCCGCGCCTGCACGACTTCTCCGTCCGCTCCAGCCGCACGCAGATCCGCCCCGGCGTCGTCGGCGTCCCCACCGCCGCCGCCGCCACCACCACGACGACGGCCCCGGTGGCCGTGCCCGCCAAGGCCGAGTACCGCGAGCCGCGCAGCTTCTCGTCCTCGTACGACGCGCTCGGCTCGTCCTTCGGCCGCGGCCTCGGCGCGCACGCGCACTCGCAGTCGTTCACGCGCTACTCGGAGGTGCGCTCGTCGTCGGGCTCGCGCTCGCGCTCGGCGTCGCTCGACGAGGAGGAGGAGGAGGAGGAGGAAGAGGGGGGGCAGTACGTCGACGTCGACTTTGACGTCGAGATGAGCAGGACGTGGTCGGCGGTGAAGGAGGAAGAGGAGGACGGGGAGGAGCAGTTGCAGCAGCTCAAGGCGGCGCGCGCCGGCCACGGCCAGGACGAGAACGAGTGGGCGGGGATGGACATGGACATGGACTGAGGGGTCCGTTTTCCCCGTCCCGTTCGGTTCCCACTTTTTTTTGTTTGCATGACGAAATCTTTTCACGCGGACTTTGTGTGGTTGTTTTCCCCCCCGGTCCCCACTCTCCGTGAACGGCGAACGAACGAATGAATGAATGAATACCTTTTGTACAATGGCGTGTACTCGTTTTTTTGTTGTGTGTGTTGTCCGTGTCTTGTATGTAAACCGTTGCTGCATCCTTTTATCTATATAACGACATATAGCCATAAACACCTTCGATTTGCCCCGCTTATTGTGCGAGAGGGGAGAGACTTGCGCGTGTATGTCCGAGTAAATCGAATTTCGACAACGTAATGATACGAAGCGCATATATCCACGGCTCTGATGTCTGACATGCAATGGGCGTGCACATATTCGAGGAACGTGCTTCCAGTCGGATGCGATATGTGTATGGCCAAGCTGTGCCATTCAGTGCAAACCCGTGATATCCAGACGATGGAGAGACAGGAAAATTGATAAATAAACGGCAGACTAAAGAGATAGAGCAAGCTGCATCCGGGCCGTGCCCCTGCGAACCCATTCCTCCGGCGTGACGCGGTCCTCGGCCTCGAACACGCGGTCGTTGGCCGGGGCGAAGGCCCAGGAAGAGACTTGAGGGGCTGGCGTTGCGGTGATCGCCCGCAACTCGTTGCCTGAGCACGGTGTCAGGTTGCGGCAAAAAGAGAGGTGTAGATGTGGAAAAGGCGCGTACGGATGATATTACGCGTGAAGTGGTCCATGTTGAGGTCGTTCTTGTGGTACCCGAATGGATCTGGGGCCGAGAGCATCAAACCGCGTGCCAACATTAGGTCTCGGTCGCCGGGCATACCCTCGATTTCTTCGCCTGCGAGGATGAATCCAAAGAAGAAGAAGGACTGTGAACATGTCGTGTAATCAGGCGCGGGGTGATCGTCGCGAAGAAGGGTTGCCTACCACAATTGCAGCACCAGGGATAGTAACCCATCCCAGCGACCCCACGATCTGAAAGGGCTGCGAGCGAAGGCGTGAACCCTTATGTGATGGGCAGACGGAGAAGGAAGGAACTCACCAGGACCAGACAGTATATGAAGTTGACGACCCAAAGATGGACAGAGTACGAGAAGGGGATCGGCGTGGTGAGTATGCGCTCAAGGCCGGTGAGTGCGGATACGAGCTGTGTGACAGATGCTTGCAGCGTCGCTGTTCACTCGCTGGTTAGTGAAGGGCACAGAGACAAATGTATGATGCCAACTCACTGGTGACCGGAGCGTCCAAACATTTCCGCTGTTCTGCGTCCACGAGTCAGCTCACGAGACTCAAAAGGAACGCATTGTATCACATACGCAAAGCAGCAATGTAAGAACTCTACAATACCGAGGTAAGACCACCCGCAGTCAGCTACACGTTCGCGACAAACACCTGTTCCGGAAAACGTACCAAATAAAATGAAATTTCTAGGGGAATGTTGTGCGACCCCGCGCGGTCCCTCCACTTCGCACGCAAGCGCGCCGCCTTCTTGCCGCCCACGTCCTTTCCCTTCTTATCCAGCCAACGTACCAGACGCGAAAACGGGAAGACGTCGGAAAGGCCGTACTTCGGCGGCATCCGGGCGGGCAGCAGGATCCCTTCTTCCCCAGGTCCAAACGACGACGTCGAGAACCGGCTCGTGGCTCTCCGCTGGGGCATCTGCGGAGCGGAAACGCTGGGTTTACGTGCTTTTCCGCCGGGGTGAGAAGCGCGGGGAGTGGTGGCGGGCATGGGGAGCGAGGACGTGGATGATGCGCGGGAGCGGGGCCCGCTAGTACCGTGTTGGTTGGGTCCGCCGTTAGACTCCGAAATTTTTTCAGGGAGCGGAGAGAGGATGTCTTCGTTAGTGGCGGAGGGGACGCCTGCTGGGAGAGCATACGAGGGGAGGTGTTTGACGAGGTGGTAGAGGTCGACGTAGTGAACTGCGCGAATCGTATCTTTAGAAGTGTAGCGATTGTGTAGAGGTACGAAGCCTACTTCCGACCTCGCCGCGGAGGTAATGCTTGACGGCGACAGCGAAGCCTTCGAGTAGGTTGAGGACTGTCTTTTTCTCGATCAAGGAGCGGGCGTTCGTCTCTTCGGGAGATTTGTCAGCGCCATCGGTGGTGTCTGATATATGCGAGTCAGTCGGAAGTGCTGCACAGTAATAGGCAACATCTGCACACCTGGAACATGGAACCAAATTACCCTGGCAAAGGTACGCGTGCCCAATACGATCTCACCCCACAATCGTCTACCTTCGTTGTATCTCTCGAAACTAGATGTAGTCCTTAACGACACTGAAAGAATATATCGATTGGTGTGTGTAATTAATTTCTCGTCAGTAAGTGGTATACATCATGTAAAGTTACTACGTACCGACGAAGCCTAATATCGTACCGAGTCTATCCAGCAGTGAGATTCATAGTTTATGCCCAGGTTGACATAACGTCGACGTACACGGTCAGCAGCGTAGATTGAATCGCTACTGTGTGTGCACGATTGATGAAACATATCACCGTCGCCCAAATCGTGAAGAAGAAGACGGTGTGCCAGCACCGTAGGATGGAGCTGGCGAGCACGACGTTCGTGAAGGACTGCTTTTCAAAATGTCTGCCGCGGCCGACGCCGCCGATCCCATTCACGAAGTGGACATGCTATGCGTTCATGGGGGTGGTCAGCGCTCGATGTCCGTCTTTGGAAGAGGAGGCGAATATAGAAAGAGAGGATGTATACAAAATACAAAGCGGGACAAGGCAATCTGAGACGCACCGATCCTGTGCTGGGTGCCGTGCCAAGGGGCTGCGCTCTGGGGTGCTCGCCGGGGACGACCATGTTGGAAGGTGATTACCAGGATCGGTATTGATGCCTTATTGACCGCGGACTTGCTGAGGTCAGTGACAGATAGCGTAAGAGGTAAACGAGAGCCCAAAGTTTCGCAGTAGGTTGTGGCAGGACTGGTATGCGTGGGGGAACGAGGATACCGCGTTGGAGGTCATATGGGCGTCTATCGAGGCCTCGAGGCTGACCGCTGCCGTAAGGGCGAACTTCTGTGCGCCCTACATAGCAAAAGTGCAATTCAACGCGGCCTTGAGACCAGCGACATGCAAGTCGGCGGGTGAGTCAAGTGTCGAGTTGCATCCAGAAGGGCGACGCCACGGTGAGAGGTAAGGCAGCATTGAACGTGAAGTGCTCTGGTGCAACCGATTAAAGATAGAAGCACATATATATAGTGGAGCATCGGAGGTCCCTCGCAGGCGGAATCGGAGATCGGCAACAGTGCGGGGAAAAGTTCTTCGTTCCTTGCGCAGAGTAAGTGAGCAAGCGGAAATAACTTAGTTTGCCATGTACAAGTGAGATATCAACACGGGCAAGCCACCGCTTCGGTGCAAAACCTCGTTTGCCTGGTGCAGCACCAGCAAGAACTTCCTTCCTCACTTGAGCAAGCTTGTCTGGCACTCGCGGGGAGTAAGTGATCGAAATGACAGGAATGTGATGAGTCATCACCATGACGCTGGATTTATTGAAACTAAACCAGAAATGGGAAAAATGCCAACATTGTTTGCCTTGAAGGGAGGCTTGCGCGCACGAACAGGTAGCATAGATACCGGCAATGTGATGTTCAGGTAATTGAAAGTGCATGGCTACACGTCTCTGCTTCGTGCGTATATAATTAGCGGATATAAAAAAATGCCGTGCGGGAGATGCTTTTTCAGTCCGAAGAATTGCAGTGTATAAACGGCCCCAGTCATGAGATGCGTAAAGCTGCCATGCCCCTCCTCATGGTAAAAGACGACAATCTAAAGAGATAGAGCGAACTGCATCTGGGCCGTGCCCCTGCGAACCCATTCTTCGGGCGTGACGCGGTCCTCGACCTCGAACACGCGGTCGTTGGCCGGGGCGAAAGCCCAGGAGGAGACTTGGGGCGCCGGCGTCGCGGTGATCGCCCGCAGCTCGTTGCCTGGGCGGAATATCAGAGATGCGATGGCGAAATTTGGATGCGGGATAGGAGCGTACGAATGATATTGTGCGTGAAGTGGTCCATGTTGAGGTCGTTCTTGTCGTAGCCGAATGGATCTAAAGAGGATTATTTTAAGTAACCACGCGGGGCGTGACCGATTGGGTAATCACGCACTCTCGATCTCTTCGCCAGCAACGAGGAATCCGAAGAAGAAGAAAGACTGCGGGGAGAACGTCCATTTTTAACGAGCCAAGTTTGTCGAAGAAAGAGTGGTGCGTACCACGATCGCCGTTCCGGGAATAGTCACCCAGTCCAGCGGGCCGACGATTTGGAAAGGCTGCGAAACACGTCATAAGCCCTCGAGCCTGCCAGGCAGGCGCTGCAGATAAGGAGCTCACCAGGACCAAACAATAAATAGAGGTAACGACCCAAAGATGAACGGAGTATGAGAAGGGTATCGGCGTGGTGAGGATGCGTTCTAAACCGGTGAGGGCGTCTACGAGTTGCGTGAGGGTGGCGAGCAGTGTTGCTGGGAAACGACCGGAGCAGGTGAGCGACGAGCGGATGACCGAAAGTCGGTTTTGCTTACTGTTGGTGGGAGGATCTAAGCATTTGCGTTGCTCTTAAAAACGTCTGTATCAGCCACCGAGTGTGATTCGGATCGTCGCGAAGAAAAACCACGTACGAAGGGCGGCGACGTAGGAACTCTGACGTTCCAAACGAGTTCGTCAGTTATAACACGAACCGGACGAAAACGCCCTGTTTTTCTAAAAGGCACGCACCAAATAGAACGAAATTTCTAGCGGGATGTTATGCGACCCCTCGCGGCCCCTGCGCTTCGCCCGCAGCCGAGCCGCCTTCTTCCCACCGACGTCCTTCCCCTTCTTGTCGAGAAAGCGCACGAGGAGCGAGAACGGGAAGAGGTCGAACAGCCCGTACTGCGGCGGGGTCCGCGCCGGCAACAGGAACCCCTCTTCCCCCGGTCCGATCGACGCCGTCGGGAACCGGCTCGCGGCGCTGCGGGGAGACATCGGCGGGGCGGCCACGCTGGGTTTGCGCGGTCGGCCTCCTCCTGGGTGCGAGGCACGCGGAGCGGTGGCGGGCATGGGGAGCGAGGTGTTGGACGAGGCGCGGGAGCGGACGGAGCGGAGCTCGCTGGTGCCGTCGTGGTGGCCGTTGGCTTCCGACGGTTTTTCCGGGAGAGGGGAGAGGATGTCTTCGTCGGTGAGGTTGGCGGCGGACGGGACGCCGGCGGGGAGGGCGTACGACGGGAGGTGCTTGACGAGGTGGTAGAGGTCGACGTAGTGGACTGTGCGGAGGGCCGCAGCGTTAGAGGGAATATGTCGATCGTTGTGTAGGTGAAGCTTACTCCCGTCCTCGCCGCGGAGGTAGTGTTTGACGGCGACGGCGAAGCCTTCGAGCAGGTTGATGACCGTCTTTTTCTCGATCAGAGAGCGAGCCTTGGTTTCTTCGGGTGACTTGCTGGCGCCATCGGTGGTGTCTGGTACGCGCCAATTCGTCTGTGTTATCAGGCAAGGATGGGTAGAGAAACGTACCAGGAACATGGAACCAGACAACTCTGGCAAAGGTGCGCGTGCCCAACACAATCTGGCCCCAGAGCCTGCGCCCTTCGTTATATCTCTCGAAACTGGACGTCGTCCGGTACGACACTGTATGAACGAACGGAGTCAGCGCTATATACGCGATGCAGATCCGGATCTGAGATTCAGCTCACCGACGAAACCCAAAACGGTACCGAGCCTGTCGAACCGTCAGATTCATGAACTCGATCACACGACGGCGAGAGACGTACACCGTGAGCAGGGTGGACTGGATGACGATGGTGTGGACCTCGCGGTTGATGAGGTATATCGCCGTCGCCCAGACGGTGAAGAAGAGGAGGATGTGCCAGCACCGGAAGAGGGCGGTGGCGAGGACGGCGTGCGTGAAGGACGCGAGCGTGCCCTGCTTCTTGCCGAACGGGTCGACGACGCCGAGCCCGGGCACGAAGTTGACGTGCTGCGGGTCCATGGTGCGGGTCAACGCCGCGTTCGTTTCGGACGAGAGAAAGAGAGAGGGCGAGAGAGGAGGAGGAGACAAAGAGAGACTGGACTGTGAGACGCACCGAGCCTGCGCTGGGTGCCGTGCCAAGGGGCTGCGCCCTGGGGTGTTTGCCGGCGGCGGCCATCACGACGACAGCGGTTGGTGCTCGCCAACGTCCGTCACAGAATTCAGCCGGGTCTGGGCCGGAAGCAAATCGTCAGGGGAACCGAACGCCGCCCCTGCCTTTCGCTGTGGACTTGGACCTCGACCAAGTCGTTCGCAACAACTTTCCGGGGGAGGACTGACAACGGAGACTAGTGAAAAGTACTGGGGCGGGGGCGACCCAGTGTATACATATCAGCGCTTGATGCCTCGAGGCCCGTTCCCAGCGTCAAATGATCGCATGACCTGGTCGCAGTCACCTCTCCCTTGAGCGAATGCACGACGGAGACACCGTCAAGTACAGCGCAAGTAGCTGCTATACTTACTCGTTCTCGGTGGCGTCTCTTCCGCAGGAACCTCGCGATCGTACCGGATTATGGTATCCAGGTTTTTGATACAGAAGCTTCATTTCCTGTTTCAAGTTCTTCTCCGGCCGGCCGAGTCTCGTTCTGCTCTCGATCGTGCTTCAGCTCCTCGCCGTTGTATCGTGACCGCGGCGACATCTTCCCGCAGATAGGGCAAACTTCTGAGCTGTGTACTCTAGCTCTGCTCGAGCCATGTTCACCACTTTCTTGTGAGATAGTTCCATGGACGGATCTCGGGAGGTCGGCGGCGGCGACTGCACACGCGCGATTTACGGCGCTCACACTCATCCATGCTACTCGTTTCGTGCTACTTCAAAGCAATAGCGGGTACTTGGGATCACGACTCGTTTCGAAAGCATACATTCAGCCCATAGCAATCTGCGCAACTCGAGCGGGCTAGACGATCGAAATCTCCTATCCGATATCTAACATTTCACTTTCTGAAGGGTGGGGTCATGCCTCATCGTATCGCAGACAACGAACAATCGGGCGGGTCGACGCGACTCACGGGATTCGTGAAGCACGGCGGCTCCGGCGGGATCACGATTGGCTCCGGAACAGGCGCCGGCGTCGCCGCAGCGAACGAGGCCCCTCTGCGATATCATCAACGAAGGGCCACATAGAAACGTCGGCTTTGAGTCGCTTACATGGCAAGCACGGCGAGCGCGACCGCAGCAACGCGGCTGCGAAGGAACATGGCGTCGAGATAAAAATGCCTGGTTGGAATGGATACGTATACCGCTTGATCGGAGTGAACGGGTTTTATGCGTTGTTCGTCGAGGCTGCGCGATCCGCAGTGGAAGAGACGGGTCCAAGAAAAGCGGCGGCGTTGGGGCTTGCCATACGATTCCCGCCCTGCGCCATCAGCGGTACGTTCGCGCGTGTGGGCCGGGTTTTGTGCACGCCGACTCGCAGGGTCCATGGGATACGGCACATATACGTCTGCGGCGCGTTGGTCTAGATCCTCTCCTCTACAAGGCCCGCGATCCTCTTGTTTGTGCATCGGAACGACGCGTTACGCATGATGGCGGTTCGTGCTGGTCGTCCAACTCGCAGGGCAGTGGTGAGCTGAAAAGACCTGCTTCGTCGCCTTACATTCATACGTTTCCATCTTCGACACCAGCGGCGCGATCCACTCGGAGGAAGCCTTGTCGATGATACCGACGCCACAGTAACAAATGGTCCGGCGCGTGCTCTCCGCCCACTGTCGAAGGCAGGAATGATGACTGTCCAACCCCGCAAAGACAATTCAACTGCTGCGCTCGCCTTGACGTGAGTTGGGTCGCCCCACCGGGATAGGACAGCTCCCAGGAAGCGCCGGCCTCAGAAGCGTGTACATGATGCGGCCTGCGCCAGCATACGAAGGGTGCTTTATTTGGCGACTGCTAAACGGTGCTCGGGCACAAGTTGAATTGTCCTTGATATTGACTGCGCGATGATGACTGGAAGATGCGCCGAGTAGTAGGGATGCGGAGACTGTTTATGCTTATCACGTAGACAAACACATGGATGCAAACGAGATGCGTGTTCTCAGATATACATCATGGTACTAATATCCTGCCATACATCTAGCAATGGACGCGCCGGGTCAGAGGTTACCAACACAACCATCTGTATAGACGTAGAGTACATCTGAATCCACGTCTTTAAGGATCGATGCCCTGACAGACAGGCTAACCAGTGGCCAGACTCGTTTTCAGATATTGCGATCTCGATGACAATGCACTGGAGGGGCTCACGGCTTCGGGGTGTGTTAGACAAATGCCAGGAAAATGGGGCGGGTTGACAATGACAGGAGACGCGTCTGCAATGGAGATCCCGCTGGGAAATTCGTCGTAATCAACATCAATGTGCAGATGCGACGGGCCTCGCTTACACGACGAGCGTGGAGAAGAGGGCGACGACGACACGGGTATGGACGAGCATGATTGTCTGCGCTGAGCTTGAGCAGGTTGTAGATAATGTTGAGTTGCATCACGCTGCATTATGCGAGACTTTATACCTCTCCCTGGGGTAATGCCCAGCGGCCTTCTCGGCGACATCGATATGAATTTCATACGAGTATTAATACAATGACACAGGTGGCTCCCAGCCGTCGGTGTCATCAGAGACATTCATCTACAATAGACGATATTGCTTCTGCATTCGATCCATCAAGGACTCGACTCCGCTACCACGACACCACGCACATCAGGAAAACACCCAACTGGTGATTTTGTGTAAATTATGCAAAATTATCTGCATTGGCGTAGATTCAACAGACTGCTGCTAATATTTGTCTAATCTACAATAGGACAGACATATATATGGTACTAGTACTGTCTATCAGAAGAGGGTCTTATAGGCATGTGCATTCCTGAAACAGTTCACATAGAAGAAAGGAGCATGTTCTATAGAGCTTGATGAGGTCCATTCACGTGGTGCCTGTGGACCAAATTTGGGGATCAAATGCACAACCTGATATAACCGGCTCAGAGGAATGACTTCTGCATGCCTTTCCTCCCATTCTGTCCCCTCCCATTCCAGTGAACGTGATAATCGGTACATCTTGTGATCAGGATGTGGAGAGCGGAATGGTGAGAACCATTCGATATAAGCCAGATAATCTGATTCCAAAGAAGCATCATGCATGAAGAGTGAAGCTTTGTGTTTCTGTGGGATCTTGAAAATAACCCTAATCTGTGCAGCACGATAACCTGTCTCTATTCTCAGTATGACACAATATCAATATTGAATATGATTAGTACCATTCACTCCTGGACCACATTCATCCTTGATTTTTATCAAAGCTACATCGCTTCTTGCTGGGTTTGCATGCAATGTATCCTCGATATTGCAGATTTCAGAGTATAAGTGTGGATCAGGATATGTGAACTTGATGCTATGGTAGACCGGAACCTTGACAAATGGGATGTGTTGTTCAAATGCAGCATCATATGATTGCGCAGCTGTGAGCTCAGGCTTGTTGGTAATAGCAACATACCGCTGCAGATGACGTAGAAAGTTGGGTGCACGGTAGTTGTTCTCCAGGTCAGAGAAAGGTACGGAGGTCTTTGATGGGTTTTTTGTGAGATGTATACGTGGAAGATGTGTTGTGTGAACCTGTGCCTGAGTGACTGAAGTTCCTGACAACCGCCACTGAATAAAAGATGCATGATGGAGTATCTTCTCCTTCCGCTCCAACCATATGGTCATCTGTGGATAGACATCCTTCTTGTTTGTAGCACGATATGCATCTTTTGTTAAGTCAATGTGCAGTCTTTCTGTTGTTTCAGTGTTGGTGTTGTCGGTGGTCCCAAAGCGTTCGATGAGAGAGCGGTAGTGAGATGCAAAATGTAACTTGGGGAAGTTGAAGTGTGTGCGAATACCAAGATCCACAAAAATTGACTTGTTGGCATGAAAGCGGTTCAATGCATCATCTAGTGCATCAAGAGTATGTGTTGAGTGACAGGGATATTGTGCCAGATACAAGAAGTCAAGGATACTGCGCACCGCGCGTATGAGACGTGATGGGCTCATATGGTGTGGAAGGGGGAGGTCAACAATAAGCCCAAGAATGATGCTGCATATTTGCCGATGTTCAGATCCTGAGATACGGTTCAGAGTTGATATGCCCTGTGTAAAAAGACGCATTCCATGGCTTGCAGGCATTCGTCGGCACCGGGCATCGAGCTCCTCAGAGCTATAGGCAGTTTTAATCCAAGCAAGGATGTGCTTGAGTATACCTTGCAGAAGCTGATGCAAGACATCAGGAACAATAGACTCGAAGATGTATACGTAGGGAAGTTCCTGCCAGAATGGATGATAGATAGGCTTGATACCAGCTTCTTGGCATGCCTGAGTGAATTCAGGGCCACCTTGTTCTGCCAGTTCCAGAGCATCGAGGATCCTATTGATATCACGGTCTCCACCAAGTTCACCACATCCAAGTTCACTGTGAGGGATGTCACAGCCTGGACATTCGCCATACTTGCAGCAGACAGTCAGCATCTGCTCAGGATAGTCACCAACGAAACATGCGAAGATTGGATGACAACGGTAGGTGGTCCCATCTCCGGTGGTCATTGCTATCCCATGGATGCCAGCTTGTGTCAAAGGTTCTAGAATATGAGCCAAACAGCCATGGAATAGATTTGCAAGCGCTCGTCGGCGAGCAGCCTTATTTGGCATGTGTTCAAGCCGGGTAACGGGTAGATATGCCAACAGTACCTGGCCCTGACGTGATGGTTTGGTACGTGTCGCCTTTGGTAGGTTCCCAATAGTCAGATATACCGGATAGGCTGATTTGTTACGGAAGAGGGTCAGCTGGGTTTTGTCTGAGCTGATGATGATTGGAACAATTGTAGCTCCTGGGTTGTCATTTTCAACCTGTTCCTGATATATAATGATTTATTATTATATGACAAGCTATCAGGTTTGTACAATATTGCTCTCACCTGTGTATTCCACCACCACTGTCCTGTGTGCATGTCATGATATAATTGTGTTGTACGAGTATCATCGGTATAGTGTTTCTCTGGCTGAAATACCAAGATAGATGCAAACTCTGGATTTCCCCATAAGTCCTTGATGCATTGAATGATGTCTCGTGAAAACAAGTCAAAAGCCTGATTGTCGATGACAACCTGCTCATGCTTGAACCTTGGGCGGCCAGGGAGCTGCTCATCAACAATGCGGTTGAGCTCCCTTGTATTCTTGTACGACAAACCAAGAGCATCTGAAACCTAACAATATTGTGAGTGCAAGATCAGGTTCACTGTAGTAGACTTACCCCATCAATGGCTAAAAGCTCTGAAAATGCAGTGGAGCTTGGTCCTCTCAGCTTCGCCCACTTTGCGATCTCCCAGTCTATCTGTGATGTGAAAGGGGCCCATACATTCTCCGGCTCACTGCTATTTGATGTGTGTAACAACTCTTGCTCGTAGCTATTGTACCCTGAGGGTCCACCTGAAGATAGGACCTCGCCAGCACGACCACCAAATTTGACTCTAAAAGGATCAACAGAAAGCTGTTCTTCAGTCTCCATGCGCATTGTGTTGGATGGTGGTGATGCAGTAGCATGATCTCCTGGCTCTTCAGGAGGGGGTGATGGGGGCTGCAATGGCGGGGGAGGTTCCCATCCTACGCCATCATCTTCACTGGTAGTCACTCCACTATCGTTGTCTCCTGTCCAGGCGAAATCATCTTCGCTGTAATCATCTCCATAGAAGTCACCCTGAAAAGATGGAGGCTGGCCTGAGTCACTATCTTCGTCGTGTCTATGGTCATCAAATGATTGAGACCCTGGACTAGGAGTGTGGAGAGAACCATGATGTGAATGAGAGCTACGAGGGCTAGTGCTTGCCTGTTGGTAGCGGGGGCTATGAGATCTACTAGTTTGGGGCAGGTTGGGATGCCTGAAGCTAGGTGGGGTCCGACCACGGAGACTCCTTGGCGGGGAACCTGATGGCGAACGAGGACTGCGCTGTAGATGTCGAGCTGTGATAGCCTCATAATACCTCCTACAGCTATCATTCCGGGATTGGCGAAGATGATTGGCCATACCCGCAAGCGTATATTGCCTCCTGCAAGCTTCACAGGTAGTGGTAGCCATCGTGGAACCAGTATGGCAGCCTAGTTGTGGACGAGATTACAAGCAGAGTTAGTTTGAGGAAACCTTGCGGCGAAGGTAAAGTACAAGGTCAAGGGATGTGGAAGATGCTATACAACAGAACACGATCAAAGCCGCCCACGTAAAAAAAGAACGTACACGTGCTTGCAAATCTCAAGCACAGGCTGAGATAGCCAAGTAAGCGCTGGACAAAAGCCGAAGACGAGTTGCACGCAACGAATGGGCATGATTGTTCAGTTATGCGGCTGCTTGCAATTGGCGGGCTGTGCGTGCATTTATTCCACAGTAATCTACGACAAAGGACGTTCTTGCGAGTATGCTGTAACCTACGCCGTCCGGAGTTGGGTGCGCGCAATTGCGAGCGCGAGAGACGAGTGCGACGCTGCCAACATGGAGCGGGCGGTTGGTGCATCCGGTTCACAATGGCCGATGGCGGGTGATGGCGAAAGGGGGACCTAAACAAACGACATTGTCAGTACAGTCAATTGGTCGACACGATCGGTGTCTATACTCACCGCACGCTTCGCCCATGCCGCTCGTGCCACATGCCGCCCGTTATACCAACCGTCCCGGTGTCCTCGGTGACCCGCATGGAGCCGCTCGCTACTGGGGCAATTGAACTGTGTTTCCGCGCCGTAGTCGTCATGCATAGGTGCACCCCGGTCGAGCATCGCGCCGTAGTCGCTGTGATGTTCCTGCTGTTGCGAATTGTGTTGCAACGCCGCTCAGCGTCACAGCGGCCGTCGTGGTCACACTTGTTGTGCCGGTCGTGTTGTTGCGCTTGTGGTCGCAGCGAGTGTTCTGCGCGTCGCCCACTGTTGCGACGCTGCCTCTCGGATCCGCTCGCAGCCTGATTCGATGGTCTGCGCGTCGCCCGTTGTTGCGGATGATCTCGTCTTCGGCGATTCACATCGCGCACCGGCTGTTGTGACGTCTGCGTCATGTAGTGTCCGTGTTTGGCTTCGTGTGGGGGCTGGCCGACAAGCGCGAGCCTGCGGGCCAGTGCTGACCGAAAAAGCCGAGCTTGAGGATGCATGGCCTTGCTTGTGGCCGCCAACGAGATGATATATGAGGGCCTGCGCTCTCACGAGTGCACACGCGGTCCAGGTAGTTCGAGGAGGGGGACCGCGTTCGCAAGCGCGATGGCAGATGCATGTACGGTGCGTGGGCGTTAATCAGCTGTGACGGTATGGCACGCATGTCGCCTTCGGCCTCCGGAGTTGGGTGCGTGCATTTGCGAGCGCGATGGATGGGTGTGACGCTGCCAGCATGGAGCGGGTCGTTGGTGCGTCTGGTTCGCAACGGCCGATGGCGGGCGATGGCAAAAGGGGGACCTAAACAAACGATATTGTCAGTACAGTCAATCGGTCGACACCATCGGTGTCTATACTCACCGCATGCTTCGCTTATGCCGCGCTCGTGCCACATGGCGCCCGTTATCCCCACCGCTCCAGTGTCCTCGATGCCCCGCATGGTGCCGTTCGCTACTGGGGCAGTCGAACCGTGTTTTTACGCCATAGTCGTCATGCGTAGGTGCGCCCGAGTCGAGCATCGTGCCGTGGTCGCCGTGATGTTCCTGCTCTTGCGGATCACATTGAAACGCTGCTCAGCGTCACAGCGGTCGTCGTAGCCGCATCTTGTCGTGCCGGTCGTGTCGTTGCGCTGGTGGTCGCAGTGAGCGGCCTGCGGGTCGCCCACTGCCTCTCGAATCCTGCTCGCAGTTTGACTCGATGGCCCACGCGTCGCTTGTCAATACAGACGATTTGCATCGTGCACCGGCTACTGGGACGCCTGCTTCATCGTTTCGTGTATGGGCGGTATCAGCCCTGCCGAATCCAAATTGGAAAGCATATGGCCTATGGCCTCCGGAGTTGGATGCGTGGATTTGCGAGTGCAATGGGCCAGCACGAGGCTGCCGGCATGGCGCGGGCCGTTGGTGCGCCTGGTTTACGACGATGGATGGTGAGCGATGGCGAAAGATGGGCGGATCTAAACGAAGGGAATTGTCAGTACAGTCGACCGGTCTATGCTATCGATATCTGTACTCACTGCCTGCTTCACCAATGCCGCGCTCCTGCCACATGCCGCCCATTAGCCCCACCGCCCCGGTGTCCTCGGTGCCCCTCATCGTGCGGCTCGCTACCGAGGCAGCCAAAATGCGAGTCCGCGCAGTGCTCATCATGCGTATATGCGCCCGATTCCAGCGTCGCGCCGTGGTCGTGGTTATGTCCTCGCTCTTGCGGATTGCGGTGAAACACCGCTCAGCGTCATAGCGGTCATCGTGGCTGCATCTTGTCGTGCCGGTCGTGTCGTTGCGCTGGTGGTCGCAGTGAACGGCCTGCGTGTCGCCCGCCGCCTCTCGAATCCTGCTTGCCACCACGCCGGTTGTCGATGAAGAGCTACTTGTTGACCAGCGATAACGATTATGATCAAACGGCACGTGACAGTACCTTTTGCCCTTCACACCGACTGCAACCACGTCGCTCTTCGTTCTTGCTGCCACGTACGTTGTGTCCCAACGGGCTGATGAAGTAACTCGTAATTGCGGACATCTACGGCTCCACGCATGGTCGGACCATCTCCGGAGGAACTCGCGGCGCGGCCGGACAACTACGCGACATGGAACGCCAACGACAAACGTAAATGGACCAATTCGTACCGGAAGTCAAACCCACCGCCGAAGGATACAACAGAAGATTCAAGGACTGGTCGCGCAAGTAAGTCTACACCTGTATCTCGCGATAACAATCAACTTATCGATGCGTGACAAACTCAGCGCGTGCTGGAACATCCAAAAGCGGGACACAGAAGGTAGCTTCTGAAAAAACCGATGCAGACGGCAATAGGCGGAAGCGAAAACGGAACGGTAAGCTATCCATCACTTATACCCTCTACCCTACCCATGATTCTTCTTCCAGACAGCACCGGCACTGTCAACACGGGTCCGCCTAAGAAATCAACGAGGCCGATTGGTGATACAATTCCTCCACGCCCTGATGACAACTGACCAAAGTGATTATTAGCACGTCGATTCCCAGCAGCGTCCGTGTCTAAGCGCAATGAGACGCAGGGTAAAGGGAAGCAAAAACGTGACAGGAACGGTATGCTCACCACAGCATGTTGCGATAGTTGAACTGATTTTGTTTACACGATTGTTCAGAACCAGAAGCGGATGACGATGACCCAGGAGATACAGAAAGTTCCGACAGCGACGATGACGTGGAGGACGAGGAGGCGTTAGAGGACGACGATGAAAGATTGGCCATGTTGGAGGCGTATCCGGAGAAACTGCGTAAAAACCTCGAGTCTGAGGTGAGTTATTCTCTAGAAGTTGTAGCAATTGTTAACGGCTTGATCAGCGCCCACGGTTCATCAAGACTAGTTCGGCTTCGTCATCATCAGCTGCACCAGCGAAGAAGTCGACGAAGGCAACCACCACCTCCAAGACCCGGTCATCAATCTCCGCGGGTTCACAGGTTGTTGTCGCAGAGGGACGCGGGCTGGGGTATTCGCAGCGTGGTGGCACATCAAAGGTTCGGCAGCACTTCCTATAACGATGGGATATACTGACGAAGTCATGCCAACAGGGCAAGGAGAAGGCACCTTCGCGATATGCTGCGAGCTTCCATGGTAGTCCCAGTGCCGACGACTCTCGTGAGAACACGAGAGACAAGAATGTGGACGGAGAGCCCCGGCAACGGTTGTACAGTCCTGTCGACAAGGATTCGGACCGTAAGGGGTCTTCGAACAACGACGGACTGGAGAATGGTTGAGTCCATGTTCATCACATGTACGAGGCCGCATAGCTGACTAGCCCTTCAGAGATACCCGCTGGTTCATCCGAAGATCCTATCCAACGTCGCAACGGCCCACCCACCCCAAAGGCACATACCGACCGGAACTCTCGTACGCGTGTTGGCCGGGCTACCTCGTCATCGGGTGTACCTGCAAAGGAGTCATCAAAGGCAACCACCGCCTCCAAGACCCGGTCATCGATCTCCGCGGGTTCGCAGGTTGTTGTCGCAGAGGGACGCGGGTTGGGGTATTCGCAACGTGGCAGCACATCAAAGGTTCGGCGGCACTTCCCATAACGACGGGATATACTGACTAAGTCATGCTGCCAGGGCAAGGAGAAGGCACCTTCGCGATATGCTGCGAGCTGCCATGATACTCCCAGCGCCGACGAATCTCGCGGGAACACGAGAGATAAGAACGTGGATGGAGAGCCCCAGCAACGGTCGTACAGTCCTGTTGACGAGGATTCTGACCGTGAGGGGTCTTCAGACAAGGACGGACTGGAGAACGGTGCAGTCCATGTTCATCACATGTACGAGGCTGCATAGCTGACTATTCCTGCAGGGTTACCCACCGGTTCCTCCAAGGGTAGTATCGGTCGTGGCAAGGGCCAGGCCACGCGCACGCATGACAAGCTACGGGCTCTATCTGTCAGCGCCAAAAAGCACGACCATCGTGCCGCTGACGGCGCAGCCAACGATAGTACTACCGCCGATGCTGATGCCAACGACAACGACAGCTCAGCAATTGTTGCCGTCACATCCTCCAAGCGATGGCCGTCATATACAAATGTGCGCAGTAGGCCCGGTGAGAAGCCCGGGTTGCATGACCAGCGTGCGGAACTCCGGAGGGTCGTGAAGGCTGCGATGAATACATACTTCGGATACCTTGTAGCCGTGGATGCGTACCCAGATCCGGCTACACGACAGATGGTCATCAAAGGCCTACTGAAGCGGGCTGCAGGCAAGTTGCTCGAAAAACAGATTGCCGATCGTATCAATAACGACCGCACGGACTGGATGAGACTGGTCATCGGCATGGTATGGATCCTACTATTTCATTGCCGGCACTGATATAAACCTCACGCAGATCGAGAATCGCGTGTCGCAATTTCGCAGCAAAGTCAAAAAGGCGGCCAACGAATACGTCCTCCACGACTACGACATCACCGATGGCTGTGGCCCTCGTGCGATAGCATGGTCGCAGAATAATGCTTACATCTTTCCGGGTGATGTAGAAGTCTGCATAATATTTTCGCTCTCACAGTACCATCACTGACATAAATGCCGTAGGACCCTGGTAGTCTGAAGAAGGGTCGGCCATACGACCGCCCAGTCTTTGCACAGGTGATCCGGGAGGCATTCTTTAGTGGACGATGTCCACTTGCATCGCAGAACCCTCAGATCTTCGGCAATGAAGAAGAAGGGGAAGAATTGTCTATACCTATCGCAATGCTTGCTTTCGCTGCTGTTGGAGTAGGTGAAGTCCTATCTTACTTGATGATGCACTAATAGGTACATAGGTTCTTTCCATCATCCAAGATTGGACGACCGGCAAGAAAAAGCAGCGAGATTTCGCTCAGGATACCTTCGTCAATACATACAAGAACCATATCGCCACTCTTGAGGGCCTAGAGATAGATAAGCCCCGTTATTTCGACCAACTAATGACATCCCTTTATGTGAATGCTTCGTAAGTGGAATACTATGCTCACAAACTAGTGATGCTGATACTATTTTGAAGTGATAATCGCCGCCAGGGAGGTACCGCTTTCAGTGATGTAGATATGAGTGCGATAGAATCTTAATAGTAGCTAATATATCTGTTTATGCACCCTGATTGGCCTGTGTGACTATCGCGAATAGTAAAATCCTGAGCAACTGGGCCGAATGTGCACACAATCCGGCTAATATAGTGTAACACTCCCATAGATTTAGTCTCTGTTAGCTGACTTATGTCGGCTTCCAGTGTCAGCGCACGCACAAACATTCTCAAAAATTACCCGAGCAGAGGCCACATTGTTGCTAAATTATCCGTGATTATCAGTATTTATATCGGGACCTCTCGAATCCGCCTAATTCGTGATAATTTGCATATTCCGTCGCATTCAATCTAACTACTGTAAATTAGGAGACATCTAGATTGATTTTGGCTGATTTGTCCCCTGAGGATGTTCCTGATGCCATGGCTGTATGATATGAGAAAACAATTCTTTAGATAGAGCGAGCGCTCAGACCGCATTCTGTGGTGCACCTCCTGCCATCACCGGTGTGGCGTAGCCCGTGTACATAGATTTCCTATCTGTGTTCGTGTCAGTGGTTTTCATTGAAACTTTGCAGGAGATCGTAACCCGGTAAAAATACTGATTCATATGCTCGGCAGCAACTACAGCATGCGCTCCTGATACCAGAGCAACAGCCTTGTTTCAATCACGGTTTTAACTACTTCTATTGCGCACGGCCAAGTAGGCCATTGCCAGCAGGAGAGTCTACTTCGTAACCAATTCAGGATACATTCAGCACATTGTATAACTATGTGGCACAAGCGGCCAGCGTATGCGTTCACTAATTATTGCAGGCAGGCTAGGCAACAGTCATCAGTACAAATATAAGTATTGTAATACCAGTCTTGTTGGACTTACAACACCAGGCTCTAGTACGCGAAACGGGACCAAACGGGGGTCAGGATACGCCACCGAGGAGGCGATGGCGATCGATGCCGCTCTACTCATAGGGGAGGGTCGTGATCAGGGCAAAGCAACTGAGTCAGCAAGGTGGCATAACTTACATCGCTAACGCGGAACAGACGGCTACGACAGTGCGATTGTAAAAGACCATTGGTTTGGGTACGTTGGTTATGATGAGGGGCAGGAGTAGTAAGCGATGTCCATCTCATTGTGCAGCACTTCTGACCCTTTCTTGTGAGGCGGTGACCGGCCTGCGGAGTTCTGATCATGAACACATGTGCAATGCGAAATACTGGTGCTCTGAGATCCCAACAGGTTTACGGACATGACTACGATAGGTATATCGTGCTATCCAGGGGTCTCCACATATACGGTCCCGATGCTTAAGCTAAACTTCGTACAGCGTAGGCGGGTTGGCGTAGAACTGCTTAACAAACTCTTCGAAGCTCGTCACCTCCACATCAGGATAGAGCTCCCTCGCGTCCAGCGCACCGGCGGCCTTGGCGTTGGCAACTGTGTTGTCCCCTCGGATGTGCATGCTGTACTGATACTCGCTTTGCGACAAGTTCACGTTGGCCTCGAAGCCCGCCGCGCTCGGGTCGGCGGCGATCTTTTCCTTTGCCTCCTTCGCGGTCCGGAGCAGGTCCTCGCCCGACAATCGTACCTTGCGGCTCTCGAGGTCCTCGCCATAGATGCGCTGAGCGACGGCCCAGCATTCCGCCCCGGTCCGCTCCTCGCCCCAAACGAACACGTATTGGTTGATCGTGCGCGGATCCTCGACGATCCGCGCAACGAACTTGCCGATGTCATGAAGGCCGGTAAGCGCGTTCTTCTTGTCGCCTTCACCGGCGAAGCTGCGCAGGAGCTCGGTGACAAAGTTGGGTTTGACGTAGGAGGGGTAGGGCACCGAGAGCTGCATCCACCAGCCGACGTCGATATAGGTGTGCCCAATGCCAAGGCTGTCTATGTAGTCCCTGATGGCGTATTTCTGAAACGAGCAAGATCAATCACCAGCATCAGAGCCAGATTAGCCGATGGAGGTCGTACCAGGTCAGCCATGGCGCGCACCCCACGTGGGGTGTACGTCCCAAAGTCGCATGGCACCACCCTGGGCGAGCGTACTATCAGCAACCGAAGGCAACGAATCAATAGAGACACCGACCTCTTCACGCCTGCAACCTTCGCAGCATCGAAAAGCCGATACTGATATTGCAGCGCGTACGCCGACACGGCGCTAATGAGTACTTCCGCGCCGCTCAGCGCCTTAGCAAGCGTCTCGACGTCGTCCGTGGCCGCGTCGCCGACACGAACTTGCACCCCTTTGTCCTTGAGAGCGAGCACGGCGGGTTTAGAGGCGGAGGCGGGGCGAGTGAGTATGCCAACGTCCTAAACATGAATCCATCAGACGGGTAACGGCGACAGAGTGAACGTATTTATTCACGAAGTGGCCGCGCTTGACGAGCCCGTCAACGATCGACGATCCAGTAGCCCCCGTACCACCGTATACGAGTACCAAAGGTTTTGACGTCGCAGAAGACATAGCGGGTTGCAGTTCAAGAAGTTTATATCGCAAGATATCGGTTCAGAGGAAAGGGGCAAGACCTGTCCGCTGATGTCTCCATCTACCGCCTGAGAGCCATGTTATATAACGTTTACGAGGATCCGGGCTGAGTAAAGCATTACGAGTCTTTCGCTTGCGTTACCGAGCTCGTGATGCTGCGCCATTGAAGGACGTGTTGCTTCGCTTGTAGTAGCGATATTGCAGACGCCTGAGTGATGGCTAATGTTTTGCGTGACTGAAAGCGAGTTGTGTGTTATGGCGACATGACCAGGTATCCAGGCGTGCTAGGCAAGAGGTGGTGAACGCGAAGCCATTTCGGAACGTGCTGGTGGTCCGTCGGAGTCTAGCTGTAAGTCTTCATTTTCCCACGCACTTTACAGGTTGCGTTCGGCTTCCACTAAACTACTGCGCGTGCAGTCACCGAACATGTCCGTAACAGCTTGTATACATATTTCAATAGCATCTAGATACAATCGCAAGTTTGAATATCAAGATAACACCAACTACTGTGACTTCTGCAGCTCTTCGTCTTCCGCGAAGGGTTGGTCTATGTAGCCCACTGGGCTCTGCGGGGTGTAAAAAGTGCTGCGGTCATATGGATGCAACGGCATATCCTTCCGAAGTCTCTTGGGTAGGTCGGGCTGGATATGTGCCGATAAGTACACCTTCCATCACGGTCGCACAAAGGAACTCACATTGGCGATGTAATGACGGCCGAAGGCGATGAGGTCACCCTTCTCCTCCGCAACTTGCAACGCGATGCTACGGTTGTGGCCGCCGGCGCTGATCAAGGGCCTCGGGGACCATATGTCGCGTATGAAATCGTTCGACTCGCCCTGAGGAGCGCCGCCGGGGATATCCACATTGCCATTCACCCGGGGTTCCACGACGTGAATGTAGGCAAGATGGGGATAGGCGTTCCTCAGCGACGTCACGAAGTGGGTGTACATTTCCAGATGCCAGGTGCGCAACTATATCCTCCGGCTTTCGGGGCGATGAACGTGGCCTCCGTGATTAGCAATGTACCTAGGAGTACCGTGACGGATTAGATTTGGTTGGGCACACATCGCTCGCTTTTGCGCACCTGGTTCACTGGCTCGCTGCTCGTAGTACGTCGTTACGATATCCAGCGGCACGTGGTCGATACTGGCGCGGTAACGCGTCAGAGGTGCGAGAACGACGCGGTGCTTGAGCGCGGATGTCCCGACCTGGATTGGGATGAATAGTTTCGGGACCGCCGCCATGTTGGACAAGAACAAAGCCCCGATAACGCTGATAAGACCAAGGGAGACGAGCGTTAATCCGCCGGTACTGGTGCTCGCCGGAGGCTGGGTCGTTGCACGCTATTCCGCTGATTTCGTCAACATAAGTAGGAATTATCATGTTGTCGGTTGCCTAATAGTCCATGTGATCGAGCAGGGCTGGGATTATTGAGAGCTGAGCAAGCACGCCGGATGCTTGAGCATGCGAGTCGCACCGGTACACACGCTTGCCGTCTCCATCGATTATCGGTCATAAGGAGATTTGAGTAAGCAAGTACTGTGGGTGCACAGGGTCCAGGCAGGCATCTCGCTGTAGTGTGCATTTATTCATGTGGACCACAAGCAAGGAGCTTGTCGAGGCTGCGAGGTGCCGCGTTCATGCAAAGGTCGAAGTCAAGCAGGGGGCTGCAGAACAAACATGCATACACCAAACCTGTGGCGTCAATACACCCATTTCCAGTACTTGATCGCTCTGCATGAACCGCATAAACCGCGAAGGTCCATAGTCAGTGAATGACGTTGATGTCCCAATGCGACCATTGATTGCCCTCTGTTCGTATGAAACAGATCATATACACAAACATCTACGGTACTGTACAAGGTGAGCTGCTACATGTACAACGATACATGATCGAATGTCAGGTTCCATCGCAAGTCTAGATCCCTTACGGGACAAGCAAGTCCGAAGCAAACTGCTGCATGCCAACAATTCGGAACTGGCCCTTGCCTCCACCATTCTTTCCTTGGGTGTACGACCCGAACTCCTTCATCCACAGCTGACTCAAACCGTCCTCCCAAGCGTATAGTTCGACCTTCCAACCCTTTTTCAGGGCGGTCCTTACGCAGCCGATGAACCCTTGGTCGTTGAACTGGCCGACGTTACCGTCGCCAGTGGCGAGGACGATCGTCGCGTTCGTTGGCGGTGGATCCGATTCCGCGATGGCCTGGAGCAGCTTCAGCTGGAGGAGCTCGTCGACGCCTTGCTCACGATACTTGACGCGCTGAGACGGCGTGCCTTGACCCGAGGCGTGCAGGTTGCTAAGGGTGGAGATAGTCGGTAAAGACTGGCCAACGTTGGCCACTGCTGGCATTGCCTGCGACAAGGACCCTCGACGAGGTTTCATCAGCATACCCGGTCGAGTCGGCTGATGGGGTACATGGCCATTTGATTTCTGAGACTGTGATTGTGATCCAGATCCAGGGCCGGAGCCACTGCGGCCATGGTCAGATTCGGAGGTTCCCCCGCCGGAGGAGCGCTTGTGTGCATGTTTCATATGCCCGGAGGTCATCCCATTGATCGGTATCGGGTTAGTCTGGCTCTGGGAAGACAGGTGGGAATAGTCTCCGCTACCGCGGTATCCGTTGCCCGCCTTAAGATGTTGGCTCGGGTAGTTACCCCGGGAGAGGTCCGCACTCCCATTGCGCTTCCGCACGCGGTCCGCGCCATCTCCCGTGTCCGGGACGCGGGCATAGATCTTGACCTCATAGCCGAGCTGCTCTGCCGTATCCATAGGTTGATACAGGGGAGACGATGCAACGAGACATCGTCGGGTGACCGGTCGTCCTCTTTCGAGGATCAAGGCCAAAGCGGCGTGGGAGATGTGTTTCTTCTTCAGCGACGACGGGTTGACGCGACGCTTTATATAAGACAGGAGTCCGAAGAGAATATTAGAACTGCACGGGTGTGTTAAAGGACGCAATTCAACGCGAGAAGGAAAACTGACTGATCGACGAAGACATGGATTAGGCTGTCCTTATGAGCCGGCTTTGGACCACGCGGGTCTACAAAGTTCGTTTCATCGGGAGAATCGCTAGAAAGGATCCTCGACAGGTGCTTCGCGTCTTCGGGGAAGAACATGCGGAGTTTGTGTGCCAAGGCCCGCAGGCGCAGAATCCGAGGGTCGAGAGGTATTGATACATTCAAACGAAGAGCGGGGGTAGATCTACTATGGCTGAGTTGGGGACGAGACGTTGCCTCCACCTTCGCCAGCGCGGCTGTAGCGAGCTGTTGTTGCTGCAGCCTGCGTCGCTCCTTACGATTTCGCGGAGGCGTTGCGGGAGTGGATTCGGTCTGTAGTTGAAGTTGACGATTCCGGTAGGATGATGAAGAGATGTCGAACGAAGACGAGGGGTCAGCTGATGAGGACTCATCCGTTGGAGGGTCAACAGGAGATACCGCGTCTTCGTCTTGAACACGTTGCTGTTTGTCCGGACTCGGGACTTGGGTGACGGCGTGCCGAGATTTCTTGCGACGGCGCTTGCGCTTGGGTTCAACGACGTGGCGGAAAGCACTGTCCAACGTAGAGAGTGTCGAGGGCTGGGCCGTGGTAGAGGTGTTCTTGCTGCTGGCTGCGTGCCTTGCGGCGTGTTGAGCAGCTTCCTCAGCGAGGAAACTCAGAACCTCGTCCAAATAGCCCAGGGACGGCTGGTCTTTGCCTTCCAGGCTCAAGCTGGACTCAGGACCGCCGGGCGCTTGGAGCGAGCCATTGGGCGATCGCTCCTGGATCGCTTCGTCGGAGAAGTCGACCTCTTCCATCTCCGCCTCTGTGTCAGAAGACTCGTCTTCGGAAGCGGAAGCGGAGTTATCGGGGGTAGTGTCGTCAATCGTGCGTGGCTCGGAGAGATAAGCCGCGACTCGGCGTCGGCTCCATGCGACTGAACCGAAGTCATTCGTGGTAGCGGATTCATCGGATGGTGTAACTAAGACAGATGATGATATTCTCCTAACGGGGTGCGTGACGTTGCGGACTGTGAGGGTGGTGGATTGATCTAGTTCGAGTTCGCGGAAGACGTTGGCAAAAGCGCCAAGGTCAGGAGCATCTGTTGAGCACAATGTCAGCTATTATCTTGTTAAGGACTGTGATACCGCGATGGTGAGCGTACCGTCCGATGTGGCGAGCTCACTGCCTAGAGGACTAGATCCGGAATATGTTGAAAAGGGGCTGAACGGTGCGGGAGACGTGCCAGTGATATCGGAAGGAGATTGTGCCATTAGAGTAGAATACAAGTGAGGTGTGTATTATCGGTGTCAGTTGGCTTCTCGAGAGTGAACGTGGTGCAGTCGTGCATGAGTCGATTAGGGTGATAGCCAGGCGGCAAACGGATTGGAGCAAATAAGATGTCTCCGTAAAAGTGAGCGCGATGAAGTAAAGCCAGCCGTATATCAAGATCGTTGACCAGAAAATCGACGGCGACGCATGCCAGCCAGTGGACGAGCAATATACTGGTAGAATGCAGACACAGGAAGATTCGCAGTACAACCGCCAGCCGTGCTGAGGCATGCGTGATTGGCTGTGTTTGGCTGCGGTGGCATCGGTGGCCCGATCAGTGGACGGATGATGGTCGAGTCAATCTTAGCATCGAGCGCAACATTTACACTGCCTACAAGTACATGCTACTATTCAGAGTGTCTTCGCTATGCCTTCGACACGTACATGCCACCCGGTTGCTGGGAAACCAGGTGCAACGCCGTCGCTCCCGTCCCATCCGGCGGCCATCTGGGCAATCGCCAACAAAAACGACCCCGAGCTTGGGAAGTAAGGCGTGGGCACGCGCACGCCTCCAGTCTAAACATACGACATGAGTGAAAGATCGGCTTGTAATAACGAGAAACACGTGCAGGATAGCCAGCGTCGTCGAATGAGAACAATTCGTTCAGCAGGAAGCCGATAGCTTGCTCGGACTCATTGTTACGAGCTGCGGACATGGCGAGCATGGGAAAATCCCACCTTCATCGACAAGTTAATGGCCCAACGTCGATTTATCGGGTTATATTGCCTACCCGTAGCTGTTGGTGATGTTCCAAGTGGTCCACACTTGCTCTATAGTCGCTTTTGCGGTGGTAAGGTTCAATCCGGGAGTCGGAGGAAGCCATCCATGCAGACCGACGCTGTACGAGAATAAGTCGCTGCCTGCATTCAAAAAACTGGGGTTAGAACCTACAGCGCGGGATGGTCATTCGTGTACGCAGGGTCGGCCCAAAAGTCGTGCTCGATGCCTTCATAGACAGCATAGAGCCCGTTTTCGATAGGCAGAGGTGCCAAATTTGCCTTCACGGTCGACCACGCGGCCGGAGGTTTTTCGCCCAGCCGTTTCATCCACGTCTCCGCCAACCCCAACCCAAACCTCCAGTAAGCGAGCTCAAACGCCGGGTTGACCGTTACGTTCGGACTCGTGTCTTCGCTAACGACGTACATCGGCGGTCCGAGGTCGTACACCTTCGTCGTCTGATTCCACCAAGCAAAGGCTGCCATCCAGTCCGCAGTAGCAACGACGACATCCCTCCACTCCTTCAACGTGCTCCGATTTGGAAACGCGCGGTATTGGTACTCCGCGAACACGAGGGGGTGAACTTGCTGCCAAATCAAGAGCTCGTTGATTTCCCCCGGCGCGGACCTGCCACTCGGATCGGACATTTTGCCCCAGCGAGCTCCGGCCGACCAGGGCTGCTGGACCTGTGCACGCTCGACGGAGGTCGGCAGGAAGCGTTGGTAGACGGGGGTAGCGCGTTTCAGAAGGTCCCAATTACCCCATAGGGCCCAATGCACTTCATGCCAGAAGAACATTTCAAGGTGGAACTTGCCGTACTGCGGATAAGGGTAGTAAGCGCGGCGCTCTGCGTATCAGGCGGAGAGAAAAGGGATCAGGCTTACCCATCCATTGTTGACGAGCCCGGACTAGAGGTAGGTAAGAGAGTCAGCATCGCATCGAAGGAAGATAAGCCAGAATTGGGACGGACCTCCTGCGGAGGATCGCCGCCAGCCTCATTGACTCGTAAGAGATAGCGACTTAGGACGATACGCCTCTGCAGCTCGTCGGCACGCGAATCCGTCGACCCGGAATAGACATCCACAAATCCGCTCTTCTCCCAGAAGTTCTCCCAGGCCGCATTGGATGATTGGACGATCTCCGCGGCTGTCGGAATAGATCTTGGTTCAGCAACGTCGTAGTGCAGTGTAAATGCAAATGTGGACGAGTTCGCCGCCGATCTGATAGTATACCGATGTGCGGTGGGAGAATCCCGGGAGACGGAAAAGCGGTCGCCACCCAGGGACGTGAAGAACGTGTTGGCTGCGAACGCGTGGGTGATTTGCGCCGCCACATTGGTGCCAAGGTCCCGGCCGGTGGTAAGGGAGGTGGTGTGGTTCGCGGTCGCGTTGAAGATTCCGACGAACGGCGCGGAAAACTTGGACGAGCCGTCGTTCCACGGGTAGTCGAGGAACAGCCCCAGCCGCCCGGAGTGGAGAAGAGGGGAGGTGATCTGCACGCCCACTGCGCCAGTATCCTGATGCGCGTTGACTTGGACGTTGATATGCTGTCCATCGTATGTGAAGTGACTGGTGAGCGTCCCTGTCCACAAGTCCAGTTCTTGCTGTATGTTGACAAGCTCCGTTTCGACGACGGGGACCACAGAGCCATTGGAAGAGAAGAACACGAGGCCCGTTCTACCGAGGTTCGCCCGATTAGGGTTCGAGATAAGCCATTGCTGGATTTCCGCCTCGCCACCAAACATATACTCCACGAGGAGATCGTGATTCCACCAGCTCACGCCGCGGTAATTCATAACGTCCTGCATCGTCCGACCAATGGGCAGAGAGTCGTTCTTCCAGCCCCACGAAGACCTGCCGTAGATCCAGCAATCAGCGCGACGGAAATTGAGACGAGCTCGGACTGAAACGTACATAACTGCGTAAGGCTGGAACGTCTGCAAACTCGTCACATCCGCACCAAAAGCAAAGTCGCCATTCCCAACTTGCATGGGGGTGACGAGATTCGACGCATTCCTCTTTGGATTGTAGCGAGATACGATAGCTTTGCGGTCGATGCGGTGCCCGTGCGAGCTCGAGGCCAACGCGGCTACTATGACACTAGCCAGCAGAGGGTATAACATGATACGTTCAAACGCGGCGAGAACAGATAGGAGAAGGTGGCAGCTGCCATATCAGACTTAAGGAGCGGGAGAGTATACGTCGGATGGCCGGTGGTGGTCATAAGGACAACGCAGAGCGCGTCAGGGGATTTCGGGCGGGAGGTGGCGGCGCGGCCTACGCAACATCAGCTGACGCCGTTTCCTTTCCTGGACTTTAGCCTTATACAGCCCTGTAGAGTACACTGAATATATGGCCTGAAAGGTAACCCTTCTCATCCGCCGGGATAGCTCAGCTGGGAGAGCAACAGACTGAAGAAAATCTTGCCTTCTGGAGGTCCCGTGTTCAATCCACGGTCCTGGCATTTTTTTGCATTCTGTTCACTTGGCATTCGAGGTAAGGGCACAATCTCGGTCAAACAACCTAAACCGAAGTGGCCGCTGACATAGCGCAAATGTTTCAATCATATGGACTGCGGAAGTAGTACGGGCAGGCCAACAATCACTTATTCGATATTCAACCCTTCGAAAGCCCGCTTCACACACGAGTAACATCACGAGTCACTATATAGCTACGGACGCCTGTATGAGACCCACAATCGGGAACGGAACAAGAGGGATTGACGATCGGGTCAGGGGATGCCAGCGGCGCCGCGATAACGGATGAGGAACAGCTGTATATCAAGCTGACGACGAGGGCAGCAGTATGACGCGTGCCCTTACATTGCAGTAATAGCGAAGATAATAGTGAATCCAATGACCATGATTGCTTGTGATGACTGAGTGCTGTTTGGTACTTCGAAGTGCGTCTGGTTGATTTTTAGCGGCAGACACGAGATGCGATCTCCGCACTGGACCTAAAGCATTCTAAGAAAAGCGCTACTAGTAACGCTGAGCGTCCATATGAGACTCGAGGAGCGTGTAGCACCCGGATATATGATGGGCGAAACCAATAATACACGCAATCGGGTTGTGGCGCCCCAGCTAGCCGATTGTTCGCTCGCCGACGTCGTACTGTAGGCTACGGCGCCGCAGTTGTACTCGCTTAACTGCATAATTCTAAGATCCCCCCATAGCTGCGATGGAATTGCAATGATATTGCCGCATCCTTGCGTTCGTCCACAAGCAGCCATGGTTGCTCTAACACGGACCCCGAGGTTATGAATAGAGACAATACAGCTGGTAGTAAGTGTATTTACCACGTATGTGAGCTCTCCCATGCAACTGGTGCAGCGATCTGGCACGGTCGCTGCAGACGCGGCAGTAGTCAGTGTCCGACCTCTAGCTATGAGTATATGTATTGACCTCATGCATATATGGATATGAGGCTTTGAATGTATTCGACGGTGGTGCGTGGATGGATAAAGCTCTCCGTGAGACGATGAGATTCAGTGTTGCAGCGGTTGCGAGCGCGCCCAAGTAGCGGACTGACGCCGGCAAACAAGGGGATGATATCGAATATCATGCTGAAATCAATCTAGCTCAAAGGTCAGGGGACTTTTGCACTGGAATGAATGCTCGAGCCTTGGCTCGATCATGAGAGACCTCAAGGTTGCCACTGACAGACTTTGACCGAAAGGCACACCGGCGAATGGACGCGCTCGTGTGATACTCACGTGCACTGCACCGCGTCTGGCGCTTCCTTGTTCTTTCTTTCGCGCCGTCAACCACAGTTGAACCACTTCCAGCACTACTTACACAAATTACACGATATAATAAGATGGGGTAAATCACATATTATCCACACCATACCACTGCTCACATATGTGAATTCCCAAAGCCGAAAACTCACCAGGGAGCTTCGTGCTCTCGGAATCAGTGGCGCAGGGGACGATTTGCCAACTACAGGTCCGAATCGCGGTGATAGAAGACGACCGAAACCAAGCCCAATAGCTACCACTCCAGCACCAAAACGAGGCGACAACCGTTTAGCGAAAAAAAGTTCACGGCGACAAGCGCCTGTTCGCAAGGCCAAGGTAACTTCTCAGCAAAGGCTTGCACAGGAAAATATCGCTCAAGAGGACCGGCAGCGTCAAGCGGAACCCGAAAGCGGGAACTCTTGCTCTTCAGGAAGAGCGCTCGGGCAGATACCAGCAATGCGAGACTCTCATAACAATGTGAATGCGACGCCACAGCGACATAACCGACAGCCCGGATTCGCAGCAGACATGTGTGCGATCTGTCTTGACCGCGTCTCTGCGCGGACTATCGACGTATGTCATATCCTTACGCGCGACGGACACGATTTTGTGAGCACGACACCTTCCCCTCATGAAGCCTTCTCATTACGTCGCGACTAGGACATTTCAGAGCTCGAATCTGTGTGGCGCTTGCCTCCCGGTGGCTTTGACGAACGATCTGAATGGAATTCTATGCACCGTATGCCGTCATCACTATCTAAATAAAAACGAGGAATAACGAAATCTATAGTTTGTGCAGACTGGCGAACAGATTTCAAGGCTGACAGCTGGTGCATTCTCCCGGACCTGGATCTCCTTGGCCCGGTCCTCAAGGATGCTCGAAGAGGAGAGCATAGGCTGTCATACGATGGCTGGATCAAGGCGAGTAGTGAACCTCGTACCGCATACTTCGAATCATTGATCGCACACGGCTCTCAGAAATTAGAAGCGCTGCGTCAAAGCGGTCAAGAATTGGAGTATCTATTCGTTCCTTTGCTATATCTCTTAGAACCCGCATACACCATGAGGCGCCACAACGGTGAAGTAAAAGACAACCGCTTGCAGTACAACTTTATCCATCTTCCCTGGAGTAACGTAACACTCAAGGTATCCGTGCATCCGTTCCTTGCGATCGCTCAGTTCGTGAAGTCCTGGAACACGTTCAATGACGAGCAGAAAGAAAGCATGCAATCTCTTTTTGATGACAACCAGAAAGACGCGGTCATGCTTTCCCTTCGGGTCTGGGAGGCCTGGCGCCGGTGCCCGCTTGACGACGATGAAGAACTCGAGATACCCGACGACGACGCCGACGACGACCAAGAGGCAGGCGACTTCTCTGAACCGGTTATTCATGAGCAACCACGCCCGGACGAAAAATCGACAAAGCGCCCTCGAGAGGATTCCGGCTCTGACATCCAGGAAAGAGCGGGCAGCGCGAATCCAAATAAGCGACGTCGGCTGAACGCGGGTGCTGAGGAGCCCGATGAGAATGAACCGCCAACCGTCGGACCTGTTCTCGTCGCCAAACCGTCAGGACGTGGCAGGCAAGTGCTCCGTGGCCGGTCCATATTGGCAGATTCCGTCGATCATAATATTTGCCCAAACGCGTCACCGAGACGCTCTGGCGCCGGTGGCGATTCAACGCATCCGCAAAACGCCCCCGATATGGGCCATGCCAATGCTGAGAACAGCGAAGCGGTTGACAAGGCTGAGGACGGCGGCAAGGACGGCGTCGTTCAGGCCGAATACGACAAAGAGAGCGACGACGAGGAGGCCAACCCGCTCCCAGATTATGCGCCTTCCGAACGCATCAGTATCGAAGAATGGGCGATACAAGTCTCGAACAGCTTGACGTACTCGGACTTGCCAACAAAAACCGAGCCCGAGGTGGACAAGGTCCTAGCCGCATATAGGAGGGAGAAGGCTCGCCCTCCACCCTCTGAACCACACTGGACCGAATGGGAGGCAGACACAGCGTACATGTACGAACGTGCTCTTCGTTGGATGTATTGTTGACGACTCAAAGGCTCGCATGCTGTTGATGTCTTTAATTGCCTGTGTTTCTCTGGATTCTGTTTCCGTATTGTACCCTTTAGTTTGGATTGAAGGAAATATTCGGTATTTGGATGTTATGCTTGCGCCAACGAACAGGCGCTAGTTTTAAGGCTGCGCTCCACTAGCACAACGACTGGAGAAGACGCACTGAGTGCGTGAGTGCGCTCACGGGACAAGTTTGTGAAACTGCGCCTCATGGCGCGAAAGTACCGCTCCTTCCGGATGCATAACATATAGACAGTACTTGAAGATGTTTTATCAATCCCCATCTGGGGCGATCATGTTCATTCATGCGCACGCATGCGATAAAATACAGCGATCGCGGTCATGAGTCCGGTGCTAGTAATCCATTACCATGAGCGATACCGATGCCGATGCCGTCTTCCCAACTACCTACGCATGAACTCTCTCGCCGACGAGACGGAAAATCACCGCACCGGTACCATCCTCGTTCATGATCCCTCGGAAGCTGTGCGCCATCGCATCGGTCAACGATCGCTGGAGGCACGGCGCTTCGGGAACACCTTCCCCCGTTTTGTATCGTTGAATAACCCTCAATGTCGAGCGGGCAAGACCCTGACCTTCAAGACAGGGAACCATGATCCGGACCGGGAACTGGCGTTATTAACGCGCAAAACCCGTGGGGGGTCAAAAGGTTGATCCTCTGCATGGGAGAAAGGGAGATCGGCGGAACACCTGGGGTCAGGCTCGTCTCGAGCCGCGTTCAGGGGCACAATTGGGGCAGAGAACGCGGCCAGAGACTCGTGTCTCCACATGCCGCCCTCGGCGGGGGGTCGCTCTCGACGGCGCAGGTTCGAGAAGGCCGATGAACGTGCCTGCAATATCCCCTCCTGACCCCAAGGCAAGTCCGCGAGGATCCCAGGCAACGTCAATCAGGGAGTCGGATCTCCAAAGCCAAGGATATAACTACCTCCGCGCGCCCGCACCCCGAGGCGCAGCGAGCTTCTCGAGCAGCACCGCAAGGGTTGCGATTGGGGTTTGGCCATGCCGCGTCGACTGAATGAGCATGAACGTACCGGACGATTGGCCACCATCGGGGGCCTATCTATTCCTGCTGGTGTTATAGCGATATTGGGGACGGCAGAGTACACGCTATGGCCCTGAAGCAAAGGATCGACACACCTTTCGGAGAATATCGCCGCATTGCCATCGCACGGGTTGCGCAGAGGACGCATCGGAGTATCTCGTGCAAGAGACATAGTCGCCGTCGATTGTACAGATCCCGTGTGGGCTGTTGGAGATGCGAGAACAGACATCGCTCCGGATAAGAGGAACGACGAGCGAAATCGCGCGTAACGGTCGGGAAAATATGCGAACTGTGCTCGATGCAGCAGGAGCTGGAAATAGGACCGCGAGCTCTTTGGCGGAGGGCGCGCTCGACGATCAAGGGCCCTCGGGATCCGAGGTAAATCTCTGAGTGTCAAGGAAAACCCCAAGCCCACAGAGATAAGCCATTATCGCAAGCAGAGCGCGCTCGGGTCTCGCAACGTCGAAGAGCCATTTACTTCACAGCCTTGCGCCTTCGACTTCGCGTATCCCGAGTCCCGGATTAAAAGGAGCCAAGTACACGGTGTCGAACGTGGATCAACGGCGACCACAGAGAAGCAACGTCCACCGAAGCCTGGAGGCGGGCCGCACCGAAAACGCCGGGTTGGGGCACCTGTATCAAGAAGGTAGATAAGAGATACGAGCGCGCGATAAGCCTGAAGCTTCTGAGATCCCGCTGTCGGGCCACGAAGCGCGGCTTTCGCCACCACCGTCCCCCGTCCTGCGGCTATCTTTTCGGCGCGCAGGTGCTGCGTGTCCGCGTTTCGATGTATAAAAAAACAACGCGTGATTCAGGAGCTCCGCGAAACGTTGTCGAGGGCACGGAGATATCGAGCGAGTTGTCCGATCTGAGCCCGCAAGGAGACCGCTGAGCCAGTACGTTGTTCCGGGATCGTCCGTGGTGCGGGGCGTGGCCTTCTCGTGGGGCGCGTATCCACGACAGGGCGTGGTTCGGGCGTAGGTTCGGCTTGGGGCGCGCATGAAGTCGGAGGCAGTTCTCGATAAAGCAGGTCGTTCGCCGCCTGTGTAGCAGATGCAGGGCCAACGCCGACACACAGGACCACAAAAAGCAACTCGGTCGCCGCAATGCTGAAGCAGCAGATTGCCGGCCGGCTTCCGGCGCGCCACCAAGCCCCAAAGCGGCCGCGCCCGCCGGGTGGCGGATCTCCAAAGACCACATTTCTTCCACTGAATCATACTTCGACAGCAAGAATGACTGTGAGAGCGCGAGAGGAAGACGAGAGGCTGGCGGTGGTGAGCGCGGCTGGTAACCTACTGGCCCTCCCACGGCCGGCGTGCGGCGCTGCTTCCGAGGATAGTTCCGACCGTGACCCTGAGCGGCGCACCCGTATGTTGACAAACGTGGCCTAACGCTGTCGATGCCCGCCGGATCAGAAGTCTGCCACCAAGAAACTCGCAAGGGAACTCAGAGAAACATGCGGTTCGCGGAGCAGCACCGTTCAACGTCCCCGTCGACTTTTAGTCACCTGGCAATGCTGGCTGAAATAACATATCACTGTGCTTTGGCCTGCAGATCCCATCTCATCGCGATAGCGTTGAATAGCCTACAACCTCGCGCTGGCTTCCCGAAGGACCGGGAGACCCGAGCGTGCGGCGGCAAGCTAGCGGTGGCCAATAAGCGCGCGTCGGAAGCCAGGGTAGCAAGGGGGAAGGGGGGCTGACTGTTGCTTCAAGCAAGCGTGTCTCGAGGTCACCCGGCGATCCCGATTTCCGCGAATCGCGACAGGAGGCAAAGTGAGTGAGCGCGCCGTGGTCCGGGGCGGTGGGGAAACACAAGGTGGGAGACCATCACCCCGAGGCTTAATCGAACAGGGGCTTCTCTCCGCATTCTTCGAGCGTATACGCAAGGAATTTTGCATCCCCGTCGAGATGCCGACCTCAGTCAGGTCCCAGATGAAACCGCTGGGGGCCGAGCGTAGGACACACAGATCCGGAGGTTGTAAGCGCAGCCCGACTAGGTCAAGGTGTGAGCCGTGCCCAGAATTGCGTGCGTGCTCGTCGTTCGGTACATGAGAGAGATAGAGTGGTAGTGCCCTCGGAGCGGTACGGGGATGGGTCGATGTTGCATCGAGAGATGGCCAGCGGCAACCCTCAGAAGGCGACGAAATCGTACGTAATATTCCGCGCCCCTGCCTGCAAGCCGGTCGATCGAACGGGGGGGCGTGCATCATCGCGACGCAGCATAGAAAGCCTCCGATAAACATTAGACTTTGGCAGGGTTTCTGATAGGCAAAGCAGTAAGTACATAATACAATACGTACCGCGAAGTCGGCCGTCGGTCACTGTCACAGTTTCGGCGACGCGCAGGGCCAACCTTTGCTTTGGAGGGACATACTGTTCTCGTCATCCGCACCCTCGTCCACACCATCCTCCACTCACGGCGAGGGCTGGTCGCTGCTTTCAGACTGTCGATTTCTCCTCGTACGTTCGCCCGCGGCATCGGGGCAGGTCGAGAGCGTATGTAAAGATTGGACGAACGATGACGAGCATACAAGCCCTCCGCGCTGAGCCTGTTCGCGCGCGGAGCGAAGTAAGAAAGAAGCACCGCACCCGCACCGTCGGAACAGGAAGCTGGAGAGGAAATCCTGGCTTGTTTTTTCTCGAGGGGGGACCTCGCCGTTCCTAATCCGAAAGGTTGAATGTCGGTGCTGTTGAACCGTGCAGGCCGCTGTGGATACGGGGTGCATAGGGCGCGTGAACCCGCTGTCGTCGAATGAACTGAGAGGTCTTCCGGTTCTTGTCGCTGCTGGTCGATCCGCCGCCCCCTCGAGCGTAGAACATGGCAGTGCGACGTCCTTTGGATGGCAGTGCGGGTCGCGCAGATCAGATCAGCACGAGTGAGACTAGCGTGTTGTCGGATCCACACGAACGAACGCAACGTCGAAGTTTCGGTCTCATCACGATTCGCGACGACGTCATCATTACTTATCACTGAACAAGCACTGAACAAGCGGCGAGGTGGTTCCAAAAATAGCGAAGCGGCGGGTTCGCGTCGATACATTGCGACCTTTCTCGACATGAGGAAACAAAGACTCCCCCCCCTCGTTCAGTCCTGTGTTCTTCTCGGTCTTGGGGGGTGTGACTACAGCGAGAGACCGGGTCGGTTCGTGGGTCGTCCAGACGTTATAGTACCTCTAGAGAACGAAACATTTTATCGCGACCCTGCCGCTCCCCAAAAACCGCAACGGACCGCAATCAGTCAGGTGCAGATCATCTAGAGGGACGCTGATGGTGATCGAGCTCGGCACCGACACCCCCAACGCTCACCCGCAAAAGAGAGCCCAGGCCCGACCGCCCCGTAAAGTACATACATACGACGCGAAATTGCCAAAAGCCGGGCCGCACGAGAGGGCGCGATCGCCGCGTCATGATTGGGTGTTGTTGTTGGCTGAAAGACGTCACGTGCGGCGCACACCATTGGCTCGAGCGCTGCGATTGGACGGGCCCAAGCCCCCGGGGGGATGGGGCCGTGATTGGCTCTCATCCAGGGCGAGAATGGAATAGGTTTGCAGTGGTGATTATCGTTGAAAGGGAGGGGGACAACAGATGATGTGAAGGCGTAAGAAACAAAAAAATAAACATGGATGAAACGGACACGCGGGAATCTTATTTCGTTCCGGATGACGGAATTTGATGCGTTTTTTTTGGGGCGATGAGCTCGAGGGGAATGCAAGAGTATAGTCTATTGTGGTAGCGGAGTGTGTCTATACATGGGGAGATGCGTGTTGCTGCGCTAGCCGATTGCGTATTTGCGTGGGTGCGAGAGAGGGAAAGAGAGAGTGGGCACCTGCCCTAGTTATGCTAGCGAAGTGTGGTGACTAGCTATCGTTCGGTACCGAGACGCGAGAGAGAGAGAGGACGGAAGGGGACTCGGTGGGCGAGAGCGAGGGGGAGCAAGAATGATTTGCGAGGACGGGGAGGGAGAGGATAAGCGATACAGATTTGCGCGATGGGAAGCGGGAGAGAGGATAAGATGAGAGAGAGAGAGAGAGAAAACCGGTCGTCTAGTGTGCGGAGTGCGGTAGCGAGTAGTAGTTAATGTGCGAAGGACGAAAAAGGTAAGTGTAACCCAGAAGGCGGCGACGGTAGGAATGCGTAGGGCCAGGATTATGAATATAATATATCGTAGCGGTGCTGGCGATGTTCCCCGTAATGTTGTTGCGATCGTGCGATGGCGCGACGCGCGCGGTGTGCCTGATAAACCCGGAAGAAGAGAGAAAGCGATCGATGGGGGGCGGGAGGAGTCCCCTAGGGGCCGACCGCGGTGAGTCAGACCGAAAACTTTTTCTGACTCCGTGCTGGCGGAGGTGCAGCGGCCTGTAGCAAGGACGCGGTGTAAGCAGAGGCGAAGAAAGAAGATAGTGCGAGGCCGGCGGCGGACGTACGGGGTAGGCAGCGCTGCTGGTGGAGTTGGGCCCGCGAGAGGCGTTGCTCTGGAGAGCTTTTTGTAGCTGGCGACGAAAGGCAGTTAGATTGCATTGCAAGAGTCTGGAGGAAGTGAAGAGGGCGAACCTTTGCCGCGCTGGCAGCCGTTTGCTGGACCGTCATGGTCATGCTGGGGTGGAGCCGAACGCCGTCCATGCTCGTCGCCTGGGGAAGCGAAGAGAGGGAGCACTTGACGGAGGGCAGGGCCATGAGCTTGTCGCGGTTGCTGGCCATCGTGGTCATAGTCACGGGTACGAAGGGGACCGGTGGACTGGAGTGGCGGAGGGGAGGCGGGCGGGCGGGTGTGTCCCGAGGTAGGGCGGGAGGACAGCAGCGGGAGGCGGGGAGGAGGCGAGCGTTTATGGCGGGGGCCCAGAGGCGGAGAGGGAAGAACGAGGGAGTGGCGGTTGGGACTGACGCGCCGAGGGGAGCGGTGGGTGAGGAAAATCGGCGTTGCTGCCGTGCGGGGCGGGCAGGCTTTATACGCGCGCGGGCCCGTGGACGCAGAGCGATCTTGGCCTCGCGCTTCGGTCGTCATGCCTTTTTTCCCTGCCACCCGTCCGGCCGTGGTCCCCCCGCTTCCTCGTCCGCGCAACGCGTGGGCATCTAGATCGCGCGCGCCAGTATGTAATAGATAAGCCGGCCTTCCCGACTTATCGCGCTCCCAGCTTCGAACCGAGGAAGCCCACACGCGCTCGAACCCGAACCCAGGCCTCGTTCCGTGTCGCCTCTCCCAGCTCTGCTTCTCGCGTCATACGCCTGCGCCCAGCTGGGATCCAAACGCTAAATGGAACATCGTATGTGTGGGACGCTGTCCGCCCAACGTATAGCCCGGCCACTCGGCCTCCCAAACTCGCCTTTCTGCCACCGCCCGGTCCCGGCGTCTAAACCAGGTCCTCCTCCTCCCACCCGCTGATCCAGGCTGATCCTCGAGCGGGAACACGCAAAAGGGAAGCGGGGGCCACAAACTCGCGATCAGCGCAACGAATATACACCGCAAACCGCCAACGTCCGAACCTGGAAGCGATCCCATCTCCCCCCGTCCGCATCTGGCAAACGATCGCGGAACAGGGACGGGCCAACCGCGACCCGTGAATCCTTTTTTCTCGAACGCTTCGGAAATCTGAGTCTTCTCTGCCATTATCAGCCTTCGGACCGCCCCTCCCCAAACGCGCCCGCACGCTCGGAAAGAAAAGAAAAAACGCGACATTGCTCCGAGACAGGGCGAGGGATCGCGAGGCTCGAGCAGCGTGCCGCAGCGCGCGCTTTGCCTGCAGGACGGCCCCGTCCAAATATAAACTGCATAGCAGAAACCGAGAAGAACACCCCAGTCATACCCGAAAGCAATGAATAATATTACGAACCCCGATCCCGCGATCCCAGCTTGTTCCCCTCCCTATACCCGCGGCAAACTATGGAACGGACGCTTTTTTTTTGCTACATGTACTGCTCCCCCCCTCCCTCCCCCCCTGGCCCGATTATTCGGTCTCGTTGATTGCCCGGAAGGTTACAAATAGCAACGAAACCGCACGTCTCCCCATCCTCCGTTCTCGTGATCCAAAACTCTAAACGCATCGAGGACGTTTTCTGCGCACCCGCCCCGCGACCCGGGCCACCGGCTGATCCGGGACCGAGAGAGAGCTCCCTTCAGGCTCCTCCTCCCTCGTCCACCCTGCTGCAGACGCGGTTCTTGGGGGGGGGAGGTGGAGATGGCATGGGTATCGCGGTCTATTGACTCCGCATCAGCAGAGAACAGAGAGAAAGGGCGCGAACAACGCATATTGGCACACCGTGGCATGTGGGAGACAACGTCCCATCCGCCCCGTCGCCAACCCAGCGCAGGGCAATCGCAAACACGGCAGGAGATCCGCCTCGTGCATCCCCCCCCGCGCCCAATGCCGAAACAGCTCTGACTCTGACTCCCACTGGGACGTCCCCGTGCGTATCTAACGGGCGTGCGGCATATGGAACGCCCTATTGCCACATCATCTCTATGATCTCTATGATCCGGCCTCGAGCTCGGGAGATGACTACTTACATACGGGTGGGCGACTCAAAAGCGGTACGCAGTGCGAATCGTCCACCTTCTCACTGGCCTATCGGCGCGCGCGCCCTGTCTCTTTCTCTGTGGGCCCCGGGGACTTAGGCCCAACTCTCCCACACCTACAATGCATCGCTCACGCCGACGGGGGCGGGGCCCAAAGGCGCGCAGGAAAAAAAAGGAAAAGACGCAATCGCCAGAGGGGTTCGCAATCTCTCCCAACTTCCCTGTGGCACTGCCGGCGGGAAAAAATCTGCGGTAAATCTCCCGCGCTGGGTTTTTTTCCCACTCATGGGTCTCGACAAGCTGATCTGCCCCTCTTCCTCCCCGTCAGCTCGCTCGCTTTTTCGTCGCTTGCTGCGGTGAACGAGGCGATCCCGGATCGAACCAGCCGAGGGTACATATGTCGACATCGGAACCAAGCTGAGGTCGGCCTTCCTGCCTGCCCTGCCCCCCCTTTCCCCAATATTGCGTCGATCACATGGTCGTCGTTCGGTGCAGCATATCCGACGATGGCGACGTTGCTGACAGTGAGAGAACCGGTATCGGTGATTGCAGGAGAATAAGGTTTGTCGAAAGATTGCCCAGATGCGTATCGTTTACGCAATATGGGAAGAACCAACCTCCCCCCCCCTTGGGAAGCGTACGTACAGACATCGTCACTCCTCTCTATCTCGCGCGCGCACACGCTGGCTTCGTGTGCAAAACGCCATCGAACCCCGTTCATATCACCGTCGGTATCATCTTGTCTCGCTGTAACTGATGCTGGAAATGATATGCCGGCGTCGAAAACGAGGCAGATCCAGCGAGCGAGCGAGAGAGAGAGAGAAGAAAAAAAAAAAAAAAGTTTTCTGTGGCGTTTCATCAAGATGCTCATATGCAGCGGCGGCGAACACCCGAACGGGGTGTTAAAAACGCAGCTGTCAGTCTCACTTCTGTGGGTCGCTTAAGATCGTCCTTTTTTTTCATCATCCGCGCCATCGCGCAGGGGCCATGCCATGCATTTCGCCATGATGAAGAAACATACACCGCACGATCTTGCGCTGGGGTCCGTCCCGATTCTGCTTCCGCCGTAAAGTAAGCTCGACGGATCGCACACACCCCCGCCCTGGCACGTCCACGACGTTCGTCGGCTATCACCCAATCACAGAAAACGTGTTCCACGCTCAAAACGCGATCCCGGGAACGGAAATATTCCCTGCCCCCCGGCGCGAGCTTCGGGCTCAGGAGCTCAGGCCACGTTTCCATGCCTACGCCGGCCCGTGCCTCTCGGAAGAGGAAAGAGGAGACCGGGGCTAGGGATCGTCGCTGCGTCACCACGACAGGGCCATTTGTCCCGAGTGCCTGCAGCTGGTGGGTGTGCTGCGGACGTGCCAACGTCGGGCGAGCGGGAACTTTCCGGATCGGTGCACCGTGCACGGGTCATGGATGGATCGTGGCCGCAGAGCCCCCCCCATCTCCGACTCCGAGGGATGCGCGCGCAGCTCAGTCCAAGACAACCAAGACAACCAAGCACAAAGTGACGATGAGAAGCGGCAGCGACGGAAACGCCCAAACTCGGTCCGGTCATGGGGGTGTCTACATGCATTTCGATTCTGTTAGGTTTTACTCGACGGCCTGCACGCCCGTGTACACGGAAAGCCGGCCGCAGGCCTCCTTCCACTCGATCGTGCCCTCCACGAGCTCGATCACGACCTTGACCACCTCGTCGATGTCGCCGATCAGCTGAGTCGTCGTGTCTCGTTCCCTGCAACACGAGCCCAAAAACCAACAAACGCGATCAGCACCCACGTCAGGACAACGTAACGAACACCCCCTCTCTTCGCCTTCTCGCCCGGACCCAGACTCGCTAACGGAAGTAAAGAAGGGGGAGGGGGGGTCGAGGCGCACACGCAATGCAACGCAAGAACGCGAACGCAAAAGAAAACCGGATTTGGATTGAAAACGAATGAATGGAAAGATGCTCTCACCTGAGCGTCATGGTGCGATTCTGGACCGCTAAACGGGGGGAAAAGGACCCATGATGTCAGCAACGCGATCGTCCTGCCCCTCTTCCCGCTTCGAACGAGGAAACGAGAAGCGGGGAAGGAGAGGTAAACACGCACATGCGAAGTCGAGGGTGACGCCGAACGGCGTCCCGAGCTCGTCGTTCCTCGCATAGCGCTTTCCTATGGACGTATTCGAGTCGTCCACGCGCGAGAACACGCCAGCGGCGCGGAGCTTCGAATCTGCCCGAGTTCCGGGTCGTTTCATTCATTCGTTCGCGCGAGCGAGCGACGAGGGGGGCCACACAAACGGTTCGGAAAATCGAAATCGGTTTCGGTGGCGAAGGGCCGGATCGGTGACGTGCGTAAAGTTGGGGGGGTGAGCGAAACTGAATGTGGACGGGGGGGGGGGTCATGTGGCCATCACTCACGGACTTCCCGCACGAGCGGGACAAACTCCTCTTTCGCGCTCAGAGGCACGATCAACACTTTCGTGGGCGCGACGAGCGCGGGGAGCGAGAGAACCTGGGGTAAAACGCAATCAAAATGCGGTCTGCGTCAGCGCGGGACGGCGACGGGAACGACCCCCAGGCCCAGAACACGCGGGCTCGGTTGCGTCAGCTGACGAAACACATACCCCGCGTTCGACATCTTGCTCCCTGGACCAGAAGCTATGTTCGAGCAACGTATATAGGATGCGGCCGAGACCGAACGAGGGCTCGATGACGTTGGGAATGAATTCGCGCACTGTGTGCGTTCCCAGCGCGTATTGATGAATAGGTGCCCGCGCCGAGAAGTGTGGGGTAAAAGAAGTATGGGGTAGTGACCGCGTCAGGGCACATAGGTGAGAACGACGCATACGCATGCGGCGAGCAAACCACGCACCGTGTTGCTTGATGGTCTTGCGCTCGATGGTCAGGAAGCCCGGCGTGAGCTTTAGTTGACGGCCGTCCTCTGCCGTAATAGTGGCAGTTCTGCACATGGACATGATCGGGTGAGCCGCCCGTGACGTGCCAGAGCATCTCCGGCCGGTTCGACTCACCCCTGTGCGAGCTCGCCCTTGAGCTTGATCAGCTGCTCCTCGCTCATGTCTCCGACGATCTTCTGGATGACGGCCGAGTCCTTGCCAAACGTCTTGCCTAGGTTCTTCTTGTTGAATTCGACGACCTCCGCCTCCCGCGAGATCGGCGTGCTGAGCGCCTGGCGGACGACGAGCGGCGCGCCCGTCTTCTTCGCGTGCACGGAGAGATCGTACGCGGCGCGGTCCGCACAGCCGACGCACTCCGTCCAGCCCGTCGAGTTGTGGATCTCCGCGTCCCAGCAGTCCGTCGCGTAGTGCGCCATCTCGTTCGCCATGTGCTGCCTAAACCTCAATCGCTGCGGGTCGATGCCGATCTTGACGAGGAAGAGGTAGATGCGCGCGAGGAAGTAGCCCAGCGTCTCGTTCGCGACGACGCCCCTGTCGACCGCCTCGCCGATCGTGATCTGCGCGGGCTCGGACGAGCCCGCGACCTGCACGTGCCGGTCCAGGAGGGCGAGCGTGATGTCGCGCACTTCTTTGAAGCGCGGGTGGGACTTGTCCTCGGGGTCGACGTAGTGCTCGATCTCGGCCATCGTGAACTCGCGCACGCGGAGCAGGCCCGCGCGGGGCGAGATCTCGTTTCGGAACGAGCGCCCGATGCAGGCGGACGCGAACGGCACTCGGCCGTAGTTGAACTCGAGCAGACGGGAGAAGTTGAGGAAGTGGCCCTGCGCCGTCTCCGGGCGGAGGAAGCTGGGTTAGGTGAGTGACGTGCGGGGCGGGAGAAAACGATGACGATAGGGTAAGGGTAGGGTGATAGGGATGTTGGACGCACCCCGGATGTTGACCGGTGGGCCCGATGCTGCTCCCGAACATGAGATTGAATTGCTGAGGTTCGCCGATCTCGTTGTCCGTGTCTGGATTCCGGATCGCGTACTTGCGAATAAGTTCGCCGAGCTCCGGTCCAGAGTAGTTGTCCAGCTACATATGGGCATGAGCATGGTCGACGGCTCAGATGACCTATGACAGCGTGGATTGACGCACCTGTGCGAGTACGAACTCGTATTCCTTCACGAGCTCATCCGCAAGCTTGACGGGTGCCGCCTTCGCCGCCTTCTTTTTCTTCTTCTTGTCCTTCTCGCTCTCTACGGCCGGCTCAGCAACTGCACCGCGGGCCTCCTTATCCCCAACCAGGCGGGCCTCGATGACGTTCTTCACCAGGTGGTCCGCGCGCAGAACCTCGCCGGTCTTGAGATCTTTAACCATCCAGTCGGCGAATCGCGCGACGTGGCCAGAGGTTTCGAAGACGGGGGCGGGGGTCATGATGGTGGTGTCGAGCTCGAGCATGTTCTCCTCGATGATGAAGTGCCGCCGCCATTCGGCGATGATGTTCGCCTGCAGGGCCGATCCCGGTGGGCCGTAGTCGTACAGACCGGCGACACCTATTCGACGTCAGGATCGATCCACACATAAGCTCTGAGAGTCACGTACCGCCGTAGATCTCGAATGCAGGCGCATAGAAGAATCGGCGCGCGAGGGTCGCCTCGAGGCGGGCCTTGTCGAACGGATGCACGGTCTTCTTCACCTCGGACATCGGGGGCGGGCGTGGTTCGGCGTCGCGTTGGACGAATGCGCGTGTGGCAAAGCGCTTTTGTACAGATAAAAGGCGAAGTCGAGAGTTGCGATGATAATGTACAGGCGCGCGCAAGAATCCAAGCACGGATCGCATCCAAATCGATGCCACCGTCGAGTCAAGTCGCGATTAACCTCGGACTATCCCCGACTCAACCACGATCGCGACCCCAACACCTGATAGATCCGAGGCCGCTGCCACGTAGTTTGCGCTGGTATATTATCCTCAGTATCCTCAGCAACCCGACAAGTCACAGACAGCAAATTTGTTGCGAGCCGGGAAAATGCGACCGACGACGAGCGCCCGTACAGCCGCCGCGCTCGCCGCGTGCGTGCCGCCCTGAGAGTCCGGCGCAAGGCTCTGGCCGCGACGTGGACGACTCGTGGACAGCGATGGTCTCTAGATCGCTCTCGCTCGGACTCTTTCGTTCCTTGCGGACCACACTATGCTTTCGAACCTTACCGCCTCTCAGGCCGATAGCCCTGGCGTTGCGCGTACCTATACGAATCGACCACGATGCTAGACGCCGCCGCACCGGCGATATCTCGATCAAGTCCAACTCTGGAGGGACTCAGACATCGCCGTTCATATACCTAAATGCACTACTATAGTACATGCTTTACTTACGTGACTGCACCTCGCGTCGAACAAGCTACCCAAACCATCGCACACTCAATGGACAAAACCCGCTTTTTCTCGGCGTTTGGCGTCGTGGCCTCGCCATTCGGGCCGGACAGTGCCCAGCGTCCCAGCCATCGGCGGAAGAAGAGTTCCGAGAGGGCCATCTGACCTCAACCTGAGACCGCTCAACTAATCCAGGGGTCAACGTTTCGCTCAGACTCTCGTTCACGACGTACACACATCTTATCACCGCGCTTCCTCGCAGAGATTCTGGAGCTGATTCGCCGCTGTTCGTGGTGCGTCAGTGGGACGGTGAGGATGTCGTTATTCTATGTGCCCAGCTCGTTCTGGATCTCGAAAGCCCTCGATCTGTTGCGGTCATAGTCTCGTGAGTGATCACGACGTTCCGATGAGGGAAAGTATGGTTCGTGACACTATCAAGACTCTGGTGCCCTCTTATCGCTCACGCTTACCCAGAACGATGCGTAGAGCCGCACATGTCATGCCGGGAATAAGAACGGGAGGCCCTTCCCGGTTTGCCCCACAGGTTTTTGTTTGCCCCACCGTCCTAACGAAGGTATCGACCCGGTCCCAGCATGCCATCGACCAAGGGCTCTACATGAAGAACCCTAACCTCGTGCGAAAACACAACCAGAACAATCAGTTTCTGGGTAGGTAGGTAGGTAGGTAGGTAGGTAGGTAGATACATACATACATCAACGGGAACGGCCTATAAGCAGGAACGACCCTGCACTCGGTGTATCCTGTAATGTCCTCGGCTCGATGGTCCCTAGTAGGTGGACACACTCATTTTGAAGTCTGCGATTACCAGCGATACCGGCTGCATGACCTCGTCCCGTTGTTGTTGGCGCTGCGGTCCCTCATCTGCAGTGGAGCAGGCAAAAAAGGAGGTTGATGAAGGACGTAAGGCAGCCTCGGGCGAAGTGAGGTCTTTACAAACAAGCCTAACATTAGTCTGAATCAGGTCTTTACGTACCACACATAAGCCTTCCCTATCGCATTGACAGCTCGATACCACTATCGCAACCCGTCGGTCGAGCCTGCCCCGAGAGGTTTGCGGTCGAAAACCGGAAGGTTGGATCCGAACAGGAACTATCTCGCTGGTGCATAATTGCATATGCTACGACAACTCTTTGAAACGAATTACGCGAACTTGGCCAGATTCTTCCGTAGCTCCGTAGACCGGATGCGCCTTCGATGGTTCAGACGATCCATTTGGTTCTTTGGTGCGAAGGTAAACTTGGCGGCGACCGTCGTACAGGCACCGCACGTAACCATTGCGAAGGACGCGATCCAGACGACCCGTATCTGGGTAGCGCGCCTCCACGCCGCTGTTCTTGAAGAGGAGAAGTCGCGACCATATCAGTGCGAAAGCGTTGGCTGTTCCTTCCCATTCTATGACCTTTCCTAGCGGGTCTCCTCGAGGGTCCACTTGCACCCCGCAGTCTATGCGGGTTGAGTCAGTTTTCTGGGCGCAACCGTTATAAGTGGTCAATCCTGTGCTCACCGTCGTAGCACAGCAGAAAACTTCCATTATACGGGATCATCACCAGCGGCATGCTCTCACTCAATCGCTGTATGGCGTGCGGAAAGGCTCCCGAAGCGCCATCCTCCTCATCCTCCTCCACCCCTTGTGGGATTCGAACGCTCTCGTGCCTCACGAGTCGGCAACTGTATATCTCATCCTGCAGAGACCACATGCAAGTATGCTCACTCAGCCAGGTCCATAACGGAGAAGCCCTTGTCTTCGACTACGGCGATCTTTTTGCGGAGAAAAATGACGTCGCGGGCGTTGCAGTCCATGATAAAGTGCTGCTCCGAATTTTCACTGAGGCGCAAATATTGGGGCCGCATGGTGCGTGCGCACCTGCTTTACTTTGAACCAAGCGGGACCTCGTTGAAGAAACCGTGACTTCTGATCGTTGAGGATGGCATCTTCCACGACTTCCAACGTCGTGAATCGGCTTGTTTTCTGCGAACACGCTTGTCGTCACCTCCAGCACGTCGAATCGGGCATCAAAAGCGGTGACTTACACCATCTTTGCTCTTCCTTCCGTATATGATGAGGATTTCATAACCCTCGGGTTGACCCACTGAAAAGTAGTCGATATCGTGCTCGCCGCTGGGTATCTGCCAGTTCGGCTCCGGATGCGACGCTTCCTCTTTCCATGCGATCAAATCGCGGATCCTGCACGCATGCAACACCTGGAGTAGAGATCGTACTCAGGGACCATTGTACGGATCTTAGGAAGGCCAACGACTATACTCTGTTCGCCATCATGACAAGAAGTCCGACTTGTTCGATTACTGCTCCCTGCGTGACCAGGGTGAAGCTGCCAACCTTGGCCCATGCTGGCAAAGAGGCATCAACGTGCGTAGCTCTTATTAATTCGAACGAGGACTGTCGGTCCGTCACGTACATGCTGCTAAACCGGGGTAACCGATCCACAGTCCGTTGTCGCAGCCCAACGCCGTCAGGGTTCGGCCCTCAACGGGCGCTCCTGTGAGCACGTTTAAACACCAGATACACATGGAGAGAGAACATCAGTAAACCGACCCAGATGTAGAAGCCAATGCAAAGTGCCGATCGCCTTGGTGGAGATGTCAAAGGCGAGATTCACCCCCTCGAGTTCCAGCTTGACCGCCTCGGGCTTCTTGTCCTCGGAGGGTTGAGCAGAACAAGCAGAAGCGCTCTGGCCGCTTGTTTGCTGGGACGAGACAGCCACGGAAGTGAGTTGAGTCATGGGTCAAAGGAATGTGTGCGTACAGCAATGCATCGGCGGTATATATGCATATGCGAGGTATCGTGATTTCGGGCCGATTTACTCGGAGATCAGCCGCCCGCTGTTTGGGGAGCGCCATCACTGTGCGCGCAGGTGAGTTCTCAGCCTGTTGAGAAGCAGTGCTGGATGCGTGCAGCCCAACCCGGGAGAGGAGACGGCGTGAAAGAACCGCGAATACGAGAGTTGGGTCAAGACGATCAAGACTGGCATCTAGATGGATACAAGGTGAAGAAATATCCGGTGCTAAGCTGTATGTGCCGACTGATATTCGATGACATCGGACAGCGAACAGTTGGGCGCATCACGAAGGAATAGGGACAGAGATTACTCGATTAACCTGGTCAGACCACGGCCTGCGTGAGGCGGTTCCAGAAGGTTATTAGTGTGGTGATGGATCATCGTTGAATCGATGCAGGTCAACTGAACAAGCCAATGCTCTTGACGGTTCGCCGAGTCGAGCACAAGTCAGCGTGAGGAACAGAGACTCCAATACAGATCTCGGGAGCGGTAGACACGCAATAAGCAGAGAAAATGACGCGGCCAAAAGATTGATCATTCATAGCACTGTTGACCTCAGACATTGGGGGCGTGCTTCGCCTGCGCGACTGGTGCCAGTGAGCGCAGAGGATAGGGACGGTCCGCCACAATACAAACATACACATACAAATACATGCAATGTTGGCGACGTCATTGATATTTTTGCGATAACTGGTGTACTAACCGAGTATTATGTGTCGACGACCTCGACAAGCGACTTTGGATTCTGGTCGATTTCAATGGCGTTGCGCTCACTACTGCGAGATGCTGGCTATTTTCAGCATTTCAGGCTCGCTGATTGAATACTCTCATGTTGGAGTGCGTGCGTACTCAGGTGACGAAGACCGGACCTCCTATACATATAGCCCAGCGCTTGCTCAGCCCTTTATCTCAGCCCCGTTTGACCCACGTCGACTAAAAAATCCGATAAACAGTCCTCATGTCGACGAAATCCATTGGATCTTGTCCGACCACCCGGCCGTCACCGAGTGCAGGTAACGGCCGGTTCAGCAGACTGACACTGGTCTCCCTTGGTCTTATCAGCGCCATCGGGGCTTTGTTCTTGCTCAACATGTCCGCGGTTCCGAAGCTCTTCAGCCCAATTCAGGTCGGCACGTCCGCGCTCAAGCATCGCGTCGTCCTCGCTCCTCTGACGCGCTACCGCGCCAACATCCACCACGTACTCCTGGATATCGTGGCCATGTACTATGAGCAGCGGGGGAGTGAACCAGGTACGAAGCGCGAGTACATGTCCGCGCACGTCGAATTTCACCCGTCACCGCTTGTTCAGGTACATTGCTCACGACGGAAGCCACATTCATCGCTCCGAAGGCTGGAGGGTACAATCACGTACCTGGCATCTGGAACCAGGACCAGATCAACTCGTGGAAACGGGTGGGTCTGTTCTCGCTCGGTCATAAGCCGTTTCACTAAGCTGGCTGCATCAGGTAACGGACGCCGTTCATACCAAGGGCTCGTTCATTTATCTCCAGCTCTGGGCGCTCGGACGGGCTGCGAAGCTGGATGTCCTGAGAAGCGAGGACCCCAGCTTCGAGCTTGTCTCTGCCTCGGACGTCAAACTGAGCACGTCCGAATGGACGCCTCGTCCTCTGAGGATCGACGAAATCAAGGAGTACACGCAATTGTACGCGGAGGCGGCGAGCAATGCTGTCCAGGCAGGATTCGATGGCGTGGAGATTCATGGCGAGTTACCGTCGTTCCCATCGTTCGCGCGGCGCTATCTCGATGATGATCCTTGAACGATAGGTGCAACTGGATACTTGATTCACCAGTTCCTTGAGCCGAGTAGCAATAAGCGGACTGATCGCTATGGCGGATCCATCGAGAACCGCAGTCGCTTCGGGCTCGAAGTCGTAGATGCCGTAGCGAACGCCATCGGCGCGTCCAAGACGGGCATCCGTCTCAGCCCATGGAACAGGTTTCAAGGTTAGTCACGTTTCACGCCCTGAGGGACCAGCGAACGAACTTCTCGTTTTTTGACCTCCTTTTAGACATGCGTATGGACGATCCCATCCCGCAATACACCCACTTCGTCACGTCGCTCAAGGACGCCCACCCAGACCTCGCTTATATCCACGTCGTGGAGCCGCGGGTGAACGGCAGTGAGGATATCCCCGGCGGCCCGCCCAAGGGCGAATCGAACGACTTCATCCGCAACATATGGTCCCCGAGGCCCCTGATCAGCGCCGGTGGCTACAACCGCAGCATCGCTTTGCGGGTTGCCGAGAAGAAGAGGGACCTCATCGCCTTCGGCCGCCACTACATCTCTAACGTGAGTTCCCTTGCACCACCGTGACGGACGGTGCGCTCACTCTACTATATCCAGCCCGATCTGCCCAAGAGATTGAGGAAGGATATTCCGTTGCACCCTTACAACCGCAGCACGTTTTATACCCCGGAAAGCCCGGTGGGTTATATAGACCAACCGTTCGCAGAAGACGAAGAACTTTAGGAGTAAAAGGACGCGATGTCCTTGCGATGTCTATCCTCTTATGTTATCATCATCCAGGAGCATTCACGTCGACACTTCGCTGGGAGAACGCCGAGATGACCATCTGCAATGCGTACGGAAAGGATCATGTCGCCGTATCGACGATTTTCGTGCATAGGCAAGTTACAGTTCCGAATTATGACCCAGGCATCGAGGACAGCTGCTGTAACTGCAACGATAGCACCGTCGGCACCCAGCACTGCAAGGTTGGTAACGCTGTTTATTGGAAAATGCTCTATGTTACAAATCGTGCTGCATAGCGGCCGATCCACGGAGGCTGCTGATCTGGCGCGCGTAAAACGCTTCCCAGGCGTACTGCTTCACGAGCCGAATGCCCTGGAGCACATAAGCGTAGAGGGACGGACGGCTTCAGCGTCCCGAGAAGATCTTAGAGACGCCCGGGAGGGGTACCTCACTCGTAAGCCGTACGCGACTGTCGGTGATCTGCACCCCTTGCCGGCGCATCCGGAACATGACGCGGACGAGGAGAAGCTGTACCGGAAAGGCGAGCAGAAGGACTGCGAGTCCTACCAGCGCCGAGTACCCCAACTGACCGAAGACACACGAAAAAAGAATTATATATATATATATAAACGTCAGTTCGCACGGGTTCATCCGCGAAGTCGAGGTAGGGGAGAGGACGCGGATGCGTACGTTGTTGATGAGCAGCGCGACGCCGATCACGATCTGGATCCGCCCGAACCAGAGGTTGTGCACCATGGCGGAGGCACGGTCGATCCGTGACGAATCGGTGGAGATCATCGTCGTGATCTGGCCAACGGAGTGGTCCTGACAGGCGAAGCGACTTGCGGAAGACGGTGCCGATGACCTGGTTTGAAAGCGATCAGGGTGAGTCCATGCATATATGCGCGCGAGAGGATTGAGAAAAGGAGAAAGGAAAGACGGGTACGTACCCCGGTTCGGACGGATTAACCGGTCGTTATCGTTGTCAATTGATAGTGGTTCATCATGTAGCCCGTTCGCGATGTCAGCTCGCCGGACGACGCCTCCTGCATCACAAACAGCGCGAACGCGAGCTCTATGCTGTAACCGACACCGTGCGGCTTGAAGGCGTCAGCCCGCTCAGCTTCGGAGAGCTCGGCGTACGTGTACGAGAGCGAGAGCCAGGAGAGGAGGTGCTTGTTGAGAAGAGGCGTCGTCGTGTTCAGCGTGTCTGTGTAGTAGTCCATCGTGATTATCATTCAATCACCGTGTCGAGGGGAGATCTCGTACCCGCGCAGAGCTTCATGCATCCGCTGGCCCACCAGTGCCAGAAGAACGTGTTCAATAGGGCCTTGAGCAGACTCCCGTCGTACCGCTTCTCTCCCTTCCTATTGACGGGGGTAGTGCCGGCCTCCCTTCGCCAAAAGCGAGAGATGGTGCGAAGCGGTTGATCTTGCTTGAGCTTCGAGGCGGACGCGTCTTTAGCTAGGGGCGATTTCGTCGTTGGTCTTCTTTTCGTCATCTTCGGCCTCGGGTGCCATGGAGCCCTGCTGCTCGCCCACCCCGCGCTCGTCCATGTCTTTAAGAAAAGCGGGCCGCTGTTCGGGCGCATCGCGCGTAAAAGTTGCGCTCGACGCGGTCGGCGTGATTCTGCGGGAGTCTTCGTCTTCTCGCCAGCATATACGCGGTGGGTACGGGGGGGGGGGGGCGCACCGTCGTTTTAGAGAGGACGCGAGAAGCCGACAGCGAGGAAGGGCCCGAGCCGCGCGAAGACGAGCTTGGAGAGGAGCGAGGCGCGCTCTCCGGGCACGACCTTATCCTCGCCGAACGCGGGCGGTGCAGGAGGTGGGTGCCAGGGGTTGTACATCGCGACCCGCCGAGCTCACCGCCTGTCCAGCTAATATCGAGTGGGGGGCGCGCTCAGAGGTTCAGATACGAGTCCATGTCGACCCTGCTGGAGATATCTGTGCGCCACCAGTCTGCAGGCGCACGCGGACGCGCACGTTGCGATCGGTTCCAAAGATAGATCCCGAGTTGTGGGGCGGGGAGGGTACCTGAGCCTCGGGAGAGGGGGACGGTGGCGGGGGCCGAGGCGGCGTCCGACAGAAGGTGCCGTGGGTCGTTCGGACGCCGTTGGTGGGCAAAGCGGGTCCCGAGCCGGGCGTCATATTTGACATACTATCTTTACCGGTATGGGAGGCAGATGACTCGCGCCAGGAGATTGTGCAAGACCTGGAGAGGACGCAGCAGGACCAAGAGGGGTGGGTAATCTGATAAGATGGGATCTGGAGATGCTCGGGCGCCGAATAACACACCGCCTTGCCTGCCTCGTTAGATTGTTGGGAGACGCATCTTTTCTTCTTGAATTGAACTGAGCCAGCGTCTCGACGTCCTCGCCGATTTTCACCAGCTCGCAAGTCCCACTAGTGACTAGCCACCACTACGATTGTCAGGCTGATCTGTAGGCATTTTGTGGGTAATTATCGGTGCCGGACTGGGCCCATCAAGGCAGGATAATCAAGCATCATGCAGCATAAGCTGAGATCAACGCGAGAGAACGCGACGGTTGGAGGAGGTCGGAGAGATATTTTGAACTCCCACGCCACACTTCTGGCTACGCAAAGACGCGCTTTCCCCGAGCCTGGGCACTTTCCCCGTGCTTCGCGGGCGCACGCAGCCACTGCGCAGCCCTGATCTGACCCTGATCTGGGCGTAATCCGAGCGCTCTGATTGGCGGATCAGCTGCCGGTCTCGGGACGGGACCCTGCCGCGCGATGCGTCATGCTGCCTCCGTTCTAAATATGGCATTCGACCGCGAGTCGTCGAGCGACACGCGCTCCTACGCTTATATCTGGCTTGAGCTCGGATACTTATCACGACCTGGCTCCATTCTCTGCTTGACGAACACGGGCTGAGTCTCGAGGAAACGGAGGAAAGCAGACGGGCGACTCAGCGATCCGGACTCTACGTCTCGTATCTGCCGCGGACTGCGTACGGTAAGCTCTCTGTGAACGGAAAGGAAAAAGGAAGACCCATCCAGCAACTCCGAGTCCTAGACGCGCGTACGGGCAATAGCATTATTATTGTGGGCTCATCAGCCGTTTATCCGGCCTCCCTAATTCCTCTTGTCAAAAGCGCTACAGCGTGCTTCCAACCCCCCTCGCTGCCATCGACGAATGCATAATCCGTGGCACCCCAAACCCGCCGAGCCCGCGTTCGGCGAGGGCAAGGTCGTGCCCGAGACCCAAGCCTCGCTCCTCTCCAAGCTCGTATTCTCCTGGCTCGGACCTTTCCTCGCCGTCGGCTTTTCGCGCCCACTAGAGAAAGAAGGTTCGCATGCGGCCCTATCTTTGCAGATAATTTCCTCGGTATACGAGTGTCGAAACGCTGACGAGCATCGTCGTCCGAACAGATCTATGGCAGCTCCCAGCCCCGCGCCTGACACAGAATCTGACCGATCGCATCGAACGCAATTTCTACGCCCGATGCCCACCCGAACGGCGCCCCGCTTTCCTCAAAAACATGGACGAGCGTGTCGTGCGCGAAGAGGAAGGCGCGATGGTACCCGAGGACGCCTCGCCCACATCTCCAGCTGCCGCCGATGACGACGACATCGACGAGGAGAAGCGACGCATCGGTCTGTCCGAGATCACACCGGTCCCCTCCACCGTCGTATCCGGTTCTTCCAAACGGGATGCGGGCAACGAGAAGGCGATAGATGACCAGACCAACGCCTCGTCCACGCGCGAGGAGGACGCTGCGCTCGAGGGGGAGAAGAAGAGACACCGGTTTCGCCGCCGGCCCACGGGCGTAACCCCGCTCGACAAGCACGGCCAGAAGCGGTACGACGAGAACCTGCTCAAGGCACTCCTCAACACCTTCTTCTGGCGCTGGTGGGCCGGTGGCCTCCTTAAACTCTGCGGTGGTGCGTCTAACCTCCTCCGTCGCCTTCGACGTCCTTGACGTGACCCGGTGAATGCGACAGATACGCTGAACACGACCACGCCTCTGCTCAACAAACGCCTCCTCTCCTGGCTCTCGGTCTCGTTCGCGTACGCCAAGCTGTCCGATGCCGAGCGTGCCGAGGCAGGGTTGTCCAAGCCTCAAGGAATCGGGTACGGCATCGGCCTCGCCTTCGCGCTGTTCGCGATGCAGGAAGTGTCCAGTCTTGTACGTCCCCCCGGAGATTTTGACCTTCGTAATATCCGGTTTTGAAAAAAAAAAAAACCAACGCGGAACGTGTAGATGACCAACCATTACCAACTGACGACGATGACCACCGGTCTGTCGGTGCGAACTGGGGTGCGTCGCAGCTTCCTTTCCCTTGTATCCCCCCCCCCTTCCCCTTCTACGCATGTTTATACGCATCTGTCCCCAGGTCATCGGCACCATCTTCCGCAAATCGCTCCGCCTGTCAGGCCGTGCCAGGCTCGACCATTCCGTAGGCCAGATCACGACGATGATCTCCACCGACGCGACCCGGCTCGACCGCGTCTCCGCCTTCGCGCACAACCTCTGGGTCGGGCCCATCCAGATCATCATCGGCGTCGCGCTCCTCATCAACAACGTGCGCCCCGCCTTCACCTCTCCCGTCCCGTGGTCGCTGACGCTGATGGACGCGCGTGGGTTTTTTTTTAGCTAGGATACTCGGCCCTCGTCGGCCTCGGCGTCCTCCTCCTCGGCTTCCCCCTCCAATTCCTGCTCGTCCGCGTCATGTTCCAGATGCGCCGGAAGGGAGTGCAGATCACGGATAACCGTGTCCGACTTACAGGCGAGGTACGTTTCGTGCGATTTTTGCCCCTGAGGGGAAAAAAAAAATGGGAGCAAGCTTATGCTGAAAACGACGGCAGGTCTTGCAAGGCATCCGCCTCGTGAAGCAGTACGCTTGGGAAGCGTTCTACGCGCGCCAGATCGGTCATCTACGCGAGCGCGAGGTGGAGACGATCCGCCGCGTCGCGATGGCGCGCTCTCTGCTCATCGCGCTCGTCACCTTCATCCCCGTAGCCGCCGCCGTCCTCTCCTTCGTACGTCTCCCTCCCACTATCTCCAGCTGTTTTCGCGCCGGTAACCGGACCGACTTGCTACGTCGTTTAGATCACCTACGCGCTCTCCGGACACGAGCTCAACGTCGCGATCATCTTCTCCTCGCTGCAGTTCTTCAACATCATCCGCCAGCCGCTCACCTTCTTCCCCCTCGTCCTCTCCGCCGCGTCCGACGCCGTCGTCGCCCTCGGCCGCATCTCCAAGTTCCTCACCTCGGAGGAGATCGCGGAGCCGTACGCGGTCGACGACAGCCCGGACAACAAGGACGCGGTCCGCGTCGACGGCAGCTTCCGCTGGGAGACGGCGGGCAAGCCCGTCAACGCGAAGTTTAGCGGGATGAGGGGCAGGGGCCGGGGCCGGGGAGGGGCGAAGGGCGAGAGCAGGGGCGAGGCGAAGAAGAGGAAGGAGAAGGAGAAAGCCGCGAAGGAGGGGGAGGGGAGCGTGAGCACGGAGAAGGCGAAGCGGCTGGGATGGTTCAGGCGAGGCAAGGGTAAGAAGGAGGCCGTGCTGCCGACGAGCGCGAAGGACGTCGTTGAGAAGGAGGACAAGGGCAAGAAGCCGGAGGAGAAACCGTTCGAGCTCAACGACGTCAAGCTGAAGGTATCCAAGGGCGCGTTCGTGGCCGTGGTCGGTCGTGTGGGATCTGGCAAGGTTTGCTCACGTTTTGTTTTTTCTTCCTCTGAGGAACCGTGCTGACGGGTACGTGCTCGTGCGGCAGAGCTCACTCTTGCAAGCGATGATCGGCGAGATGCGCCGGACGAGCGGAAGCGTGGTATTCGGCGGCTCGGTCGCCTACGTGCCCCAGACGGCGTGGATCATGAACGCCACGCTTCGCGACAACATCACGTTCGGCCTACCCTTCGACGAGCAGAAGTACTATCGTTTTTTTTTGGCAGATCGGCTACAGAGGTCGCTGACGCCTGTCATTGACAGGTTCCGGGCGATCATCAAGGCGTGTAGCTTGGAGCACGACCTCGAAATGTTGCCCAATGGCGAGGAGACGGAGATCGGCGAGAAGGGCATCAACCTGTCCGGTGGCCAAAAGGCGCGAGTGTCGCTCGCGCGCGCGGCTTATTACAACGCGGACATCGTGCTACTCGATGATTCGCTCAGCGCGGTCGACGCATATGTCGGCAAAGCGATCCTCGAGAACTGTCTCATCAGTGGGCCGCTCGCGGACAAGACGAGGGTGCTCGTCACGCACGCTCTTCATGTGCTGGACAAGACGGACTACATCTACGTTATGGTGCGTTTCATATCAGAGACCACCGGATACGGTGCTAACGCGCCAAGGACAGGAGAACGGCATCATCGCCGAGCAAGGCACCTTCAAGGAGCTCATGAACGACAGCGTTCTTTTCTCGCGCATCATGGACGAGTACGGCAGCCAAGAGAAGGAGGCCGACGCGGACACGGCAGCGGCTGAGAAAACCATCAAGAAACCCAAGGAAGCGGCCGGCGCGGACAATCTGGAGGAGAAGAAGAAGGGCCAGGCCGGGTTGATGACGGCGGAGGAGCGCAACAAAGGCGCCGTCACGGGAGAGACGTACCGCAAGTACCTCAGGTTCGCGGGCTCCGTCATGTGGGCGCCGTACATTGCTATTTTGCTGGCGTTGGTCCAGGGTGCCGCAGGCGAGTTGTTGTACGCGGCAGATTGCTCAGCACGACGCTGAAATATGCTGTTTACAGTCGGAAACAATCTGTTCCTTGGCTTCTGGACGGGCGAAACTATACGTGGCTTCAGCCAGGGACAGTGCGTTGTTCTGGCGCTTCGCGGTTCCTTTCAAGTCCTGATGGCAGATTCTCTTCAGGTATATGGCGGTGTATGCTGGTCTTGGTATAGCACAAGCGCTGTTCCAGTTTATGGTCAGCTTCTCGTTCAGGTATAGTATTCAACCGGGCCGGTCTCATCGAAGGGGATGTTCAATAATCCTGCAGTGTGATGACGCTTTCTGCTGGCCTTCGTCTGTTCAAAGCTGCGTTGAATGGTGTCTTGCGATCGCCGACGTCGTTCTTCGACACCACTCCAATGGGTAGGCGGTTCATCACTCTTTTGGAAACCCAAATTCATGGTCACGCAGGCAGGATCATATCTCGCTTATCGAAGGATCAGGTAAGTTGCCTCGCTACTGAAGTGACGATAGGGCACTGATTCCGAAACAGGATACCTTGGGTATGGGATTATCTATAAGTGAAAGACGGTCGCACTGACGCGATCGCAGATACCGAATTGTCGATGACCGCCTTCCAGCTTTTATCGACCTTTACATCGGTATTGGGAACGGTCGCCCTGGTTTTCTATACGTAAGCAGCCAATCTTTGCGGCGAGCGCAAGTCGTTCAACATCATCGCCAGCTTCCCCTTGCTAGGCATTATATTCGCTCCTTTAGGAGTCCTGTATTACGCTGGTATGATGTGATAAAACGGGCGAACCGGAGGTCCACTGACCGCCGCCATAGCTGCGACCTACTATCGGCGTAGCTCCGTCGAGACGAAGCGACTGGACAGTCTCATGCGCTCTGCCCTTTATGCGTCATACAGCGGTATGCATTGCCTCGTTATAGAGAACTCACGCTTATATGAAACATATTCTCAGAGACTTTGACCGGTCTTTCTACCGTCAGAGCGTATCGCGAACAAGACCGGTTCACCCTCAACGCTCAGCACGGACTAGATCTTGAAAATCGAGGTACGCGACCGCGACTCTACCGGGAACCCTGGCTAATATTTAAGGTAGCATACTACATGACGATCGCCATACAACGTTGGCTCGGAGTTCGCCTCGATTTCTTCGGAAACATTTTGATTCTGGGGATCGCATTATTCGCGGCCGGGCTACGCACCAGCACGAACCCATCCAAGGTAGGCTGAGTGGCCCCGTTTGTGACATGCTTACAAATAGAATCGTAGATTGGTGTCGTCTTATCGTACTCGCTCAGCAGTGAGTTCGTTGGTGGAACAGATGCCGGGAAGATGCTGACAGTCTTTGTTCAGTAACACAGGTCTTCTGTAAGCCTTCGCCCCTCGTCACTCTGACCTTATCTGACGTTCGCGAACAGCTCAAATGGTATCGCAATATGCGCAGAACGAACAGAACATGAACGCCGTTGAGCGAGTCCTCGTGTACACCGAATTACCTTCAGAAGGAGCTCCGCATACTCCTAACGACCCGCCTCCGCAATGGCCCGAGAAGGGTGAAATCAAGTTCCGCAACGTACGACTCGCCTATAGGAAAGGACTTCCTCTGGTCTTGAAGGATGTCTCCTTCCAAGTCAAACCTGGAGAGAAGCTCGGAATTGTCGGCCGGACGGGAGCAGGAAAGTCGTCGCTTCTCCAGGTGCGCAGTCCCTCCTCGTATAATGCCGTTTCCCTCATTGTCATCGATAGGCACTATTCAGGATGGTTGAGCTGGAAGGCGGAAAGATCGAAATCGATGGCCACAACATCGCAAACATGGGCTTGGACACTTTGCGTGGGCGGCTCGCGCTTGTGCCGCAAGACAGCACGCTTTTCCTTGGAACGCTTCGCGAGAATCTGTATGTGGTATCCCGAGCACCTATTCTCGCCACCTGACCTGATGGTTGCCTGAAGGGACCCGGAAAATACGCGAACGGACGCAGAGCTTATTTCTGCACTACAACGGGCATGGTTGCTACCCAGAGAAGGCCCAGTCGATGCCACGACGGAAGCCAAGTTCGGATTGAACGCAGCTGTTAGCGATGAAGGTACGCTGCAGTCTGACTTATTCCTTATCCCTGGTGACAACCCATCATTCGGATGTTCACAGGGGGTAACTACTCTGCTGGGGAGAAGCAGCTACTAGCTTTGTGCCGGGCACTGGTCAAGAACAGCCGTATCATTGTTCTTGTGAGTAAGACATCACATTGGGTATGGATGGCTCTCATAAAGCTGCCTGAAGGACGAGGCGACGAGTAGTGTCGATGTCGAGACCGACGCGAAGCTGCAACGTACGATTCAGAGCGAATTCGCGGGTTCGACGCTTCTATGCATCGCCCACAGGCTCAACACGATTTGCTACTACGATCGTGTGTTGGTGATGGATGGAGGTCAAGTGGCCGAGTACGACACGCCGCTCAACCTGTTTGACAAGGAAGATTCCATTTTTCGATCGCTTTGCAACGAAGCCAAGTTGACTAGAGAGGACATCGTACGGATAAGGACCGGTGTCCACATGGATCCGAACCCATAGGAAAACACTGTTTAGACTTAGTGCTGCTCTATCTTACGATTCGACACGTTCACAACGCGGACGGAATTGCTGACTGTGATATCGATACGGCGGAATATACCTCAAAACGTTTATCCACACCGAGGACGTATGATATTATACACTGAGTAGATAACCGTCGTCAACGTATGTGACACATGGGGTCGAGAAGGAGGAGAAGGGCCGAAACAGTGGCGTCGCGTCATCGTCAGTCAGGTCCAATGCGATACTCTCAATGCAATGCAGACAGTCCCACTTATCAATGCCGTGGAGACGGTCCTTCGATGGTTCTGTGCATAGCAGCACGGCAGCGCAAGATTTTGTGCGTTGTTAACTTGGCCAAGCGATGTCATCACATTCGATCCTTGCTTCGCGCGAAACATGGTAGCATGCCCCGGACATCCGGCAAGTCGTCGCATTAGGTGGTCATGCGGGCTTGAAAGTTTCATCATATCGTTCAACTCATTGAGCATTCAAAGACTCGCAACATTCAGGGTGCGGAAGAGCGGGTGGGTTTCCGGTTGGCATTCTTAACGTGAAAGTCGTGGAGGTTTCGGAGTCATGGTGTCCGCCAGGCAGCGAGCATGAGAATTGTCAATCTCGTCATAGTCGCTCAGGCTAAGGTAGGATCGGATGCCATAGAAGGGGGCAATTCAACTCGGGGATGTCCTCTCTTGTGCGACACTTGTGTTGGATTGACGCGCGTTGGCGGTGCTAGTAGGCGGTGCTAGCACTCGATTGAATTTACGGCTGCAGGTAAAACTGGTAACTTATGAATCATTCTTTTGCACGCCCCAGTACGTCATGCTTGCCAAGGGAGAGAGCTTCATAGAACACCGATCTGAAGGTTGCTCACGCCACCCGGTGCACCTAATTATGGTTATATTCAAAATAACTATACTTACTGATTACCGGCCATATAGTGTAGTGGTTTATCACTCGGGATTTTGACGCTTCGCCATTGATTTCCCGTAACCCAGGTTCGAACCCTGGTATGGCCTGAACTCGGCAGGGCCAAGTGTTGTTCGCACCCTGCGCAACGGCTGATTTTTTCACTGTGCCCCGTTGCGTGCCCCATTGCATTTCCGAAGAGTCTATGCACGAACATCACGACATGGAAGGTGGTACACTGATTTTGCTTGATTGCAGCCCTTTCACCGCGTTTCCGTCCACCCTTTACGCCACCTTCTTCGAATTGATAATGTCCACGAACTCGGGTTTGAGCGAAGCGCCGCCGACGAGGAATCCGTCGACGTCCGGGAGCGTAGCTACGCGCAATCGCGTTCATGCATGAGCCGCAATTCGTGAACTGATAAGATACGCACCTAGCTCTTTGCAGTTCTTCGCGGAGACGCTGCCGCCATAGATGATGCGCGTCGACTCGGCGACGTCCTGCGACACGGCCTGTATACCACCCATTTTCCCGATCAGTATTCATCCGATCTTCCGAGGATGGGGAGATCGGGATGCATCACGCACCTTGCTCAGGTAAGCGCGGATGTCGTGATGCGTCTCCTGCGCCTGCGCGGGCGAGGCGACCTTACCGGTGCCGATCGCCCAAACGGGCTCGTACGCGATGACGATATTACTGCGAGCACACGGCGTCAGTACGACAGAGCACCGCGGTGATGATAGGGAGGGAAGATAGACAGGACTTACCTCCAGTCCTTCTCGTTAAGCAGCTTGATGACCGGTTCAAGCTGGGACTCGACGACCTTGGCGGTGACGCCCGCCTCGCGCTCCGCGAGCGACTCGCCGACGCAGAGGATGACGCTGAGACCGGCATCGACGGCCGCCTTCGTCTTCTCCGCGACGATCTCGGACGTCTCGTGGAAGAGCGTGCGACGCTCGGAGTGGCCCAGGATGACGTACGGGACACCCGCGTCGACGAGCTGCGCCGCACTACGCGTGAAAATGGAAATGAATTAGGGATCAAAGGGGGGGAGGATGAGAGGGCTGTACCTGATTTCGCCGGTGAACGCGCCGGAGGACTTGGAATAGCAGTTCTGCGCGGAGATTTTGATGCTCGGGCGGACGAGCTCAAGCAGGGATAGGAGGTAGATCGAAGGCGGCGCAATCACGACCTCTTAAAGAAGACATGCAGCGTCAGTAAACAGTGGCATCGGGCACGGAGATTGGGGCATTTGAGGCTATTGTATGCGTCGCAGACTCACCGACGGCATCATCCAGCTCGGCTTCGTTGAGCACCTTCACGATCGCCTTCTTCTGCTCCCGCGAGACCGGGTTCAGCTTGAAGTTGCCACCGACGAAGAACTTGCGAGCCATCTCGTCTTTGTATGTACGGTGAGGTTGTGGTGGTCGGAGTATACAGCAAGTTGCAAGCGCAACCGGTTCGACGCTAATCTACCCGACCTGCTCTCAATCAGCGGCGGCGAGATCGCTCGAATTATCGGCGAATTACGCGCACGTGCCCGCTCTCCATCCCGCCCGGCGATCGCCGAGAGTTCGCGCGCAGGGCGCCGTCGCCGTCGTTGCCGGCGAGCGACGAGTCCCGCCCTGCCGAGCGATGTCGATTCCAACTTCAAGGAGCCTCGTCCACGCCCCCGACGCCGACGAACGCCCAGCTACCCCTCGACCACCGACCTAATAGACAACTCAGGACGGGCTTGCGACCACCTAGACATCAGAACATAAATGCGACCCGGGACGGCGCAGTTCAGCAAATTCGGCGACGCCGTCGCGCGCTTCGCGTCGAGCTCCGCGCGCATGTCGTCCCTGGCGGGCACCGCGTCGCACCACAACGGCTATGTCTTCCTTCACAGCAGGGTACCGCCATCGAACCGGTCGTTCCCGGCCCGACCGACGTCGCCGCTACAGCGCGCGCTGACGTTGCAGCTCTTCCCCGTCGGTGTAACCGTGAACTGGGCGTGGTCCGACGGGGAGCACGGAGGACCGTGGCGCGTGCATCGCTCAAGGACGACCGTGTTAGACGGCGCGAAGGAGCCGGAGGAGGGATACTTCGCCACGGCGTTCAGCGCGCGGAACGGGGTGCTGGAGTTGCCCGAGGTGACGTTGAAGAACGTGAAATGGGTTGCGCAGGCGCTTCGAGAGCATGTTACGTCGCCAACGCCGACGGGAAAAGACACGCGGGACCCCAGAATCTACCTGTACGTCTGCACGCACGGGACGCGGGACTGTAGATGCGGCGACATGGGCGTCGCTGTCCTCCGCGGTTTGCGGGAAGAGATCTCGAAACGCGGTGTCGCTGACCGGGTGTCCGTGGCGGAGGTGGCGCATGTTGGCGGTCACAAGTGCGTTGCCACTCTCGTCCTCACCCCACAGACCCTTGTTCTGACGACCACGATCCGTAGGTACGCGGCGAATGTCCTCGTGTACCCACGAGGTGACTGGTCAGTACAGTGTCGATCATCAATTTGACTTGGTATTGATGGCCTCATCAGGCTTGCGGACGTGTCTGTGGAAGACGTCCCCGGGATCCTGAACCGCATCCTTGATAGCCCTCCACACGCGTCGCCGGACGACCCGCCATTATGTCCCCAACATTGGCGTGGGCGGATGGGGCTTGCTAAGGAGGCCCAGCTCGCGCTGTATGCTCGATATCTCCAGTCATCTAATTGACGCCGTGATCCTCGATCAAAGCGCATTGTCGAGAGTAGAGGAGAGGATTTCATCTTATGGATCCGAAACGCATGGACACAGCATAAACATCAAATAATAGCAATGTCGTCGCAATACAATAACGATACAATCCAAACGACAGTTGTGTGTAGTAAAACGAGCGCGCAAGGTTTGCAAGAATCGCAAACAGAACTTCGACCATCGCACACCGTCCCATATCAATCGTGGCTGCTCATCACCGATTTCTCCACTAGGATCGATATCTTGTCAATCTCGCCCTGCGACCGATATCCCTCCGTCAACGAATCCATACGACGCCGAAGCACGTTCGAGAAGGGTCTCTTCTTACCTGGGACTGCCTCGCCTGGCTCTCGCTCGCGAACTCGAGCTTGGACAGCCCGCGCTCGACGTCCAGGGCCGACGATGGACGCAGCATGTCAAAACGCCGGCTCGTGCGTGAGGCCGCGACGTGGCTGACACCGGTTCCGGAGGTATGCTGGCTCGTGGGCAGGTGCGAGAGGTGGATGGAGACCATGCCGTTACCGCTACCGCGTTCGCGGATGTATTCTCGGGCGTTCAAGCTGCACGCCAGGACATATCAGGTTCGGTCTGAAGCAAGGGATAAAGGGAAACGCAGGGAACGAGGCAGACCTGTAGAGGTACGAATTGAGGTACAGCTTGGAGAGCAGGAGGTAGGCCGCGATGAAGACGAAGTTGGTCGGCATTACGGCGTACTGCAGACGCAGAAAGTGAGATAATAGAGCAGAGCGTAGACGGAAGAGTGCTTCTCACGCAGATTAAACCGAAGCAAGCATCGAGGCTATGGATTGATCCGATTGGAGTATGAATACGGTATCCGGCAGTTGAACTACCTTACGCACGCTGTGAGCAGCCCTGCCACACTCTCGTTAATACCTGATGAAGTTGTAGATTAGTTGTTGAGCAATCACCTGTGTTGATAGTATACAGCATGAGCACGTTGACTAGCGAGTCCATCCTAGTGGCATAAAGGCAAGCTGAGAAGTCATGAAGAGCTGCAGGATGGAATGGAATGCGCACTTTGCGAACCCAGTCCTTATATGGGTACATGACATATAATCAGCCAGGTGGCACAGAATAAGGAGAGGTGGGGTGCGTACCTTGAGTTCCAGAGATACCATGCCAGAGTGATGGCAACCACCAAGTCTGAGGTGACACCGGCGCCGAAATTGAGGTACAGAAGGTTCTGTGCGCATTTCCAACTGAGGACTTGGGTACGACATTTGATTGGATTCATCCTTACTGCGATCTTGGATAGCCCGAGGAAAGACTGGACGCCGAATCTGAGTGAAGGGTAAGGATATGTCGCAATCGGTACGTAGCTGCAGACGTACGCCTTGACGGTGATGACTATCCATGAACATGTATAATGAATCCACGAGAGGAAGCCGTGGTGGTTGACTCACTGATACCACAAACTACCGACAACGGCATAAGCTCGATACAACAGCTACACCAAAGTAGACTCACTCAAATCAATGAGCGAGACAGCGACCTAGCGGAATGTGAGCGCAGACCGACGAGAGACATAGGTTGCGCTCACGATAACGCCAGTAATGATATAGTTGCCTTTACTCAGCCTCCACACCCTCCTCGCAAACATCGATCGGACGATGAAATCACTGATAGACTGTGCGCCAGTCAATTTGTTGTCTTGCTGGCTTCAAGGCAGTGATATGGCTTACCGTCACGGAAACATGTAGCTTGCGAGGTATATTCAGTGGATACGGGATGAGACTGCCTCATAGTTAAGCTCACCAGGATACTCCTAGCGAACGGGGATGTGTGAGGCAATCAAGAGAGGTGCATAACATCTTACCACACGGGCACCGCCAACGCCGAAAAGTTGGCGTAGTTGGTCACTAAATACCAGTACAAAACGTGCGACGTTAAGCACATGTCGAACGTGTCCAAGCCCCACAGCCCAGCGATCTGGTACCAACGGCAAGTGAATATCACGTTCAGATACGGGACGAGAACTTAGTGGAATGACTGACGAAGAGCTTGAACGATCTCCGCTCTTCCGGGTGGTTTTGTAGGAATATGAAGGTCTGCGCGCAAGTGATACCGTACAAAGCCGCTGCGCAGAGTCCGCCCACAAGGAGAGCTCCGAGAGTGTTGTCCAAATGCATCGTTGGCAGAACCATACCGGGAGCCAACTCTGACATGACTGAGACGGCGACGAGAGGGAGGTGGTAGTAAGTAGTAGCACCCCAGAAGGACTGCAAGAAAAGGCTCCGTCTGCGCTGCAGGCCCTATGGGGCGTAATTCATACAAGACTCCAAGAATACCGCGTTTGTGGGAGGGATTTGCCTCGGGGAATCCATATGACGCCGGGCTGGGCCGTCTTAGGATAGAGCCGGGGATTCGAAGGGCTTCAAGAAGGGCGGATATGAGACGTATTGTGCTGCCTGTGAGAAAGCGCCGCGAGCCAGGTTCTCCTGCGCTCACATGGCCAGCATAGATGTCCCGAATCTGACTCTTCGACTGTGTAGCGAAGCCGAGACATGCATGGATATTTTCCGTGAAGGTCGAGCTCTCCATAGAAAGGAAGTCCAGCGGGTGAAAACGTTCTGGTAACGATTGTTTCATAGGACGCGCCGAGAACAACGCAAAACGTGGATGCACCTGGATACGCAAGTAGATTGTGAGACTTTCCTCATGCTCTCGAACTCGAACAAGGTGGGCGTTTGGGAAGGTGAAGAAGCCAATCGAGGGAAAATTCCAGTGAAATGACCCGCTATCACAGCCACAGGAGGATGTCATGATTCGGCCGGCGGCCTCTTTCGGCTCACGAGCATGCTAAAGTAATCGCGCTAACAGACCACAGGGGCGAGATAGATAACAACGCACACCTATATCTTGACCTGCTGCTACGTCTACTGGGTCCACGCAACATGAAGGTCACATCGAACACGGACCCCATCTTCATCGGTACCGTCGTCCTCCTCGTTGTCGACATCCAAGGCGGCAGTGTCTCCAAGCCCGACAATCCGCGCGAGCTGCCGCACATGCCCGGAAAAGAAGAGCGCGCGGAGCGCACAAAGTCCCTCCTCGCGCGCTGTCGCGAAGCCGGCGTTTCGTGCGTCTTCGTGCAGGAGGTGCACAAGCCGTCGCTGGTCGATATCGGCCGCGAGCTCGACGGCACGGAGGACCCGCACTGCATCGAGGGCTGGCCCGAGACGGAACTCGCGGATTGGCTTCAACCGCGCGCGGATGAGTACGTGATCCGGAAAAGGCGATATTCGTGCTTCTTTGGGACGGAGTTGGATATCGTTCTGCGCGGTTATAAGGCGGACACGGTCCTTCTCGTGGTGCGTTCGTAAATTCGGTTTATGGCCTCGTTCATCTTTCATTATAAGAACCCCTCGGACTCACGCGGTTCATTTTAGGGCGGCCTTACGGACGTCTGCATCCACTACACGGCGGTTGACGCCCATCAAAGGGATTATTACTTCCGCACGATCACCGACTGTGTGGCTGGATCAACCAAACGGGCCCATGATAACGCGTTGGAGGCCATGAAATACATGCAGCGTGATGCACTGGTGACATGCGAAGCGGTCCTTCAGTGGCTTGATCGGAAAAGAACTGTGGTACAGGCCTAGCCCGTGTTAAGTTACGTCGCTTTGTGGTAGATGAAACGTTTCCTCGTGCCAATCCACAGTATAATCCGAGCTAGATTCGTCCAGTATAAGATGGTGCGTTGGCAAAAGTTACTGAACAGGGCGAGTCTTTGACATCGCGTATATCAGCCGACGTTTATCTGCTAGATGCGACTTCTAGAGAACGGTCATAGGTTGTTGCTACTATTGCAACGGGACGAAGCGTATGCTACAGGTGACGGCGTGCTGACTGCGTCGGACAAGGGATGGGTTTTGTACAACAGTTCACGATCGCCCTTGCGAACCGACTGTGCTGACTTGGCCAGACACATACCCAACTTCGTCCTTCAGGTCATCAAGCGCGGCCGTACGACCTGGATGATGCAACCTAAATCAGCAATCACGTCCGGTCAAGCGCAGCGACGACAACGCACTAATCCCGGCTTCCGTGGCTCGCTTTGCGGTATCGGAGACTGGATACTGGTCCTGGCTGTGCGCGTCTCGGCCAATGCCCTGCCTGGACTCGTTTGCTTGGGAGGAAGGGTCGAAGGATGCGCCTAAAAAGGACCATTCACGAATCATTACATCAGCGGATGCCCGCGGACGAGCCCCGAAAGGCTATAAAGCTCACCTTCCTCGGGAGCGCGCTCTCTCATCTCATTTGACCAGTTACGTGCTTTGTCTCCAATAGAGCTCACATCAATCGGCGCCTCCTGCAGAGCACCAGATGCGCCGGTCGTCGTCTCGGAAGTGTCGTCACCGTAAGAGGGCAACTGCCTGCCCGCGTAGCCCATGTTCCCCTCGTTTGCTTGCGACATGGCTTAGGATTGCAGACGACTTGAGTCAGAAATTTTGAGCGATGGTACGGTGATGGTGAAAGTTGAAGCCCGAAGGGGTGCGTAGCCAAAAGTGCTTAACACATGACGTCATGGCATGCTCCAAGACGGAGGTCCAGCTGCAGTGGGGGTTCACTTGTGGAGTTTCCGACGAAAAGAGACTAGCACGATATCATACAACAAGCGCTGACCCTAAAGACAGGGAAGAGAACATGCGGAGGAGATTTATTGCAGACAAACGGCCTTCTTCAGGATCGCCCTGATCCCCCGCTTGCCCTTGGTCATCTTCGTTTTGCCATCCCCATCCGTGGAGATACCGCCGAGCGTCGACGTGTCCCAATTCGACTTCTCCTTGACTTTTTCGTCGGCCGACTCCGCCGACGCACTCGTGAAGCTCGCGGGCGCAAGCGTGGGAGCGATCGCCACCACGGCGTACTCTGCTAAAGACAAGCCTGCCGAGTCGTTCGTGGCGAGATTAGGGATCTGCAACGCGTGGCGTCAATACCTTCCCAAGCATCCGAGAATGCATAGCACGCACCTCTTGTATGGGGTTGACGACGTCCGACCCGCCAATGCTCTGCACGGGTGCCCATACGCCCACTTTGTTGTTCACGAGGATCGTCCAGGCGGCTTGCTGAAGCGACGTATCGTTCAATCGTTCGCCGGCATAAGCTTGGAGCTTCATATACCACTATAAACAGTCCTGAGCATGCTAAGCGCAAGCAATCGAGTATCATGCATACCTGGGTGAAACCCCCACTGTTGAAGTTCTGGCCGTACTTGGCGATCTTGCTGTGCCGCTCAGTCAGAAGGAGACCACCGGTACGTGAGCACAATCGCTTACTCTGCAGCAGATGCGTTGTAGTAGCGACAAAAGTCAACCCAGACGGCGTCGAACTTGGGCACTTGGTCGCCGATGAGGTCCATCAGCTCAATGAGCATTTCTCCGCCCCTACCTCCATTGGTCGGTATGCATGACAAGTCAGAACAAAAGTGGGAATGCTAACCCGAATACCATCGACAAGTGGTACCTGGGTCACATTGCGTTACTCTCGATCTACCGCTAAGACTCCGGAGAATACACTCACGTTGCGGTGAGCGAGCCACCGAGCGGGGTGAGATGAGCAGTGGCAGGGTCCCACCCGACAGCAGCCGTGTATCCTTGGAATAGTCCGTATTGAAAGCCTGCAATATCATTCTGTTGACTGGATGGTCAGTTCCGTACTGAACCGTCAAACGAGCGCACTCGCCATCCCAGTCTTCATCCGGTCCAGCCACTTGGCGTCGTTCGTGCGCTCCCACTTGACGAACCAATTCCCGCACAGCGCCGTCCAGTCCGGGCCTATGCGCAGCCGCCCGGGCGTCGTGAACGGGAAGCCGGTGTCGACCTTGCGCAGAGGTTCCCAGGTGACGACGGTCTGATCGGCCTGGAGCGAGAAGTCCATGAGGTCGCCGATGAGCTCGTCTGTCGTGAGATAGTAAAACGGGCGCTTGAGCGTCGAGGCGGACATGCGCGTCTCCTTGGCACCGTCGCCCCATTGCGTGACATGGTGACGAGAACCTGGGTTGAAGGGAACATCAGAGAGGTGAACGGAAGAGGATAGGTGACAATCACCTAGACCAGCGAAGGGGCCGATGTGGTGGAAGTCGACCTCGGAGAGGTGGCGCGTCATTGCGTGCGCGAGCTTGAAGACGTCTGCGCGGCCGGTACGGAGGAAAGACATCCATAGCCACAGATCGGTGCCCAGCTCCGCATTGTCCCAAGCCTACGTCCAGACATATCGATTATCTGTTCTTCAACGCGCCTCGGGAAAATGCAACGTACATAGCCCCCGACATCGTACCTCCACACGTGTCGCGTCTGATCATACGTGTGCATGACGTCGCCGTAATTCCAGAAGCCGTACCACTGCCTCTGCTCGACTTCTTGGACGTAAAAGTCCAAGAGAGCTGACTTGCGCGCTTCGACGGCGGCGAGGGTGGCATTAGACGTGTCAGGCACATTCCAGCGTCCACCGAAGAGATGCATCGAGGCGTAGAACTCAGGCGATGCTACGAGCTGGGTGGTTGCGACCTGTGCATTTCACAGCCTCATGAGTCTAGCGTTCGATGGACAAGCTAGAAGAGCTGACGTTGTCCTTGCCGAGGGTCGCCACACTGTCCCTGCTGGGAACTGCTGGTAGGATTTGCAGCGTCACTTCGTACGAACGTCCAACGCCCGTCGGGTTAGGGTCTGGATCGCCCACATCCTCTGTGGTCCGCATTTATCAGCCAAGCATCAAAAGGTTCGGCTACGAGCATCCCACCGTACGTCAGGTCCAGGCCATGAGCAACGGTGTCGTAGCTCCTCATGTCCATAGCCGGCGCCTTCGGCGAGTACGCCCACAGCGTAACTGTCGCATCGTCCGTGTTCCCAGTCCCCCCGTTATTCTGCGAGTCACCGCCCGCGCTGCGAACGTCGATGCTCCTGGGAGCGCCCTGCCAGAAGTCCTTGAAGGCGAAGAGCACGCCGCCCGCCGACGCGCCACCAAGGAACCCGACGCCCGACGCACGCGTGCCGGACGCGGCGGCGGAGTTGCCCGTGGGCGACGAGAGGAACGTCACTTTCCGGCCTGCGTTCGTCCTGGGATATCGCGGCTTTCCGTCAGCATGCGTGCTCGGAGACGACCTTCTGGAGGTGGGAGGAAAGACCTGCCTCTTGGAAATCTCGAAGTGTTCGCTGCTCAGTTGATCCAAGCTGAAGTCGGCCCATACCGGGAGCATACCGACCTCGTTCTGCACTGTCGCGGGCCACGTCGACGAGTCGGGTACAGGCTGACCATTGAACTGCGGTGCGAGCACGGCGGCGGTGGCGTCGACGCGCAGGCCGGAGAGGACGCGGACAGGCTCGGCGAAGAGCCCTCCGGTGGCGGTGGAAAAGAGAACGTGGCGCGAGTAGAGCGGGTCGGAGAGCGGCACGGCGAATTGGAGGCCCTGAATGCGAAGGAAGGTGATGAGAGATGCTAAACGAGGCGGAAGAAGAAGCGAAAAGTACGGACTATGCCTTTGATGAAGTCTGCGTTCTGGTCGCCGTCGTAAATGAAGAAATGGACGAGGCGCACGGCGGTGGATCCTGCGGTAACGTAGAAGCGGGAAATGAAGGGAAGGAATGCTTTGTGTCCTCCTCCAGAGTACTTTCCGGTGATCTAAAGCAGGGAATCGTCAGACTGAACATCGAAAATCGCAGTTCCTTGTGAAGCTGACCTTGATTACAGCTCGCACAGGCCCGTCTTGTTCCACCGTCACAGCTTCGATATTCCCGGTTAATGCTTGAACAGACGGTTTCGACCCCGCAAGTTCGGGCTCATCTGGCGCACTCTGGACATGAGCGACGAGCGTCCCCGAGTGGGCTTTTTGAGACGAGGAGAGGGCGAGTGTTTGTATCAGGGTGGAGCCGTGTTTGTTGAAGGTAGCTAGGAAAGAGAACAGCACCGGTCAGTGGACAAGCCTATCGGCAGTGATATGCTCGGCACACCTGTGAATGATCCAGCGGTAACTGTGATAGTCGAGCCAGTCTGCTTGACGCTGACAGGGTCAGCTGGCTCCGTGGGTGTTCCCGGCGCAACGTGAACGGAGTCCGTCAGCCCAGAGTCGGCTGCAAGCGCATGTCCGGTCCACTTCAGCGACCCGTCGGGCCAGTATGCGAGCGGCCAGCTCTGCAGCGGTATCCCTCCCGAAGAGGTCGTCGCTGCTAACGCGGTCGTGCGGTCAATCTCGCCCTGCGACCACGGGAGGCCAAACGCCGTCCCAGCGGGCGTACTGGATGGAGCAGATCCATCGAGCCAGTGAAGGTCGACGCCTTCGTCTGCGCGACGCGTGGGTCCCGCGCAACTGTGGCGGAGCATGTGGTGTCTTGAACTTGGCTGATCGGACTCCGAGAGGGTCGAATGTGGACGCATATATTCGACGCGCTCCTCTTATGTGTCGAGCGGAAGTGGGATGCTTCTCAGTCTCGGCTTCAAAACGCGAATGCATGGGAGTGGCCCCTCGATAAGTCTGCCATCGAAGGCGCGTACCCGCGTGCTGTACTCTGAGCAGAGTAAGAGCGGGAAGCGTGATCAGCCGCCGTGATGGCATAGGTCAGACGGGGCGGTGGTGGTATTACACACATGTAGGCGGGCCGCGGGCGCGTCGGCGCGTCTTCTTCGGTGCTCGGTCAGGTGTGCGCCAAGAAGAAGAGAAGACCGTTGCGCGATTGATATATTCTGCAGAGTCTGTATAGGGCTCGAAGCGGCTTTGGTATCAGCAGTGAGGTGGAACGAGCGCCATCCACGTCCAAGGTCGCGTCAGATAGATGGTGAGCGCTTCCGTGCAATAGCTCGCGGTGCGGGATAACGTCGGGGCCGCGCGGCCCGACTAGATGTAACATTTGAGGCAGGCCAGGTGGCTCGACGTCGGGCGTAAGTTCTTCATCGAAGCTCATGAGCAAAACCGTTGGCCAGTACATCTATGTATTGTCTCCAGGCCAGCCAAGGATCGAGGTTGAGAGCAAACGGTGGTGTCACCTTCATGCCGTCACCGCGCTCGTCACCAAGCGTGACGCGGGCCGAAACATTCCTTGCTTCCCTCCATGACCATCGCGGTAGCACTCAATGATAAGGCTTTCACATCCCAAATCACCGACTCGTTCTGCTCACCAAGAGCGACGGGGACGCCCATGAGAATATTCGGCTGATCCACATCGCGAAAACTCTTGTTCTTTTTGCGCGCACCCGACCAGTTGACGCTGGCCTCGAAGGTCGCTCCGACTGGAGCACAAACTGCAATGCATCACCAGTGGCTCTGGCTTGTTATATCTGTAGCGTCTTTAGGACGAGCTACGCCCCTGGAACCCGCCCGGGGACACAACTCGGGGCCGCCCAAGCCGGACTGCAGCTTCGTGCTGAATTATTGGGCGTTCGACCGTACGCACTCACAGAATATCACTCTTCGGTTCCCCCTTTGACGCATCTTCTGCAGTATGCCCCCTTCTAGACCCCAAAGTCAAGCCATTCGTGCTCCAATGGGACGAAGAGACACCACCCACAGTCACGACCACCAATTACCGCATCTCCATCTCTAAACCTCTGATGAAGGACCCAACGCTCCCCGCGCACGAGCAATGCCCAGAGGGGACGTGGATATGCAAAACTGGTGAGTCCTGTTATCCCCGATGGACGCATATATGCACCCATATGCCGACGGACGTTCGAGTTTTCAGTGACGAACCGGCGGCCAGACCACCGTTCGGAGCCACCACGGATCGTTCAGATCATACCTGTCGCGGGCACGCTCGCGCTGCACCCAGACCACGACCATGATGACGTAGGAAACGCGAAGCATTTCACCAGTCTGAACGTAACGGTATCGAAGCACGCCTCTGGCTCGGAAGACGCTGAACGTGGTACGCCCGCCCGCCTTGTCAAGCTCTCCGAGCCATATCTAATCGAAGCGTCAGGCACGCTCGCGATGACGTTTCATGGCGGGCTGTACGTTACCCGTCCTCAGCGCGCGCGCTTCTCCCTGATCTGCGACCCCTCCGCGGAGGGCATCATTCCTAACTTCCTCTCCGTCACCGAGAAAGTAGGGGACGTAACAACGCACGATTTCAGCTGGAAAACGAAGCACGCCTGTGGGAAGCGCCTCGAGAGCGCCACGAGCACCCTGAACGCACCCCCGTCGCCGACACAGGCGGAAGGAGATGAGGAGAAAGCGGGAGAAGGCGAAGAGCGGCCGATATACGATCCCGATCCGCAGGCACAACCTCCCCATCTCCCCCTGGGGAACTGGATACCGACCGCGGCCAGCGTACTTTTCTGCATGGCGTTTGCGGCGTACGCGTCCTCACGTATTCCTCTGGGAGCCAAGATGCGCATACGGAACGCGCTTGGGACATTCGCGGTACCGAGCCTGTCCTCCTCGGTCGTGCGAGGGCAGAGATGGATAGCTGCTCGGCCGTGGACACGAAATCTAAGGTGGAACGAAGACGATACCGTCTATCTGATTCTCGACGACGAGCTTGAGGACGAGGAACCGGATGTCGTCGTCTGGGGGGAAGAAGGCGATGGCGGGGAGGAGATCCCGTTAACGCCGAGCCCAAGAAAAGCTGGCTTTGGCGAGGTAGGTTATGGGGCCACGAGACCTTGGAGATGAGGAGTAAACTGTCTGGGCAGAGGTAGTGCGTCTCAATTCATTTGTTTCCACCTGCGATGAAGTTCGAGCCAGTTATGCCTCGTTTGTTACCCGGTTTGCTTCCGCTGGTGTGCAACAACCCTTCGCCGATTGGCCCAGAGCGATACCACCACATGACGTCATCCTGTCCGAAAGCTACATCTTTGTTGCCTCTCCGCCTTCTTGCTGATAACATGGTGGACTCGAAGCTAGGGCTTGAGTACTTAAGCACCCATAGGAGATGTTCGCTCATCGCTTGACTCGTTCAGTTCCCAGCTTTGCAAGGATCGCTGCGACCACCACTCGTTCGATTCGAAGTGTCCATTCAACCCAGAAACTAGTGTTACCGACACGGAAGGCGATGAAGAATCTTACGGCCGCCATCAAGGAGGACCATGACGAAATGTATGAATACCACGCCCTCTATCAGAAGGCCAGGGAGAGCGGGAACGTCGACGCACAGGAGCGGTGAGTGCCTCTCGTAAATCCTCGCGTCGCTGTGTTTAACGCAAATCATGTCGTACAGATGGGCGCGTCAACTGATCTGGGAAATCGCTCGACACGCGGTGGGCGAGGAGATCATCGTCTATCCGCTCATGGAGGCCAAACTCGGCCAGAAGGGCATCGAGCTCGCGGACCATGACAGGAGAGAGCACCAGGTCGTGAAGATCTTGCTCAGCAAGCTTGAGGGCTTGACCCCAGGTAGGTAAACCGCACGTGTCGTTCCACCCGTAGACATCACATTTCTGGCGCAAAGGTTCCGAGGAGTACGACTAGACCGTGACCCGAGTCATGGAGCACCTGAAGCCTCACAACGATGACGAGGTGGGTGGCTAGCGATGTCAATCCCTTCTGAATCAGTTCGTCAAGACGTGATGCCTAGGAGAAAACCGATTTGCCGATGCTCGAACCCGTGCTCGGCGAGGCCGCAAGTCAAGACGCAGCATCCCAATTCAGCCGCACGAAGAAGTTTGTGCCCACGCGCGCCCATCCATCGGCACCAAACAGGCCACCGTACGAGATACTCGTCGGATTTCTCGCCATGCCGGTAGGCCCTCTGCAATCTCTCGCCGGTTCCTGCTCTGACAATAGTCCTCGAATGGTCAGTTGGACAAGCTGCAGGATTTGTTTGCCAAGTTCCCGACGGAGGAAATGAAGTCGAATGCGAAGGAGGAGCTTGGAGGATAGTGGCCTTAGGTTTCTGCGTGTATTGTGATCGTTTGCCTGGAGAGGAGCGAAGTGGGGGCAAGGCCTTTGGCGACCAAGGCCAGTTTCCAGCCGAGGTTGACGGCATCTTGAACCCCCGAATTGAGACCCTGCATTGAAGCGTGGGTTGAGCGCATAGATCTAGCTTAGTGAGAGGCTGTCACGTACCTGGCCGCCAGTCGGAGGGTGAACGTGAGCGGCATCTGAAAATACAGCATTGTTGAGCACATACGTCGCCTAGAGCGTGCACGATCTGACCTCCGGCCACGAATACTCTTCCCTCGCTGAATCGGTCGACCATACGACTACTCGGTCTACACGTTCAACGGGGTGAGGGTTCGCGCTATCGAGCCAGTGCGGAAAGAATAACCTGTACTCCGAAATCCATTCGACCTTGGCCAGTTTGATGGCAGGGTCGGATATGATGTCGTGGGCGACTCGTAGGAACTCTTCAGGGTGCGCCGCAAGATACGTCGTATCGATGCCATCACCGACTATTGTGGCTTGCGCGAGATCTGGGGTGTCGAACTCCGTCGGTCGCACCATCAGACTGATTGGCATCGCCATGAACAATTAAGCTCAGAAATCTGGGAAACATGCAGCTACACACCATCGTTCGCGGGGATGGCCGAACCAGTATTGGAATCGCGTTGCCTGAGAGGTGTGTATGAGCAAACGTTCTGCAGACTGTGACGAATGAAGAACCAACGTCTGTCCAGGGCTGCTGCATGCGCACGTCGGCAACGACCCACCGCCCCGCATGCTGGTCGCCATGGAACGATAGACCAAGGAGCTTGCGAACAGCGCCTATTCGACGATTGGTATCAATACGGCGCTCATATCAGATGATCGGATACGGCTTGCCTCTGGCTCCGTCAGAACCTACGACCCAGTCGACGTCAGATTTTTCGACGACCTCCATCCCGTCCTCGCCGGTCTTGGCGAGGCTGACGGTGACCTTGTCGGGATGCTGCTCTAGCCCGCGCAGCGCCGTGTTCGTCTCGACGTGAACACCATGATCCTTCGCTAACCTATCCGCAAGGAGCGCGCACAACCGCGACTGGCCGATCATGACTCCCTTCGCCTGAAAAAAATAGCACGACTGATCGGCCAACGTGCAGCCCGCGCCATGCTACGAGGACTCACCATAGGGCGAGATGGACTCGGCTCCATCTGCGTCCTGGGAGCGACCGCCTCCGGCACAGCCTGACCGAGCTTGTACATCCGCGCGGGAGCAAGGTCTTGCGCGATCTCCAGGACATCTTCCAGAACACCTGCGAAGGAGAGCAACTCCTGGGTCCTCACCTGCAAGTTCTGTAAGGGAACGTTCTCGAGGGAGCTTCATACCCGAAGTCCCGTGCCTGGATGCCGGATCCTCTTTGCCCTAGATGTGTGGTCTTGTCCTTCTCGATGATGCGGAATGGAACGCCGTTGCGAGCGAGAATCAAACCTGTGGGTCCAGCTCCGACCTGTAAGAGTTATTTGAGCGTGATACTTAAGTGGAACACGGATATATGCGTGCACAATGAGGATAGATGGAGACTGAGAACGTCGTTCGGCCATATTGCAAACCAAGTGGCGAGATAAGCTGAACTTTCGAGTAGCAGGAGATATACGGTAGATGGAACGTGTTGTGTACGGGTGAAGGATCCTGGGCTTTATATGCGTCCAGCAGCCAGCGATGCGTGGGGTCGACATCGTCGCCTAAGAGCTAGGCTCTCTCCGTCTTCCGTCCTGTCGTGACATTGGAGTGTATCTGCAGCACGGCGAAGTGGGGTGGAACTTTTACCATGCACTGCATTTTTTGGCGGGGCTCCCCGCGGACATCTTTGACCACTGCGGAGAACTTTTACCACCTGCAGATACACTCTATTCCAGGGGATCGACTATTCTTGAGTACGTTGTCCAGGCAGTGCTGTGCGTCAGCCTTCGGCACGGACGATGAACACGAAACCGTTGGGATCGGTCGCGTCGTCGCGGCAGGAGGCAAGTTTACGCGTCTGCGTTCCGCGGCGAAGCGTCCGACGTTCGAGGCGGACGCGTCGTCGCGGCAGAAATAACCCACATTTTTCCGAACCTCCATATCCCACTGGACACACCTTGGTCGGATGTCACCAGAAGGAACGTTCCAATGGGAGAAAAATCCTCGACACCTGACGCGTCTACGCGAAGCCTACAAGTAAGCACCGCTCGACAGATCTAGCTTACACAAAAATCCTTCAACGCGACACATTAATAAATGGAAGCATGGCATCCCCAAGTTCGATGTATCAAACTGTAGCGCAAGACTGAAGCGCATCAGGAATCGACGTTTAAATCACGAGAGTAACCACCCTCCAACTGCGTGTCGATTGCCAGCGACATGGTTGCACGAGCAGGCGATGTCATTGATCTGAATCTTACGATTCACTACCGACGGAAAGTGAAGTCCGCATGAGGTTTCCGTCCGTGCGTTTGATTCCGCCTGTGCTCCAGCAGGGAAATACATACGTGCGGCATCTGAGAAAGGGAGGCGACGTCAATGGCATATTCACGCAGACTTCATCGATCGAGTACATGCCTCCAGCCATGAAGCCCTTCCTTCTTAAACCTTGTTGACCATCCTGTGACTTGTCCTGGCGGAGGACAAGCATCGTCTACACAAACCCCCGAATTCCGGTGAGAGGGCACGCCGCGATAGGCTCTGCTGGCGCGATGAGGTTGCAACCATCCCTCGGAGCTCCGCCCTCGCTGGGGCGGTACGGGTGCATCTTCATCAGGGGGCGGTACAACCTCTGGAGCCCCCGCAGGGCACCGATGGACGACTGTAACCTTGACTTCGGGCTGAAATAAATCTCATCAGTAGACTGCAAAGACGCCGTGCGTGTTTTCAGAAACGAACCTGGACGCCCACGCCCCTCGGTCCCGGCCGACTCATTGCGCTTCTTCTCGATGATGCACATAGGCAGTCCGTCTTGCGAGAGCATAATAGCCGACAGCAGACCTACGGGCCCTCCTCTCACCTTCGTGCAGATGTTACGGTTAGCGAAACGGGATCAAGGTTGACAATTGGGTGACGACACACAAGTGACATCGACGTTATTCTGTTTTATATCTCATCACATATTGTGCGGATAGCAGAGCATCGAGAGATGCGCGTAACTTACAGCAATCCGGTATCGGCATAACAGTCGGACCTACTGCCCGATCCTGCTTCGTGAAGGCGGAAGTAACGTTGAGCACCGTATCATAACACACCGACCGACGTCAATGGCAGCCCTGGTTCGCCATATGCTCCCCCATACCTCCCGCCTCCGCATTGCGGAATCAAAAGTGATATGTTGCGTAGTCGGTAGAGGTAAAGCCGCAGTCGCGGCATTAAGGATAGTTCTGTGCTGCCTGACAAACTTGAAGTGTGTCGGAAGAAGTGGCGGCTGTCGGCTCCTTCCCTCCTTCTCTTTGCCCTTGCCGTCGACATCGACAGCGGCGCGAGGAACTTCGGTGGGTATGGCAAGCGGAGAAGGGGTGAGCTGGGGCAAAGTATGGATCAGGATTGCCATCGTGCACGCCCAAGTTGACAGCTTGCTCCCACATCGCTCGCGCTCAGACTGCGAGTCTCGCGCTGGTGGTATGGAAGACGTCTCGATGAGCTTCGACATCTCGGTCTGCTGCTGCATGCGCATGCAACCAACGTTCTCGGGGCGACGCGAGCTCCTACCGACTGCGACGTTGCTCGGCCTCGGCAAGAGCCTGCTACGTCAGCCAGACAATCTGCTGGAGATCGTATTCGAGCTCGACGTCGTTCTTCTGCGAGGTCGGCGGGCTCTTGTCGTTGCCGCTGTTGACGCCGGAGATCATCCTGCGCAAGCTGGCGTTTGAAGACTTCGCTGCGGGCACATCTTGATTCTGAGGTTGATCCTCGGTGTGAAAGGCGACCTCGGAGCGTTCGCGGACGCCGGGTTGCTGCGATATCATCACGTGCCCGTGGCGCAGTGCTCGGACTGAAGTCTGCTGCAGTGCTTTGCGCGTTCATGTTCATCTCATCTCAACACAACAAATCATAAATCGGCCAGCATCCACCGCCTCCGTTGAATCTGTACTCGCGGGCCCGTGCATCAAGGCTCGACGCTCAGCAGTGACATCACCAAAGCGATGCTGAGGTGCCGGTGGACGTCCGACGCCCCCAGTCCTCATCTCCAATGTGTGCCCCTGCGCGCACGATCAGGCGAAGATCATAAATCAAGCAAGCAGTAGTCCTATACTGAAACGCTGCATCGCGATCAAGGAGTGTTTGTATTGTGGCACCGACGGGTACTCCGGACGCCCGATAGGGTTGAATCACCGGGAAAATCATCTTTGGCTAACCTTACCCCTTTCTTCTATCTCGCGGGCGAAAGCTCTGTGAACGTGTTTGGAAAACCGACAGCATAGTTGTCTCTGATGGGTCACCCAACATAGACTCATGATCACATTCTCTTGTTGGCCGGCAGCGTGGTGTGGAAGGCGTACGAAATATCTGTTGAATTCGACGTTTCGGGTTAGTAATGACTCTGATCTGAAGTTCCGGAGAGCTCTCAGTTCCTTCAAGGCGGACAAGACGCGAGTTTAATTAGTGCGTCGGCTTCATGAAACATGGGACATCGACGCGCCAGTGTCTCTGCAGAGCTGCATCACACCACACCGTCAGGCATGCTATGATGATTAGAGCTATTTCTACGAGCGCGAGGCTGTGATCCCCGCGCATCGCACCGGCAAATCATATACAAAGGAACAGTCCGGTCCGTCGCTTCAGCGAGCAAGGAGACCAACATGCAAGTCCAAGTCGAAGTCGAAGCGGATACGACAACCGGTATGTCCAGTCAACTTTCTCTGCCGTGGTGCCCGACTGGCGTTTATAATGGCTCATTCCCTTGACCCTTCGCAGAACCTATCACAGTGGGCCGAATAGTTCATGGTCAAGATGGTCGCCCCATTAATGGTGGACAAAAGATCTGCGAATGCGCAAGTAAATCCGTTTTGCTGTGCTGCTTTGAATGTTATCCAACCGCACCTTGCAGCAGCTACGTCATCTGAGGCGAACGAATGCTACAACATAGCACTCCAACTCCATCAAAAATTCTGCCAGAACAGCGATCTCGACGCCGCAAAGCAGTGCATCGAGCACTATGAGGCCCTCCTATTGGAGTCACAGGGAACCACTTCCTTCGGCGCGACAATCCCAAATTCGAAACTGGACGTTTCGATCGACCCCCGCCCAAAGCTATATCACATACTCATTCGGCTGGCTGATCTATATTTGGATCGCTATAGGCACAATTACGAGCAATGCGATCTGGAGCTTGCGGTAAAATATGGGCAAGAAGCCCTGTCTATGTGCCGCACAGCTGGGATACGTTGCCCTACAGTACTTGGGCTATTCGCCAACATCTTGAATAACAACGCAGAGGACGTTTCCCGGAAAGAAGATCGGATCGTTGCAGAGTCGCTCTGCAGAGAAGCCATCTCACTCTGCGCAACGGGAACCTACTTGGCAGCAACTATTCGCCTTAATCTGGCATGGACTCTGAGAAGGTTATCCACAATTAACGGGCCTCATACTTTGATCAACGAAGCAGTCGACATCCAGCGACAGGCCTTGGTTGACCTGCCTCCGTCTCATTGTTACGATCAACATCGACACCTGCGATTCCTAGGTTTGTGTCTATTCTACCGACACCAAATTTTTGGAAGACCAGAAGATTTGGATGAATGCCTTGATGTTTCCGCGCACGCCGTGCACTTATGTCCAGAGATGCACATTGATCGGTGCAAGACAGTATATGGGATGCTCTGGTCGCTATATCTGAAGAGTTTCCGCTCTGGCGCTATCAATGAGCTCAACAAAGCGATTGAACTTGGACTGAACACTCTCAAAGAAGTTTCCGATGCTGGATTTGCCCACGTCGATCTCCTCAGTGTGGTAGCAGATCTGCTCGCCCTTCGCCATCAGCTGGCTCCATCCGATGGGCGCGACCTCGAAAGGTCAGTCACTCTGTACCGGGAAGTTTTGCGACTATTCCCTCCCAACCGAGCAGACTATTGGCTGTACGTGGACTGCCTGGCGGTCGGATTGCGTCTGCAGTACCACTGGACCGGAGAGATAAGTCATCTCGAAGAATCTATTCAACTCGGGCGTTCCATCATCGGTTCAATGCCAACTACCCACCCTCAGCGATTTGTTCCCGCTCGCAATCTGGCGCATTCACTGATGCTCCGCTTCAACGAGACAAGGCGCATCTCTGATCTCGATGAAGCCATCAAATGGGATCGTATGGCCCTGGCGAGCAGTGGGACCTCACATGTGTTATATCCGGAGATTTCTGCTCAAGCTGTCTCCCGTCTTTGCATGTTATTTGACGCTCGGGGCTCATTCGAGGCTTTGGAAGAAGCGATTACCCTCGGCAACACCGTCCTGGACACGATGGCTTCCGACAGTGTTCAACGCAGCGATGTTATCCTCGAGCTGTCAAAAGCTCTGTTACGCCGCGGGAGACATCAAGGGAACGTCGCGGACATCGACCGCTCCATTTCGGAGCTAGCACGTATCAAGGAAGTCATGCTTCAGCGAACAGACGGTCCTGAGCTTCTGAGCACCCTCGCCGACTGTCATATCGTCAGATTCCGCTTCAATCGCAGCTACAAAGACGCGAACGATGCCTTGGAGATTATCACTGGCTTATTGGATAAGCTGCCTCCTGGGCGTCCCGAGAGGTTTCGGTGCCTCGTAGGTGCCGCAGAACTCCACATGGAGCTAGGAACATCTTATCGGAGTATCCAAGCTGCACTCTCGCATTTAGCCCGTGCTCTATCCGACGAACACCGGGACGTTCGTTCTCGAATTGAAGGAGCACGACGCATACTTGATATCGCTGTGTCGCAATATCAGGATATCGTCCACTCTGAGGTCGCAGCACATCGCCAACTGCTGGATATCTTTGCTCTTGTGGTGGGGCATCTGCCCCGAGTGGCTTTCTTCGGTCTTCATCTTCATACCCGACTCCAGTCGTTGGCTATCGGCCAGAGCATCGCTCTCACCGGCGCATCTCACGCGCTCAACATCGGCTTACCTGACAAAGCATTGGAAATCCTTGAGCAGGGCCGTGCGGTCTTCTGGACCCATGCACTACGCTTGCGCTCTCCGTTCGATGCAGCGCCCAAGGAGATCGGAGATAGGTTGTCGATCCTTGCCCGACAGCTGGATAAAGTATACGATAAATCGTCTACGGGAGAGAACCTGGGCGTTGTCGAAGCGGAGATTGCTCGCAGAAGAGGTCTGATAGAAGAATTCAACGCCCTGCTCAACCAAGTCCGCAAACTACCTGGACTGAACAGATTTCTGCTGCACGACGAGTTTACGACGTTGAGAAAGGCCTCCGAGAGAGGTCCGGTCGTAGTGCTGGTATCCAGTGCGCTGGGGAGCCACGCTGTCCTTCTCAAGCAGGGGGGCGATTGTGTCAGCATTCCTATCGAGCATCTTCCTGACACTTGGCTCGCACATTCCGGCACGGAGTGGCGATCAATCATCGTGGAGGCGAGGGCGGAGATGCGCGACTGCAGAAAGATGGAAAAATCGAAAATCCCGAAGGCTCGAAGGACGGCTGCCGACGAAATCTTGCGCCAGTTATGGATTGAGGTGGTGAGACCAGTCCTGAATGCTCTAGGGCTCGAAGTATGAGATCACCCTTTACATGATCTTGTATAAGGCTCACCAGTTGCTTCTAGCCCTCCGAAGGTCGAAACCGTCCTCGCATATGGTGGTGCCCTACTGGAAACTTTGCTCACTTACCAATCCATGCAGCCGGTGCTGGCGGAGAGTGGTGCTCGGATTACGTCGTCTCCTCCTACATACCGACCATCGGGTCCCTTCTTGCTGCCAGAAACGCGTATTCTCCCATCCTCAAGGAGGACGTTCACGCGCTCGTCGCTGCAACGCCTCGGTCGAGCATGTCGCAGTGGAGCGACCTCATCAACACGCGCGAAGAAGCGAGAGCGATCCGTGCCGTCTTACCAAGCGGATCCACGATGGAGCTGTCTCCCGCAGACGACGCTTGCATTGAGGGCGGAAACGGGATCACGGCGAAGACGCTGCTAAAGCTGCTCCCACAGACGAATATCCTGCACCTCGCGTGCCATGGCCATCAAGATCTGGAGAATCCGTTGCAGAGCGGATTCATTCTGCGTGACGAGAAACTCACGATCGAACGACTCATGCCTGTACCCCTCCCTCGCGCGTTCATGGCATTCTTGAGTGCTTGCGAAACAGCCAAAGGTGACTTCGTGAGTACCAATACCAGTCGAAATCATGATGCCATTGAACAACGTGCCCATGCAGAATCAGCCTGATCAGGTGGTCCATCTCGCCGCCGCCATGTTCTTCGCAGGATTCAAAAGCGTCATCGCTACGCTTTGGTTAGTCCCACTTTGCAGCTACTCATTTCTATGATACCGACTTACAACCGACTGTCAAGGTCCATGGCGGACGCGGACGGGCCGGAGATAGCTCGATCTGTATACAAGAAGATATTCAGCGGCAAATTGGATCACATCGACCCCGATGACATCGCGTACGCCCTCGACGAGGCCGTCACGAAACTGCGAACCATCCAGCCTGAGCCGCTCCGATGGGCACCGTATATACACCTAGGGATTTGAGCGTGCGCCAATATATGTCATTGGTTCGAAATGTACAACGGAGGAGGCCGTGAGTACAGGCCTACAATGAGCGATACCGGTTGCTCTGGACTCCGTCCTTGGCACGTACTCCTCTCCGAAGACGAGGTTATCCACGACGGCCTCGCTCCATCGGATTCGCGGATCAATTTCTCACATGTATACCGTGCCGTCGTGTTTGAACATCTTCGTCTCTTCGAACCTCATCATGGTCCAGAAGCCGCCCGCGAGCTGCAGGACCTCGATGACGGGTAGGCACCCCTCGGTGCAGCTGGAGAGCAGCGAAATCGGGACAATGCGTTTTGCGACCAAGGCGAGGTGAATGGCGTCTTGAACTCCCGAGTCGAGGCCCTAAGATTATGGGCATATTGGGCGGATCACTCTGACGTGGTTAAGATATGTCGCTGACGTGGTCTCCAATGGGAGGATGAACGTGAACAGCATCTGAGAAAATGGCATTGTTGAGAATATACAGTCACTCGAGCGTGCGCAATCTGACCTCCACGAACACCCTCCCCTCGCTGAGCGCTCGACTATACGACTGCTCGTTCTGCAGGTCGAGAAAATGAGACATCATGCCATACAACCGGTATCGGATGACTGACATATACTCGCGCAATCCAATACACTTTCGCAAGCCGTCAGGGTCGGATGTGATCTTCAGGACGCGCCGAGAGAGGCGTTGACCGACCGTCATAACCTGCACAAGATCTGGACAGGTTCGAATGCTGTCGGTCGCACTACCGCACTGATAGGCATCACGAGTAAGCTCAAAGATCTAGGAAACACTGGAGCCATGCACCAAGGTTCGCGGGCATGTCCGAACCAGTATTGGGATCGCGCTGCCCGGGAGGTGTGTATTACCAAACGGTTTGCAGGCTACGATGAATGAAGAACCAACGTCTATCCAGGGCTGCTGCGTGCGCAGATCGGCGACTCCCCACTGTCCTACATGCCGGTCGTCATGGAACGACAGACTAAGGATGTTGCGGATGGTGCCTCTTGTTCGCATTTTACTCGAGATCCCCGCAGCGCCGCGTTCGTCTCGATGTGAACACCATAATCCTTTCGCTAATCTATCCGCAAGCATCGCGCGCAGCCGGGACTGGCCGATGATCCCCCCATTCGCGTGAGGAGTAGGGATGCCTATCAGCCAAAGTGTAGTAGTCGTGCCATGCTCCGAGAACTTACAAGAGGAAGGGATATGAAGCTTTCTTTGCACCGTACGAGTACAGCGGTCTTCTGATGATGGGCGGGGTCTGTTACAAAATGCGATGTCACACCTGAGTTCAAGTATTAGCGCGTTTGTATTACGACCCTTGGCCACGGCGAGAGTGAATCCATCGTCTATCGTCTTCGCTGGCGCTGGTGGCGGGAGATGAGTTGGACGAGGGGCTGTGCAGCTTGACCGGGCGCGCTGCCGCCTGGTGCCGCTGCTGTGCAGTCAGCATTGGCACGACCCACTGGGTACAGTGGGTGAAAAGCACCCTTTGACTTTGGCCGACATAAGTATTTACTAATACAGTGGGTGATTATATACAATAGACCATACCGTGAGTGATCCAAAGCAATCATCCACATGGCCTCAATCAACCACATACCGACCAGACTGTGGGTGAATGGTCGATATCCCCCATCACGTGGGTGGTAGCAACCTATTCTGGGGCTCATAGTGCTTTTGGTGAAGAATCTACGAGCTGCTCAAGTAAGCGGCGCCGCGGTTGACTGCTTCATTGCGCTTGGTGACCGAATGTGCAAACCTTCACATGCGCCGGTGCTCTGGCATCTGCATAAAAGTCCCTGTCATTGAGCGAAATGGTGTTCACGCTGGCAATATGTCTTCACCGCTCGCCGTGGAGGGGCGGGTCGACTTCAAGCCCGCCGGAGCTGGCAAATATTGTCACACATGGTACAAAATATTTGGGGATCTCCCCGCACGCGTATATCGCCCCCTGATAGTTATCCACGGCGGTCCAGGTTCGTCATCTTCGTTTTTTCACCGCGATAGATCATGACAGATGTTGACTCGCGAAACGCAAATCACAGGAGCCGTGCACCAATACCTCCTCCCAATCGCAGACCTATCCATCGCGCAATCCATGCCCGTCATCTTCTACGATCAAATCGGCACTGGAAACAGCACGCACCTATCCGAACTCGAGGGCAACCCGTCCTTCTGGACCGAGTCGCTCTTCCTTGCCGAGCTGCAAAATCTCATCGACAAGCTCGGGATCCAGGACGATTATGCCATCCTGGGCCACTCGTGGGGCGGAATGCTCGGGGCACGACACGCGGCCGGCCGCCCACCGGGGCTGAAGCGGCTCGTCCTCGCCAACTGCACGACGAGCATGAATTCGTGGCAGCAGTCAGTCGCCGCGCTCCGCTCGGGCCTACCGCAAGAGGTCCAGGACACGCTACGGAAGCACGAAGAAGACGACACGATCGACTCTGCAGAGTATCGGACAGCTGTCGCTGAGTACCGCCGACGCCACGTATGCCGAATCGATCCCATGCCTGATGAGCTCGTCAACACGCTCGCGGAAATCAGAAAGGATCCTACGGTCTGCGTTACGATGCAAGCACCGTCCTCATCGTGTGAACATATGCTCATGCTGACGGAAGTATATAATCCAGGCGCGGAAAGGTACCGTTCCGCGTCACGGGCGTCTTGAAGGACTACTCCGTCGAGAAAGATATCGCCGGTATCACCGCCCCTACTCTTCTCATCAATGGACAATACGACGAAGCTCAAGATGACACGATCCAAGGATTTTTTGCGTCTATTCCCAGCGTGAGCTGGACGAAATTCGTCAATTCAAGTCATACACCTCACCTCGAGGAGCGCGAACGTTTTTTGCGTGTCATTGGTGCGTTCTTATCATAGCAGCTTGAACAAAGCATCGGTATGGGTGGAAAGTGCAGTGGTCGATGGTGCACCCTCATGGAGCAGGCCCTTACTTGCAATCGAGCAACGTGCCTTCAGCGTTGTATCGATCGGTCCCGTACAAGCACACGCGGTGTACTGCAGAAATGACAGAGATCGAGTATACTCGAATAGGAATGTTGATGGCATACCGAAGCATCAAGGAACCAGAACATGTGAACCCAGAACATGTGAAAGGCGGTCGTCTAGTCGTCATTGTTCTCGCGGTTCAGGAGGCCTTCATGGATTTCCTATGGGAACGTAAGCAGCCAACAACAGCGGGCGTTGCCCAACGTCTTTTTCAAAACGCTATTCCTGCTATTAGGTGACGGAAAGGTCGCGCAATCGCGCATTGTACGCCAAAACCAGCGAAGCGCGGGTGATGCCCTGCAATACGGGTGATTCATACGCGGAAAATAAACATGTGGAAGGCTGGTGCATCACCATGTAATCAAAGGTCGTTTTTCCGCATCGGGCGTGACGATCCGGACATTCGAGCGAGGAAAAGACATTGTAGGCGAAAGCATGCCCAAAACGCGCTGCTGACGGGGCCTGACCGTGATGCGGGCGACGGGCAAGAAGGAGATAACACAGGCAGACCGCAATGCATATCAGATTGGAAGTTGCGAAGTAGAACCCGGTTTTGAGCATCGCGAAAGCAGATTTGGGGAAACGGCCAGCACGCGCCTTCATGTTCGCGAGAGAAGGGACAGAGAAACGGGGAAACCGCGGGGGCGCGCAAATGCCAGAGCTTTAGGTGCATCAGCGTCAATGAACCCGGCGGAGACAAGCTCCAAGAGTGTATCCGAAGCTCCAAGAGTGTACTAAAAGTCCAGGCCAATCTAGCTTCAATGCCGTTTCAATGGAGAATTCATTGACTTTGGGTGTGGCCATCAATGGTAATGCGGCCTCGGTGCATTGCATGGCCTCGTGGGCCTTGCGTGGCCCCGTCGCGCAACGGCCTCCTCCTCGCGTAAAGCATCATGTCTTCCAACACCATCCGCAAACCCCGTTTTCATCCTCTGGGCTCGTTTGGAGCCGGTATAAACACCGACGTCGACGGCGCCGCGTCTCGCCAGTAATGCCCGTTTTGCGCCCCATCTTCTCCGCCACACACTCCGCCAAGCTCGAAGCCCTCACCGCCCTAGACGAACGCAAGATGCGCCAGGAAGAAGAAGGACAAGTAGTGAGCAGCAGCGACGCGTCCCGGAACGCGTCGCCGTCGCGCGTGCGGACGAGGAGGCGGGCGAAGACGTTCCTCGCGCCGCCGTCGACCGCGACCGCGACCGCGCAGCCACCGGCAGGATCGGGCGGCGCGGCGGAGCAGGTGACCGACGCGCGCGCCCACGATGATGACCGCAGTCAGTGTCGACTCCCAGGATCGCGGTTGCCCTTCCCTCGTTGACTTCTGACCACGTTCGTTCACGCAGGCGGCGACATCGAGCCGGCGCAGAAAGAGCAACAGCAGCCGCCCCGTTCTACTCCCAAAACCAAGCTCAAAGCGCTCGCGAAACGGTTCGTCATGGCGCCGAGGACGCATTGGTGGATCTCGTTTTGGTTCATCGCGACGGTGCCCGTCATATTCTGGGACGCGGGATACTGCTTCATGAGGTGACCGTTCGCGGCCTCGCTCGTGTTCAGCTCATTTCTAACCAGCTGTCGTGCGCAGGCCGCGGTCCATGAAAGGCGGAGACCTGCACTGGATCTGGAAGCCGTACGAAATATACCAAGAAATCGACTACGTCTATGGCACGCGTGCTCTCGAGAATAACGACGGATTCACGAACGCTCAATGTGGGTGACGCGGCATCCCGAACATGCCCATGAGCGCTCTGTACTCATTGTTCCTCGTGGCCATCTAGCTCTCCTGAACGTCATCGAAACGCTCCTCAACATCCTTTACGTCTACCGCGCGCACGTATCTCTCGACCCCGCTGCCTCGCTCATCGGGTTCGCCGCCGCCACCATGACGTTGAGCAAAACGGTGCTGTACTGGGCACAGGTGCGAGCACTCCCGATGCGCCTCGGTGCGACGCGCCGTGACTGGCTGACCACCCCGTGTCCCGCAGGAATACTACTGCGGCGGATGCTCGGTCGGCCACAACAATCTCGTTGATCTGGCGGTGTACTGGATCCTCCCCAACGGGTACGTGCTGATCTTCGTCACGATCTCGTACTCTCGCCGAACCGTGACCTGCTAGGCTCTGGCTGCTCGTTCCGTCCCTGATTATCCGCGCCCTCTGGAAGGACCTCGCGTCGTCGCTCCGTGTCGCAGACAAGGTGACCTCCGGCAAGACGCAGTAGACGCCATGCCGCGCCGCGACCGAATCGACAGACAGCACGCTGCTGTCGCTGTGATGCATGTGCTGCTAAGTAAACTGGACCAGGTATCTTGACGATCTCCGTTGTTTGATATTTCTTCTTGTATATCAACATCCCATAGTTGAACGATGGTGCTCCGCTCATATGCTTGCTCTAGGCAGCCTTAGTCCCCCCGGCGCTGCAGACGTTCAAGGGGTGCCACCCCTGGATTCGGTCTTTGGTTCCTGTCGTCGGCCGCGCCGTGAGTAGCCATTCTTCCTACAAGCACGAAATGGTCAGCGTCCGAGACTTGAGACCATTAGAGGGCGTCAGGTATTTAGTAAAGAGACTTCGTTGGATGTGTTTGGGTGGGTTACATGTAAACGCTGAGATCCGGGGAGACGCGCGGAGCGTGATACCGCAACCGGCCCGGATCTGGAACGCGAGATTCCTCTGAGTTTATGTATGACTGTTGAGCGCACGAAGACTCCCAGTCCTGTCTTCCCCTCATGTTTACCGTACCCCGGGACTAGTTGCCTCGGTAATCATCGTCGCGGCCGCCTCAGAGGCTGTTTACTCTAGATCTCTTCCGCCAACGACGCGAGACGCGTTTCCCCTCGTCTCTTGCTACTCCTCGCCGGCACCGTTCCTTGCTCCGCATGTCCCGCGTACTTCGCTCGGCCCCCGAACCTCTGCCCTCGTCCCCAACTAGCCCCCCGCAACGACTGGCAGGTGATCGTCGTTCGAACTTCTTTCGATCAATATCGCCTGCAACGGCTTTCAACCGAGGACGCGACACCGCCGAGCGGTGGTTTGCGTTCCGCAGCCAAGCTAACGCCATTTCAGCCGGTCACGAGTCCGAATAACAAGGCGGTAGCACGGGCTTTTCGCTCCGATTCCGACGCTGTCGACTGCACGAGTGGCGTACGTGCAGCGCAGCAACCGGCTGTTCCGCTACCGGGACCTCGTCGGCAATCTACCTACCTACCGAACCCTGACCTGGTCGATGGGTTCGTCTTTGGTCCCCCTCGCTCGGTTGTGCTGGCGGTGGTTGCGAAGGCCCACAAGAGAGCTGGGATGTCCTTGGATGTCCTTCGCAGGAGCACCCATCACAGACGGGTGGATACAGCCAGCCTGAATTTGGCATCCATCATCATGCGGCTTGTGCCCTCTTGCATTCCCGTCTGTGCCGCATGACCGAAAAGCAGACCTGATGGACGAGTATGGTGCTCGGTAAGGTTGGGAATGAATAAATGAATGACGCCTGGGGAAAGATCTATCGTCCGCACGTTTTCGATGAGGGACCCCATGGGGTCACGGCGCCAGCGCCCTTCTGCGAAGCCGTTCCTGATGCGCTCCGCTCTGCAGAATCGCCCTATTAAACCGGAGCCATGGGCGCTTCCTGATCCTTAGAGCGGTCGCATTCCACCCCCCTCTTTTATCCCTCGCACCTTCTCCTCTCGCCCTACTACAATGCCTGGCGGTGGAGCCGTATCCTCAGGTGCCGGCGTTGGCGAGCACATCCAGACCAAGTCCAAGCTCGCCGGTGTCCTCATCGTACGTCGTTCGCTCTTGGCATCGATAATATGTTGCATGCCTCGTCTCTTCATACCTTGCATCAGGTCGCATTTGCCGCGTTTGGAGGCGTGCTCTATGGCTACGACACCGGCACCATCTCCGGCATCAAGGAGATGCACAACTGGCTCTGCACGTTCGGTACCGATCACGGCGACGGCACTTGCACGATAGACTCCTCCCGGGAGTCGCTCGTCGTCTCCATCCTCTCCGCCGGCACCTTCTTCGGAGCCTTGCTCGGTGCCCCCATGGCCGACATCGTCGGGCGCAAGTGGGGCATCGTCTTCTCGTGCTTGGTCTTCTCCATCGGTGTCGCCATGCAGACCGCTGCGACTCAAATCGCGCTCTTCGTCGTCGGCCGCGTCTTCGCCGGCCTCGGCGTCGGCCTCATCTCGACCCTCGTGCCCATGTACCAGTCCGAGTGGTGAGCCGACTTCATTAACTCCCCTGTCTTCCGCTCCGCGCCCGAATGCTGACGTTTTCTTCTCTCCGGACCCCTCAGTGCCCCAAAGTGGATCCGCGGCGCCGTCGTGTCCGGCTACCAATGGGCCATCACGATCGGCCTCCTCCTCGCCGCCATCGTCAACAACGCCACCAAAGGCCGCCCGGACCACTCTTCCTACCGCATCCCGATCGCCATCCAGTTCGTCTTCGCCGCCGTCCTCTCCGCCGGCCTCGCCTTCCTCCCCGAGTCTCCGCGCTGGCTCGTCAAAAAGGGCCGCGACGCCGACGCCGCCGCCGCCCTCGGCCGCCTCACCTCCGTCCCCGCCTCCGACGCCGCCGTCCAACTCGAGATCGCCGACATCCGCGCCAACCTCGACGCGGAGACCGCGCTCGGCGAGTCGTCCTACCTCGATTGCTTCCGCGGCTCGGCCGGAAACAAGATCGGCCTCCGCACCTTCACCGGCATCGCCCTCCAGGCGCTCCAGCAGCTCACCGGCATCAACTTCATCTTCTACTACGGCACCACGTTCTTCCAGAACTCGGGGATCAAGGACCCGTTCCTGATCAGCATCGCGACCAACGTCGTCAACGTCGGCATGACCGTGCCCGGGATGTGGGGCGTCGAGCGCTTCGGGCGACGCCGCCTGCTCCTCATCGGCGCGATCGGCATGTGCATCTGCGAATACCTCGTCGCCATCATCGGCGTCACCGTCTCCGTCAACGACCACGCCGGCCAGCAAGCGCTCATCGCGCTCGTCTGCATCTACATCGTAAACGGCTATTTATTCCGCCTGCGCCGCTTTTTGTTTTTTTCGTTTCCGCTCACTTTTGGTTTTTTTTTTTTTTCTTGTCTAGGCCTTCTTCGCGTCTACATGGGGACCGATCGCCTGGGTCGTCATCGGCGAGATCTACCCGCTCAACATCCGCGCCAAAGCCCTCTCCATGGCCGCCGCCTCGAACTGGCTCTGGAACTTCGGCATCGGCTACGCCACGCCCTACCTCGTCAACGACGAACCCGGTTCCGCCGGCCTAGGCTCCAAGGTGTTCTTCATCTGGGGATCGACCTGCCTGTGCTGCATCATCTTCACCTACTTCTGCATCCCCGAGGTAAATGAAACAGTTTTAAACCCGAGCTCCCCATTGCGCCTTTTACGAGGTTTCGAGTGATCTTTTTTTTCGCTGACGACTCGCCCGCTTTTTTTCTCCAGACCAAAGGCCTCTCTCTGGAGCAAGTCGATATCCTGTATCAGAACACTACTCCGCTCCGCTCCATCGCCTACCGCAAGCGGATCTTCGAGAACGACGTTCACGCGTCGGATCCTCACGCGCTGGAGAAGATCCGCGACGAGCAGCACAACGAGCACGCCGACGAGAAGGTCTAATACAACCCATCGACGCGTTGGCGTGCTTGTTGGTCACGCGGGGGAAGAAACGTGGTGATGATAAGAGATAATAAGTAGCCATTGTGTTCCGCTTCTGTTTTGCAAGGAAAAAACGTAAAATCGGGGCAACGATTCCCAAAGATAGGAACGCCGAGTTGTTGGCTCATGAGAACGGGCCGCAACTTGCGTTAGAACGTCGTCGAAGGTCGCTCGTCGTTCGTGGGTGTGGCATAAAATATTCAGAGCCCTTGTTCATTGTTGGAAAGCCAGAACGTGGTGGCCACTGGCGGCTGCGGCCAATGTTATCCCTTTTGTTCGGGCGTCGTGCTTCCATGTAAATCCTGGGGGACCGGTTGAGCGGTTGGACCCTTTCGTGGCCCAGCGTAGGTACGGACCCCGTCTACAAGCTCTGCCAGACGCTCGTTGTGCATGGCGAGATATACTAGCCAGCGTTCCTTGGCATGCTACACGCACCCAAGCAGTCCTCCTCCTCCTGTACGAACAGAATCAATGATGCACATGCATTTCGCAAAGGTGGAGGCGGACGCAGTGTCAATGATCTCTGCCGTGATCGGTGGGGCAGTACGTACTAGCCGAGAGGAGGACCGTGCGAAGTTTCTGAGCCTTTGTGGTTGACCACGATCGCCACTTCCCCAGCCACCGTTGGCCTACCTCGTCCGCATCTTGAGGCCACATAGAAAGGAACCAATTATATATATTGAGTGAGTGCGCGCTCTCTGTTCAATCCTCGTACACCCTGTCTGACATTCCAACCATGCCTTCTCGCAAGAATAAGGGAAAGGCCAAGAAATCGTCTCGTCCTGACCCTGATCGCAACCCGTCTGAACTTGCGGTCGACACTGCTGAACCTGAGCGTCGTACTCCCGTCTCTCGCACCCCCTCTCAAGATTCACAGAAAGGTCTGTCGACGAACGCCGTTTACGACTCGGATTCGAGAGCTAATCGTTCATAGACGCCACTCCCCCTCGTGACAAGAAGGGGAAGGGGAAGGCACTTCCACGCGCCGCTTCAAATCACAGCCCATCAAAAGCGGCTCTTCCTTCACTTGCACATCGTTTTACACAATCCCAACCAAGCTTTCATCGGGGACCAAACGGTTGGGCGATTTAAATTCGGAGCATCAACGATTTGCGTACTCACTCTTATCCTCAGATCTTGTCGGTTCACGCTCACAAGCTGGTCCATCAGGCTCCGCTCTCCGCTCTACCACTGCATTTTCTTCGTCGGTGAACCCTTCAGGGGCGAACAGTGCCCAATCCGGTCCCTCGAATCCACCGCCGTCCGTTCCCGAAAGCTCCGCCCCTCGTCGCAGCACTCGATCGAGGCGTAAACCTTGCCTCCCGTATTCGCCTGTGGAACATACACCGAAAGCGAACGAAGAATCAAGCGGGGAAGGGAGCTTAAGAGACGACCCTCACGACGCTGAATATCGTCCAGAAGACTTCGTTACTCCTCCGCAGAGCCGTTCCGTTGTACTGGAAAAGGCGACACCGAAGGGAAACGTCAGCGGCAAGTCAGCCAGGCCACCTTACCTCAAGATGAACTACGCCGCGCACGTCGGCGAGGACGCCGCACACCGATGCGCTCTCCACTTGGATAAAGTGCCGAAGGGTACCATACAGCTCTGCCATATCATCCCGCGTGCAGAACATGCCGATGTGGGTCACGTTCGGAAATCGCATTGCGCTCCATTACTCACCACTTAGCACGTCCCGCAGAACCTCCAGATGCTTGAACGAGCTTGGCAGCTGCCCCAAGGCAGCTTCAACCAGGATACCCGCTGGGCCCAGATATACCGTATGTTACGAGCCCTTCAATTCAACGCGCGGTCACTCACTCTGCCTAGTGTGTTCTAATTACCACTGGGGGTTCGACCATGGCGGGTGGAGCTTCCTTCCAGATACCAACGTGCTGTGGGGTATCCTCAAAGGTATCAATGGGAACCCTGAATTCACCGGTCAAGATACGTACAAGTATTGGATTTCAGTGCGTATTCGCTGATGCCCTTCGAGCATATCACTGATAGTCATCGATGGTCTAGGAGGTGCAACGACTTCGTCAGCTCGGTACCCCTCCCAAATATTTCTTCATTCCTCTTCAGACACTCGATGATCGAATCTCCATTGGTCGTCTGAACCTCGCAAACCCAATCGTCGACGGTCACCACAAGTATGATTATATCAATGCACCCTACGATGAGATTACTATATCGTTACCTCTCCATCCGTTTCCGGTGATCGCGCACTTTATGAAGAGCTGGCAGATGCTGGACGCAGAATGCCAACAATCTATCGAAGGGCGCCTGAATGGCTCGCAACGCATGCTCGTCACCGCAGCTAAGGCAATATGGGAGTGCTGGTGCCGAAAATCGGAGGGCCTCGACGACCCGCACAATTGGACCATCAAGGACGCCGATCATCAAGATGACGATCCAGGTAGCGGCGGCGGTAATGACTATGGTGACGGCGATGGCAAGGACGACGTCGATAACGATGCCAACGCTGGCGGTCGCGGCGAGGACCATGGGGCTGGCGGTCGTGCGCCACAAAACGACGCTGGACCTTCGGCACAACCTGGACACGGTGCAGATCCCAATCAGCTCGGCGGTGCCTTGGCTACTACGGCTAACCGTACCCTGGTCGACCCACGCGCCATAGATAACATACCCAAGAAAAGCAAGGCTATCGCCGCTTGCGCGCCGAGCGGTGATGTTCCACCTATTGCCGGCGTGTTGAAGCCGTCGAGCGCCGCAGCACCATCCTACTTCTACTGCTCGTGCTGCCCACCGAGCGCGGATGTAGATGTAGAGGAAAGCGAGGACGATGACTATAATCCTCTTCCTGAATACGCACCTCAGGTCCAGACCGATATCTCAGTGTGGGCCGCAAGCGTTCAAGATGACGAGGACTCCGTTCGCGGGCGCGTTAAATCGCAGGCACGTCTACGAACGTCCTCAAAGCGGGACAGTACCCTCGAGGCGTATGCTCTCGAAAAGGCGCGCTCGCCTCCGCATGACCCGGACTGGACAAAATGGGAAGCCGACACACGTAGGAAGTGGAACAAGGTACTGCGGCCTTTGAAGCGTCGGAAAACTGTGAAATGATTTTGTGCTTGGCCCTACTGGCGGACTATATGCACTGTATCTACTTCTAATGGACATCATTGTTTACTTATGGTCGGGCGGACTTGAGCATATATTACACGCTCTCATCGGTACACTCGCAATTGAGGAGGATCCTTTGATATGTGTAACTCACAGAGACCTTACGATAGGTCAATAGTGCCACGGTGCAGGGCTACATCTCTCGAGGAGCTGCTCAAACGTGCAGAAGCTACTAAGGAAGAGATGGTCTTTCCTACAGATCCGAAGGCGGGAGAGTACAAGATTGAAGAGGTGACGCTCGCTGGACTTACAAGTATAAGATCCGCCCGAAACGGATATTCCGACGTGAGCGGATGCCGCAAGGCGGTTCCCGAGCCGGGTGTCCGTGAGATGCCTTCGCCATGACCATCGACCAGGCCGTCAGCGCCTCAGCTATACGTGATACGTCTTGCATGACAGCTAAATTCAATACGATAGACCAGCTTTGCTCACGGTTGCAACGTCTTCCGGATCCGCTTCAGGGGAAGAGCCTTTTCGGGCAGGAGGCTCCGCTCGGCTGGCCGGCATTGCATGGCAATATACTAGCCAGCGTTCCTTGGCATGCTACATGCACCCAGCGAGGATGAAGAGTTTAATCCCCTTTCAGACTACGCGTCCCGGGCCCGAATCAATATTGCAGCATGGGCCCTCAACATCAAAGAATGTCAAGATTACCTTTGTAGCCAGGGTATGAAGTTGGCTCCGCCGAGGACATCGCCCAAGTGGGACAAGACCCTCGCGGCGTATGTTGCAGAAAAGGCGCGCTCTTCCCCGCATGAACCAGATTGGACGAGATGGAAGGCGGATATCCGTGAGAAGTGGAACGGTGTAGTGCGGTCTCCAAAGCGTCGTAAAGTATTGTCGTGATACTACTTTATTTCACTCATGTAACTCAGCCAGGATAGGCGTCGTCATCAGAGAACGTAATAGGGTCGGCACATGCTGGTGTGTGTCGAGACTGTGGTGTTGACCGTGGCGTGTAGATAATCTCCGTGAGACGTTAAACAAAGTTTGCCACCCGTGGGTTGATAATAACCTGGAACCAATTGAATCATGTCTTGGCCACTAGTAGTGAGTGCGAATCTGCGTCCACATGCTCTACCAGGCGCCCATTCTATGGCTACGTCAGCTATGATTTACAGAATACGATTTAGTAAATAAACCGGATCCTCAAGCCATTCAATCATGAATACTCAATCCCCAGCTGCGGCCTGAGATCAGTGCGCACTGATGTGATCGGGGGCGCTAGCGCTGTGAACACTGCCGAGACTGTGCGAATTTACGAGCCTTTGTGGTTGACCGCGATCGCCACTATCCGAGCCACCGTTGGCCTATCACATCCGCATCTTAAAGCCACGTAGAAGTGATCATTTATATATATTGAGTGAGTGCGCACTCTTTGTGCAATCCTCGTACATCCTGGCTGACGTTCCAACCATGCCTTCTCGCAGGAATAAGGGAAAGGCGAAGAAATCGTCTCGTCCTGACCCGTCTGAACTTGCGGCCAACACTGCTGAACCCGAGCGCTGTAATCCCGTCTCTCAATCTCCCTCTCACAAGTTACAGAAATGTCTGTCGATGAACACCGTTTACGACTCGGAATCGGAAACTAATTGTTCACAGACGCCACTCCCCCTCGTGACGAGAAAGGGAAGGGGAAGGAATCTCCACGCCCCGCTTCAAATTACAGCCCGTCCAAGCCAGCTCTTCCTTCACTTGCACATCATCTTACACGATCCCAACCAAGCTTTCTACCAGGGTCAAAAGGTTGGTCGAGTTCGATTCGGGGCATCAACGATTTGCATACTCACTCTTATACTCAGAGCTCAACGATTCACAGTCACACGCCGGTCCATCAGGCTCTGCTAGCGGCTCTACCACTGCATTTTCTTTGTCAGTGAACCGTTCAGGTGCGAACAGTGCCCAAACTGGTCCCTCGAATCCGCCACCGTCCGTTCCCGAAAGCTCCGCCCCACGTCGTAGCACTCGATCGAGGCGTAGACCTTGCCTTCCGTATTCGCCGCTGGAGCATAAACATAAAGCGAAGGAAGAATAAAGCAAGGAAGGGAACTCCAGAGACGACCCTCACGACGTTGAATATCATCCAGAAGCCTTCGTTACTCCTCCGCAGAGCCATTCCGTCGTACTGGAAAAGGAGACACCGAAGGGAAACGTCAGCGGCAAGTCAGCCAGGCCACCTTACCTCAAGATGAACTACGCCGCGCACGTCGGCGAGGACGCCGCACACCGATGCGCTCTGCATTTGGATAAAGTGCCGAAGGGTACCATACAGCTCTGCCATATCATCCCGCGTGCAGAACATGCCAATGTGGGTCACGTTCGGACATCGCATTGCGCCCCATTACTCACCACTTATCACGTCCCGCAGAACCTCCAAATGCTTGAACGAGCTTGGCAGCTGCCCGAAGGCAGTTTCAGCCAGGAAACCCGCTGGGCCCAGATATACCGTAAGTCATGAGATCATCAACTCGACCCGCGGTCACTCACTCCGCATAGTGTGTTCTAATTACCACTGGGGGTTCGACCATGGTGGATGGAGCTTTCTTCCAGATATGGACGTATTGTCAAGTATCTTGAGCGCAATTGAAGGGGAACCCGAATTCACCGGTCACGATGCATACGAGTACTGGCTTTCCGTGCGCATTTGTTCACGTACTTTGAGCACGTCACTTATACTGACTTTTCTTTTGGTTTAGGAGGTGAAACGACTTCGTAAATCCGGGGCCCCGCCCAAGTATTCCTTCATTCCTCTTCAGACACTTGATGACCAAATTTCAATTGGTCGGCTGAACCTCGAGACCCCGATCGTCAATGGCCACCATAAGTATGATTATATCAATGCACCATACCATCAGATCAAAATATCGTTACCTCTCCATCCGTTTCCGGTGATCGCGCACTTTATGAAGAGCTGGCAGATGCTGGACGCAGAATTCCAACAATCTATCAAAGGGCGCCTGAAAGGCTTGCAGAAAATGCTCATCGTTGCCGCTGAGGCAATATGGGAGTGCTGGTGCGCAAAATCGGAGGGCCTCAATGACCCGCACAACTGGACCATCAAGCACGCCGGTCATCAAGACGATGGTCAAGGTAGCGGCGGCGGCAATGACTATGATGACGGCGACGGCGAGGACGACGGCAACGCTGGCGGTCGCGGCGAGGATCATGAAGCTGGTGGTCGTGCACCCCAAAACGCACAACCTGGCCACGGTGCAGATCCCAATCAATTAGGCGGCGTTCTGGCTACTACGGCCGGCCGTACCCTGGTCGACTCACGCGCCATGGATATCATACCCAAGAAAATCAAGGCCATCGTCGCTTGTCCGCCGAGTGGTGATGTTCCACCTATCGCCGGCGGGTTGAAGCGGTCAAGGTCCACAACACCATCAGACTTCTACTGCTCGTGCTGCCCACCAAGCGCGGATGTAGAGGTAGAGGAAAGCGAGGACGAGGACTACAATCCTCTGCCTGAATACGCACCTCAGGGTCAAACTGATATTTCGGTGTGGGCTGCGAGCGTTGAAGATGGCGAAGACTCCGTTCGCGGGCGCGTTAAATCGCAGGCACGTCTGCGAACCTCCGCAAAGCGGGACAGAACCCTCGAGGCGTATGCTCTCGAAAAGGCGCGCTCGCCTCCGCGTGACCCGGACTGGAAGAAATGGGAAGCCGACACACATAGGAAGTGGAACAAGGTACTACGCCCTCTGAAGCGTCGGAAAACTACCAAATGATTTTGTACTCGAACCACTAGCGGCGGATTGTATACACTATATCTACTTCTAATGGTCATCATTGCTTACCTATGGTCCAGTGGACTTGAGCATATATTACATGCTGCCATCGGTAACTCGCAGTTGAGGAGGATCCTTTGATAACGTTACGCAGAGACAAGAGACCTTACGATGGGTCAATAGCGCCACGGTGCAGGGTAAAGCGCAAGTCAACTATAAGTCTCGAGATAATGACTTCTTCGGAACGTTGTTAAGGCTGCGATGGGGTGGTTATGAACGTGAACGTCAAAGACGCCAGAGATACTTGTATTATGAGATCCACCCGAAACGGAGATGCCGACGTGAGCGGATGCCGCAAGGCAATTCCCGAGCCGGGTGTTCGCGAGATGAACTTGCCTTCGCTATGACCATCGACCAGGCCGTCAGCGCCTCAGCTATACGTGATATGTCATGAACACCCGCACATCTCGTCGTCTCATACGCAGCCCAATGAGTAAGTAAACAACAGCTGGTCCTTCTCCCGTTCCTCGCGCTGACCGGGTTGCCGGCTTGTTCGGTCACCTAGAATCCTTTTTGCCGTACACGCTTACTCACGCGCGCTGGCTGATTCATGCGGACGACCCTTTGCACGCCATACCCAGCAATCTATCCGTACCCGCCACTCCCACCTCCGATGATGAGACCTCGCTATAAAAGCCTGTGGGGTTAATCGCGACCAGAACCCAACCGGATCTCTCCTTATCAGCCCTGATCGTCTTACCACCCCGCACCCGTTCAGATGTCCTCGCCAACGCCGAAGCTGTTCCAGGAGATCAAAGTGGGCGATGTGACGCTCAAGCACCGCGTCGCGATGGCGCCGTTGACGCGGTTCCGCGCGGACGTCAACCACGTTCCGCTGGACATCGTCAGGCAGTACTACGAGCAACGAGGCAGCAGCCCAGGTGCGCAGACCTCTTTCCCTATCCATCATTCGACGTCGATCGATTGAACATGTGCGATATGCAGGAACGTTGCTCATTTCCGAAGCCACTTTCATCGCCGCCAAAGCCGGTGGCTACAACAACGTCCCCGGGATCTGGAACGAAGCGCAGATTGAAGCGTGGAAGAAGGCGAGCCCCTCCATCCTCTCTCAATCCGCCTAATCCCGTCAATCCGATTGCTCACCCCGACGTGATTTTCTTGCAGATCACCGATGCGGTACATGCCAAGGGATCCTTCCTCTACCTCCAGCTCTGGGCACTCGGTCGCGCGGCCAGCGGCGACGTGCTCAAGAGCGAAGACCCAAGCTTCGACGTCGTCTCCGCCTCCGACATACCGATCACGGGCTCCAAGTTCACCCCGCGACCGCTGACGACGGAGGAGGTGAAAGAGTACGTGCAGCTGTACGCGACGGCCGCGAGCAACGCGATACATCGTGCAGGGTTTGACGGCGTCGAGATCCATGGTGAGTGGTCCCCTTCGATGTAGAGGCGAGGTGGTTCGGGAGCTCATTTCGGGCGGCGCGCAGGTGCGAACGGGTACCTGATCGACCAGTTCATTCAGGATAAGAGCAACAAGCGCACGGACGAGTACGGCGGCCCGATCGAGAACCGCGCCAAGTTTGCCCTCGAGGTCGTCGACGCGGTGGTCAAGGCCGTCGGCCCCGCCAAGACCGCCATCCGCCTGAGCCCATGGGCCAAGTTCCAGGGTACGTCGAGATAATCTGCCTGCCCCCTCTCGTGGTGCATCAGGCTTATAAAAGGCGATGCGGACAGACATGCGCGAGGACGACCCGATCCCGACGTTCACCTACGTCGTGCAGCAGATCAAGGACCGCCACCCGGACCTGGCCTACATCCACCTCGTCGAGCCGCGCGTCGCGGGCTCGACCGACATCCCCGGCGGTGCTCCCGCGGGCGAGTCGAACGACTTTATACGCGAGATCTGGGCACCGCGGCCGCTCGTCACCGCCGGCGGGTACAACCGCGAGATCGCGCTGAAGGTCGCGGAGGAGAAGGGCGACATCATCGCCTTCGGGAGGCACTTTATCGCGAACGTGAGTCTCTCGTATGCAGCTGTTGGTGGCATGCCGGGGAGGCTGATGATGGTCACCAGCCGGACCTGCCGCTGCGGTTAGAGAAGAACATTCCGCTTCACCCGTACGACCGCTCGACGTTCTATACGGCGGAGAGCCCGGTTGGATACATCGATTTGCCGTTCGCGGATCAGGAGACGGAGACGTTCGTGACTAAACTCTAGACGACCGACGTAGAGAATTCCCCAGCAAAGCTTTAGAGGAATGCTGGAACTGAACATGTAGATTGATCTGATGGTCTATCTATACATATTGATTATTCGTGGAGTTTCTAAATGGATGCATGACGACGCATCGCCGAGGCATGCGGAAGGCTGTCAGATGGTGTGTGTTTTCCGCATTCCGTATCAGAGCCATCGCTACAGCCATCACCGTCATGGGAAACTACAGGCGGAACGGGACGCAGGAGGACGCAGGACCTGGATCCAGCTTTATCGAAATCTTTCCGTTTTGCGCACTCCGGTACCCTATGTACCCCTGTGGCGGGCATTCTGGCTGGAATAAGCTTGAGGATGTCTCGTGTTGTTCGAGCGAGCAGGTTCATCAGACACGATGCGACGAGATCAAACAATTAATCCCCGTTAGCAGCCGTTAGCTCAGCAGCATATGATCGGCGCCTCCCGTGGGGGGGGGGGGGGTACCTTGATTTCAACCGTAGCATTATTAGTGCAGCCGGGGTCATCGGACGCATAAGATTGGCTGGAGAAGGCGGAAATGACACCTACCGGAGCTTGGCTCGATAACATGAAGCTGCTGGGCGACGGCGCCTCTCTCATTCTTCTGGCGGCTGTCTCATAAAATGCTGGTCCCCTCCAGACCGAGAGGTACGCGACGAAGAGAGAGACAGGAGTACCTGTAGCCCCACCCCGATCACTGCCACCACGTGTAACGTCGGTGTCCAGACCGCGCGATTCTCCTCCGTCGTGATCCAGGCTGCATACTGAGACCCCCAGAGAGAGGTGGCGCGTTGGACACCCTGCCACACCATTTGGGCAGGAGGTGGAGGTGCCCCACCTCGACCGGAGGCTGGCTGAGCAAGCCCCTATTCATGTATTCCCAATAAGGCAACTTCTTCGGGCGAAGCAGCCCAGCCCCGTTCCTGGGAGGCGTTGCGTACCTGGAACCAAAAACGGCGCAATCATCAAGGCAATGATCATCGCTACAATCGCTCTTCCATCTTTTCCGCCTGCTTTACGCTGTCGTACCAGGACGACACAATATCCTGCTTGACTGCTCTCCGACGTGTTGCTCGTCGACGGGTTTACGGACATGATACGTAGGCGCCCGTCTGGCGCGGCGGAGGTCGACAGGTGTTTTATTCCCGCCGGTCCTTTCAGCCGCAAGCACCAGGCACCCAACCAGGCACCGCGAACCTTATTTCTCAAGGGTGACGTGCCGCCCGTCACCAGCGTTATAAGGCGGTGACTATCCACACCGAACTGAAACATCCATCCCATTTTCCGCCCTACATACCAGCCCCCCGTCCCCCCCCCGCTCCGCGTAACCGCTACCACTACGAAACCTACCAATCATGCAGGTCCGCACCATCCTCATCGCGTTGGCGGCATTGGTCTCTGCAACGGCGGCGGCCCCTATCGTACGTCCTAAAACGCATCTCGGAATGTTCGTTAGCAGGACGTTGATCCCGCCCCTCCCCCCCCCTTGTTTTTTTCTCACACAGGAGTCTACGGACGCCCTTCGTAGGGATCCTGGTGGCGTCGCAGACTGGAGACGAGAACCCGGAGGCGTCGCCGACTGGCGCAGGGAGCCCGGCGGCGTCGCTGACTGGAAGAAGCGCGAGGCTGCGCCCGCGCCGGGAGGTGTCCCCGATTGGCGCCGGGAGCCCGGCGGCGTCCCCGACTGGAAGCGCGAGGAGCTGGAGGAGGCGCGTCGGGACCCCGGCGGCGTCGCGGACTGGAAACGCGGCGGCGTGGCCGACTGGAGGCGGGAACCCGGCGGCGTCCCGGATTGGCGCAGGGAGCCGGGAGGTGTCGCGGACTGGAAGCGGGCGGAGGAGGAGGCGGAGGAGCGCCGTCGTCACCCGGGAGGTGTCGCGGACTGGCGGCGGGGCGGGGTGGCGGACTGGCGGCGAGGAGGCGTGGCGGACTGGGAGCCCGAGAGCGCGCCCGAGTCGTGAAACCCTCGCATTTCCTTCCTCGGACTTTGGTTTCAGCTGTCGCTCGGCCTGATTCGTCATGTGAGTCTCGTTGACATTGCTGACCGATGTTTACTGGATACTGACGGGAGACGTCTTTGTTGCAGTTCAGGCCTTGTACCATATGTCTCCTTCACCCTGGTGTATCGATCTTACACGTTCCAACGGGTTATCGTTTCGTCCATCGGATTGCATCGGGCGCCTTCAAGCTTATCTTATTTCCTCCATCGTTTTCATCGGCGGCCCACGGTAGAAAGTAAAAATTCGTCTCGGGACCCTGGCTTCCCTCGTACATTAATGTCACGTATCATCTCGACGGGTTAATCGGAGCACGCACTGCACATATCTTCCGCCGACGGACCATCCGAGCGCACGTTCACGTTCCGTCACTTGTCACGGATCTTAACGTGTATCGTTGCATGTGAACGCACAATGTAACATGCATGGCTTGCCGTAGGCTGCAGGCTTCCGAGAAGCGACGGGGACGGTATGGGCGTGTTTCATTAGAAGGACGCCACCGTCACTCTGCCAGGAACGAATGGTGGGCGAGATAACCAGCCTCGAGGATACGGACTCGTATATCGGCTGGCGTGCTCGATCGATATATCCTGATTCGTTGAAGGCGTTTCTCGATACCGACGTGATAGGAACGAGGCGGATGGTTTTCGCTAGAGCCCTCCTGCCAAGTGTGACGGTTTTGGGCCGATGACGACGACGACGTTCGATCGGTTCGTCTCATGATCCGCACGCCATTGGTCGACTTTTCACGAGGATCGGTCTGCCAGCGTAGGGAAAATGTATCTCAGGGTAGGCCCTGATTCGACGCGGATGTCCCAAACCCAATCGTTCAGGTTTTTGTTCACGGCCCGGACCCCGCTGTTCGTTCGGGGCCCATGCCTGATGGAGGAGTCATATGAGTCAATCGACATTTCCTTTGAGATCCATGGACGCACTCAGAAGCGAGTGACGCAACAGCGTTCCAGACATCTACATATCTGGCCTCGTATAGAATCGGCGTTGGCAGTCGCTGCCGCATGGCCGCCCGCGGCCAATGACGAAGGATAGGCCGGAGGGGTGTTGTCAGTCTGCGCGATTAAAGCGTCCTAGCACCTGGCAGACGGAAAGGCAGGAGAACCGATAATCACACACGGACCGTCGAGCTTGGTCGCGGCCGGATCAGAAGAGTAAAGGGAGTTCAGAGCTTGAAGTACCGAGACACGTATGGATCGTGTATGGTCGCAGGAGGATTCGGAGCAGATGGCGTGGTTTACGTGTCTGCTTCAACACATTCGGAGTGGAGTTGAGAGAATGGGAACCAAGCATCTTGTCAGAAGGTAACGATACCATTCACTGCCAGGGTTCCGCATTACAAAATAAGTCTGGATTACTTTTTCTACGGAAATCTGTATTTCATATCAAATGGCTGGTTCAAATGTGATCGTTACATTCAATACAAAGATAGTTTGCACAAGTAATATATACTTATATGGCAGGTGACCTGCCTTATAGGGATATATTATTCCGTTGAGAGTATGTTTGTACTTTATGTCTCAACCACATCTGAACCAGCCATTCTATCTGAAATACGGATTTTTGTAGAAAAAGTAATCCAGACTTCGTTCGTAATGCGAAACCCTGGCAGTGATTGTACGTTTGACGGTCGATCGCCGACTTGGACCGAACTTCCGTGGCCAAGCGCGTCGGCGTTGCCGACCACGACGCGCCCCGCCTTCAATGAGCACGTGTGAACTCGATAAGTATGGCCGGCGTCCGTTTCGAGCGGACCCCATGTCTACCTCCCGTGTCACTGGCGCTCACGTTCACAATCACCTCATCCCAGCGTCATGGACGTCTCCTAACGATGTTCCCAAGGAGGCGAGAGATGCGCTCGAGACTTATAGGAAGAAGGATCCTTCCAAAGGTTCACTCGCGCTCGCGCTCCGCTATGCGATCCGAACTTGATGGGTTCGGCGCATTCGCTGTGCTACAGTCATAGTACGCTTTAAAGCGGTCGGAAATGCTCCGATTATGAAGCAGAACTTCTACCGGATTACCGCCTCCAATCGCTTCCAGGCGGTCATCCAGTTCCTGCGGAGGGAGCTTGGGTGGAAAGCAGGAGATCCTCTCGTCCGTATTTACCACCATCAAGCAGTCGACCCCGCTTCTTACAAACGGCGCTGTCAGCACACGTACATCAATCTCGCATTCTCGCCGTCCCCGGACGACACCGTGGCGAACCTCTTCAAGGTACGCTCATATGACGTAACGAGATTAAGGCCGTTTTTCCGACACCTTTCGCCGCTTCCAGTCTTTCTCGACGGACGGGCATCTTATCGTGAATTATAGGTGGTGTGGGGTCGTAGTGTGAAATATACAGCTTGCTGACGTGCCATTCATAGCACGACGGTCGCATGGGGCTGACATTGCATGATTGCGAGCTGTCCATGAATCGGTCGATGCAAGCTCTGTTCGACGTTCAATCAGGGCTTCTACGACGCTTCCAACTTGTGATTCCAGTGCCCTAGTAATCATACAACGAAGGTGGGTTTACGTAGAACTCTTTCGCGTAGTTCTCGAAGCTGTTTACCTCCACGTCGGGATAGAGCTCCCGCGCATCCAATGCCCCAGCGGCTTTAGCATTTGCGACCGTATTGTCCCCGCGAATATGCATGCTGTACTGGTACTCGTTGTAAGTCCAATCAGAGTACGCCTTGAACTCTACCGCTTTCGGATCCGGAAGAGAGAGAATCTCTTCCTTGACAGCTTTCGCGCGCTTGAGCAGCTCCTCGCCCGACACAGGCACCTTCCTGCTCTCGACGTCTTCGCCCAACACTTGCTGCGCGATCTCCCACCGCTCCTTCTGCGTCCTTTCCTCGCCCCAAACGAATACGTATCGGTTCAACGTGCGCTCGTCCTCGACGATGCGCGCGACGAACTTGCCAACGTCGTCGAGATCGGTGAGCGCGCTCTTCTTGTCCTCGTCCGGGTTGCCATAGAACTCCACGGATAGATCGCTGACAAAGTTGGACTCGGCCGAAGATGGGAAAGGAAGGGCGAACTGCATCCACCACCCGACGTCGATAAAGGTATGTCCGAGCTCGAGGCTTTTGATGTAATCCTGAATCGCATATTTCTGTATCGCGAACTTTCAGGATACGGAAGAAATTGTGAGCGACATCCTCACCAGGTCCGCCATCGCTCGTACCCCGCGCGGCGTGTACGTTCCAAAGTCGCACGGCACAACCCTTGCAGAGGTAATCAAAACGTTAGTCAAGATCGTTGCTGCGCTGCACTTCTGAGACCGACCTTTTGACGCTTGCTGCCTTCGCCGCTTCGAAGAGCCGGTATTGCGTTTCCAAACCCAGCGCAGATACTGCGCTCACTAGGACCTCGGCACCGTCGAGGGCCTTCCTCAGCGTCTCTACGTCGTCACTCCCTGCATCTCCAATGCGGATATGCACGCTCTTGTCCTTGAGAGCGACGACAGCGGATTTAGTGGTGGACGCAGGGCGAGTGATGATGCCCACGTCCTGTACATCCCCGTTACGGTCAAAGATGTGAGATTGACGGAGGAAAGGATATGAGGAGGGGCTCTCACGAAGTGACCACGTTTGAGCAGATTGTTCACAATCCTTGAACCGGTGACACCGGTGCCACCGTACACGAGAGCAAGAGGTTTCGCTACAGGAGAAGGCATGACAGCAGCTGCAAGTCAACCCGCCACTGGTACAGTATTTGTTTACTGAGCCGAGTTCGTTCTTCGACAGCATAGAATATATAGTGATCAGAAGGTCGCGCTGACTAACACAACGTAAGTATTTCGCTTGCGCTACCGAGGTCGCGGGCTGTGCCACAAGCCAAGAGCGTGAGATCGCTTGCGGTAGCGAAACTGTCAAGCGAGTGCCGAGATGTCGATATCAAGTGGTAAGTACGAGCAATACGCCATCAATGTCGTCGAGGTTGAAGAAAAGAATAGAGCGGAAAAAAGAGGACATTACTCTTACATCCACCACCCACCCCGTATGGATAGTGCAGTGAGATTCGCGCCTTCATCATATCAACGACCGGCATGTCTCACACGATATAGTTCATTTATCTGTAAATAAATGCAAGTGAATATAAGAGCCAAGTCGATAGGAAACGATCATTTTGCAATCTTCCGGCGCTTTAGAGGACGCAGTGCGCGTTCCCACTTTCCACTCGTGTCGGCTTCCCATTTCGTCCAATCCGGATCATGCGGAGGTGAGCGCGATTTCTCCTGGCTATACGCCACGAGAGTTCTATCCCGCTTCGGCAAAGACCGCTGAACGGCCGGCAGTTGATCGTGCTCGCGAAGGGAGTCGTCTCCGTCTTCGATACCCGCGGCCCAGCTTGGAATATCGGCCTGAGTATGGGGTGCGTAATCAGGAAGAGGGTTATAGTCTTCGTCTTCGCTTTCTTCCAAGTCCTCGCTCGGCGGGCAGCAGGAGCAGTCTGATTCCGTCATTGGGCTCGACATCTCCATGCCTGCTCGCATCCTCAACGGAGAAGCAGCGATAGCTTTCATTTTCCGAGGAATCTTGTCGCCGGTGCGCGAGTCGACGAGAGTACGGCCAGCCAGCATCAGCACGAGGTTTGTGCTTTGGTGTAGAGTTCCCACCGCGAGGGGTAAGTCTTCGCTGGCGCCATGTCCTCCACCCTCGCGAGATTTTGCACCGTTTCGGGTTTCACGATCGGCTGTTTCACAGTCTCCTCCTTCGCTCCCGGTTCCATCGCCATCGCCGTCACCGTTGGCACCTTCGTCATCATCGTCGCCGTCGTCACCACCGTCACCGCAATCGTCGTCGTTATCGTCGTCACCCCACATTTCTGGAATCGCAATGTCCGGCGACCGGTCGACCCAGATTTCCCATATCTGCACAGCAGTATCAATCCGAATTTTTTGTGCTCGCCTCACAGACGCTGAGATGGCAGTTTGCTGTCCTCGGGTGAGCTTCTGCCAATTCTTCATGAAGTGCGCGATGACAGGGAAGGGGTGAATAGGTAGTGAGGACGTGACCTCTTCGTAGGGTGGTTGAATGGCTTGGTAGGTCATGAGTGCAGATTCCTGGGAGTCCGGATCGGGAGGACCATAGCGAATAATCGGTTTGTTGTCTCCGAGAAACAGGAGAGGTTGGAAGAAATAAACAGGCGGTTTCCCCTTCTTGCGAAGCTTTTCAACTGACTACGGCGGTGGAAATATGAGTATGTCAGAAGTTCATACGCATAAGGAGACGCGTACTTTTAGCCAGTAATCGTATGAAGTTTCGGTTTGTCCGGGAGAGAACCCTTCCAGGATTTTGCTCAGGACGGTACCAGACGGAAGGAAGCTCCATCCTCCATGATCGAAGTCGGCATGCCAGTTAGAACAGACTGACACCTGTGAGTGAGACTAAATACAATCAATCAGGCTGACGCACGATATATCTGGTTCCAGCGTGTGTCGTGACTGAAAGTATTCGCCGGTATTCTCCACGCGCGCTCCAGCATCCGTAGATTCTTTGCATAACGTTTAGCAGGAGAGCTCGTCATGATCCCTGCGAGGTACTCACGTCGAGGCGTTCGGAACGGGGTATGATATGGCAGAGATTGATAACCGATTTAGGTGGCTTGTCCAAGCAAATGGCACATCGGTGAGCGGCCTCTTTCCTGACATGTTTAGGGTATGTCATCTTGAGGAAGTATGACCTCTTGTCCTTAGCGCTAACGTTTCCCTTCGGAGTCGCCTGCGGAAGAGCGACGGAATGACTGTGCGGAGGAGTAACGAAGGCTTCTGGACAATATTCAGCGTCGTTAGGGTCGTCTCTCGAGCTCCCTTCCTCACTTGGTTCTTCTTTCGAGCTCGGTTTATGTTCTACAGGAGAATATGGCAGGCAAGGTTTACACCTCTCTCGAGCGCTGCGACGAGGGGCAGAGCTTCCGGGATCGTCTGCGGCGGGTTTGAGGGACCGGCTTGGGCACTGTTGGTACCTGAATGGTCTCTTGAAACCCAATAAACAGTAGTCGAGCCTCGGGTTGAACCGGATGGACCGGCTTGTGAGCGTGGAGCAACAGAGTCTGAGAATAAGGACAAGTAAGCAAATTGTTGATGCTCCGAATCAAGCTCGACAAACCTTTTGGCCTCGTTGAGAGGTCGGCTGCGATTGAGTGAGACGATGGACAAGGGAAGACAGAGCCGCTTTAGATGAGCTGTGATCGGAATCGGCGCGTGAGGGTCCTTTCACTTTCCCGTTACAAAGGTGACTGGCGTCTGAGAAGAATTAGCTCTCGTATCGAGAACGTCGAACATCGACAGACATTTCTATGACTCTTGAGAGGAGACCTGAGAGTAGGGAGTACGGCGTTCAGATTCGGCAGAATCAATTCCTTAGCCTTTCCCTAGACCTCGCGAGAAGACATGGTCGAACGTCAGGTAGAGGGTACGAGGACGACCAGAGAGCGCGCACTCACTCAATATCTACGATTGATCCCTTCCATATGGTCTCACGATCCGTGCGAGGGAGGTTAACGGTGGCTCAGGTAGTGGCGGAGTGTGGTCAACCACAACGGCTCGGGAACTCGCACGGTCTTCTTCTCGCGCTCTCGCCGCTTTGGCATGTGCGACCGTCGTGTCCCCGTGAATATATATGTCGTAGTCGTTGTCGTTGTGAGTCCAATGAGCGCCACGTCTTGTTATCTGCCACGTTCGGACCTGCAATAGAGAATATATTTTCCTTAGGGAACACTATCTCAACACTATCTCAATGTCATAAGAGCAAAGGAAGCATACGGTCACAATTGCGAGTGTACCGATGAGAGCGTGTAATATATGCTCAAGTCCGCCCGACCATAAGTAAACAATAATGTCCATTAGAAGTAGATACAGTGCATATAGTCCGCCAGTAGGGCCAAGCACAAAATCATTTAACAATCTTCCGACGCTTCAAAGGCCGCAGTACCTTGTTCCACTTCCTACGCGTGTCGGCTTCCCATTTCGTCCAGTCCGGGTCATGCGGAGGCGAGCGCGCCTTTTCGAGAGCGTACGCCTCGAGGGTACTGTCCCGCTTTGAGGACGTTCGTAGACGTGCCTGCGATCTAACGCGCCCGCGAACGGAGTCTTCGTCATCTTCAACGCTCGCAGCCCACACCGAAATATCAGTCTGGACCTGAGGTGCGTATTCAGGAAGAGGATTATAGTCCTCGTCCTCGCTTTCCTCTACCTCTACATCCGCGCTCGGTGGGCAGCACGAGCAGTAGAAGTCCGATGGTGTTTCGGCCCTCGACGGCTTCAACCCGCCGGCAATAGGTGGAACATCACCACTTGGCGCGCAAGCGACGATGGCCTTGATTTTTTTGGGTATGTTATCCATGGCGCGTGAGTCAACCAGGGTAGGGCCAGCCGTAGTAGCCAAGGCACCGCCGAGCTGATTGGGATCTGCACCGTGTCCAGGTTGTGCCGAAGGTCCAGCGTCGTTTTGTGGTGCACGACCGCCAGCCTCACGGTCCTCGCCGCGACCGCCAGCGTTGGCATCGTTATCGACGTCGTCCTCGCCATCGCCGTCACCATAGTCATTGCCGCCGCCGCTACCTGGATCGTCGTCTTGATGATCGGCGTCCTTGATGGTCCAATTGTGCGGGTCGTCGAGGCCCTCCGATTTTCGGCACCAGCACTCCCATATTGCCTTAGCGGCAATGATGAGCATTTCCTGCACGGCTGTCAGGCGGCCTTTGATGGACATTTGACGCTCTGCGGTGAGCATCTGCCAACTCTTCATGAAGTGCGCGATCACCGGAAACGGATGGAGAGGTAACGATATTGTAATCTCATCGTATGGTGCATTGATATAATCATATTTGTGGTGACCGTCGACGATTGGGTTTGCGAGGTTCAGACGACCAATGGAGATTCGATCATCGAGTGTCTGAAGAGGAATGAAGAAATATTCGGGAGGGGTACCGAGCTGACGAAGTCGTTGCACCTCCTAGACCATCGATGACTATCAGTGACATGCTCAAAGGGCATCAGCGAATACGCACTGAAATCCAATACTTGTACGTATCTTGACCGGTGAATTTAGGGTTCCCATTGATACCTTTGAGGATACCTGACAGCACGTGGGAATCTGGAAGGAAGCTCCACCCGCCATGGTCGAACCCCCAGTGGTAATTAGAACACACTAGGCAGAGTGAGTGACCGCGCGTTGAATTGAAGGGCTCGTAACATACGGTATATCTGGGCCCAGCGGGTATCCTGGTTGAAGCTGCCTTGGGGCAGCTGCCAAGCTCGTTCAAGCATTTGGAGGTTCTGCGGGACGTGATAAGTGGTGAGTACTGGGGCGCAATGCGATGTCCGAGCGTGACCCACATTGGCATGTTCTGCACGCGGGATGATATGGCAGAGCTGTATGGTACCATTCGGCACTTTATCCAAGTGGAGAGCGCATCGGTGTGCGGCGTCCTCGCCGACGTGCGCGGCGTAGTTCATCTTGAGGTAAGGCGGTCTGGCGGACTTGCCGCTGACGTTTCCCTTCGGTGTCGCCTTTTCCAGTACAACGGAACGGCTCTGCGGAGGAGTAACGAAGGCTTCTGGACGATATTCAGCGTCGTGAGGGTCGCCTGTTGACCTCCTTTCCTCGCTTGATTCTTCTTTCGCGTTCTGTTGAGGATCCACAGGCGAATACGGGAGGCAAGGTTTACGCTTCGATCGAGTGCTGCGACGAGGGGCGGAGCTTTCGGGAACGGACGGTGGCGGATTCGAGGGACCGGATTGGGCACTGTTCGCCCCTGAAGGGTTCACCGACGAAGAAAATGCAGTGGTAGATACACGAGCTGAACCTGATGGACCGGCTTGTGAGCGTGGATCGACAAGCTCTGAGGATGAAGGTGAGTACGCAAATCGTTGAGGCTCCGAATCGAACTCGACCAACCTTTTGGCCCCGGTTCAAAGCTTGGTTGGGATTGTGTAAGACGATATGCAAGTGAAGGACGAGCCGGTTTAGACGGGCTGTGATTTGAAGCGGCGCGTGGAGGTGCCTTCCCCTTCCCCTTCTTGTCACGAGGGGGAGTGGCGTCTATGAACGATCAGCTCTCGAATCCGAGTCGTAAACGGCGTTCACTGACAGACCTTTCTGTGAGTCTTGAGAGAGGGTGCGAGAGACGGGAGTACGACGCTCAGGTTCAGCAGTGTCGACCGCAAGACCAGACGGGTTGCGATCAGGGTCAGGACGAGACGATTTCTTGGCCTTTCCCTTAGTGTTGCGAGAAGGCATGGTTGGAACGTCAGACAGGGTGTACGAGGATTGAACAGAGAGCGGGCACTCACTCAATATATATAATTGGTCCTTTTTATGTGGCTTCAAGATGCGGACGAGGTAGGCCAACGGTGGCTCGGGTAGTGGCGATCGTGGTCAACCACAAAGGCTCGGAAATTCGCACGGTCTTCTTCTCGGCGTGGTCACAGCGCCCCCGATCACAGCAGTGCTCACTGATCTCAGGCCGCAGCTGTGGGCTCTCGGTGACTCGTACCAAGGGAAGATTGAGTGGCTTGAAGGTCCGTATAGCTTGTTAATATTTATCCGCGTTAGTTTGTGAGGGTCTCGAATCTCAACGCAATTTATGGTTGACGTACTCATGTTCAGAGCCTGCCAGTCATCCTGTAATGCTTCAGCTTCTACAGATCAGCTAGTTGTCGAATTGCGCGTGCTATTCATCCACGGTTATATGCATGTAATGAACGTCGGACAGAGCATGTGGGCGCAGATTGATTCGTTCACGCACCAGGTCACAAAAGGGTGTCAACGTCTAACCCGTCTCTCCCAGTTTTGCGCGAGAGCTCAACGAGAACGGGCCGCATGCGCGCATTAATCAGTGGCCACAACATTTTCACTTCACAACAATTCGGAGCGGAAACCCTGAGAAATCACGCAATCGAAGAAGGCCGTAAGGTGGGTTCCACAACATCTGCTAGATCGAACTCGTGGCTATAGCCAATGTTCTAGAAATCGTAGCGAGAGGACACAGTCGGACGATCACCCTACACGCCTTGTGAGCGGCTCTCGTTTAGTGCCATGATCCCAGTTTGCTGTTCACTAATAGCTGCTCGTGTTCTATACCACGTTGGCGATGGTGTTCTGCGGGAGAATTGTGCCCCTGCTCGTTGTTAGAAGCGTCAGCCTCGGGAGACGCCTCAGATGTTTGGTGGCGGTCCGCGTCGGTTTGCGATTTACTACCGTCCACATCTCGCCCGGCTCTGTCACGTAGACGTCGACGAATGTCAGTCAGGATGCTACCGTATGAAATCAGAGTAAGATGTTTTATTCGTACTGTATTTCAGAGATATGTCAGCGCAGGAGCGTAATTGAAAGTGTCAACGTCTACGATTCATGAAAGCAACTATCCTACGGTCTTCCGCCGCTTCGTAGGACGAAGAGCGGTCTCCCATTTACAATGCGTATCAGCCTCCCATTTCGTCCAATCAGGATCATGCGGGGGAGAACGCGCTCTTTCTTCCATGTACTGGGCGAGCTCCTTGTCCCATTTCGGTGAAGTCCTCGGAGGGGCTGGTGGTTTGCCTCGACTCCGAAGAAACTCGTCTCCCTCTTTGATTTGAATAGTCCATCCATCGATATCAATCCAGACTCGTGGAGCGAGTTCTGGCAGAGGGTTGTAGTCGTTGTCATCGCTCTCATCGGATTTCGAGCCGATGCATAAAGAATCATCGCCTCGTTGATCCAACCACGGTTCAACGCTCGAGGTCGCCGAGATGTCACTGTTATGACCACTACAGTCCGCTTATGAGCGAATAAAGATCGTAGGTTTGTGCAACACGAACCTGGAATCGAGATAGGAGTCCGCCAGTGTGGGACAGGTGGTGGTCATCATGGAATCGTTGAGACCACTCCCGTTGGGCTGAGGTCGACTATCAGCGTTCCCTTGATCATCGCCAGTGTCACGTTTTCTTCGAGACTTCTTGGAATTTCTGCTTGATTCACGCGTATCCTTCTCATGACTCCCATCGCCTGACCCGCCACCGTCGTCGTTGTCAGCGCCGCCGCCACCGCCACCTGGACCCACTCCTGCGCCACTGTTCGCGGGTGGGCGGGGGCATTTACGCCATGCTTTCCATATCTTCTCGGCCATCTCAATCCGATTCCTGTGATCCGGATCCAGGAGTCGCTTCACGGTCTTTTTCTCGTCCAGGGTGAGCATCGACCATGCGGTATTGAAGTGAGCGATAAGAGGGAAGGGATGCATAGGAAGGTCAATGGCTACGTCCTTGTAGGGCGGCATGATAGGGTCGTATACCAGGTGCTCCGCTTTACCTTCCCCTGCGCTTTGTCCGCTGTGTCGGAAGATGGGCCGCTTGTCAATGAGCATCCTCAGCGGAATCAAGCAATACTCGGGGGGAACGGGCTGATTGGACTGCAATCGCTAAAATGCCACAGAAATGTGAGTAACCTCGTCTATAACAAACATCGATACTTACTGAACGCCAATCCAAGTACGAGGATCTATTTTCTCTTTTTCGTGGTAAGTCAATCTCAGCGTAGATGTCGTCGAGGAAGTCCGTGCTTGGAAGTATGCTCCAGCCGCCTTTGTCAAATTCATAGTGCCAATTGCAGCAGACTTCGAGAACGAATTGAACAGTTGGCAAGTCAGAATAATACCACAGGACGTACGATATATTTGGGCCCAACGGGTGTCCTGGTTGTACTCTCCCTCGGTATACCGCCACGCGGCTTCCATATCACGCAGGAGCTATCAACGAAATTGGTCAGTGTATGCGTACGACATAGGATCAACGACTGTGGCGTACATCGGAACCTCCAAATTTACGCGGGAGGATATGGCATAATTGGATGGTGCGTGGTGACACCTTGTCCAAGCAGACCGCGCAGCGTTCGTCCGCATCAGGACCTACATGTTGCGCATAGGCCCTTTTCATCCGCGCAACATTTCTACTTATCATACTGTCAACGTTTCCAATCGGTGTCGCGTTCACGTCCTCCTCGTGAGGGTGTTGAGGTTGAGGTGTGATCGGAGCAGCTGATCGCGTAGGAAATCTAGTTCCTGTTGGGTCGTAGTCACGGTCTTGCCGGCGGTTATCAGGCGTAGGAGTACCCTCCTCTGCTAGGCTTTGGAGAGGTTTGTCAGCGATGCGAACGCTCCGACGAGCGACTGATTCTCCGGGTTGAGACGGTGGTGAGGGCAACGAATCGGCTTGAGACTGTTCGGCACGTAAAGCTCGCGTTTGGGAGCGAGTTTTACCGAGGGAAAGATCGGAGGCTTCGGAGACTGTAGTACGGGCGCGACGAGAAGGACGTTTGCCACGGGACCGCGATGCCCCCTGCGGCTGCGACTTTCCGCGCGCCATGAGAGGCAATCAGTGGGTGTATGGAGCCGCTACTAAGAGGCATGGCTCACTTAGGAGATGCAAGTTTTAATATCTGAAACGGGAGAGTGGCTTCGAGTATGTACGCCCACTGTGTAACTGTTCCAACGGTGGCTCAGGGTGGCCCAGCTCTCGGACGAACGTGGTCAACAACAAAGGCTGGGAAACTCGCACGGTTCTGGTTTGGACCAGCCACAGCCCACTACTGATCACATTGATCGTTGACATTGACGCGTGCGCTCGCCATTCTTCAAGTACGGCATGTTCTCGGCTGGCCCGACTTGCATAGGGAGATGTGGAGTTGCACGAAAGTCGGCCGTATCGGCGGACTAACTACCGACCACATGAGTTTGAGATTGTGATCGCTTGTGAGGTCCAGACATGATGAACGTCTGTGTTTAGGGCGTTCTTGTGGCACGAAATAGCATGGACAACACAATGCAGATGCGCAGCAATTGGTTTCCAGTTACCACAGATCGAAAGACACCCACGCCGTGCTGCGCGAGTTGAAAGGAACGCATATCCGCAGTTCCATGTACCGATCGAGTAAAGGTTTCTCCAGTCCACCGAGGTATGATATGCATAGCCCAGGCTGCCTGGTACTGCGCGCTGACTCAGATAATCATCAGCGAATGCCCTCGTCCCTGAATGATCACCGCTTTCAGTCCGGTTCTGCATATGCGTGAAACACTGAAATATGAACATGATTGTTCGCATGATATACATATATGACCCAGCCCAACATTAAACATTCAGTAGCCATCATCGTACAGAGATGGTGGGCTGGCATAGAACCCTTTAGCGAATTCCTCGAAGCTCGTCACCTCCACATCGGGGTACAGCTCCCGTGCGTCCAGTGCCCCAGCGGCCTTCGCGTTCGCAACCGTGTTGTCCCCGCGAATATGGATGCTGTACTGGTACTCAGTAAAGGACTGATAGACGTGCGTCGTAAAATCCGCCGCCTTCGGGTCGGGAAGCGCAAGGATTTTTTCCTTGGCCTCTTTGGCACGCCTAAGCAAGTCCTCGCCCGTCATGCGCGTCTTCCTGCTCTCAAAATCTTCGCCCGCCGCGCGCTGTGCAATGGCCCAGCACTCTGCCTCCGTCCGCTCCTCGCCCCAGACGAACACGTATTGGTTCAACGTGCACTCGTCCTCGACGATCCGCGCGACGAACTTGCCGATGCCGTTCAGGTCCGTGATCGCGTTCTTCTTGTCGCCTTCGCCGCAGAACTCGAGGGAGAGGCCCGCGACAAAGTCTGATTTGACCGAAGAAGGGAACGGCACGGAGAGTTGCATCCACCAACCGACATCAATGAAGGTGTGACCGAGGCCGAGGATTTTGATGTGATCCCTGATGTCATATTTCTGGAGTAATACGGCGTGATATATCGCTTCAGTGCGTGTCATGATCAGCTAGGCATTCGACGCACCAAGTCCGCCATGGCGCGCACCCCGCGCGGCGTGTACGTTCCGAAATCACACGGAACCACCCTGAGCGAAATCGTGAGCGTCATCCAGAGAATCAGCAGCGGAAGAGCAAAGGCTTACCGCTCCACACCTGCCGCCTTAGCAGCATCGAAAAGACGGAATTGCGTATCCAGTCCTCTCGCGGACACCGCGCTGATGAGGACCGAAGCCCCGCTCAACGCCTTCGCAAGCGCTCCAACATCGTCCTTCTCGGCGTCGCCGATGCGGATATGCACGCCTTTCTCCTTGAGCCCGAGCACTGCAGGTTTGGAGGCAGACACCGGGCGTGTTATTATGCCGACGTCCTGGGGAGAGTCGTCCGTGATGAATACGATCGAGCGAGAGTAATGAACCTAGACTCACGAAGTGTCCCCGTTCAAGTAGGGCGGCAACAATGGAGGATCCAGTGGTGCCGGTCCCGCCGTACACGAGTGCTAGAGGTTTGGAGGTTGACATTGTGATTGTTGGCTGGTGGAATGACAAGCTCAGACGGAGATCGACACCTTATATCCTGATACGTTGTAGCACGTCGTAAGTGATAGAAGATGATCAAAAGTTTGGCTGAATAAAGCAGTTTCGCAGTTCCGCTTATGCTACCGACGTCGTATTGTTGCGCCACCAGGTCAGAGCGCGAGTCGCTTGTGGTAGCGAAATCTTCGAAGGCGCAGTTTCGAGTGGGTTGCACTTGCTAAGCGCATAGTACACGATTAGTAGAAGGAATCCCGTGGCCGCCTGGCAGCCAGAGAGACGACACCAGGAAGCCGCAGGAGGATGTGGAATTGGCAGAGGACAATCTATACTCACCCGTATCAAATCTCCAGTACGATAAGCGCCCGTCATGCAACTCGTAATAAGCGCCCGAAAGCCCGCTGGGTCGTTGAAGTCCTTCATCGCCTGTCAGTACCTTCGCTTACCTTTGCACAGCCGACAATGTCTATGCTACATTGGCGATGATATCAAGTCGATACCTTTGATGCACGCTCTACAACGCAATAATCATACCATGTTGGCATCTCGTGTCCCGTTGAGCCGACGCACGGCGCTCTCGGAGCATAGAGCACCATGAGGTGTAGGGCCTCGAACATCGGTTAATTTGTTGCCTCGGGAGGATCTCTTGCTTCGATCACAAGCTAAAAACAGACTTGTGTATGTGGCCTGTGTGGGGCCGCTCGAATGTATGTGTACTTGCTCACATCTCGATCATGCACTGCTCTAACGATGCATTCAGATGTTGGCGCATTCACGGCATCTAGCTGACGCTATTGTCGTCCACATGAAACCAGAGGATGAGATCTTGGCTGTACATACCATCGCATCCTCTTCCACCCGCATCGACAACGAAGCATGCTTTACTCTCGAGAACCCTCACCACGCTTGGGAATATTACGAAAGCCCTATTAGGCATGGCATCACGCAAAAGTATATAACACCCAAAACCTAGCTGATCATGTCCTCAGTGATAATCTCCGCAACCAACATGGCCCCCACCGAGCAGAAAGCCCTCGTCCTTGAAGCGGTCAAGTCGCCCTTCGTTGTTCAGACCAAGCCCGTCTCCGAGCCCGGATCTGGCCAGCTCATCGTTCGCGTCGAAGCCTCCGCGCTCAACCCCGGAGACTGGAAGGTGCAAGAGTTCGGAGCGCCCTGGATCCCTCTGCCCACGATCCTCGGTCTTGATGGCGCCGGCGTCATCGAAGAAACAGGCGAGAGGGTAGAGAGCGTCAAGCCAGGCGATTGAGTGTTAGTGAATCGTACCCTTCCTCCACACGTCCGCTTCATACTGATTTTCGGGATCTCTCAGAATGTTCTACGGTCTTGTCTCCCCGGGAGCATCGTCTTTCCAGCAGTATCCTCTCGTTCCCGAAGGGCTCGTCGTCAAGATCCCCTCTAATATCAATTTCGACGAGGCTGCCTCCATCCCTCTTGGCCTTGCCACGTCGTTCACCGGCCTTTACGCTCCAAAGTATGATCGGCAGGGTGGCGGTGCTGGCTTGACACCCTTCTACGAGGAAGGAGGTGCTGCCAAATACGTAGGAAAACCATTCGTGCTGTTCGGAGGCGCCACGTCCATGGGACAGTACGGTAAGCGTCTACCCCGTGCGCCGCGTACGGACTTGCCGCTGACTCAATCCCCATCCCTCCAGCTATCCAGTTCGCTCGGCTCTCCGGGTTCTCGCCAATCATCGTCACTGCGTCCGAGCACAACACCGATCTGCTGCTCTCATTGGGCGCGACGCACGTCCTCCCGCGCTCACTTCCGCTGTCCTCGTTCGCCTCGGAGGTCGCGAAGATCACCACAGCTCCCATCGAAATTGTATTCGAAGCTACTGCTCTCCCAGAACTGCAGAGGACAGGACTTGACCTAGTTGCTCCGAACGGCACCCTCGTCCTTCTCTCACCCCCCACGGAAGAAGTGCGCGAGAGTGCAGGGAGCAAGCATATCGCACATGTGTTCGGTGCTTTCACCCACCCGATCAACCAACCACTGGCTCGCGGAGTCGCTGAACACTTCCCCCGATACCTGGAAGAGGGGTTTATCAAGGTAAGTTCGCTGCCTCTTCGCAATACTCGTAGTCACTGATGTGTCTTCAGCCCAATCGAGTGCGCGTCTTGCCCAATGGTTTGGCAGGCGTTGAGGCTGGCTTGGAGCTGCTTCGAACGGGGAAAGTCAGCGGTCAGAAGTTGGTCGTGCGGCCACAGGAGACGTCCTGAATATTTGGCCCTGATGAATGTGAATCGTATATGCTCTCCCACAAATCAATGTCATGCTTTCGAACTTGTGCATATGTACATCGGTTCTTGCGGATAACGAGCAGATGAGTAGGTTAGGATGATCATTCGAAGGCACGATGTGTTCCCTGTCGACGAGACTCGGCCTCTTAGGTTAGGGTTTCCGCCTGTAAGACGCGGGGGGTCACTCCGACGCCTTTCTCGAGCGCGTTCAGTTACGCTCCTATGCAGTCCTCGGGCAACGACGCTCACAGCCTTGCCATACCATCGTCATGGACATCTCCCGGTGACGTCCCGAAAGAGGCGCTCGATGCTCTCGAAACCTACAAGAAGAAGGACCCATCCAAAGGTTCGGCCTGTTCAACTGCCAGGCGCGTGTTGCGAGGCTCACGAACCGATGCTACGTAGTGATCGTACGGTTCAAGGCGGTCGGGAACGCGCCGATCATGAAACAGAACTTCTACAAGATCACGGCTTCGAATCGCTTTCAGGCCGTTATCCAGTTCTTGAGGAAGGAGCTAGGGTGGAAAGCGGGCGACCCTCTGGTACGACACCCCTCGTTCCAGCTACCGAGTATCTCATACGTTGGTTGCTACAGTTTACGTATATCAACCTCGCATTCTCGCCTGCACCTGACGATACCGTTTCGAACCTGTTCAAGGTAATTCGAGCCCCTCGCCTTCCTTCACAATCCTCCGAACTGATAAACCTCTATCTCAGTCTTTCTCGACGGACGGACATCTCATTGTAAATTACAGGTGCGCTCTGGGTCTTCGACGGATGCCGACGTTGTTTGACTTTCCATCCTCCTCGCAGTACCACGGCCGCATGGGGCTAATTCATCTTTGTGTACCGCAACTCATCTACAATTCACGTCCGAAAGCCATCACGACTCGTCCGGAAGCTCTCCATGCGCAAGCCGAAAGCGCACCGTCGACGACCAACGAATAAGTCCCCGACGTTCTCCCTCATCTAAACGAAATACGTATTGATTCCCCGGTGGATCCCTCACGGCACGACCGCGAAGTTACCCTAAGCTATCCAGGCTAAGGACACGTGCAAGTCGTCACCCTCCTTTCATCTATCCGAGGCTGACTGGGCAGGCGAGACCGGCGCGCTTCTACTCGGTAACTGAGCGGCTTGCGCTCGCTCAACAACCTCGTGTGCTGCCGGTTTGACATGCCATCAAACGCTCACCCATTCTGAGAGTTGCTGAACGTTACGCTCTCTTATGACGAAGTTCTCCTTGAATGCGAAAGCTCCTTGCATGCGTGCAGGGGAAGTCTGGAGGTGCTTCATGTCAAGTAGGATATTCACTCCAGGTTCGGAACGCAAATGAGCCACATACACGTCCTCCCGCTCCTGTACTCCAGTGCGTAAGTGAGGACTATTGCACTCGGGCTGAGCGGCTGGAGAGTGCCCTATAGAGCGCCGCGGCAAAAGCGGCAAGCGCGTGCTCTGGTAAACCCAAGGCACATGATTGGATGGCTTATGTCATACCCCGGATCATCCCACGCCGGTCACCTCCAGTCTCGCGTGAAATCGGGGGCCAGGCGACGAACAAGCTCGCCTCTCTCAACATCCCTCCCGTCCTTCGTCCTCGTCGACGCCATGTCCTTCGCCGCCGCTGTCGCCCGCAGCTCGCTCAAAATCAGGCCTACTGGCGCCCGCGCGTTTGCTTCGTCCGCGACGAGGCGCCAGGCGGTGCCGACGGAGAAACCGGTGCTCAAGAAACAATTCAAGATCTACCGTTGGGTATGTGTAGGATCGTTGCTTCCTTCAGTTGCCGCTCGGTTGAGCTTTGAGCGCGAAAGTGAGAGTTGAGTGGAATGATGCTGACGCGGTGTCATGATTAGGACCCTGAGGAGCCCGCCAAGAAGCCGACCCTGCAGACCTACGAGGTCGACTTGAACCAGTGTGGGCCTATGGTACGCCTAGCTATTTTGGATTAGAAGCGCCCACGTTCAACTCCTTCCAGATTCTCGACGCTCTGATCAAGATCAAGAACGAGGTCGACCCTACACTCACTTTCCGTCGCTCTTGTCGCGAGGGTATCTGCGGCTCCTGCGCCATGAACATTGATGGCCAGAACACGCTTGCGTGTCTCTGCCGTATCGACCGCAACGAGAAGAAGGACACCAAGATTTACCCCTTGCCTCACAGTACGTTATCAGCCCCTAAACGCCCGCGCATAGAAGCCCCTGACACCTTGGTCGTATCGTCAGTGTACATCGTCAAGGACCTCGTACCCGACCTTTCCCTCTTCTACAAGCAGTACAAGTCTATTCAACCCTACCTGCAGAACGACAACCCGCCCGAAAAGGGCGAGTACCTGCAGAGCCAGGAGGACAGGCGAAAGGTGCGTTTCATCGCGTCTTCGATATTATTTCGTCAATTAACCTCCTGTCGCTCCTTGTCTAGCTTGACGGCCTTTACGAGTGCATCCTCTGCGCCTGCTGCTCGACTTCTTGCCCGTCCTACTGGTGGAACCAGGACGAGTACCTCGGCCCGGCCGCGCTCATGCAGGCCTACCGCTGGATCGCCGACTCTCGTGACTCGTACACGAAGCAGCGTCTGGAGAAGTTCCAGAACGAGCTCAGCCTGTACCGTTGCCACACGATCTTCAACTGTGCGTCATTTTGTCCATACCGAGGGCCGAGAGCTGGGGTTCCTAATTGGATTCTCTCCCTTTAGGCGCACGAACATGCCCCAAGGGTTTGAACCCGGCAGCGGCTATCGCGAAGATCAAGCTCGAGCTTGCGGCCGACTAAAGCGTTTCTGAGGATGCTGTCTGACTAATACTCGCAGTTAGAAGTCTTTGTAATGCTATAAGGGTGTCAATTCATTCACTATCGCCATCCTATGCACCCACCAGCAAGATTGTCATAGACAGCCGCTGTTTGTGCGTGGAAATGCGTATGATGGCCCACCCCGTTCCTTCCAGAACATGCTTGGTGCTTCATCACTTGCTCTTACCTCCCACAGTAAACTTCTGTATCAAATCATCCTCGGCTATTGACTGATCGACGTACCCCGCAAGGGATTTGGGGGAATAGAAGGTGGCTCCATCGTACCCGCGCAACGCTGTGTCGTTCATCAAGCGCGTATGCAGATGCGGGTGCGGATTTGGACGGGATTAGAAAGGTTCGCGGCTAGCTCACGTTGCCCAAACGGCACCTTGGCTCGTTGCTCGTTACACAGGCTCGCGCCCGCCGGTCTATGATAATCAGCCTAGTGGTCCCGGTGATTGATCTGCACAACGCAGCCCGTTCTACCCCCAATGATGCGACAGCGGTTTATATATATATCGCCCGCCGAGGCACCACAACCACAAAAATTGTGCTGCAGGCTGTAACTCGTTGAACACGGTGTGATGATAGAGCTATCCTGAGCCGTGGCACGTTCAGTCGCATGCTGGAGGCTGCCGAACCTCATGTATCTTGAAACCTCTCAAGCTGTGCGCGCTGGATGGACACAATCAGGTTAAATCTGGCCTCATCAGCCGCCGACATCTGTGCAACTGGAAATGAAAAGATCTGCTGGTTGAAAGTTGATCACGACTGCGGGGCTGTTACGAGTTCTCGCCGCTCGAGAGATATAAGTCCCGCCTGCCGTGCTGTCAAGAGCACAACCTCCTTCCGCATGCCAAACGATAAAGAATCAGCTAGCACTGCTCCAACGGAAGACGGCACGTCCCTCCCCCATTCTTCGCTCTGGGCTGAAACTCATTCACTTCATATCCTTTGCAGCAACTGCGCAACTTACTATCGAGCTGGGAAGATCCCCCCACACGCACGTTGTGTCACTTTTAAAACTGAACACTGGATGTCTTTGCGAATGCGCCGCAGGTAAGCTTCTTCCATAATCATAGGATGGCATACTGGATTGCTCTTCATTATGCAACAGTGCCGGTGCCGACGCCTACAGGCCGTTTTGCGGAGGCTCTCCGACTTCATCAACGATTTTGTCAACAGACCGACTTTGACGCTGCCCAGGAGAGCATAGAGATTTACAGATCGCTTTTAAAAGAAGCGGGACTTTATCTGAACGGAACGACCACTCTCAATCCTTCAGAAAACCAATACACAGCGGCATCGCATACACAGCGGAGGTATCATATTCTTATTCAACTCGCGCATGTGTTCCAGCATAGGTTTCTCACCGTCAATAATGCTGTTGATCTTGATTTTGCCGTTGAATACGGTCGAGAGGCATATCAACTCTGCATCACGGGAGAACGGGCTTGTCCGACAGTATTGGCGTTGTACGCGGGAATTTTGGCAACTCATGCCACCACTAGCTCTGACTCAGGAGAGATACTTGCGGCTGAATCAATATGTCGGTACATCATCCCGAACTACCCCAAGGAACATCCCTTAAAGCCTACGGCACTTCGTAATCTTGGGTGGATTCTTTATTGTCGCTATGAAGCCACTGGCTCTACGACATACCTTAACGAAGCTGTGGGCCAGCAGCGACTAGCACTGACAGAGATGCCTATGTCCCAATTTAATGAAACACATCAACATCTACGCTACCTGGGATGGTACTTATATTCCCAGTATGACTCACTGGGTAATGCTACGACTCTCGAGGAGTGCATCTCTGTCCTTGCAGAAGCTCTAGAACACTGTCCATCCACACACATTGACAGGAATAAATTGCTCAGCGACATGCTGTGGGCACTGTATCGCAAAGCTATCCATTATGGTGATATCAAGGAGATAGATCAAGGGATAGCACTTGGAAGACGTGCTCTCGAAGCATACTTTCCTACAGGATACCCGGGATCACGCACTATCAATGTCCTGGCTGGCTTCCTTTTACTTCGCCACGGGCTCAGCCTGTCGAATGGACGCGACATTGCGGAATCAGTGCAATTATACAGAGATGGCTTGAGGCACTTGGTACCAACCTCTAAGGCATACTGGGTATTCCTTGAAAATCTCTCCACATGTTTGCGGCTTCAATATACCTGGGGCGGCGAGCTCTTGCATCTTGACGAAGCAATCGAACTGAGTCGGCAAGGAATTGATGCTATACCCTCCAATCATCATCGACGATTCTATGCTGCTTACAATATCGCAGATGCATTGATGGTCCGCTTCACCGAAGTAGGCGATACCAAGGATCTCGTTGAAGCACTACAATGGGATAGACAAGCAATGGCAGCCGTCCTTCCTTCGAATTCGGGCTATTGTGATGTTGCACTTTCCAATATCTCGCATTTGTGCACCAAATATGAGATCTCAAAAGACAAAGCCGATATAGATCAGGCAATTGCATTGTCACAGAGCTTGCTGGCAACCTTGCCAGTCGATCACATTCAAAGACCAGAGGTCATACACCGCATGGCGAGATCCTTATTGCTGCGTGGACAACACACAAGCAATATTTCAGACCTTGCTCGGGTTATTGGAGATTTGACACCCATGACAGACATTCTATCAAAACGGAAAGACGGTCCTGAATGCCTCCGTATACTTTTGCTCAGCCACCAGTTTAAATTCCGCTTGACGAAGGACTCTAATGATGCAAACCGTGCTCTGGATATCATGGCCGCCATGCTGCACATTACATCTCCAGGACGGCGTGACTGGTATCAATGTCTTGTCGCTGCGGCCGAGCTATATATTGAACATGATACCCCATATCGTGATTTTACTCTGGCTCTGAATCACCTTCAAAATGCCTTGTCGGATAACCAAACTGATGTTCGTTCGCGTATTCAACGGGCACTACACACTCTCGATAATATCCAGAAAGATCACATGGACATCTTTGCTTCCGACTACAATATACAGCTGCAGCTCCTCGACATATACACGTCAATTGTGGGACTTCTACCCCGTATTGCATTTTTTGGTCTTCATCTCCAATCCCAGCTTTCAGCCCTAAGTGTTGGCCAGAGTGTAGCTCTCGCAGGAGCCTCTCACGCTCTTAATTTGTTGCTTCCTGAGAAGGCCACAGAAGTCGTCGAGCAGGGGCGTGCTATATTCTGGTCACATCGACTGCGCCTCCGATCCCCATTTGATGCCGTTCCAAGCCAACTTCGAGAACGGTTGCTATTTCTTGCGAAGCAACTGGAGCACACATCTAGTGGCTCAACACAGGATACACGTGCATTGGAAGTAGAGGAAGCGTGCAGAAGACGCCAAAGCGAGGAATGGAACACTCTTGTAGAGGATATCCGTAAACTACCGGGTATGGGACACTTCCTCTTACCGGAGAAATACTCGACACTTGCCAAGGCCGCAGAACAAGGGCCCGTGGTGTTGCTGATATCGAGCACCCTATCTTGTCATGCCATTATTGTGCAGCCTACCACACATGCTATCAGCGTCCCACTTTTGCAGATTACCGAGGCTTGGCTCGTGAAGACCGGGATGGCATGGCATTCAGCCATGAAGGAAGCGAGGTCAATTCTGAGAACTCGCCTCAAGATGGTTCAAGTACATCGTTCCACATCACGACATGCCGAGGCCATTGACTTGCTGCGCCAATTGTGGGTCAAAGTAGTCCATCCGATTGTCAGTGCATTGAGACTCGAGGCATGTGTCAGGTCACTTAATTTGTGTGCGGAGGCATGGCTGATGACTATTTTTTCCCATGGACTAATAGCCATCAACAGGTCGAGATCGCCCTCGCATTTGGTGGTGTGCTACTGGGCAGTTTGCGCACCTGCCAATTCACGCCGCAGGTGTTGATGATACATGGTGCACAGACTATGTGGTATCATCATACACTCCCACAGTCGGTTACTTGATCAGGGCTCGCGCGGGATTGAAATCAGCAAAATGGCATGACACGCACGCCTTGGTGGTGGCCGCACCTCGACCATACAATCCGATGTGGAATGACCTCCTCTCCGCTCGCGAGGAGGCTGTCGTCGTTCGTACGGCTTTACATCGAGGGTCCAAGTTGCCGATTTTCCCTGAGCAGAGGTCTTCCAAAGATGACGACGACTCAATCACGTCCAATGTGCTCCTGGAGAACTTACCGAAGGCCACAATATTACATCTTGCCTGTCACGGACACCAGGATCCAGAGGATCCGCTGAAAAGCGGGTTTGTGCTGCGAGACAAGATGCTAACCATAGAAGAATTGATGCACATACCTCTTCCCCACGCATTCATGGCTTTTCTCAGTGCTTGCGAGACTGCGAAAGGCGATAAGGCGAGTATCTGACTAATGTTCCAATTTGATCCTTGCTGAGGCGACACAAATTCTGCAGAATCAACCCGATGAAGTTGTCCATCTAGCCGCGGCTTTGTTGTTTTCGGGATTCAAGAGTGTGATCGCCACACTATGGTGAGCAGTTCTGACAATGCATGAGATTTCCTCTCTAAAATTCGCCTTAATCTTCAATAGGTCGATGGAGGATGTTGACGGACCAATCATTGCCAAATCTGTGTATGAGAATATGTTTGCAGGTGACGCTGGGCACATAAGCCCGGATGACGTTGCGTACGCTCTAGATGAGGCCGTACGGGCGCTTCGCCTTACGCAAGCCGATCCGAGTCGATGGGCTCCATATATCCATCTGGGAATATGACACAGCCGGGAAGGCCAATAACGAAGGACCAAGCACACGCACAATTACCGTCCTTGCAGTCCTGGACACCTATGATAGCTCTTGATGAGCGACATGCCCAACAGGCCACCAAGATGGAATGCTCTCGACCGGAGAGGAAGCTGCCGTCCACCTATTGCAAAGAGCGTGCATCACCGAGTTATATTTATTCAGATACACTGGCGAGACCGCCCTGAAGTTAATGCTACGCCAAGGGCCAATACATGAACGGAGTAGATCACGCTCCCGCACTGTCACTTTCTTCGCAGGCGAAGTGGTAAACGGTATAGCCCTTTGGGTTTTCTGGCAGATAGAAAGTAGGGCGATTGTACGACAAACGGTTACCGGTCTGCGAGGCTCCACCAGCGTCGATCACGGCGTCAACGACCTTGAGTGCGAATCGGCTCCAGTTCTCAATCGAGCCTCCATACTCGCCCGTGCGCTTATTGCTAGTATCCCGGATGAACTGATGGATAAGGTAGCCATTAACAACCAATCATGAAGTTGCCGGCGTCAGTAATGCCGGTCGTGCTGTAAACCAGAGCGGCCAAGCAACGAACCATGGATTTCGACCCTGTCGAACCCCGCTGGCCAAGAGAATCACAATCTCGCAACGTCGATTTGTGAGTCCACGAAGGGATAATCGTTGTAGCCTTTGGGATTTTCGGGGAGATAGAAAGTGTCGCGATTGTATGGCGTCAGGGGAATATCTTCCTTCAATTTCAACGGTAAGTCGGGCTGGACGAAGGCATAGGTACAAATGGGTCAGCTAACGCGAGGAAGCCACGAAATGAACAACTCACGTTCGAAATGAAGGTCCGGCCGAACGCTATCAGATCGCCCTTCTCCTCCGCGACCGTAATCGCTTTCTCGCGGGTATACCCCCCTGCGCTGATGAACGCCCTGCCGTCACCCCTCCAGATGTCACGCGCGAAATCGTTCGACTCGTCGTCATGTTGCGAATTGCAGTCGCTCCCGCCTGATACGCGCGGTTCGACGAGGTGGATGAACGCCATGTCCGGGTGTGCGTCGCGCATGGCGCGTATGAGGTAAGAGAACTGCGGAATGGGATCCGCCATGCGCATGTCTGTACGAAGAAAAGGTTTTCAGGGTCCGTGGATCGAGAATGTCATGAGCGACCAATGATGTACCATTGAAGGGGCTCCAGGGGCTCAGGCGGATACCGGTGCGAGAGGCACCGATGGCGGCGATCACGGCGTCGACGACCTCAAGCGCGAATCGGCTGCGGTTCTCAATAGAGCCGCCGTACTCGTCCGCGCGGTTGTTACTGGTATCTTGGATAAACTGATCGATAAGATAGCCATTGGCGCCTAAGGCGACGAGGAGGCAGTTCAGAATCAGTGACTGACGCTCCCATTGATTGGATGTAACAGAAGGACTTGCCATGGATCTCGACTCCATCGAATCCGGCTCCGTGAACCGCATTTCGGGCGGCGGTCGCGTATAACTGCACGTACTCTTTGATCTCCGGTACGGTAAGTGGGCGTGGTGCAGGTTTCCCCTTGATCGGTATGTCGGAAGCAGACACGACTTCGAAACTCGGATCTTCACGCTTCAACGAGTCGATGTCTGTCGCGCGACCAAGAGCCCAGAGTTGGAGAACGATGTAGGAGCCTTTGTCATGCACAGCGTCGACAACCTGCGATAACGCGTTAGCAAATATTCAGTCCAATCAAGCAGGAGATAGGCTGAATTCACGCGTTTCCATCCCTCTATTTGAGCGTCACTCCATATGCCAGGGACGTGATCGTACAGACCGGCCTTGGCCGCGATAAAGGTCGCCTCGGTGATGAGGAGCGTGCCAGGGACGCTGCCGCGTTGCTCATAGTGAGTCTTGGCTAGTCCACCGTGGACGTGGTCCTTGTTCGCACGGAAACGAGTGAGGGGGGCCATGACGATTCGATGTGCTAGGTTCAGCGAGCCGAGTTTGAACGGCTGAAAGAGCTTGGGTGGGGACATATCGGAGTGAAGTCTGTTCAGGTCTTGAGAGCAGAGCAATGACTAGATGTTGCGCAATAGCTGCAGATAGCTGCAGAAGATCGCTCGTAGAAGACATCTTATATGCTGAGTGCGAGAATATTCCGACGTGTTAGGCGACTGCATCTCTAAGCAAGGCGTTGTCTAGAACGTCAGGAATACCCATTAATAGTGAGAACCGTAAGTTGCCGAGCAATCAGTAATTGTTCGTATGAGTCCCTCCGCTTGATATCCTACAGTCCTTGAACCAGCGAAGGTGCTGGGTCTCCCCAGGCAGCCTCTAGAGCGAGAAGACAACATGGAGGTGCGAGCGAAATGCGTAGGCCGGAGGATGCCGTTAGCTGCCGTCGGCCCACGTGTCCAACTACTTTCTTCCGCTCCACCGTCGAGTTGCAGAGACTTGTCCTATGTTACTATAGACCGACAGCTACTAGTCATTCAACTCGGATGCAATCTATAGAAGACCATGCTACATCCTTCGCGCATGAAGATTTCATGCGATTTCGGAGCTGCCTAAGCAATCTGTCGTTCGAGCGGAACCTTTCCTCTGAACAAGGAATGATCTGGTTTTCGGGTTCACCCTGTTCGCTACACTCCCTCACAATTGCCGTCGTCTCCGACCCCACTTCTGACGGCTGGTTCTATGGTCGCCGTCGCTGTAGGTGTCGACTCGCAACACGCTCCGAACGGCGCACGGACGGTCGGGATCCGGAAGGTGGTGTGAAGCTCAACTGTGACCACTATAAGTATGTCCGTGCGTGAAGACAACGCCCGTTCTGTAAACATTCCGTGCGGCGTTGAGCACACAGACAGACAACGACAGTCACGGCACGTCTTGTTGTTCTTGTTACTGCTGCATTCTCTGCGGTGACTGGCACGCTCGCCATCGGCACTGCGCTAGGCTATGGCAAAAGCACCCCTGGTGGCGGCTCAACAGCCGCAGCTACACCCACCTCAAACGCCCAGCTTCTCAGCTGGCTCAAAGACAGCACAGCGGTGCGTCCTGGTCCACGTCGTTCGTATGTCCGTCTGGGTGTGCTGAATGACCTGTGTCTCTGGGCAGCGCACAATCGTGTTGGATCAGATCTGCGACTTCACAGACTACTACGGTACCGCGTCCGGGAAGATTTGCGAGCCGTGGACTTGCTTGTGCGTTTGCTCCTGTGCTCTTGCTCATCTTCCAACGCAGCCCGAATCCTCAGGTTGCCATCGACCAAAATTCCTGGTGCGAGAACTACGAATCGAGTGCGAGCACGTTCACATCCTCGTGGTACGTCAGTGATACATCGCAGTTGCGGCGCTACATTGAATGGATCGGTGCCATGTCTATAATATAAATGTCTGCCTATAGACGTATTCTCTCCTCATTGGGAGCAATAAGACTCTGCTGGGTAAAGGAAGCAACGGTGGCATGTACGATTCTCGCACATAAGACGAGTGCAATGGCATCGACCTGCCAATCCTCTCTCGGACGCGCCTGCCAGGCCAACACGGTGTACAACTCCGACGCGGTGTCACGCGCAGATACCGCAGCACCATCTGCTCTCGAGTCTCGTAAGTTTGCAAAAGTGCTGCTCTTCTCAGAATTTCATGCGGAATTGTGTAGCAACTGCGATAACTGGTTATACACCCTTGACCACATCTGCCGCCGATATGACCAATCTGATCTCAGTCCTTGACACGCATTCACGCCAACTTCTCGTATTCGTAGCTGCCTGTGTACAGGTCTCTGCTGGTGTGGGGATAATAAACTTAAACACTTGTGTCCTCGCTGGGTTCGATACCTCTAGTGTTATCTACATGAGCGATCTTCGATAGGGGAATGACTACGGCTATCTCTATGTTTTGTCATATGCGTGCTACAGACAAGAGAATTGGAATGGCAAACGTAGTGAACAGAGTTCGAAATAAGCTCTCGTATTGTCACTGGCCTAGGTAGCAAAAGTGTAATCAACGTAACCCATCGGGTTTTCAGGCAGATAGAACACGTCGCGGTTGTACGGCGTCAAGGGGATGTTATTGATCAGTCGTAGTGGCAGATCAGGCTAGTCAAAGAGGACAAGGATTAATCATCGAACATTGACGAGACCCCGGCGAGACTCACATTGGAGATGAACGTCCGCCCGAAGGCCACCAGATCGCCCTTCTCCTCCGCGACTGCAATTGCCTTCTCCCGGTTGTACCCGCCAGCGCTAATGAGCGCCCTACCGTTTCCCCTCCAGATGTCACGCGCGAAGTCGTTGGACTCGTCATGGTGATGCGACTCGCAGTCGTCCGAGCCGGACGTGCGCGGTTCAACGACGTGGAGGTACGCCATGTCCGGGTGCAGGTCTCGGATGGCGCAGGTAAGTTGCGAGAACTGCGGGACAGGGTCTGCCATGCGCATGTCTGCGCGAAGGCTTGGCATTAGCGATAGGGTCTGGAATGGCAAATGCGGGCAGCGGTTTACCTTGGAACGGGCTCCAGGGACTTAGACGAATACCAGTGCGCGAAGCTCCGACAGCTTCGATCACAGCGTTAACGACCTCGAGCGCGAACCGGCTGCGGTTCTCAATAGAGCCGCCGTATTTGTCCGTGCGCTTGTTGCTGGTATCCTGAATAAACTGATCGATAAGGTAGCCATTGGCACCTAGACATCCCAAAAGAAATTCGATATGAACCTTTCCAGCAGCCTGCGACTGAAGACTTACCATGAATCTCGACCCCGTCGAACGCAGCTCCATGCACTGCGTTGCGGGCGGCGGTCGCATACAGTTGAACGTACTCCTTGATTTCGGGCACGGTGAGCGGGCGCGGGATGGATTTGGAGCCATTTATCGGCACGTCCGACGCGGAGACAACCTCAAAGGTAGAATCTTGCGCTTCAGCGAGTCAACGTCCGTCGCGCGCCCAAGAGCCCAAAGTTGAAGGAAGATGTAGGAGCCTTTGGCGTGCACGGCTTCTACCACCTGCGACTACGTGTCAGCTACTCCCGAGCATGTCATAAAAAATCGTTCTTTCACTCGCCCGTTTCCATCCCGCAATCTGAGCTTCACTCCATATGCCTGGGACGTGGTCGTAGCCGCCGGCCTTAGCGGCGATGAAGGTCGCCTCGGTGATAAGGAGCGTGCCGGGCACGCTTGCGCGCTGTTCGTAGTACGTTTTCGCGAGCTCGCCGCGGATGTGGTCCTTGTCGGCGCGAAAACGCGTCAGGGGGGCCAGCACGACGCGGTGGGCCAGGTTCAGTGAGCCGAGTTTGTGCGGTTGAAAGAGCTTGGGTTTGGACATGATCACGGATTGAAGTTTATGTTGTTGTTGGATAGAAATAGGTTATATATGGGCATGTGCAACGGTGACACATGTTGAGCGACACATGTCTAAGCAAACTGCAGACGTTGTCCAGAACGTCATAAGCTCGCGTTCAAACGCCCCGAATACTGCGATCAGTCAGCCCATGGATGCATGAGTATTTCCAGCAAACCCCGAAGTAAACTTTGCTGCTGACGTCGGTGCGCAAAAAAGAACAGCCCGGCAGACCATGGGAGTTTACCCAGAAAGGGGCCTCGTCGGGGATCACGGAGGTCCACGTGGTTATCGACCCCATATTTGCTCGACCTTACAGCCAGCTTCTAGTGCCTCCTATAACCACTCTTAGGCCCAAACCTATGATTCCTCACATTTACAGTTATCCGCCTTAGTCTTCATTAGCACTCATAAACAGAATTACAGGACGTCGGATCCATGAGCAATACAAGTGCCTATTTGCGCGTATGTCAGCCGCGCCATACCATTGCCCGAATTAGAGGCTTAACCCAGCGGAAGGTCGCATCCGTCAGGGGAACATACGTTCCCAATGGACCCGGTTTGGGGCGAGGAAGCACTGTTCCTGTTCGTGAAGCACCCGCCGTTCCGCGGCTCCGGTTTGTTTCAAGTTGAGCTTCAGCAGTTATGTTTGTCGACGCTTGCACGAGAACAGGAGGAGCAGGCGGGGCAGCAAGGACGACCTTCTCGATATATTCGTCGCCTTCGAGAGCACTGAGTTTTGTGTCGCGCTCATCAGGATGCCCTAGTGCGTAGTTCTTGTCGGATTCAACTTTGGAGCGGGCAGACGCGTGCAATTTGGCACCCGCTGGAAGTTTGCGGTATCGACCTCGAGTTGGTCTTCTCTCAACAATCTCCAAAAATGCCCAGCCTTTCCCACGTAAACCGTGGTCAAAGGAGCAATGGATCTTGTCTGCCAGCTCTGTGTGTTCTCGTGGAGGACGTTTGGTGTCTGCACCATGATATAGCTCGTTGAGCAGCCGATCACGTTTCGGGATAAATACGCGATCTGACCTTGGGGCTTATGTGCCTTCTCGGAATCCTCCTCGGGTGTTGACGTCGTCAGGATATTCAGAATCGTGGAAGTGCCGTGATCTCCGTATATCAACACCGAGCGATACTTCCTGAGAGCCTTTTCACTAAAAATGATGTTTCCATCCGCCGAGGCCATTGCCGCCGCCCAGACGATCCAACGAAAGCTCAGATTTGCTAAGGAGCCCTCTTCGCTCTTCCTCTCGAGGAATCCGAATCGTCCTCCAATGTCGCTATGATCACCAACAAACCAGCGCTCGATGACAGTTGATTTACGTGGTCGAGCCCCACCCGAAGTCGGAGGAGGCGGATGGTACTTCTCCGGTTCAAATTTGACTCGTCTTTCGTCAAGTGAGAGCGCATGACTGCAAGGATATGATTAGTAGATACCGTGGAGTAGCCTTGTGATGTTCTCACTAGACGTAACGTGCAAAGCCGTCAATACGGTTATGGTCTCCATCTTTCGTCGGGCTCATGCCGGGCTCTGGTAGATATGAAGTCCGTTTCGTGCCGGTTGATCGAACAGTGTCCCTAGCAAAGCGTCGGACGGTTAGCGCTTCGACGAGAAATGAGAACACCTACCAGAGGCCGAGGAAATGAATTGTTGCCTTTTGACCGAAGATGTCACGAAACTCTCCAGCTTGCTGCCAATTGCTGCGCATCTTGTACATTTTCCACGCGAACTCGACGTGTTCGTCATTACCAGCGATGAGCAGGCCAACCTGAACAGACGATTTAGTATACCGCGCTCCCACAACGTCTCAAGCGGTACCTTCTCAATCATGCCGCACAACGCTCGTGCGGTGTAAGCGCCTAGTAGTATGTTACGTGATACAATCGTATTCACCAGAAGGCAGACACATGATGCGTACCACGACTAAATCCGAACATGTAAATCCTATCCCCGCTCTTCCAGTGGTTCATCAAGAATCTATATCCTCCGAGAATGTGTCCCTTGATACCGCTGATAAAGGTTTACAGGTCAGAGGGGTGCGGCATCGGAAATTGATTGGGATTCTCACTTCGCGACGAGTACATCTTTCCATTTCGATATTCTTGTCTTCAGCGGCAATCCATCTGAGTCGGTTCCCACTGGGACTTTCGCATCGTACGTTCCGATCCCTGCCTGGTAGTAAGAAACTTGTCGTTTGGTGTCCTTGTTGAGGAGCTCATAAACGCGGATGACGTTGGTGATGCCTTCCTTTCCGAAGCGGTTCGTGGTTCCATCAAAGCAGAGAACGATGTTGCGGCCCTTCGCTATTCTATTAGAGGCATGGGACATTCAAAATAGACATACAGCACTGACCCTGAACAATTCTGTGATTGGCACTGTCTCTGTATCTAGCGATAGTATCGGTGGCACCAAGAGGTCAGTAGTACTACTGAACGGCACTTGAAGTGCGTCTCACGCACCAGATGATACCAGTGGTCGTGCAGCTGCCATCGTGGTCCTTTGCGTGGGTTTGAGGCGGTTCGGGAGGGATGCTCAAGCCCCTCTGTTCTTTATATCGTTGATAGCCTCCGGCGGTAGAGACGGGCGCCAATCCGGTATATAGAAGGCTCGAAAGTGAATATGGCTCCTCGGCATCGAATAGCCTTCAGTCACCGTACACCGGTGTCTGGCAGTGTAGTCCCACGGAGACAAGGGAGTACGGCTTGATTGGTCCTGGAACTGTCCACATGAGCGTTATTGAACCATTCCAGTTAACACCTGCATCGGAGCGGTGCGTCGGCCTCGCTTGACTGGAATCGCCGACGCTGTGAGTGTAATACCCGCACGATATCGTGTGGCGCGGCAACCATCATTCTGCTATCGGGACCGTGCCGGGTAATACCATACCATACCATGGCATACTAGGTCATGGAGTGATTAGTGCAGGAAAGCGGTCAGATAGGTGAATCGAGACGTTGTGCTCCCTCGCGAGTTCTTTCAGTCGTGGGAGTACGGAAGATAAGCAAATGAGCCTTCAGTCTTAACTTTGTATGGCTGAAATAGTACAGCTTAGTTGTCGCGGACGTCGCTTAGACACAGAGTTACGGAGTATGCCCTATAAGACGATATTAGGAGCGGATGAGGTCAAGGCTGGTGAGCTTACTTTACCACTGACTTCGAGCTTGAGCGCAACTGTCAGACACATTGCATGTTTTCTTTGTCCAAAGACGATCCTTGGACGTTGGATCACGACTCACTTGGGGCCGATGTAAGATCGGATATCGCCTGAGTGTATCCGGAACTTCCAACGTGAATGACATCAAGGCAATCCGACTATCAAGATCTGCATATTTTATCGTCGCTGGGGCTCGCGAACAGCCTCCCTCGTGCGCATTGGCTCGGGGAGGTTGCCGTAACTTCCTGTAAACGCTTCCACACCGCTGTGATATGTGAATGGGATCTCCAGCAACGATAACGATGAGACTCAGATGAGACAGTTCCGGAAACGTCGGGCGACGCCAAGGGAGGGGGCGGGGGACACGGTGGCGCAGGTGACTGGATCAGGCAAGACGGCACCACGAACCCCTCGACCTGCCCTGACCTGGCTTGACGGATCGAGCACCACCAGCAAACCGCCGGCGCCTGTCCTCCCGACTTCACCCTCAACCTCCGCCATCCCCTCCGCCGTCCTCGACGACCTCGACATTCCTCACGACTTCAACGCACGTCGGCGAGGCCAAGCCCTCCGCGGAGGTTGATTGATACCGTACAACCATCGAGGGTGAGGGTGATAACAACGACCAGCGTCCGCGAGCGACGGCGATATCCCACACCCCTCCTCTTGTCTCCTCCAGCTTGTCGTTAGGTCGAGGGTTGGGTCTTTTTGTCGAGTCCCGTTTTTGACCTGATTGGGCCTGAGAAGGCTTCGGAATGACCTGTGCCTCATGCTGGACTCCTGATCACCGCCCCCACGTCGTTGTTGTCGTCCGCACAATTGATCGCTCACATCCTTTTCTGATCTCCCCCAGGTTTTTACCCCGCCCGCCCTGACTCACCACCACCACCAGCGACATCAGGACCGCCTCTTCGAGCCAGATAGGCGAACGTCGACGATAATACACCCGTATACCCGTACTAGGCAGCTCGCAGCCGCAGCCGCCTGAGCATCATCAATCGCTCGGACTCATCCTCAGTCCGCATCCGCATCCTCAATTTCGACGTACATCCACCTCAAAGTCACCCACGACGTATCCCATTCCCCAGTTCTACCCGCCCTCCAATCCTCCTCCCTCCATGATGGACCCCTATGGCGCCCCCGCCGGCGCAGGCGGGACCGACTCTCCGCCCCTCCGCCAGCCCACCAGCACGGGCGGTATCCTTGGCTCATTCCTCGGTCGCTCCAGGCGGCACTCCAACTCTCACCTTAACCCACCGCTCTCGCCAACCGCCGACTCACCGCTGGCAAACGGCTTGCCCCGCCCGCCGTCGCCAAACGCCAATGGATCGGGACACCGACGACGCGGAGCCGCGTCACCGAGCGCCGTACAAGCGAGCCAGAGCCAGGGCATCGGGCTCGCCACTCCGATCGGCCAGACGCCGTCGATGGGCGGCGCGCTCTCCGGAATGCTGGCCCTGCGCCGACGCCGCTCCGCCGGTGCCCTCGCCGCCCAGCAGCAAGCTCAGCAGGCCCAACAAGCCCAACAGCAACAGCAGATGCCCGCGCCCGCTGCGCACACCTCGACGTCGCGCTCCCCGCGCCGCCCCTCTCCGAACCCGAACCCGAACGCGCCCGTGCACCGTATCCGGCTCGTGCCGCACCTCGACTCGCGCCGCTCGCTCCGGTTCGACGCCATCGCGCGCGACGTGCGCGAGGGAGATCCGCCGCTCCGCATCGGGCGCTTCACGGATCGGTCCGGGATGGGCCTCGCCGCCGCGAACGCGCTCTCGTCCAACAAGCTCGCGTTCAAGTCCAAGGTCGTCTCCCGCGCCCACGCCGAGATCTGGTGCGAGTCCCCGGGGAAGTTTTACATCAAAGACACGAAGAGCAGCAGTGGCACGTTCTTGAACCACGTTCGGCTCAGCGCCGCGGGCGCGGAGAGCCAGCGATACGAGCTTCGCGATGGGGATATTCTGCAGCTCGGGGTGGATTACCAGGGCGGGGCGGAGGATATTTACAAGTGCGTGAAGATCCGGGTGGAAGTGGGCAGGGAGTGGCAGGCCGCCGCGAACGCGTTCAAGTGCGTATTGAGCCTTTGCGAGGATATGTGGATGGGATGTGCTAACGCTTGAACTCGTAGCACGAACGCGCTGGAGCAGCTCAAGTCGTTGTCGGTCGACCCGGCCAAGGCTGCCGCCTCCGGTGTGCCGAGTAAGAAGACGGCCAAGATGGGGATGCCGGATTGCTGCATTTGTACGCTCCCCTTCCCTTTACTGATCCCGACGATCGTCGGCTCACGTGGTGGACCCGCTTAGGTCTATTTTCGGTGACGATCCAGCAGTCGCTCTTCATCGCGCCGTGCTCGCACGCGTTCCACTACAAGTGCATCCGCCCGCTGCTCGACGCGCACTACCCGTCGTTTTCGTGCCCGCTGTGCCGGACGTACGCCGATCTGGAGGCCGACGTGGAGGTGGACAACGACGAAGATGAGGACGAGTTGGACGCGGACGGCGGAGAGCTCGCTGCTGCCACGGGCGCGCTGAGCCGGATCGGTACCCGGGACAGAGAGGACAACGCGTACCCGGAGACGGACATCGAGCCCGATACGGGCGCGACTCGGCTCGCTATCCGACGACGCGGAGAGCCGGCGCCGCAGGCGATCCCAAGCCAGGCCACGGCGAGCGGCGACGCTGGTGCGGACTTGCAGGACCTGGAGATGGTGGACGGCGAGCGTGGCGCGTCGCCGCTCGGCGTGCTGTCGGAGGATGATGAACCTCTGCCGTCCAATGGGAGCGGGAGCGCCAGCGGAAGCGGGATCGGTGGGCTTGACGAGTACGCGCATCTGTATGCGGGAGGCAGGGGTGGCGAGGCGGACGAGGGCATAGAGGCACACCTGATGGCTATAGAAGGAGAGGGCCGGAGGAGCGCGAGTCCACCTAGCGGGTCGGGATCTGCTGGTGCAGGAGTGGCGGGGGAAGATGGGGTGGACGCCGACGGGACCGTCGGCGCCAAGCGGAAGCGGTGAGGAGGGGGAGGCGAGTTCTTGGTTGACTCGTTCATGTCTGGCTATCGTTGCGTGATTTAGATGAACTTGCGGGTGAGCGTTCGAGGTTCTTGTTTGCTTCCTACCATCTGCTGCATACTGATTGGACCATGCGTATCTCCAGATCATACGGCTCAAGCACATGGACGAGGTTCTCACTCACCCATCCTCCGTGATATCTCCTCTTTCTTTCATTTTCTCCCCCATATGACATTCTCGAGTGGTGATGACATATTTCCCGGTACCTTTCTATCCGCGGCCCTTTCCTCACGTCGTTGGCGGTGCCCCTCGAGGCCAGCGCAGGCAGCGAGAAACCCGCCAGGTCAGGTGTTACATATTTGTATACTACATGATGACTGTCTAATTCGTACCGCACTCGACGGCTCTGGGTTGTTGTTCACGAACTTTTCGGTCGTTGGTTGACCGGTTATATAAGGGCGCGCTTTGGCCAATCTGTCACAGCGCGTACGTCGCACGACGAATGCACAGCTTTCACCAATCAAACGAAAACTCCGCGGAACCTGACGACTTTCATTGGCTTTCTCGCGCGCGCGGGCAGGTGCTGACGGTGACCGGACATAAGGATGTTTCTGCCGCATACCTGCATCGGCGGGATCGCAAGGGGCGCTTAATCATCCGTGGCCAGCACATGCACGCCGGGGACGGTGCTTCGCAGTGTCTCCAAATCCTCCTTAGAGAGTCCTGTGCATCTCCGAAAGATCAACGCTCGTAAAATGGGTCCCCCATCCTCGCGCTTTCTCGAACATTTCGTCCACTTCGTCGTCTGCGCCATGAACCTTCAGACTGTGGCGAGGAGATGAACGGGGTGTGTGGGTTTCTCGACAATTAGAGGACGTCCGAGCTGGCGACGACTCACTACCAGAATCCCAATTTGGTCGCAGCATGCCACAGCACGTCTATCTCCTGCTCGTCTCCATTTGCCACGCGCTGGTAGTCGATAACAAGTAGCGGGTGGGTCACTGCGTCCTGCTGAAAGGATGGGATCATGTTTCGGTGACGGAAGAAGAGCGGCTGTCTCTCACCTGCTGGCCTTCTACTTATATAATGTCGAAGAATCAATTGACCCTTTGTAACTGAATCAGCATTGGTAATACAGGTGGGAATCTAGCAAATGCCGTACTTCGAGGAGAACGGCCTTGGTGACTGCGGGAAGCGTCCGGTACCCACAATGCTGCGTTCTTTGATTGTGGTTCCAACGAGGACCTCACCACGGCTTCAGGATATAGCGCAAACTTAAACATTGATGAGGCGTATGGGTGTTGTCAGATTCCTTTTTTAACAATCCTGGTTACGCATATGGTGATACACCGCCAAGTGTGACGTCTACGCAAGGAGCTCAAACATGGACGTTCACTCTCTATATGAGCACTCACCCTCTCATAACGACCAACATAACTTTGATCAATGGATATGATCCCGTAATCACGCGGACACAGTTTTTGTAAGTCCGGGGTGTTCGAGTTCGATGACGCGGAATTGTGAGAGGGCTAACGGTTGTGTTAACTGGATTTCAATGTACATTGGTACCTTCGAACTCACCTCTACCAGAGCTTGCGATGATGGACAGGTGTGTATCTCCGAAGCACATGGTGAAGACGACTTGCCACCACTGGCATCGTAAGCGAGTGGCTCATGCGCTGGAGGGCCTGCATCGACCGTCAGTAAATTTTTGGGTGATCAAGATGCTGATTACTCACCGTCGGGGTCGGATCTCTCCCCCCGGAGGATGTACCACAATGCTCAACATCGACGCGATATCACTCGGAACCGGAGTGTGTGGACGAGAGTGGCCGGCGGCGGGAACAGCGAGCGTATGCACGCTTGGGACGACGCTCCCCTCCACAGGTACATCTACACCTCTTCGATGTCCCCCGCGCATAGTGATGTCCAGAGAAGAGACGGAACGCGCGTCGTATGCGTCGAATGTATAAGGACTCGCCGTGACAAGGACAGGGCCGTGAACGTCGACGGAGGATCTTGACGCCTGCCGATGGAAATTCCTATCTTGATGCCCCACCTCAAGGTAAGGTCCTACGTGCCTCATTGGAGATGATGTCCGGGCCCGCAACGGCGCTGGGGAAGCGATGTCGGCTGGTTGCCTGCTCGCTATGATCAAGTCTCAACCATCCGGCGCATATATTCGCGCGTTTCTCCCATCTGCCGCCTGCTCATTCTTCCATGGTCCTCCATTTTCCCCGTACGTAGTATTGGATAGAACGCGGTGCAGTATCGCCCATATCTTCACGAAAGCCGCGCCTTTTAGCACCTGTCTGAGACAGCGAAGCAGGCCTACCAGCCATCGTGAGGTACGCCGCACGGGCATGTTGCAGAGGCGGATGTTGAATCGTTATAGCATCGATGTTTCATATTATAGCAATGGCTCGATTGAGAAAGCCGGCGGGGTTTTCATGGGGCTGTTCATTGCAAGCGGTGAGAGTCAGAGGACTTTTGGCGCTTGCTTCCGTTCTCGTCGGGAAACCCGTGGCGAACGCACTGTCGGTATTTAAGCGTGTACAACGTGTTTTCACAGCCATGGAACCATGAGTTATTTCGCTGCTCAAACGCTTAATGATACTTGACGCATCGCCAACTGGTAGTCCAATTTGTCGGAGGAGAGCGCGGCGTGCACCACGATTCTTTGCTCGCACTAGAAAATTGCCACGAAAACTACTACAGATAGAGAACAGATGGATGACACGATAGCAAATAGATAAAGTGATGGTATAGAAGCGTGAAAACACCCTCTAGACAGCAGTCCCCATCTCTCTTCGCCGGAAGGAGGTAAAGAGCCGGAGAAATCGTGGCATGACGATCCCGGCGTATTTATCCTTCCAGAAGTTCGAGCCTGCAGCTTGAACCGACGACTCCGAGTCACTTTCATAGTAGTAATAGTCTTCGTTGGGGCGCTTATACTTGATCGCGGTCGAGAGCTGCTTGGACCACGAATGGTGGTCGTCCCACGTCGTGCTGATGCACCAGAATACGGCGATCGTGCACATCGCCGATAATATGCCCATCATTATTCGAGTGCGGGCGGTCGTTGAGTCGAAGAAGAGCAGGAAGCACGACACCGCGAATGTGACCATCCTGGGTGATAGGGTCAGGCATTGAATAGACAGACTCGCGACAGGAAGCGCCTCACCCCCACATCAACAGCGCGTAGGGAAGCGCATACAGTATCGCTGATAGAGCTATTGATCAGCGTATATATATTCAAAGATTAGACGGACACGTACATAGGACCTCGAGTCCGTAAAACGGATGCGCTCTCTTCTGTAGAGTATCAGACTAATCCGATGTCAGAAAGGGGCCGAATCACAAGATACTGGGCTACGAACGGCATCAGCAGCAGACATATGGTGGTTTAGGCGATAGTGGCGATCCAGTATCATGCCGAGCTGAGCTCTTCACTTCAGAACCCCTGATTACTTATCACGCACGAGAAACGCCTGCTTACAATGATGGTCCCAATCGAGGCCGTCGTAGATATATACGACAAGATCTGCGCCCACGACCTCTGAGGCGAGGCAAGATCGAAGTCGAAATTTGACAGGTTGCTGAACGTAGAGTTGCCGCCGATGCTGATGAAGTTCGGCGCCTGGTTCGTCTGGTCGACGCTCGGAATCGCGAGGAAAGCCACCTGTCATTCGCCCGCGCATCAGCCACGGATGCGGCGACATCCCTTGAGGATCACTCACGTTGACGGACAGCAGGACGGTGGACTGTTAGATCGGAAGTCAACAACGAGTCGTTTACTGGGCTGCCGAGTAGCAGGCGATACGCACAGGTAAGAGGAACTTGTCCCACTCCTGTTGAATCTTCTCCACAAACTTCCTCCATGCGTGCTCGTGCACGATTTTATCAACCCATATCATGCGGAAATGGCGAAGATGTATGTCTGGCGCGAAGAACAGCAACGGGGATACGACGGTGATCAGCAAGGTCGGCGGGTGCTGACTCTCCGCGTGTAGTGGCTGGCTATAGTTTAGCCTGGCAGCGTGCTGACCGTGGAAGTGGAGGAAGCGGTTGTGATCTGTTGAAAGCTATGTAAGGCTGGGTTGTTGCACAGGAAGAGGAAGAATCTCACGAAACAGGGCCATCATTCTTCCTACAGTCGTGAAAAGCGATTAATTATGCACACCGATGCTCGCTTAGAGGACCTTACCAACGACGCAGGCAGAATAACCCCCGATTTCCTGAACATCTGTCGAAGAGATTCAGCAGGGAGCATGCTGGAATGAGGCAGAGAACGTACAGTTGACGTTCTTGACGAACTCCATAATAGTCATGACCTCCTCGTGCGTATACGGCGAAGTAGACCGCCGAGAGGTGAACATGTCTATACTGGCCGCCGTCAGATACGAGAAGCGGGAACTGTGATTCACTTGCCGACGCCGCTATGCATCATGATTCCAAGGAGCTCTCGAAGGAGGTCCTCGCTTATGCGACGCTGGAGAGGGAAATACTCCCAATGTGTCCTGGGAGGGCAGTGTTTAGTATAACCTTTAGACAGAACATAGAAAAACCCACCAGTAATGGGCCGAGAGCTCAACCTCTACGCGTACAGGAAGTCACGTCAAGCCACTGACGGAAAGCGGTCGAGAGCGGTGACATACTGATGTGTGACATATTCTCGACGCCAAGGACATGCCCGATCGTCGAGTGAAGGTCCATGACGTCAAGCCAGAACAATATACGCTCTTGATGATTCACGCAGTAGTAATAGCATGACTCTTTACCGTCCCCTTCAGATGGAAGTTCAAGTACGATTTCGGCGTCCTGCGGGAATTCGGAACCATGAGAATGCTTGACCTCCTCGATGATCTTCATCGCCGTCTGAATCTTCTCGTACACATCCGGGTCACATATGCGGGCATCCGTAAGGAAGTTCTGTAAAACACGTAAGATTCGTGGTTCTGTATTGATGCGAAGGAATCACCTCAGTGGGATGATGGTAATATACTGGACCTTCTGGATGAACATATCTATCCCAGCCGAGGGGAAGTGGAGTACTGCAACGCTCGTCAGGCGCTGATCATTGTTCACAGTTCGTTCCAACTCACTCGATGTAGTCCATAGTCATTGGTGGCAACTGTAAACCCGACTTGTGGCTTGGTCTGCGGAGCACGCGGCTGAGTAAGAGTAATAACACATGTAAGCGAGGGGTGCGCACACGACAAAGTTCCTCGCGTATCGGTTGACACTGTGTGTGTCAATGGGGAAGATTCCGTGGTCATCCAAGCTGGGTCTATTCCGTTCCCTGGAGCCCGCGTTAGGGCGAGCGGGATTGTGATAAGGCTAGTGATAGTGAAGATTGTATTAGCTGGGCTATGACATGTCCATGACGCTGTCAGATTCACCTCGGCCAAGCTCTGCATCGTCGGTAAGGGAACATGCACCTCTGAAGCAGAGGGCGAAGAAGTCCTGCTGACACCAATGTCGTACGAAAGCGCTTGTCCGGTAAGGGCAGCTGCTTCAGTGATTAGGACATATCTCGTCGCGCAAAGCTCTATAGACATACTGTCGCTGTCGCGCCCATCGTAGCCGACCTCTGGCGAATGCACTACAATGCTCACTACGGAGGCAGAATCGCCCGGTACTGGGGTATGTGGACGAGAAGGGCCCGCCGCAGGGACTGCAAGCGTTTGCATGCTCTGCACGACGGTCCCTTCGACAGGCACGTCTTCCCCTCTTCGGTTTTCTTCGCGCAACGTAATTTCAGGGGAAGAGATAGAGCGCAGATCATGTCCGCGAGAGGGGGTGTAAGGACTCGTCCGTTGCATAGGCTCTAGGCAAATATCGACGGATGACCTTGATGCGTGACGACGAAACTCGCTATCCTGGTAGCCAATTTCGAGGAAAGCTCCCCTGTATCTCCCCGGTCCAGGTGAGGGCGTCCGAGATCGCGGCAGCGAAGCGAGGTTGGTTGGCTGCCTGCTCGCCATGATCGCGTCTTGTCCGCCTCGCGCATGCACTTGCGCGTTCTTTCTCCTCTCCTCCTCTCCCTCTCTTTCCCGCAATGTGCCTCTTCCACCTCTTCCGCGTACCATACTGGACAAGAGCTTGTAGAGCACTGACCAGAGTTGCAGAAGAGCAGACCATGATCGCTTTGGCACAAGCTGGCGAAGTCGGCCGAGCAGCCACCGTAGCGTGCGCTGCACCATGTCGAACATGGGGGTCGGATGTCGGGCACTATCGCATCTGCTGTCGAAGATCTTTTACAACACCATAAAGGCAGTCCTGTTCATATGAAAACCGGTCGCAACATTGCGAGCCGCTTTGGCACGGCAAAGAAGACTAGCCTCATTGTCGGTGGTGAGAACAGAGTCCCGATATGGAAGTCGCGGACAGCATTGTCCTTCCGTCCTTGTCGGGATGAACACGTATGCACAGCTTGTGTGCAGCTTGTTCATGCACCGTCTTCAGCCTCCTCATACGGCGGCTGGACGAGTCAAACAGCCAGGCGATGGGCCTTTCTGACGCTTGAACTTGCTCAATACTTATGGCATGATATACACATGGGTCATCTTCTGTGATCGGATGCTTCTTGAACTTCGCGAAACCTGCATGCCTGCCCTGGCCGTTCGAAGGCGCCCATCGTGCAAGATACTTATTACATATCCTGGAAGTCTCGAACTCTTGCCTTTTCCTTGGACACGAGACCACGCCAATTGATCAAAGCGCCTATGGCGTCGGTATCTCCACGTTTACCAGCCACTTGAAGATGGCGTCCATCCATCCAGTGGTTCAATCCGGCGCATTCCATATTTTGTCTCGGATGAACTTGGTCTGGTATCAGGTTTATCACCTCTTGTGCGGCCCTGGCCACCCGAGTCAGCGTCATACATATATTTATATCCGGGGTGCTCGAAGCTAATGTCACCGAAACGACAATATGTTGACAGCACACCGACACGCAACGCCGCCCGAGCACGCTCTGCAGCGTTTCAACCTCTCCACCGCGCAACCCCTCACCATCTCACTCCTCGTTTCCGTGTTGCATCCTCTCCGTTGCTCTTCCCACACCTTCCTAGTCGAATGATGCTTCTTGCAGCGCTATACGTCCTGACGGCGGGAATCAGTTCCGCCTACGCGTCTGTATATGTAACAGAGCCGGTCGCGGGGACTACGTACAAGGCGGGACAATACGCTCAAATATCTTGGCGCGACGACGACCGCGCGCCACATATTCAAGATATGGGGCCGATGACCTTGAAGCTCTTCACCGCCAACGACGTTAGCATTGGAACCATTCGTTCGTGGCGCCTTGGCTAACCGTCATTCTTTACAGGAATACGTAGCTACTCTTGCCAAAGACGTGCACCCTTCTCGCAAACAGCATGGCGTCTACCTCCCGCATTCATTAGGAAGCGACAACACTGATTAGTCCGTACCGCTCTCATATATCCTCGTGCTGCCCTCTGACTGCGCGCCCACCAGCGTCATGCACTTTGTCAGTGAAGATCCCAGGCTGACCGTCTACACCGCCAACTTTCCCATCCGCCCCTCCAAGCCCTCTTCCTCCTCCAGTGCGCGCGCTTCTCCATTCTCCGGCCACAGACCGTACACTGAACGATCTCACGTATCACAGAATCTCACCATACCACATCGCTGTACGAGCAACTCGCGGCGCCGATGGCGGTGGAAGTGAGCACCTACAGCGACACGGCGACGTACACCGAAGCGCCGATCTACCAACCCGTCGTCACGCTCTTCGCGCAGAACGAGACGATCACGAGCACGCTCAAGCCGACCAAATCGGAACTCGCGGACACGACCGTCTTCGAGCAGAGCATAGCCGCCTTCCCCACGTCCTCCTCCAGCAAGCAGGAGGCCGACTCGATGGGCACCGTGTACGAGCAGCCGAAGGCAAAAAGCGCGGCCTCCTCTGGCGCACGGTTCTGTCGCGGCGCTGGCGGCAGGTGGTGGAGTGTAGACGCTGAGCGGCTGAAATTCCAGGCCGTGTTTGTGTTCTGGCCAGCGCTGATCGGCGTCACGATGGCACTCTGAGAAGATGTCGGTTCAGGGTTATGAACGCTTGGGCTTTGTGTGGCTGTATTCGGGGGCTTTGTATGGCTGTGATTTCGCCTTCCGGTTTTGTGTGCGATTGTTCGCCGTTTTTCTATGCATTGCTATCTGCAGCACTAATCTCTCCTGTGTATCTGTTTCGTGCACGCGATCTATCGTATTCAATACTATTCATCATCGCTAAGTAGCTTGCAATGAGGCATGACGTTCTGACGCCGTCTGGGTCCGACGTCGAAGCGTTCTCGTATTGACTCTGAGTGCGAAGCAATCAATCACGGCTCAGTGCCGATGGCCATGGGATTGTCTGAACATGCGCGCGCCCACGCTACGAACATGATGTTTTTGGGATTTGAAGGCTGGAAATCCGTCTATCACCCCCGCAGAAGCAAACGAAGGGGAGGTGCGCCGCGCAAGGCCATGATCCGTCCTCTCAATCGGTCCGGACGAACGTCGATGACATCGTCGGCGACAACGGTATGCGTTCCGGGGAGAGGGCGGCGGGAGTATATAAGCCCCACACCCGGATTTCGCAGCGATGTGAACGAATCGGGCGCAGAGTCCCCACAGCCCTGCAGTACCGTACACGCAGCACAATTGCAACGATGACGGCAGCCCCATTCGCCCGCATCATGCCCTCTTGTCGACCGCTGCTCGCTCGCGCTATGGGCCATCGACCGAAACCGAGGCCGGCGGTGGGCGTCCGGCGGCGAACGCTCGCGACGGTTGTGCGGGAGGCACGGGGAGATATGGAAGAGACGATGCCGCCGTTTCCCACGAACGTGACGACGCATCCGTTGCTGGTCATCGACCATGCAAGGATCGTAGCGGGAGATGAAGAGGAGGTGGACAGGTTATGGCACGCGGCGACGACGCTTGGATTCTGGTAGTGAGTGGCACACCGGTGTTTTTTAACATCGTGTTGCGGAGCATAGGGCTGATAAGGATTTGGTGTGGGGGTAGCTTGAAGAACCATGGCGTGGAAGAGGAGGTTCGACGCATGTTCGAGATGGGGCGGGAGACGATGGCGTTGCCGATGGAGGAGAAGATGAAGTTCGAGCAGGGGGACAGCGGAATGTCTGCAGGGTAGGGAGCAAGTTTGTCTTCCGGCGTGCGAACATACTGGCTGACGTAGATGGTGGCAGGTACAAGGCGGCCGGGGCGAATGCAACAGACGAGAACGGGAGCCCAGACACTGTCGAGTTCATTAACGTCGCCAAGGACGATGCGCTAGCGTACCCGCGCGTCGTGTACCGGACCTACCCCCGCACGGTTAACGCCCGGATGGAGACTGCCGTCCGGCCGTTCGTCGCCAAGTCGAGCGCGGTCAACACGACCCTCCTGCGCGTGTTAGGGCGGAGGCTGGGGCTTCCGGAGGGCGCGTTGGAGAAGAGGCACAGTGATGTCGAGACGAGTGGGAGCGAAGCGCGCTGCATCCGCAAGCCCGCGATGAGCGAGAAAGCCGCGTCGAGCGCGGTGGCGATCGGGGGCCACACGGATTTCGGGAGCTTGAGCTTCTTGCATAACAGACTTGGAGGATTGCAGGTTTTGACGCCGGGAACAGACGAGTGGCAGTACGTCAAGGTAACATTACGTTTTCCTCGCAACATGGCAGACGATTGGGACTAATTTGGTGGCGTGGTGATGTTAGCCGATACCTGGTCATGCAATATGCAACCTCGGAGATGCTATGGCCCTGTTCAGCGGCGGTATCCTTCGGTCTAATATGCATCGCGTGGTGTGAGTGTCGGTCATGTGGACGTTTTGAGGGAGTATCTAACTACCATGGTCGATAGCCCTCCTCCCGGCGAACAGTCCAAATTCGAGCGTTGGTCACTAGTCTTCTTCACGCGACCAGGGAACTCCGTACCGCTGCGTGCGCTGGAGGCAGAGAGCGCGTTGATCGCCGAGGCGGTGGAGAAAGCGGATGACTCGGAGAAGTACAGAGGCACATGGACCTCGAGCGATTGGTTCGCCCGAAGGATCAAGAATCAGCGTTTGCGCAACCGAACGGTATGTGATGATGTTCCTACGCCGAATTTCACCTCTCCTAAATGCAAGTCATTTACTGCAGGGCCCAGAGACATGGCGTGCGAGTCGCGGCACTGAGCATCAGGCGTCGAAGTCATAGCTTGACCGCGAGCGGTGGCACTGGAAGCATGAATTTAGCCTGAAAGCTCGTAGCATCATAAGACAAGCAGTTCAGAGCAGCGCACGGGTTTCAGTAGTATTAGGAGCGGCCTGGAGGATCCGCTAGATAGCTGATATCGAGGAGAATTGTTTGACGAGACGAGTCGCAATAATGACATTTATTCGCCGACGTCTCATGCGACGTGTACGAGTATAAAGGCCTCGAATTCGACATCGTTTTTGGGCGTAACGAAAGCCTTGTAGTAGATTATCACTGCCGTCCTGACCACAAAACCGAAATCCGCTGGACAGAGCTGGAGCCTGGAACAAAGAACAGAGGAGGAAAAAAGGACATAGGGGTTAGACACAGCCACACGAACAAACAGAGCCAACCACAGAGGCGTTCACCGCTACCGTCATGTCGGGGTGGCTTATAGCATTTGAGGCTTCACATTCAAGTTTCGTTTATCTGGATTGCCTCGGCTGAGTCTTCATCATCGGCGTCGTCGGACACGCTAGCTACTCCGGGACCACGCACTCGAGCTTGGAGGATCCTTCCCGTCCACTCCTACCTACTAGCTGACACCGCTCGACTACCTCAGCCATGCCACGATCTGCTTCGCCCCATTCTGAAGAACCGGAAGTCGGAGAATTATCCGAACGCGACCCGGATACCCAGTTTGAGCCGTCGCCGTCCGACGAGCTGTACGAGGTCGAGAAGATCCTCGACGAGACGAAAATCAAGTACAAGGTTCGCTGGGCAGGCGTGGACCCTGCCACTGGCGAGCCGTGGGAGGACAGCTGGGTGCCGAAGAAGGACTGTACCGATGATCTGGTGAAGGAGTGGAAGCTGAGGAAGGTAGAGATGAAGAAGAATCACAGGCGCGGGAGCAGCAAGGCCGGCTCGGGTGCGTCGCATTCATTACCCAGCATATGCTGGTACATGCACGCAAATATGGATATGTTGACCCATAAAGATATAGTAGCATCGTCCTCTCGACGGCCTTCGAACGGGAACCCGGTTCGGCCGGTTCGGTCGAACAGCGTAGCTACGTCCTCGACCGTGACGGACCACCGCAAGCCGAAATCTTCGAAGGTCAAAATGGAACACAGTCCATCACCGCCGGCCGTCAAACGCAAACGACGAAGGACTACTCCGTCACCTCCCCTGGATCCTTACGTGAACCCGTTCGACGGCGAAGTTCCCGATCCCGACGAAGAGGACGAAGAGCCCGGAGAGCCCACACTGAAGAAACGGCGGACGGTACAGGACGAGGTGCAGCCAAGCCCTCGATCCAGCCGAAAAACTGCTACGGAACTTGCCGCGTCGCTGCATCGCAAGATGCAGTCGGAGGCCGAGCGCAGCCCTTCCGCGACCCCAACACGTACGCGCGCAAATTCTCCCCTCATCCGACCCGTTGCAACTACGAGAAATAAGCCTGTACATGAGAGTCAGGAGAGCTACGAAGTCAAGCCACGAAAGCGATGGGGCAAACGGGTACCGGCGGACGACGGTTCCGATCCTGAACCAGACCAATTCGAGGAGGTACCGCCCAGCTCCGACGAAGAGGCGCGACATAAACGATCCAAGTGTGTTCCTCAGCATCATGCTCCCGTATGAAATGACGAGATTCGGCCCTGACACCTGCCATTCTCAGACAACTGCCAACAAAGATTCCCAAAGTGGTCGCCAGACGAGGTTTCTCGCCCTCTGCCGTCGCTCGACCGAAACCCAAGCCAGGTCCTCCCCTCGACCCAGACATTGAGATCATCTCGCCTCCTCTGAGCGTAGCATCAAGATCCACCGCGCGGTCTACCGCGAAGCGCCAACGCAACGGCGCCGAGGCTGCTCGTCCCAAGCCCGGTACCACGCTTAACGGGATTAACGACATCCCTCCGAACCCCATATCGAAAGTACCCGGCACAACCGTTGAACCCTCGCAGGTACCTACTTCGTCCTTCGAACGCCCGGAACTCGCTGCAGACGCTATCCGAAGGGTCGCCGCAGCAGCACTGTCTAAGCCACCCCGAACCAAACCCTTGATAAACATTGAGGGCAGGTCGTCGTCGTCTTCGTCTTCAAGTCCAACACCCGTGCCCGTGCCTGCCATGATATCCCATCTCAAGGCCAAACACCGGGTCACCGGGGGACCCACTCCTCCCAAACTCTCGGCCTCGACGGGCAAGAAGCAGCCGCGCGCGACGCACCCGCTCGCCGAAGAAGAGGAGGAGAACACGCAGGACCTCCTTGGTCTTGGGTTCGCTGCTGCGGAACGCGTGCAGCACGATCAGGGAGACGAAGTGGGTGGTCTGGTCTTCGACCCAAATTCGCCACTCGAATTTGATGATGCACAGCCGCCGAGACGTCTCTTTTCCGCAAGCCGCTCGCCGGACCCAGCCGCCGCGGCCCCGGCTGTAGTCGCGGTAGAATCAGCGGAAACGACTCAGCAAACCAACTCGTCCGGACTGTCCTACATCACGCCTCCGCCTCAGCCGGACCCCATGATGCATGGTTCGACCAGCAGCCGGACAAGCGGCTTGCAACGAACCACGAGCTTGGTGAAGAAAATGAAGGATCGGAGGGAAAGCTCGGGGAAGGCGAAGGAGGACCAGTCTGCGGGGTGGGGACCGATACCGCGGATGGATGCTGACGACATGCGGCCGTATGTCCTTCAGAGCTCCAGCGCGTTGCCGGATGGCAAGCCGCGGAGGCGTAAACCTAGGGACCGGGATAGTGAAGACGAAGCTGACGCGCCCATGAGCTCGATCGAACAGTTCAGCTCTCCAGAGAAGCCTGCGTCGTCGACCCTTGAATCTTTCAGTCGACTCGGGCGCGCGCCGCATCCGTTCAGTCAAGTGACGGACGAGAACGACGCAAGGCTGAGAGAGCGGGGGAAGAGACTGTCGGAGGCGCGGAAGCAAGCGAAGTCAGAAAGGGAGAAGGCACGGAGGCGGACCATAGAGGAGATTGGGATTGTGCCGAGCTCGGACTCCGCGCTGACGTGGGCTAGGCTGGAGGAGCAAAAATCGGATGTAAGGACTGAGAAGGAAGGCGAAGAGGAGGACGAGCTGGCGGAGGAGATGGAGCAGTTCGTCGACTTTGACGGGGGGAATGACGAGGAAGACGTCGCTGCGTCGGTCTTGGATGAGAGCCGAGTGCGTGGAGCTGCCAGTGAAGGTGTCGACGTGACCGGGTTGGCGCAGTCGTCGGACCACCAGCGCGATCAGCAGTCCGATGACGAGGAACAGGTATGCTGCGCCCCGATTGTCAAACACCTGAGTAGGAACAGACGCTAAACGGCACTCCAGGTCCACACGTTTGACGGCTCTGCGGACGCACTCCCGTCCTCAATTCCGCCTCAGATTACGCAAACACAGATGGGTGTATGTGTCAGAGTTCCCGGGATCCATTGAAAACTCGTTGACGTCCATCCGTGCAGTCTACTTCTCAAGAACTTGATCGTCTTCAGAAAGAGCTCACGCGGCTCAGAGCGGAAAACCGTAACCTTAAGACGTCCCTCGAAACGCTCAATGCCCAACAGATCGCGCGGGACGAGTTGGCCGTAGCACGGGAGGCCGAAATCACCGCTGAACTGAAAGAGTGGGAAACCGAGCGCGCGTCCCTAGTACAGGAGCGCGATACGCTCCGACAGAGTCTGCTAAATGCAGAAACGGGGCAGGCGGCTGCCAAAATGTCTCTGGAAGAGGAGGTAGCCAAGTTGAAGGCCGAGTTAGCCGCGGACCGGGACGCACGTATGCACGACGCGTCTGACCGGGACGCTGAACGAAACACCCTTCACGAGGAGATCAACCGGCTCACGCTCGAGCGAGACGACGCGGTGGTCCAGCGGGCAGGGCTGGACACGCGGCTTGAGACACTGAAGCGTCAGAAAGAAGACGCCGAGCGTTCCTCGGAAGTGTTTCGCGACTTGTACCTTCGCGCATCCGGATTTGCGGACGAGGTCCGAGCGGAGAATAAGGACCTTCTGCAGCGGGCAGAGGTCGCAGAGGGGCGCGCGGAGGAGGGGGTCGCGATGGTGAAGGGGCTGTACGAGGATCGGCTAGCAAGACTTGGCGAGGATCGCGAGCGGTGGAAGGTACGGGCCGAAATTGCGGAAGAACGCGAGAGGCGGACGAACGCAGACGACCTCAGGCAGCGAGCGGCGGAGTGGGGCGAGCTGAAGAAGAAACTCGGGGTTTTGGAGGAGAAGTTGAGCGCAGCGAGGGCAGCACGGGCGACGGTCGCCAATGAGTCGCAGCACATGGTCGATAAACTCGACAGGTCCAACGCGACGTTGAAGAGGCAAGCCGAGTGGATCGGAAAGCTACAGGACATGCTAAGAGCATTCGCGGAGAACGCCGTCGGGCCCCTGCTCCAGGAACTGGCGGGAGCCATGGCCGACCTGGATCCGGGAGCGCACACCGACACGACCCGCTTTCCGAAGGACCCTGATGAGGATACAACAGATGGATCGCTGGATGCTGATGGTGTCGTCGACGACAACAACGATGACACTGGGGACTGGGTTTTTTCGTGTAAATATCGAGACGGCCATGGCGGAGAAGTCCCCTGTCCACTGGTCTTCAAAACGAAAGAGGTACGCTATCTAGATCATATCGGCTGGCATTTTCTCAAGCAGCCTGCGCACAGGAACTAAAGAGGCATATCATCGAATCTCCCCACATCCCGAACTCGAGAGTGGTAGAATTGGAGAATCAACCCATGGTCGCGGCCACTGATTGAGTTATTTATCTGCATCTGGCTGTATGCGGTCACGACGTTTCCCCTCTTTAATCTGCCAGGCATTATATATTCATGTTCGATTTTGTGCCCTGTGTGCATCAGATGTATCGATAGCTGCCAATACCGAATTGACATCGCGTGGTGGACGACTTGTCTAGCGGTGAACACATCTGCACTGCATGTTGGCGTGGTTCGAAGTCGCGCTACTTTGGATGGATCTCTGCCGCAAACTATAACACGATTGAACAGTGCGGACCGCGAGCGATGAAGGTACGGAACTCTACTTCTAAATCGGCAACTTGCACTCACACCCACACCTGATATAGCATCCTCTCCACACTTTATATGCGCATATGCGTCGGGGATTCATCGGTTTCCGCCATGCTGCCACCTTTTCCGCAGGATGTCCCTGCACATCCTTTATTGATCATCGACTACGATCGCATCGTCGCTGGGGACAAGGACGAGATTGAATTGTTGTGGGATGCGGCTACCAAACTTGGATTCTGGTAGTGAGTCTCTCCTCGTTCAGAGGCGCACATCTCGACGATCCAATTCAATTGAACTCCGGCAGTTTGAAGAACCATGGGGTCGATGCAGAAGCTGAGGCGATGTTCGAGATGGGCAAGGAGACGATGGCATTGCCGCTCGAAGAGAAACTGAAGTACGAGCAAGGTGAATCCGGGATGTCGCACGGGCAAGTCGCTCCCATGAGCTTTGCCGTGACGTCTCTGATGACATCGCACTCATAGCTACAAAGCCGCTGGGGCCAACGCGACCGACGAGTATGGCAACCTCGACGCGGTCGAGTACCTCAACGTCGCCAAAGACGACGCTCTCGCTTATCCGCGCGTCGTTCACCGATCATACCCACCTACGGTCAACGCGCGTATCGAGGATATCGTCAAACCCTTCGTCTTGAAGTCTTTGCAGGTCAATCAGACGCTTCTGCGCGTTCTTGGCCAGAAGCTGGGTCTCCCCGAGGGCGCATTAGAACGCCGCCACACGCTCGAGGAGCTGAGTGGATGCGAAACCAGGTGCACTAAAGTTGCAGCCCGCACCGAGCCGACCCGAGTCGCGTTAGGAGGCCACACGGACTTCGGCTCTCTGTCTTTCTTACACAACCGCCTTGGAGGTTTACAGGTCCTGGCACCGGGGACGGATTCCTGGAGGTACGTGAAGGTGAGCACGACGTTCCATGACAATATGCATATGTATTGAGATAGCGACGCCAGCCTATTCCTGGTCACGCTATTTGCAACGTGGGAGATGCCCTGGCGCTCCTCAGCGGCGGGGTCTTACGCTCAAATATGCATCGAGTTGTGTGAGACGGATTGCGATGACCTCGGTCAGCGCACCCTGATCGTTCTTGAACATCTAGACCGCCTCCTGGGGAGCAATACGGGCACGAGCGTTGGTCACTCGTGTACTTTACGCGTCCAGGAGATTCAGTCCCGCTCAAAGCCCTGACGGAAGAGAGCGCGCTGATCAAGGATGCAGTGGATCGCCTGAGCCCTGCAGAGACGGCGAAATATGAAGGCTCGGCCACCGCCCGTGAATGGTTTGCACGCCGGACTCGCAACCAGCGCGCCAAGAATCAGTCTGTGAGTAAAGCATGTATACTGAGATTCGGCCTAAAAGCTAAGATATCGTGCACGTCAGGGTGCAGACACCTGGAGAGCCAGTCGAGGGACGGAGCATCAGCCCGACCGAAGTTGAGCAACGCCTGGGCTAAGCGCCGCACCTGTTATCGCCCGATCGTGGAGGGTACGGATTTATCATTGCGTCATTTCGGTGTAGATACATTATTGTTTTCGGTTGGAAAGACAGTCTTGTACAGTAGATATACTTGCAACAGGGTGCGATCACGGGCAATCGTGATGCGGGATTAGTGGTCATGGAAGTCCGCGTTACTGGATGATTAATAAATGGGTCGATATGATGAACGGAAATGCGTCCTTGGAGGGGAACAACTAACCCCAGCAGCGATAACTCGTTCACGCAGCGTGGCACCGGCCCCAATGGTTGATGACGATCCTCTCCGTCGTGCAGCAACACCCGCAGGTTATGCACTTCGCCTGTGGATCCATATGCTGGGTCACCATATGTTTTACCAAATTCGTGATCTCCGCGAAGCCACTGTAGGGTTTGCAGCCGTGGGGGCATCGGAGCAGCTTAGGGTCGCATTCCGTCCGGATGTGTTCGCCGATATGGCGCTTTGCGTCCGCGGCGTTCGTGCACTGGACCGTGCAGCCGAGCCAGCCGCATATCATGGGCACCGGTTTCACATATTTGGACCACTCGCTTCGTGGAGGAGGCCACAGTTCCGAAGGAGCGGGAGGCAGAGGGGTGAGCGCCGAAGACCAGCCAGCAGATTCGTTTGGTGAGTGGGAGGGGGACGCCGAAGGTGAAGCAACCCGAGATGATGCGGCGGCCGAGGATGAGGTTGAGCGGGACTGTGTTTCTGGCCTCTCCGAAGATCCCTGCTGCTCAGCGCGGCGATGAGGGGTTCCAAGACTTGTGTGCACATCATGAAGCCACGTAGTTGACGTGCCGATCAGGGCGGCACAGGTTTGAAGCCTCCAGATAATATCTTTCGTAACCTGTGCAGGAGGTATCGCGCGGGGAACACGGATATGAGGCATTTCCTGAAGCCCATTCTGCAATAGCACGCCCGCGGATTGTCTAGTGGCCAGGGGGTCCAGGATCCCGCGTAGGCTTAACGTGGAAAGTGCCCCACGCAAGAAAAACGTGTCGGGAGCGGGAGTGCGACCTGCGGGGCGATTCATTCCGGTCAACCCGAGCGCATCATGCTGTTGCGTGTGTTGCGTGCCTTCGTCTGTCCGTGGACCCTGCCCATGCGGGACCTCGGATGCAGATGGGTCGATGTAGAGCTGGGGGTCGACGTAAAACTGCGGGCCTGCGTTGGATTGCGAGTCTACAGGCGGCTGCACGTATGATTGCTCCACCAATGATTGCCATTCTTGCAATACGGACTGCGCCAGTGCTTCAGCATGTTCATATGAGACGAAATCGACAAATGGGGGTGCTTGAATCCCATTGGTCGAGGACGGATCCAGCAAGCCGCCCGCCGATGCTTGCTCACATGACTGTTCAAAGAGAGCTGCGATTGAGACCTGTTCTTGGGGACCGGGTATGGAGGATGCAGGTGGGAATGAAGTATTATGAGTTTCACTCAGAAATTGGGTTATGACTGACTCCATTTCCGAGACATTGAAATCCGGTTGCGCATAGTTTGGTTCTAATGAAAGACCTTGAGAAGGGACAGAGAAGGGGGGTCGCATGAGGGCATCGTCATTGCTGGACTCTCGAACGACAGGTTGCACACCCGGCAGCTGGGACAAGGGTTGTGACCCTGAGGCTGAACTAGGAGGCACCATGTACGGGGGAACGGATATCGTAAGTCCATCAATGTGACGAATCTGTGGTCCTGATTGAACGCTAGTAGGTAAAGGCGGCTTGATGGACGAACGTGCCACGGGGTGTCTGGACGTAACGATTGAACGAGGTTTCCTGAGAGGTAATGATGAAAGAACATACCCCGGGATACCGCTTGCGCGTGACACCAGAAGTCCAGGACGTTCCCCTTGCCCTTCAACGCGTCGATATGCCTGCTTCGGAGACGCGCTATGAAAGAAGGCGTCAAGACGTCAATCCGAGGATACTCGACGAATCATCTCACCTCCCAGAAGATTCGGATGACCTGTTCCTCTTCCGTGAGTCCCGAAGAGGCAGCGGTCCATTGTTGGCTACGCTGCCAGAGACCGGCGGCCCCGCGGGTGGCTCACGCTGATTACTCTCCAAAGCAGCAGCCCTGGTGATAGGCGTCGAAATATTACTGATAGATGCAAGGTGAAAGGACACGTACGTTTGATCGGCCATGTCCAATAGTAGCCCACCTATGTAGCTCGAAGACGTGTTGGTGTGACTTGTAGTGAACGTCGTCTTGATTTTCCTTTTGGACAGAGAATATATATTGAAGGCGTATACCCTTATTCACCAGAGATCGTGAGCGTTATGGTACAACAGGTGGTAAAGAAAGACAATCGAGCGCACGTCGGTTTTAACCCCCGGTGTGGCCCATTCGCGTAGTTACATAGGTCGAGCCCAGCGTTACGAGCCCGAGAGTAATCCCTTGAAGAGAATCAACCATAGCTCAAGTGCTCCTTCGTATGGAGTGCCAGGAATCGTAAGAGAGGACGGTGAGCGAGCGTTGAGTGTCGAGATTGATGCAGGTCCGGAGGTGCGGGAGCTGCCGCCGGCGGTTGCCGCGCAATGGACCAACACGTGGGCCGCCGGCTAGCGCGTCCGAAGGCTGAGGCTTCGAGTACGAGCTGAAGCATTCTGTACAGTGTGAGGGAAATCACATCACATACCTGAAAAATATCTCATGCCAGTCTCAGTCTAGCGGTATGTCTATGGAGGTCCGATTTGAACGGAGCTGGTTTCTCGCGTGCAATTCCCAGCCCTTTTGAACGGGGCGCCCGCAGGTATGCAGTTGAAAATGCATATGCAAGAGATGGCCTATACGCAGAGGGAACCTACATTGGTAGGACAAGACCTTGATGGCGGAGCCCTCGATGTAGAGTGGCACGGTACGTCGAACTGATAGGTCCTCGGATGTCTCAACCTGGGAGGTAAATTCGAGAACATATATCGTGAATGACGTAGCGACAATAGTGCAAGCGGAAAGATAACTTGCGTACCTGACGTCGTCAGTCCATAGAGCATTGATGTACCATCACTAGCTCGCTGTTGGATGTTCGCACTAAGACAGACGTGAGTAGACGGCCGTGACGGCGCAGCGAGAGGGCGAATGAGTGTGGACGCAGAACAAGAACCGACATATCCTTGAAGTGGTCGCAAGGTTATTGATCGCATGTCAGAGCGGTGTTGAGGTATGACAGAGCAGTCGAGGTCATCGTCTTGTCTCAGAATCGAGGAAGGGGCAAGGTCGATCGCGTTTGACAATAATCTGACCATTTCAGTAGGTACTAACCGTAACATAGCCAACGGAGTATGTGACGCGACGCGACGCGATGCAAGTGGCTTGCCACCTAACACAAGCAAGCGAACGTGAACATTACAGATGCTTACGATGTTTGACTCGCCTTGTTCACGTCGTCAATCGAGACCGGGCCTGAGGAACAGAGTAGTTGACACGAGCGCCGGAGGCGGCTATGAAGACAAGCAGAGGGAGGGAGTATTTGGACAAGCGCTGGGTTGAAAGGCCACGAGCACGGATCCATGCCACAGGACGTGTCGCTGTCAACGACGCTCACGGGCAGCTTGTTGCTGAGCGAGGCAAGCCTCAGAGCGATCAGCATGTAAGCGTTGGAGGAGCTCAAGAGGCGGCCCGGGAAGACTCATGAACCATATAGCGGGCAAGATAGACAGAACCAAAGTAGGCGAACAACAGCGAGCGCCAAGGCTGGTGTTTCTTAGGCAAAAGAGTGGTCGCCTTTGCTTTATTGTTCACAAGCAAGCCACGACAGTGTCTCGTGAAGATACATCGGCCAAGACCTAAAACAAATAAGCAACTGCTTGTGATGAAACATCTGACACAAATGGCAGCAGGATCCCGATACTTAATTGGGACAGCGAGCAATGCATCAATCTGTTATCGGAGCTATTCTCGCTGAGAGTAGTATGCCTGTTATGAGAAGCAACCTAGGGAAAGGGTGCCGCAGACACACGCAGCCCTGGTGATCAGATTTGTATGACTAGAGCGGCAAATGTCGCGCGGAGCCGGTGCATAAAGCACGACAACTCAGATCATTCGTTGTATCTGCCCTGCGCGTGGCTACTCGCCGGCTTATGTATGACAGTTATGACCTGCCTAATCATTAGATCATTCGTTGTATTTTCCCTGCGCGTGGCTACTCGCTGGCTTATGTATGACAGTTATGACATGCCTAATCATTAGATCATTCGTTGTATTTTCCCTGCGCGTGGCTACTCGCCAGCTTATGTATGATAGTTATGACCTACCTAATCATTTGTCGTGTCCGCCCTGCGCGTGGCTACTCGCCGGCTTATGTATGATAGTTATCACCTACCTAATCATTAGATCATTCGTTGTATTTTCCCTGCGCGTGGCTACTCGCCAGCTTATGTATGATAGTTATGACCTACCTAATCATTTGTCGTGTCCGCCCTGCGCGTGGCTACTCGCCGGCTTATGTATGATAGTTATCACCTACCTAATCATTAGATCATTCGTTGTATTTGCCCTGCGCGTGGCTACTCGCCGGCTTATGTATGACAGTTATGACCTGCCTAATTATTCGTCGTCTCTGCCCTGCGCGTGGCTACTCGCCGGCTTATGTATGATAGTTATCACCTACCTAATCATTAGATCATTCGTTGTATTTGCCCTGCGCGTGGCTACTCGCCGGCTTATGTATGACAGTTATGACCTGCCTAATCATTAGATCATTCGTTGTATTTGCCCTGCGCGTGGCTACTCGCTCGGCTTATGTATGACAGTTATGACCTGCCTAAATTATTCGTCGTCTCTGCCCTGCGCGTGGCTACTCGCCGGCTTATGTATGACAATTATTACTTCCGGCTCA